GGATTCCCTACTGAGGGGAACAGAAGCAGTGATCTGTGGGCCTGACAAGATGTCTCGGGAGGTGTGCTGTCTCCCCGGGGCTAAGATCCAAGATGTAACTGAACGACTGCAAGGAATCATAAAACCCACTGACAAATACCCCTTCCTCTTGGTTCATGTGGGAACCAATGACACTGCAAGCAGTAGCCTCCAGAAGATCAAAAGAGACTACGAGGCTCTGGGCAGGAAATTGAAGCAATTAAATGCACAAATTGTGCATCTCATCTGTCCTCCCAGTTGAACAACGTGGCCCAGGGAGAGAGGGGAAAATAGTGGAAGTGAACAGCTGGCTTCGCAAATGGTGTAAACAGGAACGGTTTGGATTCTTAGATCACGGACTGCAGTTTCTTGAAGATGGACTTCTGGCAAGCGATGGGCTGCACCTCACAACGGTTGGGAGGAATGTTTTTGCCAAAAATCTCAGAAACCTCATCAGGAGGGCTTTAAACTGACTAATGTGGGGAGGGAGACAGTGCTCCTGAAGGTAGGAGTCTATCAATTGATGAAGATGCTCATCCAAATGTCATAGACCAAATGGAGCAAACAGCACACAGACCTAGAGGTCGGAGGAAAAATCCTTAAATAAGAGACATGGGGAATGATTAATGGACTTCAATGTCTGTACACTAATGCGCAAAGCATGGGAAATAAACAAGATGAGCTTGAGCTCTTGGTACAGCAAACTAAATATGACATAATAGGCATCACTGAAACCTGGTGGGATAAGTCCCACGATTGGAATGTAATAATGGAGGGATACAATCTATTTCAGAGAAACAGACCAGACAAGAAAGGAGGAGGAGTAGCGTTATATGTCAGGGATGTGTATACCTGTGAAGAGATCCAAGATTTAGAACCTCAAAGCCAAAGTGAGAGCATTTGGGTCAAAATTAAGGGAGAGAAGAATAACAGTGACCTCATTGTGGGAGTTTACTATAGATCCCCAAGCCAAACGGAGGACATAGATGATGCCTTCCTGGAACAGATGGCCAAGCATGCAAAAGGAAGGGAGATAGTAGTAATGGGGGACTTCAATTACCCGGATATTTGTTGGATGTCAAACTCAGCCAAGAGCGTAAGGTCAAACAGATTCCTCACTGGCCTTGCAGACAACTTCATTGTCCAGAAAGTGGGAGAAGCAACAAGAGGAACAGCCATTTTAGATCTGGTCCTAACCAATGTTGATGACCTGGTTAGTGGGGTAGAAGTGGAAGGATCATTAGGCGCGAGTGATCATGCTCTTCTGAAGTTTACTATACAGCGGAAAGGAGCAGCCAAGCATGCTAGGACTCAATTTCTTGACTTTAAGAAAGCCAACTTCATAAAACTTAGGGAAGTGCTGGGTGAGATCCCATGGACAGTACAGTGGTGCCTCGCAAGACGAAAATAATCCGTTCCGCGAGTCTCTTCGTCTAGCGGTTTTTTCGTCTTGCGAAGCAACCCTATTAGCGGCTTAGCGGATTAGTGCTATTAGCGGTTTAGCGGCTTAGCGGCTATTAAAGGCTTAGCGGCTTAGCGGCTAAAAGGCTATTAGTGGCTTAGCGGCTTAGAAAAAGGGGGGGGAAGCGGAAAAAATCGCAAGACTCGCAAGACGTTTTCGTCTTGCGAAGCAAGCCCATAGGGAAATTCGTCTTGCGAGGCGCATCGAAAAACGGAAAACCCTTTCGTCTAGCGGGCTTTTCGTCTTGCGAGGCATTCGTCTTGCGGGGCACCACTGTAATACTAAAAGGAAAGGGAGTTCATGATGGCTGGGAGTTTGTTAAGAGGGAGATAGTAAAAGCACAACGTCAGGCAATACCAATGAGACGGAAACATGGAAGGTGCCTAAAGAAGCCAGGGTGGCTATCTAAAGAACTTTTAACTGAGTTAAGATTTAAAAAGGATGTGTACAACTAATGGAAAAGGGGGGAAACCACCAAGGAGGAATTCAAACAAATAGCCAGCACGTGTAGACACAAAGTCAGAAAAGCTAAAGCACAGAATGAACTCAGGCTTGCTAGAGAGGTTAAAAGCAACAAAAAGGCTTTTATGGGTATGTTCGTAGCAAAAGGAAGAACAAAGAAACAGTGGGGTCACTCAGAGGAGAAGATGGTGAAATGCAAACAGGGGACACAGAAAGGGCTGAACTCCTCAATGCCTTCTTTGCCTCAGTCTTCTCCAATAAAGAAAACAATGACCGACCTGAAGAATTTGGAGCAAATGATTCAGCAAAGGAAACACAGCCCAGAATAACTAAGGAGATAGTACAAGAATACTTGGCTAGTTTAGATGTATTCAAGTCTCCAGGGCCAGATGAACTGCATCCAAGAGTATTAAAAGAACTGGCAGATGTGATCTCAGAACCACTGACAGTCATCTTTGAGAATTCCTGGAGAACAGGCGAAGTCCCGGCAGACTGGAGGAGGGCAAATGTTGTCCCTATTTTCAAAAAGGGGAAAAGAGAGGACCCAAATAATTACCGCCCAGTCAGTCTGACATCAATACCAGGGAAGATTCTGGAGCAGATCATTAAGCAAACAGTCTGTGAGCACCTAGAAAGGAATGCTGTGATCACCAATAGTCAGCATGGATTTCTGAAAAATAAGTCATGTCAGACTAACCTGGTCTCATTTTTGACAGAATTACAAGCCTGGTAGATGAAGGGAACGCAGTGGATGTAGCCTACCTTGATTTCAGCAAGGCATTTGACAAGGTGCCCCATGATATTCTTGTAAAGAAGCTGGTAAAATGCGGTCTTGACTATGCTACCACTCAGTGGATTTGTAACTGGCTGACTGACCGAACCCAAAGGGTGCTCATCAATGGTTCCTCTTCATCCTGGAGAAGAGTGACTAGTGGGGTGCCACAGGGTTCTGTCTTGGGCCAGGTCTTATTCAACATCTTTATCAACGACTTGGATGATGGACTCAAGGGCATCCTGATCAAATTTGCAGATGACACCAAATTGGGAGGGGTGGCTAACACCCCAGAGGACAGGATCACACTTCAAAACGACCTTGACAGATTAGAGAACTGGGCCAAAACAAACAAGATGAATTTTAACAGGGAGAAATGTAAAGTATTGCACTTGGGCAAAAAAATGAGAGGCACAAATACAAGATGGGGACACCTGGCTTGAGAGCAGTACATGTGAAAAGGATCTAGGAGTCTTGGTTGACCACAAACTTGACATGAGCCAACAGTGTGACGCGGCAGCTAAAAAAGCCAATGCAATTCTGGGCTGCATCAATAGGAGTATAGCATCTAGATCAAGGGAAGTAATAGTGCCACTGTATTCTGCTCTGGTCAGACCTCACCTGGAGTACTGTGTCCAGTTCTGGGCACCACAGTTCAAGAAGGACATTGACCAACTGGAACGTGTCCAGAGGAGGGCAACCAAAATGGTCAAAGGCCTGGAAACGATGCCTTATGAGGAACGGCTAAGAGAGCTGGGCATGTTTAGCCTGGAGAAGAGGAGGTTAAGGGGTGATATGATAGCCATGTTCAAATATAGCAAAGGATGTCACATAGAGGAGGGAGAAAGGTTGTTTTCTGCTGCTCCAGAGAAGCGGACACGGAGCAATGGATCCAAACTACAAGAAAGAAGATTCCACCTAAACATTAGGAAGAACTTCCTGACAGTAAGAGCTGTTCGACAGTGGAATTTGCTGCCAAGGAGTGTGGTGGAGTCTCCTTCTTTGGAGGTCTTTAAGCAGAGGCTTGACAACCATATGTCAGGAGTGCTCTGATGGTGTTTCCTGCTTGGCAGGGGGTTGGACTCGATGGCCCTTGTGGTCTCTTCCAATTCTATGATTCTTCCCGAGATCTGCTCTTTGGCATTAAAGAATATGAAGAAGATCAGCAGAAGGGACCTGGAAAAGAGTTAAGAGCCTCGGACATAAGATCCAGGTTGATGGACTATATGGAATTGACGGAAAGGACTGGCAGATTCCGAAACCAGGGAGAGGAGATGGTGGAAGAAGATTGGAGAATTTAAAGTTTATATATAGAAATACTGTAAAATTAATGAGTGATAGAAAATTGGTGGAAAGAAATTTTATGGTCTTAGCAGAAATGTTATAAGGAGTTAAGCATATATAAGTATTTTAGTTTTAATGGAAAATAAGGATGAAAAATATGTTAAGATATTTATATTAAAGCAGAAAATAGAGAAAGATGGAAAGGATTTGCTGAAACAATTAATAGAAGTGGAATACAAAAAGGGAGGTGAGAGGAAGTCGAGGAAACAAGGGAATGAAAGATAGAGTATGGAAAAGCTGTGATGTATGTTTTTTAATGGTTTTTGTCTTATTTTGTTTAGGGTTAGGGTGGGTTAGGGTTTTGTTTAGCTTAGTTTAATGTGTTTAGTTTAATGTGTTTAGGTTGTGTTTTGTATTGTTTATATATTGTATTGTTCCTTTCTTTTTTTGTCTTTTCTCTCTTGTCTTTCTTTTTTTTCTTTTTCTTTTCTGTAATCTTTAAAAGTAATAAATATTATTAAAAAAAAAAAATAAAGTGAATTCCTGACTACACTCAGCTTGCGTTTCCCTCTGTCTCAGGGGAGGACATGATCACTTCCTCAGTACTTCCACTTGGTTGATCAGTTCCCATCTGTTGTTAAGGACTAGGTCCTAGACAGATGATCCCCTTCTTGTTTCTTCCACCTTCTGGGTCATGAAATTTTCAGTGAGGCAATTCTTCATGGTCACTTTCCTTAGACCAGGGCTAGACGCTTCCTTCTCTCTCTTCTTCCTTTTTTCCTGTTAATGAAAGTTCAGAGTCGGGGCTGTGGTGCAGTCCAGCCCTGGCTCCTAGCAAGACTCAGCCACGCTTGCTCAGGAAACATTTCTCTTCTCCTGACCATGTATCAGTCTGATAACAGACCAATATGTTTGCTTTGTAGGCTTTGCTAGCACCTCTAAATCGGACCATCAGAACTTGGCAGAAAACGAAAGGATTCCTTCCGATCTCTTGGAGGCTTCATGAGAGCCCAGATGGATGAGCAAGACTCAGCTGGCCCTGAAGCAGGAGGAGGCCCTGCCCTCCAAACTGGGAGCAGTGGGAGATTATGGGAAAACTCAGAGCAGAAGATCCCAGGTGAGGAGGACACCCTCTGCTCAGAGGTGCAGAGCCAGCAGTTGACGCAGTCCGGCTCTCAGGAGGCCAAAGGACCCCGAGAGGCTTGCGGCCGACTCCACCACCTCAACTGTCGGTGGCTGAAGCCAGAAAGTCATACGAAAGCTCAGATGCTGGACCTGGTGATCTTGGAGCAGTTCCTGGCTGTCCTTCCGCTGGAGATGGAGAGCTGGGTGAGGGAATGTGGAGCAGAGACCAGTTCCCAGGCTGTAGCCCTGGCTGAAGGTTTCCTCCTGAGTCAGGCAGAGGAGAGGAAGCAAGCAGAGCAGCAGGTGAGAGAGACTTTCCTCTGGAAACTCCCAAGGGGCTCCAAGCAAGACAGGGAGCCTTCCAAGATGCTCTCCTAACGGCTCGCCCTCTTTGGAGAAGCAAGGGATGAGATCTGCTCCCCTAGTTTGCTCTGATCATTCCTTTTCTAATCCTTCTCCCCATTCTCTGTTTTAAATCCTTGTTACTCTTTCAGGAAAAGGGTCTCTTTGCAGAAATGGGCCTGGATTCCTGTGAGGCAGAAAAGACTCCATTGGACGCCAGAGGGAGGCCACTGGGTAAGGAGGAACTCGTCTTTCTTCTCATTCTGTGGATCTTGAAACTAATCTTTGGGTTCTGTTCATCTTTAGGGGGGGAGGCACTTGGGGCCAAGAGCCCAAAGGAGGGCAGATGTATTTTGAAGAACAAAAATTTGAAATGGGTACAATGTCAAAATGCACTCAACAAGCAAGACCTTTTCCATGGCACATCTATGGCGCTTATCTCCAAGTGCCGAACCTCTAGTTACAGGTAGGTAACCGTGTTGGTCCGACGTGGTTGGAAAAAGAAAAAAATTCCTTCCAGTAGCACCTTAGAGACCAACTAAGTTTGTTATTGGTATGAGCTTTCATGTGCATACACACTTCTTCAGATACGCTGAAACAGGCTTCTGAAAGAGACTTCTGTTTCAGTGTATCTGAAGAAGTGAGAGACGCAGGACCTGATGGCTTCCCTTTGACTTTTGTCTCTCTCAGGTGACCGAAGGATGCCCCCCAGACCTCCTCATCCGTCTTTTCATGAGAACGGAGGAGAAGCAGCAGCTGTGGAAACAGATCTGGTATGGGGAAAGAGCTTTGTGGGGAAAGAGTCAGAGGAGTGGGGCAGCCAGGGAGCCTCTGGGCCGGAAGGAATTTCTCCTCCTCTTGGCTTCTGTCAAAGCCTCGGTCCTGAACAAAGATGGACAATGCCATTCGAGAAACTCTATGTGCTGACAGGAATGAACAGCCATCTCTCCTTAACTGGGCTTCGGAATGTCACTATTTTTATGATTTATCAGTAGCTGCAGTTATATTTCTGTATTGATCGTTAGATGCCAAAATCTAATCAGGCTTCTAAGCAGTTGAGAAGCCATAAAAAACAGTGGCCGGAATTCACCTAAGTAGCCCCATGAGCTGCACAACGGGGATCCCCCTCCTCCTCCTCCTCCTCCTCTCTGTGCCCCCATGAGCCCCTTGAAGTTGGCTGTAGGGCAGAGGGAGGGTCCCATCGCCCCCCAAGCATCGCACAGCGGGAGTAGAGAAGGGAGCATTCTGTCTGGCAGACAGGAATACTTCCACAGACAGAATAATTTGAAGAACACCATGCGGAGTTCCACCCATTCACACAAAGATTAATACCCATCATTAGAATGCACAGTAAAATAAATCATTGAAATACTAAAATAGGCATCCAGACCTAAAATGTGCAGCAAAATAATCCCATTAAAAGAACACAACAAGGAATGGGCAGAAACAACTGAGCAATGTATAGTGGATAATCTTTATGCTGTCTCAGAAGAGGACCTTTTTCCTTTTCTTTCAGGGTCCTCTGTGCTTTGAAGATGTCGCTGTGTGTTTCACAGAGGAGGAGTGGGCTTTGCTGGATCCTGACCAGAGAGCTCTGCATAAGGAAGTCATGGAGGAGAATCGTGCGACTGTGGACTCTCTCAGTAAGGATTCCTGCTGGACTATATGTTTTGAAATACACACACACACACACACACACACACACCCCTACCTCCACCTGTGAGAATCCTGCAATATTTTGATGGCGCTTGACAGCACCTGGGATTCTCATTCCCCGTAGCTCACCTTGAATCTACTGTTCTGTCTGCGAATATTCTTGCCCCACATATGCCTTTTTAAACCATGACCAGGCTGGTCTGAGCAGCCCAGACCTTACTGAATGTAACTCTCTGTGTGGTAGCAGAAGAAGTAGCAGCTTCTGTCACTTTCTGGTTGACCAAAGAGACAACTGGCCTTGCAGATGGAGGAGATTCCATGATTAGGCCAAACAAGATCCATCATGGAAGATGCCAGGCTGTTTGAATCTCAGGTTCCCATCAATCTGTGCGTCAATGAGAGTCAATAAAGGCAGTGAACCCTGTAGTAAGACCTCAGATCTAACACCCTTCCGTTCTTCATCGATCACAAACATTCATTAGCAGTCTTCCATAATTTGGGGCTCTTTCTTCCTAAGGCTCTAATGTGTTTCTCTCTTTGATGCAGGTGGAGATGGATTGGAAATTATGAACAAGGGAAACCGTGACAACATTCACACAGTGGGGAAGTTGTATAAATATTTGGAGTGTGGAGAGAGCTCCCATTCTACTTCCCATAAAATATATCCTATTGGGAAAAATCGTTATCAGTACTTGGAAGATGGTAAGACAGTTCGTCAGAAGACATTTCTCACTTTCCCTAAAAGAACTCACAGCAGGGAGAGACCATATCAGTGCTTGGAATGTGGGAAGAGCTTCAGGCAGAAAGCTAAGCTCACAGATCATCAAAGAATTCATACAGGGGAGAAACCATACAAGTGCTTGGAATGTGGAAAGAGCTTCAAACTGAAGAGACATCTCACTTATCATCAAGCAATTCATAGTCGGGAGAGACCATATCAGTGCTTGGAGTATGGAAAGAGCTTCAGTTGGAAGGACCATCTCATATCCCATCAAAGAATTCATACAGGGGAGAAGCCATATCAGTGCTTGGAATGCGGAAAGAGCTTCAGGAATCGGTCCCATCTCACTTCCCATCAGAGCATTCATACAGGGAAGAAACCATATCAGTGCTTGGAATGCGGAAAGAGCTTCAGGAAACGGGCCCATCTCATACGCCATCAGAGGATTCATACAGGGGAGAAACCATATCAGTGCTTGGAATGTGGAAAGAGCTTCAGGCAGAAAGCTAAGCTCACTTCCCATCAGAGCATTCATACAGGGGAGAAACCATATCAGTGCTTGGAATGTGGGAAGAGCTTCAGGCAGAAAGCTCAGCTCACAGCTCATCAAAGAATTCATACAGGGGAGAAACCCCATCAGTGCTTAGAATGTGGGAAGAACTTCACTAGCAAGAATAGTTTCACTTCCCATCAAAGAATTCATACAGCGGAGAAACAATATCAGTGCTTGGAATGTGGAAAGAGCTTCAGGCATAAAGCTAAGCTCACAGCCCATCAAAGAAGTCATACAGGGGAGAAACCATATCAGTGCTTGGAATGTGGAAAGAATTTTAGTCGGAAGGATTCCCTTACTTCACATGAAAGAATTCACAGAGGAGAGAAACCATATAAATGCTTTGAATGTGGAAGGGGCTTCATTAGGGGCTGCCAGCTCACTTCCCATCAAACAATTCACACTGGGGAGATACCCCATCAGTGCTTAGAATGTGGGAAGAACTTCACTAGCAAGAATAGTTTCACTTCCCATCAAAGAATTCATACAGGGGAGAAACCGTATCAGTGCTTGGAATGTGGAAAGAAGTTCACCTGGAAAAAAAGTTTCACATCCCATCAAATAATTCATACAGGGGAGAAACCGTATCAGTGCTTGGAATGTGGAAAGAGCTTCAGTCAGAGAGGCCATCTCACTTCCCATCAGAGAATTCATACAGGAGAGAAACCGTATCAGTGCTTGGAATGTGGAAAGAGCTTCAGTCAAAAGCAGGATCTCACTTCCCATCAAAGAATTCATACAGGGGAGAAACCACATCAGTGCTTGGAATGTGGAAAGAGCTTCAGTAGGAAGAGAAGTCTGACTTGCCATCAAAGAAGGCATACAAGGTATGAACCCTATAAATGCTTGGAGTGTGGAAAGTGCTTCAGTCGGAAGGACCATCTCACTTCCCATCAAAGAATTCATACAGGGGAGAAGCCATATCAATGCTTGGAATGTGGAAAGAACTTCAGTAGGAGGAAAAGTCTCACTTTCCATCAAGGAACTCACAGCAGGGAGAATCATGGTATTTGAAGATGGGTGTCCTATGTCTTCTCAATCTCCTCTTTTCCAGTCTCCTTCTATCGTTCCTTAAAAGGCTTGGTTTCCAAATGCTTGATTATATTGGTCACCCTTCTCTGCACAGATTCCAACTTCTCAATATCCTCCTTTGATTGTGACATCCAGAATTGAGCACAGGACTCCAGGTGTGGTCTGACCAATCAGAAAGGAACATAGTATTACTTCCCAGGACCTGGACATTAGACGCCTGTTGAGATAGCCTAAAATAGCATTACCTTATTTTGCTACTGACTCACCTTGTTGACTCACGTTAAGCTTTTGGTGTCTTAAGACCCTTAGATCCTTTTCACATGTGCTGCTGGCAAGCGTGGTGTTTCCCATAGAATCATAGAATTGCAGAGGTCTAATGGTCTTAGTGGACCACAAGCTGATCATGATTCAATCGTCTGATGGCATCCAGCATGGAATGTGTCCCTCCGTTTTTCAGCATTTTTAGTAGTCTATAGCAGTCTCTGCTCTTTTTGCCTTCCCTGGGAGGAAGGTGGAGTGGATGTCTGAAACTCAATGTCAAACTGAAACTCAATCCAGATAGGACTGAGGCAGTTAGTGGGTGGTGCCCTAGACCAGATGGGTGGGAGATGGCCTGCTCTTAAAAAAAAATTAAATTGGTTTTACATAAAGTTATACACGATACCTGTAACCTTTCCAAAACATAAACAGTAACAAGGTTCTTTCAGACCTTCCACCACATGGGTTCCAGTTCTAAAGATGTTATCTTTTCCCTTTTTCCTGCATCTTTTACCATTATCCATCTATTACGTAACCATAGTAACCAAAGTTGAGTTCACATTACAAGTGTCCTTGTATCCCTGCCCGTGATTTTAACTGTCTACAGTGGTCTTTCAAGTAAACAATAAAATTATTCCAGTCTTTTAAAAATACTTGTTCTTCCTGGTTTCTGATCTTTCCCCTTAGTCTCGCCATTTCTGCGCATTCCATCAGTTTGGTCTGCCGCTCTTCTTTAGTCGGTACTTCACCTTCTTTCCATCTCTGGGCCAAAAACATTCTGCTGTCGTTGCATACGTAAACAGTCTCTTATTTTCTTTGGTAATTCATCACATATTATATTATAACAGAAAAGCCTCTGGTTTTCTGACAAAGGGTGAGGGGAGAGACTCCATCAGGCAAGGCCTCCTTCCACCTGCCTTGCCCCACCCTCTGCTTCTCAATGTTCTTTGTATTGTTTTGTGTACTGTGGCTTGCCGTTGTTTTATTGATTACACTGGTCAACAACAAATTTGTTGTCTGCGTTTTTTCAGCTGATTTAGGATGAATCTGATGCACTGAATCCAAAAATCACATTGGTTTTGCTCAATCAGGTCACGTTTTTGAGCTATGGCCACATGTTGTTTTTTTACGTTTTTGTTCACATGTACGCTTGTGTGGAGCATTTTAGAAGAAGTTGCTGGGGGTAAAATGCCATGTCGAATAATTGTTTTGATTGGAAATGATTATTTTAATGACAAGAAGTATTCAGGTCCAATAGTTTTGGGTGATTATGTCGAAAAGGGATCAGTTTGAAGTCATAAAGCCTCGAAATCTACCATAAATTGGTGCGGCAAAGCATAAAGTTGGGGGATCAAAACCCCTGGCTCACTCGAGTACATTGAAGGAGAATTATGAAGGGGTGAAGTATGTGCTGGAGAAAATTGGTTATGATCAGCATAAGTGGTTTATTTGTGTTGACCTGAAGATGGTGAACTGTTGGGACAACAGTCTGGCTTCACCAAGTTCCCATGTTTTCTGTGCATGTGGGATAGTAGGGACCGTGCTCAGCATTACATGAAGAAGGACTGGCCTGTGCGGGAGGAATTGGTGCCTTGAAGAAAAAAGAACGTCATCAACAACCCTCTGGTGGACAGAGACAGAATACTCTTCCCACCGCTGCACACCAAGCTCGGCTTAATCAAGCAGTTCACCAAGGCTCTGGACAAGGATGGTGACTGCTTCACTTACTTGTGCCAGGCTTTTCCAGGATTGACCATGGAGAAGTTGAAAGCTGGCATCTTTGATGGTCCTCAGATCCGTCAGCTCATCAGAGATCCAGAGATCAGAAACTCAGTGAACGAAGTGGAACTGGAAGCGTGGAAGGCATTTGTTCTGGTAGTGAAGAACCTTCTTGGCAACAATAAGGCCAGAAACTACGCAGAACTTGTCAACAACATGCTGACTGCTTTCAGAAACCTGGGCTGCAACATGAGCGTCAAGATGCACTACCTATTTTCACATATGGACCGGTTTCCTGAGAACCTGGGTTCAATGAGTGAGGAGCAGGGGAGAGATTCCATCAGGACATGAAAGAGATGGAGACCAGGTATCAGGGTCTCTGGGACGCAGTCATGATGGCTGACTACTGTTGGACTCTGAAGAGAGACCTCCCTGCCACTGAGCATTCCAGGAGTTCCAAGAAAATCAGGCCCAAGTTCAAGCCCTGAAGTTTGTAAAATGGTGAAGCAACATGCAATTTACGTGTACTTACCTTTATCAATGCCCACCATTCAGTTTACAGTAAACCTGACCTGATGGAGAGAAACGGATGCCATTTCCTGATTCAGCAGTGCAAAAATACCCTAAATCAGTTGTAGAAATCTAGACAACATTCAAAAAGTAAAAAATTGTTGCCCAGTGTTATACTTTAGATATTATTGTATCTGTTGAGTGGATTTCTGTTTAACTTTTATATGTTATTATTATGTTATACTATTCTAAGTAATGGTTGAATGTTGCTATTTTGATGTAGGCTGCCTATTTTAAAGTTATGTTTTGTATTGCATTAGATTGTTAGAAGATGTACATTTTCTGTTTCTTCAGCTTCTAAACCGCCTTGAGTATTGTAAGATAGAAAGACAGTATACAAATTAAAATTGATGATCATAGAATCATAGAGTTGGAAGAGACCACAAGGGCCATCGAGTCCAACCCCCTGCCAAGCAGGAAAGACCATCAGAGCACTCCTGACATATGGTTGTCAAGCCTCTGCTTAAAGACCTCCAAAGAAGGAGACTCCACCACACTCCTTGATGGTGTTGATGATGACAAAAGTTTTCTTAAACGCTTTCTTTAATTCAGTATATATCATTTCCCAGAACGCTTTTACCACTCCACAGGACCACCACATATGATAAAAGGGACCTTCTTTCCTTTTACATTTCCAGCACAAATTTGAGCTGGTTCTATACATTTGTGCAATTTTACTCAGTGTTAGGTACCAACAGTACATCATTTTCATATAGGTTTCTTTCAACAGAACCGCAAGCCGTAAACTTCATATCCTCATTCCATAACTTTTCCCATGATAAAAATTGTATATTATAACCAAAGTCATTGATTTAACTTCATCATTTTTAGTATACCGTTCTAGGGAGATGGCCTGCTCTTGATGGGGTTACACTTCCTCTGAAGGAGAGCTTCATAGCTTGGGGGTCTTCCTGGATCCTTTCCTGTCGCTCCAGGCTCAGGTGGCCTCCGTGGCCCAGAGTGCCTTCCATCAGCTTCGGCTGGTGGCCCAACTACGCCTCTGTCTGGACAGGGATCACCTAACTACTGCTGTTTATGCTCTGGCAACCTCAAGGTTAGATTACTGCAATGCGTTACACGTTGGGCTGCCTCTGAAGACGGTTCGGAAACTTCAGCTGGTGCAGAATTCAGCGGGCAGGTTGCTCACCAGAGCAAGACGGTTTGAACATATTGCACCAATCCTGGTCCGACTGCACTGGCTGCCCATTCAGTGTGCTGGTTTTGACCTATAAAGCTTTAAACATCTCAGGACTGCAATTCCTCAAGGACCGCCTCTCTCCATATGAACCTACCAGGACCCTGAGATCATCTTCTGAGGCCCTTCTTTGTGTCCCTCCTCCTTGAGAGGTTCGGAGGGTGGCAGCACAGGAACGGGGCCTTCTCTGCAGTGGCTCCCCACGTGAAGAATGCTCTCCCCAGGAAAGTTCCCCCAAGCGCCTTCGATATACACCTTTAGGCACCAGGCAAAAATGTTCCCTTTTCACCAGGCCTTTGGTTGATTTGATTGACATCCTATGGCCTTTTAAAATGTGTTTGGGGGGAGGGTTTATTGGGTGGTTGTTGTTTTTATTTTGAATATTCTGCAGTTTTATATCCTGTTTTTAGTTTGTGAATTGCCCTGAAAGCCTGCAGGCATAGGGCGGTATATAAATTTAATAAAGAAATGAAATGTCTCCTCCCAGGATTGTTTCCCCCTCTGGATAAACAGCTCCTGCTGAAGTTGGAGAGGGGCAGCGAGAGCGGCAGTAGCGGACCCAGCACCCCCCTCTTGCGCCCCAGAGGCGCTTGCTCTAAAGGGGAAGGGGAGGCCAAGGCAGCCCCCCTTTTCCTGCTCAGTCCAACACGTGGACCTTCCCTTCCTCTGCTGGGGGAGGCAAGGACCCCTGGACGGTCAGGTCCCGTCAAAGGCGACTGGGGCGCAGAGCTCATCTCGCTTCAGGCTGAGGGAGCCCAGGTTGGTCCACAGACAGCTTTCCGGGTCATGTGGGCAGCAGGACTGAACCGCTTCTGGTCCAAATGGACACCGTGAGAAGTGCCAGAGCGCACAGAAACACCACAGTGGTACCTATTTCTCTACTTGCGCTGGTGTGCTTTGGAACTGCTAGGTTGGCAGGAGCTGGGACAGAGCAAGGGGAGCTCAGTCATGGGGACTGGAACCACAGACCTTCCGCTGGGCAGCCCAAGTCTCAGTGGCTTATAGACCATAGAACCCCCTGCGCCCCACGACCTTCCCTTTTTGGGGGGGAAATTCCCTTATTCCAGCGCCGTTTCCCACTGGTACCCCGGATTGTTAGATCTCCCATAGAGTGTCCCCAGGACAGGGGAGGCTGCTGATCCCTTCTTTTCAAATCTGAAAGTTGACAGCTATGGCAGGATCCTGGGCCGGATGGGTCCCTTTGGCGCGAGGCACCTGCCCCAGGGCTCTTCCTGGTTTCTGAGGAGTCCTGCATGGAGCCTCCATGGACAGAGCCAGTCTACCTTAGAGGGCAAAAGGTGCTCTCCTCCTGCTTGGGGCGCCTGGGTGCCACTGTGGGCGCAGGATCCTGGGCCGGATGGGTCCCTTTGGCGCGATGCACCTTCCTCAGAGCTCTTCCTGCATGGAGCCTCCAGGGCCAGAGCCAGTCTACCTTAGAGGGCAAAAGGCGCTCTCCTCCTGCTTGGGGCGCCTGGGTGCCACTGTGGGCGCAGGATCCTGGGCCGGATGGGTCCCTTTGGCGCGATGCACCTTCCTCAGAGCTCTTCCTGCATGGAGCCTCCAGGGCCAGAGCCAGTCTACCTTAGAGGGCAAAAGGCGCTCTCCTCCTGCTTGGGGCGCCTGGGTGCCACTGTGGGCGCAGGATCCTGGGCCGGATGGGTCCCTTTGGCGCGAGGCACCTGCCCCAGGGCTCTTCCTGGTTTCTGAGGAGTCCTGCATGGAGCCTCCAGGGCCAGAGCCAGTCTACCTTAGAGGGCAAAAGGCGCTCTCCTCCTGCTTGGGGCGCCTGGGGGCCACTGTGGGCGCAGGATCCTGGGCCGGATGGGTCCCTTTGGCGCGAGGCCCCTGCCCCAGGGCTCTTCCTGGTTTCTGAGGAGTCCTGCATGGAGCCTCCAGGGCCAGAGCCAGTCTACCTTAGAGGGCACAAGGCGCTCTCCTCCTGCTTGGGGGCCACTGAGGGCACAGGATCCATAGCTGTCAACCTTCCCTTTTTGGGGGGGAAATTCCCTTATTCCAGCGCTGCTTCCCACTGCGATCCCGGATTGTTCGATCTCCCCTAGACTGTCCCCGGACAGGGGAGGCTGCTGCTCCCTTGACAGCTCTGGCCCTGCCTGACTTGAGCCCTCCCGGCCCCCCTCCCGGCCCCCCTCCCGGCCCCCCGCCTGCCTTTTCCCTGCCCATCCCGGGGGGGGGCAGGGGGCTCCCCTTCTCCTCCTCCGGCCCCCAGGCTCCCCGAAGGAGACCAGCTGGGCGCGCCCGGCGGGCCAAGGGTTAAGAGCAGCTGCGCCGCCCTCCTAGAGAGGACAGGAAGGAGGGAGGGGCGGGTCTTCCGGAGGGCCCCTCTTGTCTCCTCCGGTGAGTCTCCTCTCCCCCCCTGGGGGTCCTATGGGGGGGCTCCTGCAGGGAGGGGCAGGCAGGGCTTTGCCAAGGGGGGGCGAGGGGGTCCCCAGATGGGGCTGGACTACAACTCCCATCATCCCTGAGGCCTGGCCTGGCGAGCTGGGGGTGATGGGAGTTGTAGTCCAGCCCCACCGGGGGCCCCCAGCTGGAGAAAGGCTGGTCCAGATGCTGGACTGATGACCCGGCGGGTCCCCTTCCAGCTCCGCAATGAAACGGAAGAGGAAGCCTTGGGGAGAAGCCCAGAATCTCAGGCTTGGAAGGCACCCAAAGGACATCTAGTCCAGCCCTGCAATGCAGGAATCTCTGCTCAGCTCCCCAGTGCAGGCGGCCCTCCACCTTCTGCTCAGAAACCTCCAAGGAAGGAGAGGCCGCCATCTCTCCTGGGGGTGACAGGGCCCAGCAGCTCTTCAGTTTTTCTCCTTTCTGCAGGAGGCTGGCTCAGGAGGTCTGGCCATCCCAGAGGAGAGGCCATGGTGGGAAGGAGGGGCAGTGTGGTCTAATGGTTAGAGTGCCGGACTGGGACAGGGTTCGATTCGCCACTCAGCCATGAAGCGTCAGTCACCATCTCTTCGCCTGGCCTTCCTCACAGGGCTGTTGTGCGGGTGAAACAGGGAGCAGGAGAATCCCGTATTCCACCTTGAGATCCTGGGACATAAAAGTGGTCCGTACGTGTAATCACGAAATGGCAGGGTGCGGGTGGGGTGAAAGAGGCAGCCCCCTCCAGTGCTGAGAGCAATGGGGAGACCCTCTCTCCCCAGCCCCCTCTGCTCAGGCTGCGGCTCCCCAAGTCCCCTGGCCAGGAGTCCCCCGTTAAGCCACCCTGGGAATTGTGGGAAAGAGCGCTTTCCTGTCCACTCACCGCATCCTGAAGAAACTACGGTTCCCAGGATTCTTGGGAGGAAGCCAGAACTCTGGAAAGGGCTCTGGTCCTGCTTGGCAGACGCACCACGGGGTCCGGGGTCTTCTTATTGGCCTTTATAATAATAATAAGAATAATAATAATTTATTAGTTATACCCACCTGGCCGGGTTTCCCCAGCCACTCTGGGCGGCTTCCAACAAAAGATTAAAAATACTTTAAAACATTAGTGAGTAAAAACTCCCCTAAACGGGGCTGCCTTTAGAAACAAGGATCTTAGGAATAATAGGCCCAAATAAAGAGGCTGCCTTCTTGTTTCATTTGTGCATCACAAAATGGGCAGAGATGTCCGCAGCCCGGGGTCAGGATGCGGGTTCTTGGTTCGTGAATGGATTTAAACCAAACCAGGAAGAAAGGGGAAAGAGGACAGAAGTGAGTGAGAGCCGTCCCTGTGACCCCCAGGCGCCAGGTCAGGAGCGCCTCTGGCTGGGCTGAGATTCAGCCTCCTCGAGAGTCATTTTCCTCCTCTGCCATCTGAAGTCTCTGGGTGGAGGCGGGAGGAGCCGGTGATTGACAGCCGAGCCAGGCCGGAGTGGGGGTGCAGTTCCCCCAAAAGGCCACCAGGGGGCCGGGGCCCCTCTCTCTCTCTCTCTCTCTCTGATTGGCTGCCCAGCCAGCCAGTCAAAGGGGGCGGAGCCAGCACTTTGGGCGGGAAAAGAAAAGGAGCCGTTTCTGAGGGAGTTTTTAGTCAGGGATCATTATGATTATTTTATCATTTATACCCCTCCCGTCCGGCTGGGCTCCCCCAGCCACTCTGGGCAGCTTCCAGCACATATAAAGCCATAGTAAAACGTCGACCCTGAAAAGCGAAGCTTCCCCAAAGAGGGCCTTAAAGTGAGACAGGGCTCCTTTGGAGAGAGAGAGGCAGAAAGAGGGATTTGGACCCAGGCCCAGACTGAGGGAGAAGTGGCTCTGGATGGAGCCTCTCTGAGGAGAATCTGGTCTCTGGCCAGGGGAAGGAGTGCTGCTCCTCCCATCATTTATTCTTTTATTACCTTGTTCGGCATCCGCACTGTTTTCCGTAAATGCCTCCCTCTTTCCTTTCCTGTTGGAATTGTCTGCATTTGGGCCTTCAATATTTCACCTTGAAGAAAGTCCCAACCATCTTGGGACCATCATTCAGTAATTCTGACCCTGGGACCTCGCCCAGTAGCTCCTTAAGCTTTCTGAAATTGGCCTTTTTAAAGTCCAGACTGCGAGTCTGACTGTACTCAGCTTCCCCATGCCTGTGAATCATGAAACCCAGGGGGACATGATGATGATGATGATGATGATAATAACTTATTATTTATACACCGCCCATCTGGCTGGGTTTCCTCTCATGTTTCCCAGTACAGTGGTACCTCGGGTTACATACGCTTCAGGTTACAGACTCTGCTAACCCAGAAATAGTATCTCGGGTTTAGAACTTTGCTTCAGGATGAGAACAGGAATAGTGCTGCGGCAGCGGGAGATCCCATTAGCTAAAGTGGTACCTCAAGTTAAAAACAGTTTCGGGTTAAGAACGGACTTCCAGAACAAATTAAGTTCTTAAGCCAAGGTACCACTGTACTTCCACTGTGTCAATCACTTTGTCCCTGTCTCAGGTCCAAGACAGATGATCCCCTTCTTGTTTCTTCCACCTTCTGGGTCATGAAATTGTCAGTGAGGCAATTCTGCATGGTCGCTTTCCTTAGACCAGGGCTAGACGCTTCCTTCTCTCTCTTCTTCCTTTTTTCCTGTTAATGAAAGTTCAGAGTCGGGGCTGTGGTGCAGTCCAGCCCTGGCTCCTAGCAAGACTCAGCCACGCTTGCTGAGGAAACGTTTCTCTTCTCCTGACCATGTATCAGTCTGATAACAGACCAATATGTTTGCTTTGTAGGCTTTGCTAGCACCTCTAAATCGGACCATCAGAACTTGGCAGAAAACGAAAGGATTCCTTCCGATCTCTTGGAGGCTTCATGAGAGCCCAGATGGATGAGCAAGACTCAGCTGGCCCTGAAGCAGGAGGAGGCCCTGCCCTCCAAACTGGGAGCAGTGGGAGATTATGGGAAAACTCAGAGCAGAAGATCCCAGGTGAGGAGGACACCCTCTGCTCAGAGGTGCAGAGCCAGCAGTTGACGCAGTCCGGCTCTCAGGAGGCCAAAGGACCCCGAGAGGCTTGCGGCCGACTCCACCACCTCAACTGTCAGTGGCTGAAGCCAGAAAGTCATACGAAAGCTCAGATGCTGGACCTGGTGATCTTGGAGCAGTTCCTGGCTGTCCTTCCGCTGGAGATGGAGAGCTGGGTGAGGGAATGTGGAGCAGAGACCAGTTCCCAGGCAGTAGCCCTGGCTGAAGGTTTCCTCCTGAGTCAGGCAGAGGAGAGGAAGCAGGCAGAACAGCAGGTGAGAGAGACTTTCCTCTGGAAACTCCCAAAAGGCTCCCAACATGAGGGAGAGTATCCCCAAATTCTCTACTAATTGCTCATCATTTTTTGGAAAACATTCAGTGAGTTAGATCTGATACCCCCAAAGATTTTGCCTCTGCCATTTCTTTTCCAACGCTTCCCCCCATTCTCTGTTTGAATCCTATTTCAGGCAAAGTATCTGTTTGCAGAAATGGGCCCTGATTCCTGTGAGGCAGAGAAGACTCCATTGGACACTAGAGGGAGGCTGCTGGGTAAGGAGGAAGGAGTTTTTTTTCTCATTCTGTGGATTTTGAAACTAATTTGTGGGTTGTGTTCATCTTTTGAGGGGAGGCTGAAAGCCCCAAGTGGGGGGAGAGTTGTATTTTGACTCTACTAAAATTTGAAATGAGTACAAATGTCTAAATGCACTTTGCAAGAAAGACTTTTTCTAAGGTCCATCTGTAGCCTGAAATGCGCTGCTGAAGCTCTGAAAGACGCAGGAGCTGATGGCTTCCCTTTGACTTTTGTCTCTCGCAGGTGACCGAAGGATGCCCCCCAGACCTCCTCATCCATCTTTTCATGGTAGTGGAGGAGAAGCAGCAACTGTGGAAACAGATCAGGTATTGTGATCAGGAGCTTTGTGGGGAAAGAATCAGGGCGCCTCTGGGCCCATTAAAATGCACAATAAAAGAATTCCATAAAAACATTATAATAAGCATACATAATTAAAATATGTAGGAAAATAATCCCATTGAAACAACACAACAATTAGCACACAAAAAACAACCGAGCAATGTATAGTAGATAATCTTTATGCTGTCTAAGTGGAGGACCTTTTCCTTTTCCTTTTAGGGTCCTCTATGTTTTAAAGATGTCGCTGTGTGTTTCACAGAGGAGGAGTGGGCGTTGCTGGATCCTGACCAGAGAGCTCTGCATAAGGAAGTCATGGAGGAGAATCGTAGGATCGTGGACTTTCTCAGTAAGGCTTCCTGCTGGATCATAGTATCTGTTTTGAAATCCAATACATATCTGTATGTGAGGAATTTTCAATATTTTGATGAAGCACAATAGCACCACCACCAACATCTGGGATTCTAATTCCCTCACAGCTCACCTTGAATGGAGAGCTATCTACCATTTGGTCTGACAATATTCTTCCTCCACATATGGCTTCTTAAACCATGTTCATGCTGTTCTTCACAGTGGTGAGGGAAGTTAAAATAGCTTTTGTCAGGTTTTTTGTCTCTGCTTCTATTGGCTTTTGGTTGACCAAAGTGACAACTGACTTTGCAGATGGCAGAGATTCCATGATTGTGCCAATCATAATCTATCCTGGAAGGTGCTAGGCTCTGGTCCCCATCAGTGTGTATGCTAATGAGCATCAACAAAGGCAGTAAAGCTTGTAGTAAGGGTATTGTTCAATAATTTGGGGCTCCATTTCTTCCTGAGGTTCTAATCCATTTCTCTCTTTGATGCAGGTGGTGATGGATTGGAAATCATGAGCAATGGAGACCATTACAAAATTGACACAGGAGAAACCTCCTATTCCACATCCCATGAAATAAATCCCATTGGGAAGAATCACTATCAGTGCTTGGAATGTAGAAAGACTTTTAGTCGGAAGGATAGTCTCACATCCCATCAAAGAACACACAGTGGGGAAAAACCCCATCAATGCTTGGAATGTGGAAATAGCTTCAGTCAGAGGTGCAATCTGGTGTCGCATCAGAAAATTCATACAAGGGAGAGACCATATCAGTGCTTGGAATGTGGAAAGAGCTTCAGTCACAGCTTCAATCTCACTTCCCATCAAAGAACTCACAGTGGGGAAAAACCATATCAGTGCTTGGAATGTGGGAAGAGATTCCGTTTCAGCGGCTCGCTCACTCTCCATCAAAGAATACATACAGGAGAAAAACCATATCAGTGCATGGAATGTGGAAAGAGCTTCAGGCAAAGTTCTAACCTCATGGCCCATCAAAGAATTCATACAAGGGAGAAACCATATGAGTGCTTGGAATGTGGAGTGAGCTTCTGTCAAAAGGCTAAACTCACATCTCATCAAATAATTCATAAAGGGGAGAAACCATATCAGTGCTTGGAATGTGAAAAGAGCTTCAGTCGGAGGTCCCATCTCACTTCCCATCAGAAAATTCATACAAGTAAGAAACCCTATCAGTGCTTGGAATGTGAAAAGAGCTTCTGTCAAAGGGCTAAGCTCACTTCTCATCAAAGAATTCATACAGGGGAGAAACCATATGAATGCTTGGAATGTGGAAAGAGATTCACCCATAAGGAAAGTCTTGCATCCCATCAAAGAATTCATACAGGAGAGAAACCATATCAGTGCTTGGAATGTGGAAAGAGATTCACCCATAAGGAAAGTCTCACTTCCCATCTAAGAATTCACACAGGGGAGAAACCATATCAGTGCTTGGAATGTGGAAAGAGATTCACCTATAAGAACAGTCTCACTTCCCATCAAAGAATTCATACAGGGGAGAAACCTTATCAGTGCTTTGAATGTGGAAAGAACTTCAGTCAGAAAGCCAAGCTCACAGCTCATCTAAGTGTTCATACAGGAGAGAAACCATATCAGTGCCCCGAATGTGGAAAGGGCTTCAATCGCAGCTCCAATCTCAGTTGCCATCTAAGAACTCACAGCGGGGAGAAACCCCATAAGTGCTTAGAGTGTGGAAAAAGCTTCAGTCACAGCAGCTCTCTCTTTTTCCATCAAAGAATTCATACAGGGGAGAAACCATACCCATGCCTGGAATGTGGAAAGTGCTTCACTAGGAAGGAACGTCTCACTTCCCATCAAATAACTCACAGCGGGGAGAAACCCCATAAATGCCTTGAATGTGGGAAAGGTTTCATTCAGAAGGCTAAGCTCACAGCCCATCAAAGAATTCATACGGGGGAGAAACCTTATGAATGCTTGGAATGTGGAAAGAGCTTTGGTCAGAGGGCTAAGCTCACAGCCCACCAAATAATTCATACGGGGGAGAAACCTTATAACTGCTTGGAATGTGGAAAGAGCTTCAGTCAGAAAGCTAAGCTCATGGCTCATCAAACAATACATACAGGAGAGAAACCATATCAGTGCTTAGAATGTAGGAAGAGCTTCAGTCAGAAATCTAAGCTCACAACCCATCAAAGGATTCATACAGGAGAGAAACCACATCAGTGCTTAGAATGTGGGAAGAGCTTCATTTGGAGGGCCACACTCACTTCCCATCAAAGAATTCATACAGGGGAGAAACCGTATAAGTGCTTGGAATGTGGAAATTGCTTCAGTAGGAAGGAACATCTTATTTCCCATCAAAGAATTCACAGTGAGGAAAGACCATATCAGTGCTTGGAATGTGGAAAGAGCTTCAAATGGAAAAAAAGTCTGAGTTTCCATCAAGGAACTCACAGCAGGGAGAATCATAATATTTGAACATGACTATCACATGTTCACACATGGCTATCACACTTTGAATTTCCAGGCTAAACATATGCAAATCCCTCAAACGTTCCTCATAAGGAACCTCTGGGATTAAAAATAATATTTATACCCCACCCATCTGACTGGGTTTCCCCAACTACTCTTGGTAGCTTACAGCATATATAAATCATAGTAAAATATCAAACATTAAAGACTTCCCAATGTCTTCTAAAAGTTATGTAGTTCTTTATCTCCTTGAGATCTGAAGGCAGGGCGTTACACAGGGTGGGCACCACTACCAAGAAAGCGTTCTGCCAGGTTCCCTGTAATTTCCCTCTTGCTGTGAGCGAACCAGCAGAAGACCCTCAGAGGAGGACCTCAGTCAACATGCTCTATGTGCTTGATATCTGGTTGGAGAATTCAGGATTGGCTCCTTCAGGAACAGCCAACAGTTTATTCCATTCTCCACCAGTGTAGTCCGGAATGTTGTCTTCTCTACCAGTAGCATGACACCAGAAGTCGTTGTGCTGTTGAACGATCTGTCTTGGATGTGGGAGCCCAGGGTGATGTTGAGTAAGAGCCTTGGATCCCTGTTGAATGTAAGACAGCTTGCCAGTACGCCAGCGGCCTCAGGTGATCTTGCACCCAAAGGTGGGAGCTGAGGAGATCATCTTCATTGGATCATAGAACAGTAGAATTGTAAGGGACCCCAAGGAGCATCCAGTCCAATCCCTTGAAATGCAGGAATAGACAATAGACTCAGCAGGCAGGAGGGTGTTTTAAAGAAGGTACCAGTGCAGAGGAGCCTGAGAACATCAGAAGGGCCCCTGCTGTTTCCACATTGGCCAACCAGGTGTCCACCATGGTTTATGAGAGAGGCTGGATCAATGGCAATACTTGCAGCTGCAACATGTTTTAACATCTTTATTTGGACCAGCAGCTTTTACAGAATCTAAGACACCTGAGATATTAGAACAATTGGCTAAATCCTTTGAGACTAAAAAGCAAGGGATTGTTTTCTATAGATACCTGGTTTCAGTCATTCAATTTGACATACAAAACCTGAGAAACGAACAGAATAAAGAACTGGAGGTTCCTGTCTCACCCCGTCAGTGGGACAAAGTTTTAACTTCGGTAGCTCATATTTCATTAGATTATGAATCATGTCTTATACAACAAAAAATAATGTTTATAATTTATTGGATGCAATGTATGACACTTGCACATTTTGGGAGGAAAGTATTATGATGTATAAATACTACTTTGGGGGCAGGGAATTGAAATTGTCGGGATAATATTACCCTGGGACACGGGTGGCGCTGTGGGTTAAACCACAGAGCCTAGGACTTGCCAATCAGAAGGTCAGCGGTTCGAATCCCCGAGACGGGGTGAGCTCCCGTTGCTCAGTCCCTGCTCCTGCCAACCTAGTAGTTCAAAAGCACGTCAAAGTGCAAGTAGATAAATAGGTACCACTCCGGCGGAAAGGTAAACGGCGTTTCCGTGTGCTGCTCTGGTTCGCCAGAAACGGCTTAGTCCTGCTGGCCACATGACCCGGAAGCTGTACGCCGGCACCCTCGGCCAATAAAGCGAGATGAGCGCTGCAACCCCAGAGTCGGCCACGACTGGACCCAACAGTCAGGGGTCCCTTCACCTTTACTAATATTACCCTAAACCACATACCAACAACTATATGTGGACAACTCATGCCCTTCCTTCTGCTGAAAGACTGAAATTGTTTCTAATGTAAAATGTGGATATTTAATTAGACATTAGATATAACTTTTGACTTTGTTCTAACTGTTCCAGTAGTAATTGCATTTAACCTTCCGATAGAATGCATCAGTGAATGATTCCTCTGTGTCTGCATTTTGTAACCCTTGTGCTTTCTTCCTATGCTGTGTGAACATTGCATGGGCTTCTAGGAGGGAAATGGATGTTTTGCCAAAGAGTTATGTGTGGAGTTAGCATCTGGGGAAGAACTATTATTTCTCCTGGAATCTGTGTGAGGCCCAGAGAGAGGAGAGAAAATTCTGGTCCTCGTCCCTTCTCACTGATGGCCTGGTTGCTAAGAAATCTGTCCGATGAGTTGTAAGTTAAGACCTAACAGACCGGGAGTATGCTAGATAAATAAGGGAATTATATCAGTATAGAGTCAAGCGTGTTTACATCCCATGACCTGCAATCTTTCCAATGTGTGTAGTAGGATGTTTTGATGTTTATGGTCCTGTATTTTATGACTCTCTGTGTGCTGTGTTTGAAACTCTTGCCTGAGCTTTGTTCTGATGTGCCTCATGGCAGTCCTCTTCTTCACTGGCAGTACGACTAAAACAGAAGAAGAAGAAGAGTTTGGATTTGATATGCCGCCTTTCACTCCCTTTAAGGAGTCTCAAAGCGGCTAACATTCTCCTTTCCCTTCCTCCCCCACTACAAACACTCTGTGAGGTGAGTGGGGCTGAGAGACTTCAAAGAAGTCTGACTAGCCCAAGGTCACCCAGCAGCTGCATGTGGAGGAGCGGAGATGCGAAGCCGGTTCCCCAGATTACGAGACTACCGCTCTTAACCACTACACCACACTGGCTCTAAAACAACCATGTTCTAGTCTATATTTCCCTGTGGCAAATATAATATCTTGAATGCATTTATAAAAATAACCGGTCTACTTATTTACCCCTTTATTGTATTGTATCGTGTTTTCAAGCAGTTCATTTTGCTTTGTTTAGACCTTTCTCCACCTTTTTAACTTCATTTCTCTACCGAAACCTTCAATAAAGTATCAGTATTAAAGGGGGGGATTCATAAAAGAAAAAGTGGCACCCAAAGGTACATCTAAGGAAACCGTTGTGGCTGCATAAGGAGCTTACAGATGAGCTGAGAGTTAAGAAGGGCATGTATAAGAAATGGAAGAACGGTGGGCAAAAAAGTGGGACCCCTGGCCCCCCCTCCCTCAGCAGACCCAAGACTAGTTCTTCTCCCTCCAAGAGAATAAACATAAACCAGGCAGCCACTACATGGGCAAAACTTGTCCCTTTGCCTGGGCACCTGGCTCCTGCAGCCCCAGAGAACAGCATGTACCCAGCCCCCTTCCCTACCTCCTTGGGGGGCTCCCTGAAAGCGCCCCCCCATTGCTCAGAATAGTTGGGAAACCCTCTTCCACCAGCCCGCTCCACCCATGCTACAATTCACGTACCCAGCAATGCTTTCCCCAGGTGTTAAATCACTGGCATCCTGGCCCCAGAGTGCCGGGCAAGAGGCCACCTCAAAGATATAAGTTATGTCACAACCTGGGAGGGTTTTCCAGCAGTTTGCCCCTATCCCTCCTCTGACCTCCACCTCACACCCCTTAAGTAAAAACAAAAGGAAATATATACATGATCCTGTCTCTCAGCCAAGTTGAGCACAGTGGTACCTTGGTTTAAGAACAGTTAATTTGTGAACAACTTGAATTAAGAACACTGCAAACCTGGAAGTAGGTTTTGATTTGTGAATCAAAGGTACCACTGTACACTCTCTTGATTTTGAGTACACGATTGGTTTTATATGACTGTCTAAAGTTTTCCCATTGAGCCAGCACATAGATACATTTATCAGTGAATTGTTACATTTGGGAATGTGCAGCGGAGGCCCTTTTGAATAGCGATAGGAAAAAACTGTGTGATGAAGTGTTTTGTGGGGACATTTGCAGGAGTGATTGTGTTGAGTTTGGTAGGGGGGTGTATGATGTCCGTTGGAGGGGCAACACCCCCCACCTTTCTATAAATTCTGGTAACACTACCGATTAAACAACATGAAGTGTTGGTCTATGGATGAACGTGGGGTGGGGGGCGTTTTTCCAAAATGAAGATACTGTCATTAAATTTAAACTTGGATCAACCCAACTGAGCCATATGCTGATGGGGCTTAGCATGTTTTCTGGAGGCTTTGCTTTTTCCTCCACATGATGCTCTAGTGTGGGTGCACTTAGTTATGCCAAAATCTCGGGGGAGAAAGCCTCTGCAAATTCCAACAGGCTCCATGTGTATCCCGAGGCTTAATTCCACCCCCACCCCCAAGTTTGACACTTTATGTGACTGTTGTTCCGATTGTTAAGCCTTTTTACTATGATTACTACAACATTTGTTTCATTATTTCAGATGTCACAGGAAGGGGGTGGTGGCGCAAAACACAAGTCTCTTGATGGCTGAAGTATGGACAAGAAGCCCAGGTATGCTTCTGTGGGGAGGGCATTCCCCCAGTTGAGGAACTGCCCCCAGGATTGCCTCCACCCAAAACTCTGAGGGTGGGGAAACTACTAAGAGGCCCTGTTGCCAACCTGCTTGTTCCTGCCTAGGTGCACAGCCTTACATTTGTCCCTACTGCAATTCATTTTGTTGGCTTGCACCCAGTTGTCCAATCTGTTAAGGTCATTTTGAATCCTGATTCTGTCTTCTTCGGCATCAACTATCCCTCCCAGATTGGTACCGTCTGCATATTGGATGAGCATCCTCTCCAATTCCTTTCTCCAAAAAATCCCATTAAAACAACACAACAAACGATCCACATCCTCTACGCCTAGTGGGGGTTTTTAATGCGGACGCCCACAAGGATCCTGAGCAGTTTGCAAAATGACAGAAGGAGCTCTGCTTGGCTTTGGGGCGCCGGAAAGAGAGCTGAACTTGGGGCTCCCTCCCTCCATCTCCTCACTGCAGATGGGGACAGCAGTCACAAAAGTAAAAAACGCTTTTCTCTTGGGAGAAAAGTGACGACAAACCTCGACAGCATCTTAAAAAGCAGAGACATCACCTTGCCAACAATGGACTGTATAGTTCAAGCTCTGGTTTTCCCAGTAGTGATGTATGGAAGTGAGAGCTGGACCATCAAGAAGGCTGATCGCTGAAGAATTGATGCTTTTGAATTCTGGTGCTGGAGGAGACTCTTGAGAGTCCCATGGACTGCAAGAAGATCAAACCTCTCCATTCTGAAGGAAATCAGCCCTGAGTGCTCACTGGAAGGACAGGTCGGGAAGCTGAGGCTCCAGTACTTTGGCCACCTCATGAGAAGAGAAGACTCCCTGGAAAAGACCCTGATGTTGGGAAAGATGGAGGGCACAAAGAGAAGGGGATGACAGAGGACGAGATGGTTGGACAGTGTTCTCGAAGCTACCAGCATGAGGAGGCAGTGGAAGACAGGAGGGCCTGGCGTGCTCTGGTCCAGGGGGTCACGAAGAGGCGGACACGACTAAACACCCCCCACCCTCCATCTGCAGGCGGAGCTCCGGACCCCGCCATGGTCTCTTCTTTTACCAAAGCGCAACAGGTTCTCCTCCGCCCGTCATCTCTCGCCCGCGCGCCTCCCTCCCGTAATCCTTGGGCGCCTCCCTCCCTGCCAATAGGCGTGCGCGGCTTTGGAGGCGCCTGCCGCGTCATCTCCGGGCGCCGGAAGTCCCCTTGGCGGAGGCGGCATGGCGGCCCTGTGGAGAGGCTACCAGAGACTGATGGCCCGGCACCCCTGGAAGGTGCAGATCGGCACCGCCGGTAAGAGGGAGGCCGCGCCCGCCTGGCTCCCCTCGCCTGCTCCGGATTCATCCCGGGGGCTGCGCCGGCGCCCCTGGGCTCTCCCGTTGCCGCCGGGGCTGGGAGGGCTCCGGGGCTTGGAGAGGGAGGGCTCCGGGGCGGCCTCCTCCAGGGCAGGAATCTCATTTCCAGGAAAGGGGAAGCAGGTGCCTTGGGATGTCGAACGGCCGCTCCTCGTTGCATTTGTTCCCGCCTCAAAGAAGCCTGTGTAGGCGGCGTTGTTGTTTATCATGTCCGCCTCTTCGCGACCCCCTGGACCAGAGCACGCCAGGCACTCCTGTCTTCCACTGCCTCCCGCAGTCTGGTCAGACTCATGCTGGTAGCTTCGAGAATATTGTCCCACCATCTGGTCCTCTGTCGCCCCCTTCTCCTTGTGCCCTCCATCTTTCCCACCATCAGGGTCTTTTCCAGGGAGTCTTCTCTTCTCCTGAGGTGGCCAAAGTCTTGGAGCCTCAGCTTCAGGATCTGTCCTTCCAGTGAGCACTCAGGGCTGATTTCCTTCAGAATGGAGAGGTTTGATCTTCTTGCAGTCCATGGGACTCTCCAGAGTCTCCTCCAGCACCAGAATTCAAAAGCATCCATTCTTCAGCGATCAGCCTTCTTGATGGTCCAGCTCTCACTTCCATACATCACTACTGGGAAAACCAGAGCTTTATGTATACGGATCTTTGTTGGCAAGGTGATGTCTCTGCTTTTTAAGATGCTGTCTAGGTTTGCCATTGCCTTTCTCCCAAGGAGCAGGCGTCTTTTAATTTCGTGACTGCTGTCACCATCTGCAGTGATCATGGAGCCCAAGAAAGTAAAATCTCTCACTGCCTCCATTTCTTCCCCTTCTATTCGACAGGAGGTGATGGGCCCAGTGGCCATGATCTTCGTTTTTTTGATGTTGAGCTTCAGACCATATTTTGCGCTCTCATCTTTCACCCTCATTAAAAGGTTCTTTAATTTTTCCTCACTTTTTACCATCAAGGTTGTGCCATCTGCATATCTGAGGTTGTTGATATTTCTTCTGGCAATCTTAATTCCGGCTAGGGATTCATCCAGCCCAGTCTCCATCTTCACCACAACCCTGTGAGGTAGGCTAGTCCCCCAGTGGCTGAGTGGGGGTCACAAGGCCACTGTTCGACCCCCAGCTGGGCTGCCTCCTGGAGAGTGGGTGGTGCAGGGAGCTCTGCTGAATTGTTGGGGGGCCGCAGGTGGCTCTGACTATCCGCCCCCCTGCCTGTAGGACGTTGGGCTGCCCAGCTCTTCCCAGGCGGGAGGAGCCCCCCCACTCAGGAGCTAGGGAAGTGGGCTCCTTCAGTCCCCCATCACAGGGGGCAGCCAGAGACCAAGCCCAGATGGGAGCATCCTTAGGTCTTGCCCTGAGGTGCCTCACGGTCATCTTGTATCCTTCAAGTTCATCAACAAGCAAATCCCTTTTGCACGCAGGCTCCAGGAAATAGGAATTCTGTTTCTCTTGAAATCAAACGGTGCCGACATTTGGCCGCCTGATGAAAATGTTTTTGCTTTGCCAAGTGCTCTTCGATAATTCATTTGATTCCCTCTTGGTCATTGTTCTGCATTTTTATAGTTTTCAAAAATGATTTTAGTGTAGACTGCCATATTTTACGAGTTCATGGCTTATAAGTGCCCTTAAAAACAAAAAAGCGCTGTCCAAAAGCCCTCCCTTGCCGCAATGCAACCTGCAGGTCTTCATGCCTGCCCCACAGCAAAGGGGGTGGAATGTTGTATGTGACTGTAAGTGTGACAAGCCTGTCTAGCTGTAGCTGACACCATGCACAGCCCTTTACCTGAGCTGTGAGTGGTGAAGGCCTCACCTGCAAACCAGGGAAGACCCGCCTGGCACCTTAGCAGGGCTGAGTCCCCTTGGGCAGCCAGGATAGCACCCTCTGCCTGGGCTGGGGCCAGACCCTCCCTGCAGCAACTGCCGCTCTGGATTCTGTGCCCCAAACAAGTTCTGAAGCAGCAGTCCTCCCCACCCCGGACTCCCCAGCTCCTGGCCACCAGCCTGGATGGCTTAAAAAGAGGATGAGACACATTCATGGGGAGTGGGTCTATGGAAGACAACAACAACAATAATAATAATAAATTTTATTTATTCTCCGGCCAGAGCCAGGCTCAGGGCGGCTAACACCAATAAAAACGCAGTAAAAACATAATAGGGAGGAAAGGGGGGCATTTAAAATACAGGTTAAAATGCAATTTAAAATGCAGCCTCATTTTAAAAGTAGCCCATAGATCAAAACCGTAAGGGGAGGGAAACATAAGGGACAGACCGAGTCCAAACCAAAGGCCAGGCGGAACAGCTCTGTCTTGCAGGCCCTGCGGAAAGATGTCAAGTCCCGCAGGGCCCTGGTCTCTTGTGACAGAGCGTCCCACCACGTCGGGGCCAGTGCTGAAAAGGCCCTGGCCCTAGTTGAAACCAGTCTAACCTCCTTGAGGCTCGGGACCTCAAAGTGTTGTTATTTGTGGACCTTGAGGTCCTCCGCGGGGGGATGATGGCTCTCCTCCGCCTCCGCAGTTGGAGCCAGCAATGCTTCTGAGTATCAGTATTCTGAATATCTGACTATTGCTGGGAACCGCAAGAAGGGAGAGTTGCTCTGGTGCTCAGATCCTGCTTGCAGGGTTCCCACAGGCCTCTGACTGAGCTCTGTGAGAACAGGATGCTGGGCTAGAGGGACCATCGGCCTCATCCAGTTGCTTCTTATTGGGTTCTTAAGTTCTAACATTTCTGATACGGGTTGCCAGGCATTGCAAGTGGGGAGAGTTGCTGCTCTCTTGCTTCTGCCCTGTTTGGGGGCTTCCCAGAGAGGCATCTGGCTGGCAGCTGGGGGGGGGGTCAGGATGCTGGACAAGGTCCCAGCAAAAGAAGAATGGATACGAAAACTTATGGAATATGCAGAAATGGCGAAACTTACTTGAAAAATAAGAAATCAAGATAGCAAACTTTTTATAAAAGAATGGAACTGGTTTAGGGCATATTTACAAACAAGCTGTAAACAGATAAGAACATTGACAGGATTATTGTAATAACCTGCAGTTTTATAAGAGTATATATTTAAAGTAGATGAATAAATGAGCAAATTAAGTTAATTTGGATATGCAAAAAATGTTAAAAATAAATTTAAGGAGCCACAGAAAGAGGGGGAAGGAAGTCAAGTTTTGAAATGTTAAAATGATTGTAAAATTATTGAAATGTATAAAAATGAAAGTCCGAAATATAAAATTAAAGGGTGGACCTTGGCCTAGATCCAGCAGGGCTTCTCTTAGCTCCTTCCTCCTCCCCCAGCTTCACTTCTCCTGGGGGGGGGGGCGTCCATCCTTCCACCAGGTCCCATGGAACTGCCCGCCTACTGTGTGTTGGGGGGGAGTGGCCATTGAGTGGCGCTGGCAGCCTCCCAAGGCTCCTTGCGGGTGAGGTCATCGCCCAGGGAGTCGTCAATCTCTGTGGTGCGGCTGGCACAGAGCGACTCTCATCCCATTACACTTGGCCCGGCTGCCAGCTGCGTCATACAGGTGCCACCTCTCCCCTTCCCGCCAATCTGGGTGAGTGAATGAATGAATGAATGAATGGAGCTGGGAGGGAGCCTTTGGCGACAGAAGCTGTGAGTTTGTCAATGAGCAAGTGGAGAAGCTGAGCCAACACCACGGTGCTTCTGACACGGCATCCAAAGCAAGGGGGGGGGGTTCCCTGTCTCTCGGAGGCTGAATATCCCACCCAAGGAAAGTCTGCACAGGCAAGGGGTGGGAGGGAGGAGGCATTAGATAGCATAGCCCAACTCAGTTCTGTGTGCCTCTTCCTTTCAAACCTCCAGATTCACAGCGACTCTTCTCTTCTTCTTCTTCTTCCTCCTATTCCTCTGCTGCAGATCTGGAACTCCCCCCGTTTCCTGGTGTTCTTCAGGAAGGGGGCGTTCTGTGACCCTCTGTGGGGGCGTCTTCCAGTCATGGGGCTGGCGCATACTTTTGCAGGGCCCCAATTTCATTCTCAAGGCCGGAGTGAAATCGTGAGGTTCGTTCCGCTTTGCCATCTTGTTGGAGTTCCCTTTCCCAATTCCTTTTCTTTTGCCTTCCTGCCAGGGGCTGTTAAATAGCTGGTGGGCAGAGCAGTCACTGAGAGAGGGGGCACATTTGGCATTTCTGGCAGATTCTTAGAATAGTAGAATTGGAAGGGATCTCCAAAGCCCATCCAGTCTAACCCTCTTCAGTGCAGGAATCACAGAGTCTGCGTAAAAACCTCCCAGGAAGGGGAGCCCCACCCTCCTTGGGACCTGGAGGTCAGAGCATGCAGAGGAAACGGAGGCAGCTGTGCCGCTCTGGAGACCCTGGCTTGCAGGCTGTGGCTGATCCCCCTCCTCACTCAGCCATGGCCCCCTCCATCTCCCCTCTCTGGGGGAAGAGAGGCGGCTTCTCTTCTTCTGGGCACAGGGCTGTGTCTTCTCCCTTTGCCAGCTCCCTAGATCCGCTCCAAGGAGGGAGGCTTGACGTCAACAGATAGCTGGCAGGGACTTTTGGGGAGGCAGTAGCTCAGAGGCTCTGCCCCCTTGGCCAGAGACCAGAAAAAGCCAGGCCTGGGCTGGGGAAGATGTGGCTTGGCAGAAATGGAGGCAGCCCTGCCCCCTTTCCTCCTCCTTCCAACCCAGCAGTCTATAGTTTGCTTCTATTTTTGTTGTTGTTTAGTCATTTAGTCGTGTCCGCCTCTTCGTGACCCCCTGGACCAGAGCACGCCAGGCCCTCTGTCTTCCACTGCCTCCCTCATGCTGGTACCTTCGAGAACACTGTCCCACCATCTCGTCCTCTGTCGTCCCCTTCTCCTTGTGCCCTCCATCTTTCCCAACATCAGGGTCTTTTCCAGAGAGTCTTCTCTTCTCATGAGGTGGCCAAAGTCTTGGAGCCTCAGCTTCAGGATCTGTCCTTCCAGTGAGCACTCAGGGCTGATTTCCTTCAGAATGGAGAGGTTGGATCTTCTTGCAGTCCATGGGACTCTCAAGAGTCTCCTCCAGCACCAGAATTCAAGAGCATCAATTCTTCGGCGATCAGCCTTCTTGATGGTCCAGCTCTCACTTCCATACATCACTACTGGTTGCTTCTATAGGGAGCATCATAAATTGTGGAGTTGGAAGGGACCCTGAGAGTTATCTAGTTCAACCCTCTGCAACACAGGGATCACAACTAAAACATCCCTGACTGATGGCCACCCAAACTTTTATCTTTTTGTAAACCACTTTGAGGGATTCACCCCTCCGCCCAATCAAGCGGTGTATGAAATTTAGGAAAGAAATACATTGTTTTGTGTGTACATGAGGTTTTCCACCTGAGGACCGTCTGCACAGCTAAGCCTGAAGAGTTTCTGTCTGGCAAGAACTGCAGCCCCTGAGCCTCAGGATCCCGTGCTGCTGGCTCAGCCGTAACACCAAACATGCTTTGGCTCTGGGGGGTCGTGCACGGCCCCCCCTCCTTTTCTGCCTGGAGCAAACGAGCTCACAGCCGCCTTCAGGCTGGCAAACTGGGGGCTGAGCTGGCCTTGCCAACCAGGATCAAAACACTCAGGTTTAATTCTAGTTTTCAGTCTGGATCTTCAAGGCAACAAGGAGCCAACTGTGCTTTGGCTCAAGCCAGGAGGTGAGTCATTTGACTTGTCCTCTGGGTCTGGGCAGACAGTGCATCCCACCCATGAGATGATGTTGCTTTTGCACAGGGACCCTGGTGGGCGTGGGAGATGTGATTTCCCAGCAGGCGGTGGAGAGGAGGGGGCTGGCTGGGCACAGCAGCCAGCGGACCCTGAAGATGATGGCCATCGGTTTCTGCTTTGTGGTGAGCCAGGGCAAATTGGGTGGCACAGGAGCACCAAGCCAGAAGGGCCTCTGGGCTGGGAGACGTTCCTCTTGGCTCCTGGGGAGACTGCTTCACCAAGGGGGCTGGGCCAGGGGGAGTGCCTTGACCTGGCAGGCCTGGGTCTCCCCGGTCCTCTGTGGCTGTAGGGGAAGGCTCTGCCTCAGTTGCTGTGCTGTGACCCTGGACTGCCCCTCTCCCCTGCAGGGCCCGGTCATTGGAGGCTGGTACCACGTCCTTGACCGTCTGGTGCCCGGCACCACCAGGGTGGCTGCGTTCCAGAAGATGCTGTTGGATCAGGTCAGGGGGCTCTCTCCGTGGGATCCCCAAGCCAACCGGCCGGTCAGGGCTTTGCGGGCTCCTCTTCCACAGCTAAGGAATCCCTGGCAGGCGGGCATCCGACCTGGACTCAAAAACCTCCCAGGAAGGAGAGTCCACCGCCTCACAGGGGTCTCTGTTCTGCCATCAAACAGCAAAGCTTTTCCTAGTGGTTAATCTCCTTTCTTGCTTCTAAATCCGTTGGTTTGGGTCCTCCCCTCTGGAGGAGCAGCAGAAAACAAGCTGGCTCTTCCTTTGGGCATTTGAAGATGGCTTCCATATCACCTGTCCCTGCTCCAGCCCCCAGGATGACTTGTTCTGATGCTTGGTTTGGCCCCTCTCTTTGTCAGCTGCACGGGGCGGGTGGGGAGGGGGCTTCCTGGGGGGCCAGGGAGCTCTTCTTCCTTCCCAGCTCCTTGCTTGAGGTCTCCACCTTCTCCCCATGGATCCCCTCTCCTTCCTCCCACAGGCCGGGTTTGCCCCCTGCTTCCTGGGCTCTTTCCTGGCTGTGGCAGGAGCGCTCAACGGCCTGTCCCTGGAGAAGAACTGGGACAAGATCAAGCGGGTGAGTTGGCCACAGGGCAGCTGGCAGGGAAGGGGTGTAGCCATCTCTGGAGCGGCAGAGTTGCAAGGGACCCCACCCTCCTCCCCCCGCAAGGAAGAATCCCTGATTTCCTCCCTTGATGCTGGTAGGATTGGAGGGTCCCTCTGCCTCTGTGCTTGTAGGCGATTGCTCTGCCAGAGAGTTATTCCTCGGAGGTTTCCATTCCGCCTTTGGAGAGGTGTTTGGGGACGTCTTCCATGGCCGGATCCAGGTCTGACAAAAGGAAGGACTTCTTGGCCCAAGAACACTTAGCTAAGCAGCAGAACTCCCTTCCACAAGTAGCAGCGATGGCCACCCATTTGGATGGCTCTTAGATAAGGGAAGGGACACGGGTGGCACTGTGGGTTAAACCACAGAGGCTAGGGCTTGCTGATCAGAAGGTCGGTGGTTCGAATCCCCGCGATGAGGTGAGCTCCCGTTGCTCGGTCCCTGCTCCTGCCCACCTAGCAGTTCGAAAGCACGTTAAAGTGCAAGTAGATAACTAGGTACCACTCCGGCGGGAAGGTAAACGGCGTTTCCGTGCGCTGCTCTGGTTCGCCACATGCTGGCCACATGACCCGGAAGCTGTACGCCGGCTCCCTCGGCCAGTAAAGCGAGATGAGCGCCACAACCCCAGAGTAGGCCACGACTGGACCTAATGGTCAGGGGTCTCTTTACCCCTTTTACCCTTTTAGATAAGGGAAATTCCTCCAGGATAAAGTTGCTAGTCCTCATGGCCAAAGGAGAGGGGAGCTAGGCCCTGCTGTGCCCTTCGCCTGCTGGATGAGGCCAGTGGCCCTTCTGGGGCAGCCTCCTTTTCTCACAGTGGCCGGCCAGGTGCCCCCAAGGGAAGCCGCCAAGCAGGATCTGAGCGTGAGAGCCGTCTCATGGTGGGGGGAGGAGTGACATCTCCCCCTCCGATGTCCTGGCCTGCCACAGAGGCCCCCTGCCCATCCCTCCAGCCCCTCTGCCCTTTGAGCTGCAGCATCTGCCCCCCCCCCCCGGCTGCCGTTCTGCCACCTCCCGTCCTGCGAGGGCCCTGCGTGACCCCTGCCAATGTCTCTCGCGTCACCTGGACAGCCTGGTGCAGGGAGCCAGCCCGCCTGACACACGCACAGCCCCCTCCCCATCTCTTTCAAGAGCCTTTTCTTCCCATCTCATCTCGGTGTGGACTGAAAGACTCGGCTGCTTTACTCACCAGAGATGAGTCACAGGAGGATAAATGTCACAGTGACCCCCCCCCCCCCTGAGGAGCTGGATGTGCCACCAAGAGGGAGAGGGAGGGGGGTGGAGAGAGCCAAGCAGGATCCTTGGGGGAGGGGGGTTAACACACCAGCACCCCTCTGCCTTTGCCTGACCCCCACGTAGGAGTAGAGAATTGGGGGTCCCATGGGCCAGAAGTATAGAGGGGGGTCGCTGGACCAGAAGGGTTTCTGCTCCCCCAACCCCACCAGCACTCTTCCAGGACCGAGCCCCAGCTGGCTTCAGGTGCCCCAAGGGCAGGTCTGTACAGTGGGGTGGGAGTGGCTGAGCATTTGCGAAGAGGGACCCCCCAACCGTGTCCCTCAGGGAGGTGGGACCTCCGAGTATAGGGTGGTTTAATAATAATAATAATAATAATAATAAATTAATAATAAATAACCCCTCCAAGGAGTGCTGTGAAGGTGACCTGGGAGGGGGAAGTCTTGGAAGGAATGGGGGTTTTCTAAGAGGAGGGGGTGAGGCGAAGTCTATGAAAGGAAGACCAACAACATTGTTACTGTTCTTCTTTGTTAGATTTATATGCCGCCCTTGATCACAAGACCTCAGGGCAGTTCACATGATCAAACTGCAAGGCGCAAGGACTGCAGCCTGTTTCTGTCTGAGAGAGAGGAGTCTGGGATAAACTTCTGGAGACGCTCCCTGGCTCTGGGCCTCCCCAGAAGTCTCCCAGAGGTGCCTGGCATGGAGAAGTCCCTCTCAGCAGGGGTGGGGCTGACTGAGCCATGGGGGGGGCCTGCCAGCCAGCCCTCACCCCCCCTGTGTTGCTCTCTTGCAGGACTACACGGATGCCCTGATCACCAACTATTACGTGAGTCCTCCGGCTGCCCCCTGGCAGGACCTGCCTGCCTCTGCCGCCTGCCATCCGCCTGCCGCCCCCCAGCCCTGCCTGGCAAAGGGGGCTCCTTGGCTGCCCTTCCAGAGGCCCTACAGGATCGCCTGGTCAGTCGGTCGGCAGCATCTCCCTGGCAGCCTTCAAGCTCAGCGCATCACAGAATTGTGGAGTTGGATGGGGCCCCCAATTGTCACACAGGAATCACAGCTCCCCTTCCCCTGGTGGCAATGAGAGGTTTGGGCCTGGGGGTTTGGGGAGGGGTCTTCCTGGGGCCCTGCTCTTGGCGGCCATGCTGCCTCCCCAGTGGTGCATCTCTCGCCCCCTCTCCCTTTCAGATCTGGCCGGCTGTGCAAGTGGCCAACTTCTACTTCGTCCCCCTGAACTACAGGTAAGACCTGCCTTTCCTTCCTGCAGGATCCGCCCCCCCGGCCCCCCTTGGCAGAGTCGCTGCCCCTCAGCTCTTTCTCTGCCCCCCCAGGCTGGCCGTGGTCCAGTGTGTTGCCATTGTCTGGAACGCCTATCTCTCCTGGAAGGCCAACCAGCTGTGACCGGTGGAGGAGACTCATCCTGACTCCAGCCCCTCTGCACCCGACTCTTGTCATCCACTATGGCCTGTCTGGCAATCTGGGCCCTGTGCACCCACCAGCCCCACAACCAAGGGGCCAGGCTGCTCCATGCACCTCCTCCCCAATACTGCCCCCCTAGTGGCAGAGAGAAGCCCGGAAGCCCTGAGATATGGTTGGGCTGCAGGCCCCAGTTGCTCCCAGCAGCTGCCTGGCCCAGTTGTCAGGGATGGTGGGAGCTGGAGTCCAGCCACAGGTTCGCCCCCGATGGGCCGTATCGCCTGGAGCTCCTTGCTGTGTCTGTTTTGGATGGTCTCTGGCAAGGGAAGCCCCCTCTGTCGAGGGCGTCATTCTGTGTCATTGGGAGGCCCCAGGGGTGCTGTGACCCCTGCGCCCCACTGGAAGCGCCCCACTGGAAACTTGCCTCCTTTGTTAGAGCACAGTGGGGAGAAACCGGCAGACTCTAGCCCAGGGGTCAGCAAACTTTTTCAGCAGGGGGCCAGTCCACTGTCCCTCAGACCTTGTGGGGGGCTGGACTGTATTTTGAAAAGAAAAGAAAAAGAATTCCTATGGCCCACAAATAACCCAGAGATGCATTTTAAATAAAAGGACACATTCTACTCATGTAAAAACACACTGATTCCCGGACCGTCCGTGGGCCAGATTGAGAAGGCGGTTGGGCTGGATCCGGCCCCCGGGCCTTAGTTTGCCTACCCATGGCCTAGCCCATCTCTTGGCTCTTTCCCCTGGCAGAATGCATGGCAGTGAGGCGGCAGCCCGTGAGAGACCAGGCTTTTATCAACTGGGCACAACGCTCAATGCACTCATCACTTTACTTTCCAAAAAGTATTCAGCAACTGTATGAAGGAGAAAGTTCTATTGGGGGCCATTTTGGGGTGGCTGCATGGAGCTTCCATGTGCAGCGACAGTCTACCTCAATCCTAATTGCTAGGGAAGGGAAGCAAGGGAGGGCATCTGGCTGACCACTGTGACAGACTGCAAGGGCCTCCTTTGTGGCTTTCTCTGACCTTCCTGTGAAGGAGGCGATTGAGCCAAATAAATCCATTGTGAAAAACAGTGTCTTCTGTCTTTGATGCCGGCACACAGACTCAACGTGAGTCTCCGGATGAAGGTCTCTCAGGCCCAGGAGGTGCCGCTCAGCCTCTGGATGAAAAGGTGGACAACGTGTGGGGCAGGATCTACTGGGAGGGTGTTTGTGTGGCCCCCAGAGGAAGAGAGGAACAGGCAAAGGTGAAAGCTGCAAAGGTGGCTTTGAATGGGGAATAGGCAAAGGGGCGGAAATGTCTATCCGTGGCTAAATGGAGCCTCCGTGGGCAGGAGGGGTCTACCTTCAGGTGGGGGGGAGGTCACTCGAGCGGCGGGTGGTGGACATGCTGGGTGCACCTGAGCTGGTGCGCTTTGTTTTTCTTTAATCGCTTAGTTGTGTCCGCCTCTTCGTGACCCCCTGGACCAGAGCACGCCAGGCCCTCCTGTCTTCCACTGCCTCCCGCAGTTTGGTCAAACTCATGCTGGTAGCTTTGAGAACACTGTCCCACCATCTCGTCCTCTGTCGTCCCCTTCTCCTTGTGCTCTCCATCTTTCCCAACATCAGGGTCTTTTCCAGGGAGTCTTCTCTTCTCATGAGGTGGCCAAAGTCTTGGAGCCTCAGATTCAGGATCTGTCCTTCCAGTGAGCACTCAGGGCTGATTTCCTTCAGAATGGAGAGGTTTGATCTTCTTGCAGTCCATGGGACTCTCAAGAGTCTCCTCCAGCACCAGAATTCAAAAGCATCCATTCTTCGGCGATCAGCCTTCTTGATGGTCCAGCTCTCACTTCCATACATCACTACTGGTGTGCTTACAAGTGCCTAAACCACTACTGTCTTGCGGGAAGGTGGAATCGGGCATCTGCGAAAGGACGCGAGGAGTCCGGCCCGGCGAAGGTGTCAGGACGGCTCCGAGGGCCAAGCCTGCGCCGCCCGCTCCTTCGGCTCCTGCCTGCGATGGCGGGACGCGGCCTCCTCCCTCCGGGCCGGTCTTTTTCGCTCGCCGCCTGCCCGGCGCGTGTTTGCCAAGAGGCCAGGCAATTGCCGGCGGGTGTTTGCTTTGTCTCCCGGCGGCCGAGCGCGCCAGCTGAGCCCCGCGCTGCGCCGCGCCGTCTTCCCTCGTGAGCGAGGCAGCCTCAGCTCCAGGCGACGCAGAGGCCGGGCCCCTTCCCCGGCCAGCGGGGCTTCAGGCGCAAGGCCGGCTCTCCACTCGGCTGGGCCAAAAGGTGGGCGTGGGGGCGGGCAGCGCGATGGCCGAAAATAAACCTGTCGGTCAGCCGGAGCCTCCAGGCGCTCTCTTTGGCCCAGCAAGGCAGACAGCTCGTCGTTGGGGAGGGACACCCCAAGAAGGGCTGCAGCACCCCCCTTCCAGCTCCAAGTTCTGCTGCGGGCTAAGTCTGTGCTGGCCTGCTCCCCCATCTATCCTTGGCCATGAGACCCCCCAGACCCAGTTCTCTGAAGCGCAAGTGAGCGCCCCTCGGGCCTTTCCTCCCCGGAGAGCCATGCGGAGTCCCACTTCCCATCGTGGCTCACGATTTGCAAGGACCTGTCCTTTAGGGACACCCCCACCTCAAAGTATGCCTCGCTCCCCTGCGCTCCCTCATTCCAGAAGCGGGAGCCCTAAAGATGCTCAATTAAAAGGCACTTGGATGAGGTCAGTGCAATGGCCTCCGGGGGGCTCCGGCTGCGAGGCGAGGAGCAGGTTGCCGCACTAAGAGGCTGGGGGAAGAAAGGCGCTCGCAGACCTCGCGGTGAGGCTAGCCGGGCCGAGCCTTCCATGGCAGCCTATCGAGCCCTTCCCGAAACCCCGGACCCTGAAACCCCACGGGGAGGGAAAGGGCACTTCGGAGCGACCCCTCTGTCCCCACACAGTCCGCTTCCACCGGCAGAGGCTCTCCAGGGTCTCCAAAGTCTTTGCCAGCCTCACCTGAGGACGCAAAGATTGAACCTGGGCCCTTCCGCACTCCGAGCATCTGCTTCTCTCTCCCCCCCCCCCAGCCGAGACCTTTCCCAGCCACTATGAGCCCTCCTTCCGCTGTGGAGGTCGGGAAGCAGGACCCCTGCCTGACCGCCTCCCTTAACCCAGCCCCTGGCGTCGAGGGAGACCTTAATGGCTATAGGAATGATGGTTGGGGAGACTGGGCGGAAGGGCTCGCGGGCGCCAGTTTGGGCAACATCCCAGCAAGGAGGAGTCGGGGTAGCAGAGGACAACCGCTCGGGGCTGCGCTCTGGGGAAGCGAGGCGCGTCTCCAGACCCGGAGGCTGGACAGAGGCAGGGAGAGCGGTCGCGGTCGCGCCTGTTCAGCACCACGGACAGCGGCTGCTCCCGGCCGAATTCGGCGTGCTTAGAATTGTAGAGTTGCCGGGCCCTCAAAGGGTCATCTAGCCCAACCCCCTGAAGCCCCCTGTTCCTGAGCATGTGGCCATGTCTCTCCCCGGCGGACATGGAAGGCAGTCTGTGCCCTGTGAGGAGATTTCGCCTGAGGGGGGAGATGAGGTTCTCCCAAACCACAGCTTCCTCCGCAGCAAGCGCTAATCTTGCCCCCTCCCACCGCCAAATTCCCCCCTGCCCACTCCACCGTGACAGCGGCCGGAGGGCGAGTGTCTTGGGTCAGCTCGGCGGCCGGCCGCTGCTTCCTGGCTCTGCCCTATGGGGATTTGTCCCTCTAGCCTTGACCCCAGTTTTGACAGCCTGACTTTGGGGTTCCCCGCAGCCCAGGTCTGGATCTCCTCTTGGTCTCTGAGTGCTTGAGCCTGAAGCAACGCTTCAGAATCTCAGCCTCCTAAGGGCACCTAGTGAGGGGACGCGGAGATGGGACAAAGTGGTCCTCCTCTTCAGCTATGTTGTTTGTTTCTTTTTAATTAATAACTAAAGTAAATTAGATATTGCATCGAGGGCAGAAACCCCCTTCAAGTGACCAACTGGGAATAAATCCCCCGGAACCCTCTCTTGAACGCGCTGACTGCTAGGTGCTACTCCCCCCCCCCATCCTCGCGCGTACCCCACCGCACTGCCCGAGGATCAGATTCCTTAGGGAAACAGCCTACGACTTCTGTGCCGCCTGCAGTTTCAACTTTCTTACCCTTGTGTTCAGGGAAGCGCGGTGGACTAGAAACAAACCCCGCGGCCTTGCTTCTGCTCCGCAGATGCTTCCAGCCCGAACTCCACCCAGTCATCACCTTCCTGCATTGGACGGGGTTGGGCTAGATGACCCTCGGGGTCCCTTGCAACTATTAAGTTCTATGTCAGTGATTCTTTAACCGTGATTCCTGCACAGCAGGGGGTTGGACTAGATGGCCCTCGGGGTCCCTTCCAACTCTAGAATTCATTCATTCTGTGCTTTTATTGGGGCGGGGGGAGTCTCGCTGTCCCGCACCCACAGCCCCTCCTCTCCAGTCTATCGCTCTCAGTCGGTGCAGCCCCTCCGACATAGTCACGCAGCCCGGAGCCGGGAGGGGTAACCGGGGGGCGCGAGAAGGCCAAGCGGGGAGCGGGGCGTCGGGGGCGCGAGCGCCGTGGAGTTCAGGACAGACGTCCAGAGGTTCCTGCGCGCAGCCTTGGGGCTCAGCTGCCGAAGCGGCGAGAATCCCGCCCGCTTCCCGGCGGGGGCGAGGGCGCCGCGCAGGGGGAGCCGCGACTCCTTCTCCTCCGTCCCAGGAGGGTCCTTCGGGGGCCGCCGCCGCCGCCCGCTCCATCGGCAATCAGTCCATGTCCCGAGCTGACGTCAATGGATCTCCCGGCCTGCTCTATATAAAGATTCCTCCCGCGGCTCCGCGCACCCTTCTTCCCGGCTTGGCAAGGACACCGTGGGGAGAGAGTCCCCGGCGTCGCAGGGCGGAAAAAAAGGAGAGAGAGAAAGAGAGAAGAAGAAGAAGAAGAAGAAGAAGAAGAAGAAGAAGAAGAAGAAGAAGAAGAGAGGAAGATCTCCTCACGCCAAGGCGGAGAAAAACCTCTTTCCTGCGGAGGGAGCCTGGTCCGTGGCTGCCCCGTGTCGCCCCCTGTTGGCATCGGACACCCGGAGCGGCTGAGAGATGGCTGGTGAGGGACGTGGGTGGGGGCGCAGTCTTCTCTGCCCTAGAGTTTGCCCGGGGGACATGAGCGGGGAAGAGCTGGAGGAGGGACGGGGCGGAGGGGGGCTGAAGAGCTGCTCTACAGGTGGGCGTCGGGGCCGCTTCAGCCTCTGCCTGGCGCGCTGCGACTGAGCCCTGTTGCTCTCCGGCCAGTCACTGCGAGAAGCGGCTGCGGGCCCCGACGGGCCTCCTTGGTCCTGATCCGGCGGCTCCGGGGCTCTCCTGATGTTCTGTTCCTCTCCCCCTCTAGGCCTGGACCGCCCCAGCATGAGGCGGGCACCGCTGCCCATCCTCGTGGCCTCGCTCCTGCTGGTGTCACACGCGGCTCTCGGAGTCGACGGCAGCGCCGAGCGCGGCTTGAGCCTGCGGCTGCGGCTGCTGCTCCTGCTCCGGGGGGAGGACCCTGCCGCCGCCTGGCCCTTTCCGCCCCCGCTGCCGGCTCCGGGGCCCGACGGGGTGGCCCTGCCGGTGCGCTCGCTGCCGCGCTGGGGCCCCGACGGGGAGCTGCTGCGCCGCCGCCTGGCCGAGCGCCTGAAGCGCCGCGACCCGCCGCTCTCCATCGACCTGACTTTCCACCTCCTCCGTCAGATGATGGAGATCTCCCGGGCGCAGAGCCAGCAAGCCCAGGCCGAGCAGAACCGCCTCCTCTTCGACTCGGTGGGCAAGTGAGACCCGCACAGGCCGGCCGGCCCCGGACCGTCTTCGGTCTCCTCCGCCCGGCCCGCCCGCAGAAGGAGGCCGCCCCAGACCAGCCGCCCCGGGAGGAGAAGGCGCAGACGGGGCGCTCTTGGTGCGATGAAGGGGGAGACGGAGCGCTTTTTTCGGCGTGCGAGGGGAGGAGGAGAACCGGGAGTGGAGGACGGAGGCTGGAGGGGGGATCCCTCCTCTGTGGACCGGGGGAGGGGAGGCTGCCCGGCGGGAGAAGCGCAGAAGTCCAGGAGACGCGCTGGGTGGAAGCGCAACCACTCGCCCCAAGGATCAGCCACTGAACTGCCCAGCGGGACACGCTCCCTTTATGCTCTTGCGGGGGGCGCTGGGAAGGGAGGGAATTTTTTTGCTGCGGGGAGAGAATCTCAGTGGGATGGAGGGGGAAGAGGCAGTTCTCTCCTCCCTTGAAGTTACACACACACACACACACACCCCAACCACGCTAAGCCGCTCCAAGAGAGGCTGGCGAACTTGAAGCGCTCTCATCCTGCTCCTTCTGTGTCTTCGGAAGTCAGTCCCACGGTCATCCCGCGGGGCTTCCTTCCGAAGAAGCGTGTCACGGGGTGGGCAAGCGCAGCGGGAGGTGATGATAGAAGTTGCGGCTCTTCTCTCCTGAAATCCTGCTCCCCCCCCATAGCCCAACTCAAGGGGGGTTGTGTGGAGGAAGAGACGTTTTCCAACCTCTCAGGGTTGTCCGTGCAGACGCGGCTCCCCCATCCTGGTCCTGGGACGGTGCAGGATTATCCCACCCAAATTGCTCCCTCGCCAAATGAAGACTTTGGCCGCGACTATCAGCACCGTGGACAGCAAACCCCCCCCCCCCCCCGCAAGAGCTGCATTGAGAGTCGGCAGGGAGCGTAAATTGAGAGGAGGAAATGGAGACGCATCCCTTCTCGCCGCCACTTTGGTTATTACGCGGCAGCCATCACTCTTAAAATATATGGATGTATTATTTTCCACTATTTATTACTACTGTTGTTGTTGTTGTTGTTGTTGTTGTTGTTGACGGTATTAATATTAGTAGCTCCGAAGGGATCTCTTCGAACTGAGTGAACGGGCAATAAAATGGCAAACGCAACCCAATGCTAACAAGTGTCAAGATATGCAAGATTTGGGGGCGGGAAATCTTAATTTCACATGCACTCTTGTGGGGTCTGAACTGGAGCTGAGGGGCGAGGAGCGACATGATCCGGGATCCGAGGAGGGGGAGGCTGAGTGAGGAAGGGGACGCCACGCGCGGCAGGTGCGGGATAGGCAGATTTCACGCGAGGGATCCTTAGGAAAGGTGTTGGAAATAAAACTGCCAGCATCGTGATTACAGAAATGCAAATCGATGGTGTGGCGACATTTAACTGTGTGCATTTCTGGCCGCCTCACCGCGAAAGAGATATTGCAGAGTTCAGAAAAGCGCAACCAAAACGGTCAGGAGGGTGGAGTGGTTGCTCCCCTGCGCAGAAAGCAGCACTTGGGACCTTTTAGTTTAGGGAAAAGGGAGGAAGAGGCGACGCAGTCCATGCTTATTAAATGATGCATGGCGTGGGAAAGTTTTTCTCCTCTCAGAGCAAAAATGATTTTGTGGAGCTGGAAAAGGTTCGGGAAAGGTCCATCGAGGGGTTGGAGCGATTCGCTTATTTGGAAAAGTTTTCGGATCTTTTCAGCTTGGGGGGAACGGGGGGGTTCTGCCCATGTTCCAGCCCCTCGCCCCTCCCCCCGGGGTCTCCGGGTGGTCCACGCTGTGGGCTCCTCCCCGCCTCTCCTCCTCCTCCTCGGCAGCCCGGCTGGGGCGCTGGAGAAACGGGAGCGCTTCTCTCCGGATTCCCCGCTGCCCTCGTCCAGCCTCTTCCATTCGCCCCGTCTCAGTCCTCCTCTTTGGCTCCTCGCAGCCAGAGACCCTGGGGACGGACTCTGCCGGAGGGCAGTTTTAAAGGGGTCTTTTGCGGCGATTCCTGCATGGCAGCGGGGTTGGACTAGATGACCCCTGGGACCCCCAATGCCACTTCCACTTGTTGCCTCAGGCCGAGAGAGCGCCCCTTCCCACAAAAAGGAAAACGGGATCTGGAACCAGCGGCTTTAGCAAACGTGACACAACTTTATTCTCTCGGCAGATTAAAAACTCGGCAAAGTGCAGGCGAAAGCGAGGCAGTCCTTTGGCGGGGGCGGCGGGGGGAGCGCTGCTGCTTGACTCCTCAGTGCTGACCTGCTTGAGAGGGAAAGAGCCACACTCAGCATTGGGGGAGGGGTGCCTGGGCTCATCGGCCGGGAAGAGAGAGGGCAGCCCCACCCCAATTTCTCTTTTACGTCCAGCTCGGAGCAGAAAAGCAAGGAGGCGTGGGAGCCCTGTGCATTTGGGAGTCCTCAGGTTTTCTTTAAAAACCTCAGATTTTTAAACTTCTGGAGGCGGGGAGATGCCTTGGGGGGGAGCCAGACTGTGCCCCACTCAGTGCTGAGCCAATGGGCTGCAGATGCTCAACGGAGCTCATGGCCAGGCTGATCCCCAAGGGGGGGGGGCAGGAGGAGCTGGAGCCACATCCACATTCCTGACCCCCCCCCCCCAGGAGCCTCATTTGGCCTGAGGCAGGTGTGCTGGGGAAGTTTACTTACATTCAGTTCACAGTATGATCCTGAAGGCTGGCTTTAGCTTGTAGTTACAGAAGAGAGTGTGGGTTCATCCCATATGGGAGCTGAGCCCATGTGCTGCTGGCTGAGGGCCAGCAGACAGCAAAAGACGCCAGGATGGACTAAGGCAGAAAAGGGAAGAGGGCTGCGTGACCAGCCCTTTTATGGGGTCTCCCAGGGTGACATCCAGGACTCACTTACCATGAGAGGCACTCGCTGGCTTTGGCCTCAGCCGGGGCAGGTTCTCTCCATCTAGGCAGAGAAAAGAGAGACCCAAGAGCCCTGAAGCCCATGACATTGCCGGGGGTGGACTAGATGACTCTGTGGATCCCATTCAACTCTACAACAACTCTCTGGTTCACACGTCAGGCTCTGCCAGTGGGGAGGGCCCGTGTTTGAGCCCAAGCTCAGAGAAAGAGAGGAAGCAGGTGCCTGGCGCAGAGTGAGGCCCTTGCTTGGTCAATTGAGCTTAGGGGACAGCGGCCCCCCAAGATCTCTGAAGCCCTACCTTGGGAAGCCCCTGGGGCGGATGGGGGAGCGTACCTGCAAGCAGAGCAGGTGCTCCACCACCAAGCACAATGGACCTTCCCTCTATTATGGGATGTGACCTCTGGCCTATGCTGCTGCCTGCCTGGACCCTGATGGAGTGAGAATGCTTCCGGCCAAAGCCAGCTGAGCAGTCCTGGCCTCCTCTTCTTTGTCTTCTTCACCTGTGATGCGTGCATTTCAGGGGGTCGGCGGTGGTCAATTTGGGGTCTCCGATTTCAGCAGTGCCCTGTGTGGTGCTAAAATTTGGTGCCCCCCCCCCCGCACTCTGTTCTACACTCTGCAGCTCGGCGCCCATTGCAGCCAAACCGGTCATGACACCCTAAAGCCACCTCTGGGGTTGGTCTAGATGGCCCTTGGGGTCCCTCCCAGCTCTACCGTTCTATGATTCTACACAGAAGCTTCTACAACAGTCAGTTCCACAGAGACCCATCACTGGAAGAGGGACAGGAAGAGCTCTCCCACCACCGCCACCAGATTTGCTTTCAGAACGGAAGAGAAACCGACTGGGTCCGGCAGCCACTGGCCCCTCCAGCCCAGCCTCCTCTCGCACGGGGGCCACCTAGGTGCAGAGGCAGTTCCACAGCCGCCTGAGCAGCGCAGTCATACTGGGTGCCGCACGGCAGGGGGCAGCACAGCAATGCTGTAGAATGGAGAACAAGGAGGGGGGCAATTCTAGGCTGCTGCTGACATTTGAGAGCCCAAAGTCTGCCAGTGCTGGATGCTCCACAAAGAAACCAGGAAGCAGGATCTGATCCCAAGAGCCCCCTCCCCTCCTGTGGCTTCCCTTGATAGCCCTCTCCTCCTCCATGAATTTGATATTCTCCTGAGGAGGGGAGTTCCACAGTTTGACTCTTCACTGCGTGAAGAAGTTATTTCTCTTATCCCTCATGCATCTTCCAACAGACCCATTCCTGGCTTCCTGAGTAAATTGCGGGTGTGAGATTGATGGACTCTTCCGGAACCCAGGTCTCGTTGACCCACCCAGAACTCACGGTGCCTGAGGGCTGTGCCAACCCCAGCCCCACCGCCAAGCAGCCCCAGGCCAGCTCCTCTTGCCCCCTCTCCCTTCCAGTCCCAGCTCACCTTCCGTCCCCTCGGGGGCATCTGTCCCCTCCAGATGATCTCCCTCTTCTGCCTCCAAGCCCCTCTCTGGGCCAAGCCCCTCCTGCTCCGCGTCCTCTCCAGCAGCATCTGAAAGCGGGGAGGAGAGACAGGGACACCTTGTGAAGAAAGCCCTTCCTTCAGCTGGAAATGTTGTGGATAGTAGGAGAGGATATATGAATTGAATATTATCCTTCCGCGCTCATGCTAGTGAGCAAGTAGCAGAGCACATCCCCCTGTATATTGCAGGAAACTAGTTGGTAGATTCGTTAGAATCTCTTGAGTTAAGCAATCCAGTCTGACTTGTCCAGATTGGGTTGTTCCTGGCAAATTTCCCTTTGTTCCCTCTTAAAAAGAATAAAGACACAACTATATAAGAATAAAGACACTTCTTTATAAGAAGTTTACTTACATTCAGTTCACAGTATGATCCTGAAAGCAGGCTTTAGCTTGTAGTTAGAGAAGAGTGTGGGGGTTCATCCCCATATGGGGGATGAGCCCATGTGCTGCTGGCTGAGGGCCAGCAGACAGCAAAAGGCATCAGGATGGAATAAGGCGGAAAAGGGAAGATGGCTGCGTGACCAGCCCTTTTATGGGGTCTCCCAGGGTCACACCCATCTACCTGGTCACATGCAGGGGGAGGATGCTCCAGACCAGGTGTGACAGGAAGTCCTCTTGGCTGGAGCAACATCCCCCTGTGGGTCTACTCTGGGCAAACAGGAAATGTTGTACTTGACTGCTTTCTGTGATGTCACATCCCACACTGTTGCCCACCCACCACCACAGGAAAAGTTGCAGGATCTCATGGAGATGGGGAAGGGACATTTTCTCTCTCTGCATCAATCGTGCATAATTTTTTGTCAAAGGTTTTCTGGAAGCCCAAGTGTCTGCTGTGCTGGCAGGTGCAAGCAGGGTTCTAGGTGTCTTCTGTGCAGACACAGACACAATCGTACCTGCAACATTGGGGGCTGGACTAGATGACCCTTGGAGTCTCTTCCGACTTTACAGTTCTAGGATTCTGTGAACGCTCTTCAGACTAAAACTGCCAGCTTTTCATCGCTGTCTGCCAGGATATTGGGGTTGGGGGAGCAGACAGGCTCAGTGGGGCTCCCTCTTCCTTGTGTCCCAGGTGATGCCAGCTCCTTCCCTGACTGCGGCTCAGCCCAGCAGGCCAGCGATCCTGAGCTCTGCCCAGGGAAGGAGATGGCCAGCCGGCAGCAGTCTCCCCTTCTTCCCATCCCCTTCTGGTCCAGGTGTGAGTCTCACCTGTCTGGAATTCAATTGTCCTCAGCATTTCCGCCACATGGTCGATGTTGACCGTGAAGTGGTCCATGCTTTCATAGCCAGGCTCTGGGTGGCTGCTCATGGAGACTTTGGACATGTCTGTGATTCTGCGGGGAAAAGGAGGAGAGAGGTCGGACCGAGCCCATTCACCAGGCAGGCAGACAGACAGGCAGGCCAACTTTACACCTGTGTTGCAGCACAAAGTGTGTGAAGAAACGTGATATCCTTTCCCTTCCATAGCGTGGGAGATTAGCAGCCAAATTTAACAAATGCATATTCTTGGGACTAACAACACTGGGCTGTCTTGCTGGTAGGCGGATACTCAGACCATAGAGATACGATTGGTAGAGAGGGCTCTGTGTGAGGTCATTTCCCCTGCATTCCTGGAGGACACTTCCTGTCCCTGCCCCTCTTCCTTTGAGCGGCTTTGGATGCAGGTTATCCTGAACATGGAAGTATTTTGCCTGCAAAGCTTTTACTGCTGCCATTGTTGTGATCCAACGCATGAATATAAACCAAGTAAATATTATTTTTAAACTTACTTCCCTAGCTGTTGCCAGACTATTTGTGAAGGAGAGCCAGCTTATTCCATAGCTGGACTTGCACTAAGGCTGACTCTGAACCCAGAGAGAGACCCAGCTGCTCGGGGGGGGGGGGGGAGTCGGGGGGGGGCCTCCCAGTTTGGAACCTCAAGGTCAAGAGGATCCAGGAGAGCCAATATGGGGCTGAGTCAGGGGGTGAAACTTTGGCGCCTGGGTGAGGGCTGCCCACTTCTGTTGGCTGGGCCCACCGTTGTGCCCCTGGTCTGTGGGGTGGTGCTGAGCCCCTGGCCCCCTGGGAAAGATGCGAGAGGCTCTGCTCCTTGCTCCCCATCTCATGCTACTCACTTTTTGATCAGCTCCTTTGCCTGCTGTAGGAAAAGAAAGAGAGCGTTTCAGCACCAGCCCTGGCAGGTAGAACCCTTTGAACAACCTCCTTCACAAACCAAAAGGGGACCATTGATTTCCCCGGGGTTGCACAGCCCCTCCCACTCTTTTCTGCCCCCCACCCCACCCGCAGACCTGAGCTGTCCATCGTCCCGCTCCTTCCGCCCCACCTGCATGTACCTGGAGGTAGACGGCCATTTGGGGCTCCTCCATGGACTGGATGGCTGACTCCACCAGCTTGGAGGAGACCTCAAGGTGGTCCCCATACTGGCGGATCAGGCCCCGCACCCGCTGGAGCTTGTCGTCCTGCTCCCGCCCGATCTCCAGCAGAAGCTCCTTCTTGCGCTCTTCCAGGATGCTGTACAAGGAGTCAAAGCGCAGGCAGAGGTGCTGCTTCTGCCGTCGAGCGTTGTCCTGCCAGGGGAGCGGGAAGCAGGTTAGCCTGGGGTGACAGGAATTCTGAGGTCTTAGATATCTTAGATGTTCATAAGTGTACCAACCAAGCATCAGCACGGGAAGACCGACCTGGAACCATTTTGATTCCCAAACTGAGCATATGTTTTCTCTGCAAGGTCAAAGGAAAATGGAAAAGCCTCCCCATTATCTTTTCCTTCACAAATCCTAAGGGCACATTTAAGATATGAAAAGGGTGTGAGCCTGTGACCTGGCTCAGGAACTAAGTATTTATCCTTACAAAAGACTGGCTAGGCTCCCAAGCGATCCAATAAAGTAACCTGCCAGACAGGAGATAAACAAACCACTCAGATTTCTACTGTAAACCACCTTTTCTGTGATGTAGGTATGATGTATCTGGGGGGTGGTCTTGGGTTACACCCCTTCTGTGATGTACGGGGTGGTCTTGAGCTCCAGGGCAGGGAATTTAAAATGTCTATAAAAGGGCGGGCACACCTTGGTTCGGGGTTCCTCCTCCCTCCTGCATGTGGGAACCCTGTTGCAACAGATCAATAAAGATCAGGCTTACTAGCTGCTTTGCTTCTCAATATTCTCTGGTTGGCCTCTGTTATTTTCTCCTACCAATAGGGAACCTATGTAAGGACTCTATATGGGCTCTTGGATACCCCATAAGGGAAAAAGGGCAGTTTTGTTTACAACAGTGGTGGGCTCCCAAACCTTTCTGAGCCTCTGCCCCAGAGGCCCCCACCCCACCCTATGGAAAGGATCGTTCAACAGCAACACAATAAAATTCAAAACAATGAATTGCACGTTTATTCAAAATGCAATTTAAACTATTCAGTTTAATTAATATGCCAGATTGGATGAACTTGACCCAGTGACCCTGAAGCCAGAGATTAATTTGAACTTCCAGCACCCCACTGCATCTTAGGCCCCCCCCCAGTAGTCCCACTGCCCCCCAGGGGACACCACCAGCCTGCCAGGTTTTGAAAAGGCCTCTTGCCACCATCTGGGCAGGGCTCAGTTGGCCCCTTGGCAGGACTCACCCATTTCCTTTATTCGTGAGTCACCTTGTGGCCCCAGAGGGGGGTCCGAAGGCAACTGCAACTTTGAAGGTTTAAGGCTATATAATGATAGGTTTTTAAATCGGCTCAGAGATCTCCTGGGGCTTCAGAATTCCCTGCAAATTCTACAGGGGGGCCTCTTCTCCCCAGATTCCACTTGGGCAGGGGATCCACCAGAAGAGACGAGCCCCAGCCGGGCGCCCAGGGGGAGCATGGAGGCTCCTCCCCACTCACCTCAATGGTTTTGCAGATCTCCTCCATCTGGGTGATGATGGCCTGGATCCGGTCGTTCCCAGCCACCAGCATGGCGATGCCATCGCTCAGCTCCCCCTGCCCAGTCAGAAAGAGGGAGGAAGGCTGTGGGATGTAATCCACTGGGAGCAGTCAAATACAACATTCCTTGTTTTCCTAGAGTGGACATGCAAGGGGATGTTTGGTCCAGCCCATGGGTAGGCAAACTAAGGCCCAGGGGCCGGATCCAGCCCAGTCGCCTTATAAATCCGGCCTGCAGACGGTCCAGGAATCAGCGTGTTTTTACATGAGTAGAACGTGTGCTTTTATTTAAAATGCATCTCTGGGTTATTTGTGGGGCATAGGAATTCATTCATTATTTTTTCCCAAAATATAGTCCGGCCCCCCACAAGGTCTGAGGGACAGTGGACCGGCCCCCTGCTGAAAAAGTTTGCTGACCCTTGGTCGAGCCAGTGAAAACTTCCTGTTCCTCCTGGGCTGGAGCATTCTTCCTTTGCATGTGACTAGAGGTGGGCGTGACCTTACCTGTCCAGGTAACAAAAGGACGAATCACGCAGGACTCTCGCTTTCACTTCTTCATTCAACCCGCTTCTCAGCTAGGAATGCTCTGCTAGCTGCCAGCCAGCAGAAGCACTGGGATTATTCCTCCATATGGGGTAGATCCACATGTACATGTTTGTAACTAAGTGTGCCTTCAGGAATCCAGCTGACAATAAGATTGTCATGTCTTTATCCTTTTAAGAGAACTTACCAGGAATGTACAATTCAATCTGAGACAGACTGAATTGTATACAAGTGAGAGGCTCCCACGAGCCTGCAACCAGCTATCTGCTGTGCGTGCAAGAAGGGGAATGTAACTCTGCTAAGTAAAGGAACTTGCTAGCACAAGTTTGGAAGGATATAAATAAACAATATATCCTCTCCTGCCACCCTGAACATTCCCACAAAGACAACCTCAGCTGACCACTTTAGTGTCCTCGTCATGTTGCAAGATCTGTGAGGGGGCCCTCCAGGCTAATGGGGGGGGGCCTCTCCTGCACCCCCTCCCTTAGATGCCAGTGTGAAGTGGGTGAGCTGAGCAGAGTTGGGAGAAGGCTGGAAGTTGGAGACACAGAGACCTCCTTGTTCTGTGCTGAATCCAAAGCTGCAGCTAATGGAGAAGCAAGACCTGTCAGGGTGCTGATGCTGGGAGCCCCTCCATCCTGTGCCCATCCTTTGTAAAGGTAAAGGGACCCCTGACCATTAGGTCCAGTTGTGGCCGACTCTGGGGTTGTGGTGCTCATCTCGCTTTACTGGCCGAGGGAGCCGGTGTACAGCTTCCAGATCATGTGTCCAGCAGGACTAAGCTGCTTCTGGCGAACCAGAGCAGCGCACGGAAACGCCGTTTACCTTCCTGCCGGAGTGGTACCTATTTATCTACTTGCACTTTAACGTGCTTTCGAACTGCTAGGTGGGCAGGAGCAGGGACCGAGCAACGGGAGCTCACCCCGTCTCGGGGATTCGAACCGCTGACCTTCTGATTGGCAAGTCCTAGGCTCCGTGGTTTAACCCACAGCGCCACCCGCATCCCCTCCTTTGTATATATGGGTAAATGAAACCCTAAAGGCACCACAGTCTCCGCTGACCTTCATTCCAAGGAAACAGAACCTGCGTCAGCGACTGGAACCCCTGGAGTCTCTCGGAGGTGGTGTGGGACCACTGTGTCCAGGGCTCCAAAGCCAAAGGCAGCTCCTGCCCCCTCTGGCCCCCCCTGCCTGCTCAGGCCAGAGAGTGCCAGTGGGGCTGCAGGGAGAGGGCAGGGCCTCCCCCCCCCTGCTGCCTCTGCTGCTTGGTACCTTCTGGCGCTTGTAGATGTTGGTCAGAGGGGCCACTTCGCAGTCCTTGTGGGCCCCAAAGACTTTGCACATGGAGCAGGTGGGGACCTCGCAGGTGAGGCAGTAGATGTTGATCTTCTCGTCCTCGTGCTCCTCACACATCAGCTGCTGCTCCGCCTTGGCATGGAGGGGTCTGGGGGGGGCACAGCAGGGAGAAGGAAAGGCTGGGTGAGCCCCCCAGACATTGCCCCTCCTCCTCAACCCACCCCTGAGACAAATGTTCCTGATTTGGCCAGGAAAGGACCTGAATGGGGTGTCTTTTGTCATGGTCACCTCAAACCAGTGTAGAACTGGGGCACCGCCTTCACCCGGGATGCCGCAGGCCAAAGTGCCCGACCCTCAGAGGCAGTGTAGCCCAGTGGTCAGAGGGTCAGACTGGGACCTGGGAGACCACGGTTTAAACATCTCCACTGGGCATGGCCTTCAGCCAGTCACTGCCTCTCTCCGCCTAACCCGCCTCGCAGGGGTGTTGTGGGGGTTAAACAAGGAGAGGGAGAACCAGGCTGCAGCACCTGGAGCTCCCTTGAGATAATAAAAATAATAAATTTTTATTTATATCCCCCCCTCCCCAGCTGAAGCCGGGCTCAGAGCAGCTAACAACAGTAAAATACGGTAATACATTCGAAAATCAATTCATTATAAAATCAGTTCAAATCAAATTGATGGCAACCATTGGGCTGGAGTTCTGTGAAGAATTACCAAAGGAGGGGGTCAGACTGTGCCTTGGCCTAAGGCCTGGTGGAACAGCTCTGTCTTGCAGGCCCTGCAGAAAGATGTCAAGTCCCGCAGGGCCCTGGTCTCTTGGGACAGAGTGTTTCACCAGATCGGAGCCACAGCCGAAAAAGCCCTGGCTCTGGTTGAGGCCAGCCTGACCTCCCTGTGGCCTGGGACCTCCAAGATGTTCTTGTTTGAAGACCGTAAGGTCCTCCGTGGGACATACCAGGAGAGGCAGTCCCGTAGGTAAAGGTGAGGTAGAAATGCAGCCAACCAACTAATAAATAGAGGGTTGCATGGTTCTGTTTCTAGGCCTTGGTGCTGCAAATGTGAAGCCGACCCAGGAAGAGGGAGCAGAAACATAGCAGAGCAGGCAGCCAACAAAAGCAGCTGAGGTTCTGCAGACCTGGCAAGGTTTGGGAATAGCAGAAAAGCTCTGGCTTGTGTGTATTTTGATATGGGCTAATGCAAAAAGTGTCCTGCAGGTTGAAAGCTCATTTGCCCCTTTGCAGGAGGAGGGGAAGATGTGCTGGTTATTGGATCATAGATTGTATAGTATGAAGGGACCCCCGAGGGTCCTCTAGTCCACCCCCTGCGATGCGGGAATCCCAGGAGAGGAGCCAGAATCTGAGAGCTGCTCCCTCATTTGGCCAGAAGGGAAGCCTCAGGGTGGACATGCCTGTGAGCAGAGGTGGGGGCCCCTGGGAGGTCTGAGCGCCCCTCCCTGCCCACTGCTTACCGAGAGGATTCCTGCTTGTAGATGTCAATGATGTTTTCCACGAGGAGGTTGCGCTGCAGCCCATAAACGCCGTGCCGGTCCAGCACCACTTCATGCCGGCAGGATGGGCACCGGAACCGACCTCCTGAGGACACCGAGGTGGAACCGCGCGACTGCCAGAGAGGGTTGGAGGCCTGGGGGAGAGGCAGGAGGGGTCACTGTGGGGGGCGGAAAATAGATCTGACCCACATGTGGGTAGTTAAAAATATAGTTGACTGGGTGCCTAGATTCAAAATGTGGGGCTTTGCACCCTCTCCAACAGGAGAGAGCCCCCAGCAAAGTTTAAAACAGTCCCAAAATTAAGCAGCAGTATAACGTGGGAATGTAGATTGGAAAACCCTTTTGAATATCCTGTTTAATCTGCTTTAAAGCTCATGGCCCCTTCTCTCTACCCTCCAGCAGCAGACCACACACTCTTAAGTAACTTTAAAAGCTTTGCTTACTAAATCCCAAGGTTGGAGTCATGCATTATTCCTTGCAGCAGCAAGGGGAACACAGGTAGGATAGTCTTGTGTGCAAAATATAGATTATAGTCTTAAGCATGTACTTTGGAGCAAGTTCAGACACGTCTGTCCTGCCTGGTTAAATAGCTGGAAGAGAAGCAGCTTCACTTCCTCCCTCAGGAGCCAAGGGAGCACAACCTAGCTGAGTGTGCAAAGCCCCACATTTTGAATCTAGGGGTGGGTGTGGCAAGGGACCTGCTGTCTTTCTCCATTCATGGTTTCCCCTTTGGCCACTAGGTGGCGCTGCTGAGGATAGAGAGAGACACCCCCCCCCTTGGGAAAACGGCTCCCCCTCCCTCATCCCACCCCCAGGACCAGCCTCCAGAGAACACAGTTGCTCCAGCTTTTTCCCTTGGAAGCAGCAGCCAGGCAGCCTCCGCACCATGGGTAGGCAAATTAAGGCCCAGGGGCCGGATCTGGCCTAATCACCTTCTCAATCTGGCCCGCAGACGGTCTGGGAATCAGCGTGTTTTTTCATGAGTAGAATGTGTGCTTTTATTTAAAATGCATCTCTGGGATATTTGTGGTGTAGCAGGAAACCCCCCCCCCCCCCATCATTCAGGTCCTACAAACTTCACACACACTCACACTCACACACTACATACACTACGCTTCTGTTATAAATTCATAGAAAATCAACCATACATCGGATTTGCACTGTTCCACTTTTATTTTACTCCATGAAGGAAGGACTACAAAATGGGGAAGGTTTGATACAGGCCACCATAATCCCTTGAACATCCCAGCACATCCACAGGAGCCCTGCCCAGTTGCTATGCCAACCCTGATGGTCTCAGACAGAAGACCATCAACAACACAACGGACTGCATACACGAGTGGATTCAACACGGACTATAACAAAAGAACAGTGATTGGATTCCCCCTCAGGGGGCAGGAAACTGCGACTACCTTTTGTCTTCTGAAAATGACTCATGGGGAGGGGGAGAAGGGAACCAGCCAGGTGACAGGACATTCAGGTTACCACCACCACTCCTCCCTCAACCCCTCCTTTCTGTGATGTATGCATGATGTTTCTGGGGGTGGGCTTGATCTACAGGGTGGCAATTTCAAAAGTCTTTATAAGGCCTTGCACACCATTTTTCTGGGTCCCTCCTCTCTCCTGCAAGTGAGGGGAGCACCCTGTTGCAACAGTTCAATAAAGGCCAAGCCTACAGGCTGCTGATTTGCTCCAATTTACTCTGGTTTGGTGTCTTTACTTTTTGCCCAAGGGAGCCCTCGGATTTTTCCGGTAACAGTGGGGCATAGGAATTTGTTCATTTCCCCCCAAAAAATATAGTCCGCCCCCCCCGAAGGTCTGAGGGACAGTAGACCGGCCTCCTGCTGAAAAAGTTTGCTGACCCACACCAAACCAAAATGAAGCCCTCCTGCAACTGTGGATTTTGGTGTAAGATTTGCCCCCTCTGGGTTTTTTGGGGTCGCAGGTGGACAGAGATGTGTTCCACTTCAGAGGCCTTCTTCCCCCACAATTTGTGTCGTGGGGTCTGGGTGGCACCTCTTCTTGACTGGTCCCCAGATTTGGGCCTTGGGTATGCTTGGACTATTTAAGTTTCCTGTAAGGAAGAATGTGGTGTTTTTTTGGGGGGGGGGTGTTACCTGACTGTAGAACAAGGGTTTTTTCCAGCCAGAACTTGCTGGCAGGGGTGTAGCCAGGATTTATTTTGGGCGGGGCAGGCACTATGTGTGTGGGGAGGAGAGAACAGAGTTATCTGTGACACAATTGGCCAGTTAGTTACGTATTTTCATTTATTTGCTTGATTTAGGGGGGATGGGGGGACTGAGGAAAGCTGTCCATCCATCCCTGCTATGCCCCTGCTGACCAGCCCCCCTCAGGTGAGTGCCATTGCCATTCGCAGAGAACGAGGGAGGTGTTCATGGTGAGTTTAGGCATCTCTGTTTCCAGAAAAATAGCCCTCACAGACCCCTCTATCACCTCCATGAACCTGGAGTCTAGGGAAAGGGGCATCTGCAGGTTATGGATGGGAGGAAGGCAGAGAGAGAGAGAAAACCAAGGAGGCAAAGGCCCCAAATTTCACATCATTATTTTATTGGTGGCATTGCTGTGCCTCGACAGCCCACGGCAGAAAATGCCTCTGAATTTGCTGGAAGGCCCTGGAAGGGAGAGGGAGGGGAGAGGGTTGCTCTTGCGCTCGGATCCTGCTTGCGGGTTCCCCATACTGGGCATCTGGTTGGCCACTGCTGGAACAGGAAGCTGGGTGAGATGGCTGGATCCTGCAGGGCTCTTTGAATGTTCTGATGCCACATGAAGGCAAATCTGGGCTGGAGATGATTTAATTAATTTGCATGCCACCCTATACCTGTATTCTCAACATAAAATTGCAATATAAAAAACATGAAATGCATAATAAAGACAAAGACAATCCAATACTCCCCGCTTCCACAACACATTTAAAGGTCAATCAGCCAATCTCTGATAAAATCTATTACTGCACAGCATAGATACAATATACACAAACGAGACAACTTTTAGTGCCCCATGATTCTGGGGGTCAGTACCATCACAGTTGGGGTGCTTGGTTCTATGGGCTCCCCTTCTCAGACTCTCTGATCCTTGAGGAGCACCACTGACTTTCTGAAAACTACAGTCCATTGGCAGCCTCTCAGTAAACGCCATCCTTCCTGCTGTCAATATTAAGACATCCTTAACACACACACCTTTCCCAGTAGTGATGTATGGAAGTGAGAGCTGGACCATCAAGAAGGCTGATCGCTGAAGAATTGATGCTTTTGAATTCTGGTGCTGAGGAGACTCTTGAGAGTCCCTTGGACTGCAAGAAGATCAAACCTCTCCATTCTGAAGGAAATCAGCCCTGAGTGCTCACTGGAAGGACAGATCCTGAAGCTGAGGCTCCAAGACTTTGGCCACCTCATGAGAAGAGAAGACTCCCTGGAAAAGACCCTGATGTTGGGGAAGATGGAGGCACAAGGAGAAGGGGACGACAGAGGACGAGATGGTGGGACAGTGTTCTTGAAGCTACCAACATGTGGGAGGCAGTGGAAGACAGGAGTGCCTGGCATGCTCTGGTCCAGGGGGCATGAAGAGGCAGACACTACTAAACGACTAAACAACAACAACACACACACCATGTGGAAGGTCATCAGAGCATCCTTGAAACAATTCCTCTTTGCGCTATGAAACCCATAATTACTTCAGCTTTGGGGGGAAACATGCATCTTCCGCTCAGCGTCTCAGTGCCTGGCTCAGAACAATCTGCTCCTGTGCCCCCAAACCCTGACCTGCTCTTGGGATAAACTGACCGTGTCTTTCATCACCTGGATTCACAGGCAGGAGGTGCTTGAGCGCCTAAACTAGTGGCTTCCAAAGTGGGTAGTATTGCCCCTTCTGGGGGATTAACTAGGAAGGCCCCAAGAGGCAAGGGGGCAGCAGGGGTCTCTGGAAGTGTCAATATCAGAATTTGGAAAGCCAGTATCACTGGATCAAGTTCATCCATCTTGCAGAATAGTAGTAGTAGTAATAATAATAATAATAATAATTTATTATTTATACCCCACCTATCTGGCTGGGTCTCCCCAGCCACTTTGGGCGGCTGCCAACAGAATAATAATAATAATAATAATAATAATGTGATAAAACATCAGACATTAAAAATTTCCAATACAAGGCTGCCTTCAGATTTTCCTAAAAGTTGTGTGATTCTTTATCTCCCTGACATCTGAAGGGAGGGCGTTCCACAGGGCGGGTGCCACCACTGAGAAGGCCCTCTGCCTGGTTCCCTGGTCCTCGCAGGGAGGGAACCACCAGAAGGCCCTTGGAGCTGGATCTCAGCATCTGGGATGGGGGTGGAGACACTCCTTCAGGTATACTGGATTTTGAATACAATTAATTCTTCCTGTTTTGAATTTCCTCAAGTTGTTCTCTTCCTTAGTGGCTTGCCTCAGCTGCCACAAAATATGTCTCTCCTGCATCAGTCTCTACAGCCAAAGTAGGCTCTGCAACCTCCCAACATTTTGTCTTCACCACAGAGGCGTACTCCTCCAACCAACCAGTCAAGGGTAGGGTGGGGGGCACTGGGGAGGGGTGCCCCCTCCAAAAAGAAAAAGGTTTGGGAACTTCTTCCCTAGACTGCTCCACAAAAGAGGTCCACTCTTCTCCGCCTACATAATGGACAAATAAACCTCACCTTAAATAGGAAACCTACTGCCTGCTTTGCATGCTGACCTGCTTTTGGCTCCCATCCAAAGCACATCACAAAATCCATTGTCCACAGCCAAGCCCTCCGAGGGAACGGCATCTGTTCAGACTCGTCAGAAGCTCACAACAAAAAAATGTACGCCAGGCATTCCTCAGACTGGAATACCCACCCAACTAAGTGGAGGGAACTCCAGAATAGGGGGATCCCAGGAAGGAAGAATCAGATGTGGAAGGAGAATGACAGGTCCCCACTTGCTCCCACTTAAAGAATCATAGAGTAGGAAGGGACCTCAAGGGTCATCCAGCCCAACCCCCTGAGATGCAGGAATCTCAGTTAAAGCATCCATGACAGATGGCCCTCCAACCTCTGCTTAGAAACCACCAAGGAAGGAGAGTCCACCTCCTCCCAAGGGAGACCGTTCTACTGTTGAACAGCTCTTTCCATCAAGACGTTCTTCCTAATGTTTAGGTGGAATCTCTCTTCTTGACATTTGAATCTATTGGCCTGGGTCCTCCTCTCTGGAGCAGCAGAAAAGAAGGTTGCTCCATAGGACTTCCAAAGGTCCCATTTAAAACCATCCTGGGCAACGACAGACGCTCTCTTCTGACAGGCCTTGGGCTGCAGGACTCCACTTTCTTACAGACAAGAGACCCAGACCCAGAGACCCGCTTTGTCCTCATCCTGGCAGGATTAGGTCCCATACTAGTATCTCCAGAGTAGAGACACTGTACAGGGCCTAATCCTGCCACCCACAGCATCTGGGATTCATGCATTGCAATGCCTGCCTTCTCCTGCCAACAAGGCCCCTTCTGCACATTGCAAACCTAAAAGTATAAATGGATACAAATCCGTCATCAGAAATGGCAATATTAAAAGAACAGCGAGGGAACATTTTGACCGCCTAGAAGACTGGAGCTGACCTTACATGACCAGATCCTGGAACAAAAGAACTTCAGAAGGGAGGCTGCAACAGGAAACCACAGAATTGCAATTTATCAAGAGGCTAAAAGCCTCACGCATTGGATCGGGACACTGAAATTTATAAAATGATGCCTGGCCTGGAGAAAAAGAATGAAGAAAAGTTTTCCTCTATCTTTCATCACACCAGAAGATGTGGACATTAAAGGAAGCTGGATATTGGAAGATTCAGAATTTATGAAAGAAAGTGTTTCTTCCCGCCATGTGTAGTTAAACTATGGAACTCCCTCCCACAGGAGACAGCCAGGGACACCAACTTGAACTGGGCACATTCATGGGGGAAGAGAGGCTCTCAATGGCTCCTGGCCAGAATGGCTCTGCTTCCACAGAAATCCCAGTTGCTGGACACCACAAGCGGGGAGGGGGCTCCTGCCTGGTGGTTTCCCATTTGGGCATCTGTGAAAACAGGATGCTGCGCTACGTGGGCCGTGGGCCTGATCCAGCAGCCAGGCTTTGAATAATGTCTGTGCTATTGATGACTTGTTCTTAGTTAACTTAATCTGCCCTGCATTTCATTTTCTTCTGACCTCATTACTTGCAGGAAGCAACGATGTTGATGTGCGAATGCCTGAACACACACATCAGAGCAGCTGAAGATGGAGGAAGCCTAATGCAGGTCGCATATATAGAATCAGAGAACTGTAGAGTTGGAAGGGACTCCCAAGGGTCATCTAGTCCAGCCCCCTCAACACAGGAATCACAGCTCAAGAATATCTGCTGGAGAGCCATCTGCCTTCCACACCCGGCTGCTCCTCCCCATCACCTCCATTTCCCCCTCTCTTCCTCATTAGGGGGCCAGGGATTGTCATTTTATCCCACCTTTTTCTCCCAGGACCTCAAGGGGCTGTACATCGTTCTCCTCCCCATTTGATCTGCCCAACACCCTTGCCGGGTAGGTTAGGCCACGACTGACCACCCATTGAACATCATGGCCAGAGGGAGATTCGAACCCGAGTCTCTCCCAGGTCCGAGTCCGGCACTCTGACCACTCCACCGCCCTGCTTCTGTGCACCGCCAGCCAGTGCTGCTCTCCTGATCACGTCCCCCTTCCAGGAGCTGTGTCCAGTGCCTGAGCCCCCCACCCTCCTTAGCCCACTCATCCTCCTGCCCCCCCCCCCGCTCTCTCCCCACACCTCAAAGTCTTCTTTGGGGCAGGCGGCTCCTCTCCACTTTTGCTTTGGCTCAAGTTGTTCTGAAATACCTCAGGCAGATTCACAGCAAAGAGCAAAGGAGGAGAGTCGCTGGCCGTGACGCCCTCCCTGCTGGATAACTCGGGGGGCGTCAAAACCCACCCACTTCCACCCCAGAGCTGAGAGCTGGCCGGGCAGGTGCGGAGATGCCGCTGGCCCTCACCTGGAAGATGTCGTTGGCGCACTTGCGGCAGAGGTTGTGCTGGCAGGGCAGGATGACCACCGGCTTGGTGAACATCTCCAGGCAGATGGGGCAGATGAGCTGCTTCTCCAGGTTGTCCATGCTCTGCGAAGTCCCCAACAGCGGCTTGAAGCCCACGGCAAAGTTCATCCCCGCAGCCGCCCCTGCGCACTCCAAGGGGCTTGGTGGGCAACTGTGGACAGACACCCCAGGCCTCCCTCTGCCCTCTTCCTCTCCCTGCCCCCTATCTACCCCTCACGCGTCTCTCTGCCGGCCTGGCAGCGTTGGCCCCTTCCTGCCTTGGCCCCTGCCTGGCTCCCTCTCGCCTGGCCTGGTCCTTGGGCCTCCGCCTGGCTGCCCTCGCTCCTGGAAGTCCTCTCTGCCTCGTTCTGGAGCTGCTTCTGGCCACCCACCCCTGTCCTGGGCCTACCAGGCTATTTTTAGGGGGTCACATGATCCCAATGGCATCCCAGCTGCCATTTTTGTCCCAGCAATTGGAAGGGGGTCAGAGAGGGGAGAAGCAACAGCAGCTGTCAGTGGCATCAGGTGACACTTAGTCACTGTTCCTCAACAAGGCAATGACATCTTTGGCCTGGGAAGTGGGGGGTGGCCAGAGGGGGTCTCCTCTGATACAGGCCATGTTTTCCATCTCAGGGTTCAGCCCTGGAACCGCCCCTCTTTCCCTTTTCCACATTGTATTGTAGCGAGAAAAGCAGGGGTTGCATTCAGGAGACTGAAAGAGTGACATTTACTGGAGTCCTTGTTTGTGTATCAGGCAAGATCCAAACTCTGACTCTGCCTGCGTCTCTTAAGCAGAGCCAGAAGATGAGCTGTTGTCATAAACTGCACAGGGTATGTATACACACACACACACACACACACCACCCAATTCGATCTGCCACCCCAAAATCCCTTTGGATTTCAGCTCAGATTCTTTTGCACAAAACCTTTGAAAGCATCCAAGCAGCAAACGTCGGCAGAGAGTTTGTGGTGGAACTCAATCACTTGAGAATTCTGTGGACATTCCATCCACTTATTTAAAAAATGCTAGGAAATCTGGGTTGAACATATGCATGGCCAAAATATAGTTTGTGGAGGAAGTTCGTGTAGTACCACTGAGTTATTTTAAAAGTTCCGTGAAAAGGGAGATCTTGCATTTCCGTCTGAGGGCAGGGACATGGAGCCAGGTTCCAGCAAACTCTTTTGGAGGGAATTGGAAAGGGGCCAGCATGGAGAAGTCCCTGTTCTTGTGCCTTGTGAGAGGAAGTGCGCAACTGGAAAGACCAGCAAGATCTCCTCCTCCTCCTCCTCTGTTACCAGGGAGGTGCCAGGCAGCCGGGGGGGGGGGGAGGGCACAGTCCCTGCATGGAGCATACCATCCCTAGACGGAGCAGTCATGAGGAGATCTCTTTCTTTGTTACATCTGAAACAAAGGAGGCTGTGACTGTTTTGAACTGGGGCCTGAATGCAGTGGGGGGGGGCTGGATATGGACGAGTAAATTGAATCTATGGACTCTGTGGGTGAGGTGTTGGAGAGTTTACCAGTTCTAAAAAGGGTTGCGCCCCCTCAGAGGGAACAGGAAGTAGTTTAGGGGTGCCCCTGGTTCCTTTGGTCCCTGGGTGCCCTGGGAACATCCCCAGTGAGAAGGGCTGAGGAGCAACAGCTTGGTATCCCAGATATGCCCTTTCCTGTCTAGGAAATGCCATGATTCCCACGTTGGTAACCTCATGGCTGGACTACTGCAACGTCCACAGTGTGGGGCTTCCCTTAGGGCTGGTCTGGAAGCTGCATCAGATGCAAAATGTGGCAGTCAGGTTATCATTATTAATAATAATTAAATTCATATGCCCCCCTTCATCTGAAGATTACAGAGCTGTTCACAACAGGTTGCTGAGTGGAGCACCTGGGCTTGCAGGTATCCCTGAGGGATATCCCTGCTGAGGGAACCGACACTGGCTGTCCATCAGCCCATGGACAAAGTCATGCTGCCAACATACATATCAAGTGCTGAACTTTCTGAAAGTCAGAGCTGTTCAGTAGTGAATCAGTCTCCCTCGGGAAGTTGTGGACTCTCCTTCCTTGGAGGTTCCTAAACAGAGGTTAGCTGTCCTCCTGCTTTAGCTGAGATTCCTGCATTGCTGGGGGTAGGACTGGATGACCCCTGGGGTTCCTTCCAACTCTACAATTATATGATTCTATGAACTTGGGACAAAGTTTCCTGAAGGACGGCCTGCCCCTTTGTAGATCATGTGGGGAAATGTCACTCCTGGCATGGCCGGACTGTGACCTGAAAATGGGCATTTCCCACGATTGCTCCTGCATTACGGAACGCCCTTTCCCCCACTGTAGGTAAAGCACCCTCTGCCAGTCACTTTGGGCATCTTGTGGAGGCAGGGATTTAAACGCCCCCCCGGCAGCTTCCCCTGACCCATAAGATTGGGCCCCTGTTATTAAGAGGTTGTTTGTTCTTCTCTTTTTTATCATATTTCCCCGATTTCATATATGCATATTGGGACAGCGCTCAATACACCTTTTAATATTGAGTTTAGAAATGCTTTAAAGCAAAGACGCATCGGAGGTGTGGTGCAAGGGGTGCCCCCTGCCAAGATCTTGTGGGTCTGATCAGAGCAAGTCTTTTGCAGTGCAACGTTTTGCCATGTGATCTGTCCCTGTCATGAACCCTCTAGCTTCTCTTCAGTGCCCCCCCCTTTCTGCTTCCACCCATAATGCTCAACAAGCCCCCCTCCCATGACAGGGCTTTTGCAGCAGGCCCAGAGAGGGAGGGATGGACGGACGGACAAACAGACAGACAGACGGAGAGGCCTCTTAAAGCCACTTCCACAAATTTAACAATGTGCTCAGCATTGTGTTGTGTGTGTATCCTCTCCAATTGGATTCTTGCCTCTCCACCTCCCCATAAATAACATCATGAAAGTCATGCTGCCATCCTGCAAATAGGGGATATTTGGGCTCCCTCTTCACTGACCTGGGGGGATTTGGGCTGCTTCTCCTCCAAGTCAAGCCCCATCGTGAAAGAATTGGGCGCGCTGAGGGTCCTTCTTTTCCAGGCATCATGAAACCAGCTCAACTGCTATGCCAGCCTCAGTTTAAGTTGGAAAATGCTGTGCTTTTATTCCTCTCCCTGCCCCCCCCAACTTGCCTTTTCTCTCCCTCTTTGTCTTGCGCTCCTTAAGGCTGACTTGAAACTGGACCCCTGGAAGCCAGCCCCACTCACTCCTCGAACTGCTCAGCTACACCATAATAGTCTCAAGGTGGGGGGAGGCAAAGGCGGGGGGCTGATCTCTCCACAGCCACCAGCGTCAGCAATGAATAAAGCATTTCCCAAGTTCTGCATTTGGGTACGATGAATCCGACGCGCAAATGAGGGATGAGCAACACCTGCCTTGGCAGCAGAGCTTGCGAGGAGGAGCCCAAGGTCTCCAGCCGACCGCAGGCTAAGCGTGAGTCAGTGCTGTGATGCGGCAGCTCAGTCAGCGGCTGGGCTTCCAGGCTGCCTCAACAGCACCCTGGGCTCAGGCTGATGCTCCTCTGAAGAAGCAGCTCAGTGGGCCCCGATCCAGAATGAATAACCAAAGGCGGGAAGGATAAAAACAACAACACATAGACGTGGAGAATGAAGATCACCCCACACTTTGCAAAAGCTAACGGTTGCGTTCCATGTGATTCCTGCATTGCAGGGGGTTGGACTAGATGACCCTGGGGTCCCCTTCCAGCTTTACAGTTCCCTGAGTCTAGGCCATGCAACTGATTGTCCTGTTCTGTGAGCTGCAGCCAAGGAGCGTCACCGCCCACCGCCCTGAACCTCAGGGGAGAATCATGTCAATATGTAAGAAATAACTAAGCCTGCCTTTGCCATCCTGGCACCCTCCAGATTTTTTGAATTAAAACTCCCAGGAGGCCCTGCATCTCCCTGGGGTTGATGGGGGCTGTGATCCAAAACATCTGGAAGGGAAAGCCATTGCAGACACGGCAGGAGGCGCCTCCCACAGACTCAGGCCATCGACTCTCCCGGGTGCTGGGCAGAAGGGGGTCTTTTCCCAGCTCAGCTGCCCGAGACCCTTTGATCCAGGGGGTCGTCTGCATGGGAAGCCTCACCCTGGAGCAATAGGATTCCTCCCATGTCTGGATCCCAACACTGAGATTTATCACCAGCTAAACATTGTGATACAGTGGTGCCCCGCAAGACGAATGCCTCGCAAGACGGAAAACCCGCTAGACGAAAGGGTTTTCCGTTTTTGAGTTGCTTCGCAGGACGAATTTCCCTATGGGCTGGCTTCGCAAGACGAAAATGTCTTGCGAGTCTTGAGATTTTTTTTCCGCTCCCCCCCCCTTTATCTAAGCCGCTAAGCCTTTAATAGCCTTTTAGCAGCTAATCCGATAAGCCGATAAGCCTTTAATAGCCGCTAAACCGCTAATAGCGCTAATCCGTTAAGCCGCTAATAGGGTTGCTTCGCAAGACGGAAAAACCGCTAGACGAAGACACTCACGGAACGGATTAATTTCGTCTTGCGAGGCACCACTGTACATTGGTATATGACAATGTCTGAAGGATGGAGCCATGGAGAAGTATTAGCTGCCTTCAGTTTTCCCGGCATCATGACTTCTGCCAGTGCCTGCTCTTTGGGACTTGCTTGCTGCATCAGGCGGGAAGAGCTAACAGGGGCTGCAGAAATTGAGAGCAGCTCTGGCTGCCTTCAGTTTCTCCCACAGTGATTTTTGCATAGCACACAGACACCATGATTTGCGATATGTTACCAGGTCTGAAAGTATGAAACTGGTATCATGACAGGAGCTTCAAACTGGTTTGGGATGATGTATCAATATATCATCCAGTCCTAATAAGAGTGCAAGATGACTCCTGGTGGACCAGGACACCGGAGGCCACTCTAGTCCAGCCTCCTGTACTCACAGTGGCTGACCAGAAGCCTTTAAGGAGAAACCCGCAAGCAGAATCCATGCAGAAGAGAAACTCTTCCCTCCTGAGGTTTCCAGCCCCTGTGGGAGGGAGTTCCACAGGTTAACTGCATGTAGACGGACTTTCTTTAATCCTTCCGCAGCTCGGCTTCATTGGGTGCCCACGAGTTCCTACTGTTATGATAATTTTTCTCCTACCATTTTTTCCACGCTGCACAGAATTTTATAAACTGCGACTGTGTCACCTCTTCCTCACCTTTTCTCTAAGGTAAAAAGTCCCAAACGCTGCAAACTTTCCGCACAAGATATCCAGCGGCAAAACACAATGGATCCCAGTCAGTGTAGAGCAAGAAACATTGAGGAGGGCTGGGATTCTGCGTGTGTGAATGAGCGAAAGGCAGCCCCAAGGCGACACTGCAGGCTATTACTCTGGGGGTCCCTGCGCTTTCAGGACCCTCAGGAAAGGCCGCTCCCTCCCCCACAAGAGGAGGGCTTGTGGCCAGCAAGGGGGGGGACTCTTTGTAATTCCCCCAACTGCCGGGGGGGGGCTCTCGTCCACCCGGACAGCAGCTGGAGGACCTCTCCCCACAACCAGGCCAGAGACGCTGGAAATTAAATACTGTGCATTTATGTATTATTATTTTTAATAAAAAAGTATGGACGCAGGGAAGGGTGGCCAGGGCAAGAGGCCTCTCCCTGGTCCAGGGAAAGGCCTGCAGGCCGCTGTCCCCACCAGCGACACCCTTGGGTGGCCACCAAGGCCATCCAGACGCGAACCCTAACCCTGACAAGGCGCCCACTCAGCATTGCTGCCGGCCCTGCGGAGAATTCGAGGGCCGTCCTGGCTTCTCCTCATTAAATCAAGGCTCCAAAAATACTTAACGGGCCGCATGCTCAGCCTTGGCAAGGACAGGCCGGCCAAGCCTCCCCCCTGGCCTCCCCATGTTCCTGCCCCACAGGTGCCTCCCCTCTCCGCCCCACTCCCACCCAGGCCCTCCTTGGATGGATGGATGGATGGGGGGAAACAGCTGGATTTGGCAGGCTGGGAGAGAGGCACCCCCAGGCGGCAGTTGCTGCCCTGCAACCCCGTCCGTCCCCAGCCTCCTGCGGAAGTGAGATCCATTGTTTGACTCTGTGGAAAAGGAGTTCCTTCTCTCTCTCCTGGATCTTCCATCCTCCTGGGCATCTTGAGGAGCACTGCGCTCTGAGGGAGGACGTCCTGACGGCCACAGCTCCCTCAGGAGGCCACAGGCTGTCCTTCCTTGGAGGTTTTCAAGCAGAGATCCGTCGGCGATGCTTCAGCTGGGATTCCTGCGTTGCGGGGGGGGGGGGGCTTCAGTGACCCTGGGGGGTCCCCTTCAGCGAGACGCCCCAGAGGCGGACTGACAGCAGAGAAACAGCAGCTTCTTCCTTCAGAAACATTTAATTGTGTCCGTAAACCCTAGAGAAGTTCCTTGTCACAGTGTGGAGAGAGGGGCCCTGCCCGAGAGGGGGCTGCCCCACAGCAGGGCCAGGGAGGGAGCTGGGCGGGACCAGGCCCCTCCGCACAGTGATTGAATCCACCCAGAGCAGCTGCAGCTCAGGGCGGAGGGGGAGGGAGCCCCCCAACCCACCAGCCAGGGAGGGGGGCAGGGACTCGCTTGCATTGGCCCCACAAATGCACTTTGGCACCGATGCACAGGGCAGAAAGGGGGCAGGGCTGGCGAGCCCCACAACCCCCCTGCTTCGACAGGGAACCCCCAGCCGTGCCCCCAGGGGCTGCCTGGCCTTGGGGAGCAGGAGCCTTTGGCCAAGGAGAGAGCCGGGGGTCAGAAAGCGTCCGGAAAGAGCGGGTGGGCTGGCAGCGGGCAACGTCTTCTGCCAGCCCTAAACTGGAGGGGGGCCACCTCTCTGGTCCCGCCAGCTCCCTGCGAGGCTGGAAGTTGCTCTCCTCCTGCTCCTGCTCCTCCGCTGTGCCCTCAGCCGGTTCCCTGAGAAGACTCCCAATGACGGTGGGGCGGTCAGCCAGGCGTGTGGTCCCCCGGGGTGGGGGGTGGGGGTCTCTCTGCCCCAGAGTGCAGCGGCGGGCCTGACTCAGCCATGTGGGCCTGGGGGTGGTCTCTGGAATGGCTGCAGAAGAGGGGAGGCTGTGCTCTGACCGTCAGCTGAACTCTGCAGGGAAGAGAGAAGAGGGGGGTGAGAGATGGGGGGGCCTGGCAGAAGGACTGGAGGAGCAGCTTGGATCTCAGAACCTGCAGGGAGCCTGGAGGCTGGATCAGGCCCAAGGGGACCCCCAGATTCCCCATTGGGAAGCCCCAAAGCAGTATCCGGGTGCAAGAGAGACTCTCCTCTCCTGCAGTTTCCAGTAACTGGTGGCACAAGTGTCGCTTCCTCCGACCGAGGAGGCCGAGCCAGAGAAGAGCCATCCTGGCCAGGAACCCCCAAAGCCAAGCGTCACCCCGAGTCCTCTCCTCTGCAAGCAAAGGAGGGGGAGCAGGAGAGAGAGAGGGCGGGGTGCCCTCTGATGCTCGCAGCCATGGCTGGCATACCCCATAGAGCCTGCCAACCCCCAAGGGCACCCTCAGGACCTGAGCAGGGCCTTGTCTGGCACAGCACCCCTGCCAAGCAGCAGGAAAGAGACCAGCCCCTCCCCAGCAGCCCCCCAAACCCTCCTGGTGGGGGAGGAAGGGGCTGCAAGCAACTCGTCTTCATTGGAGGTTGGGTGGCCATCTGCTCGGGGTTCTTTAGCTGAGATTCCTGCACTGCAGGACTTTGGGGGTCCCTACGAAACTATGGAGCCCCTGCTGCAGATTGCCAACTGACCCACCCAGTTTGGCTGCATCATTTGCCTGGATCTGTTCCAGGCATGCCAACCATGTGAGCTGGGCATTAAATGGCCAACTGAGACCCACCGACCAGCCTTTTGCTCGGCAGGGGCTTCTCCTCGTCTCCCCCTCAAAGCTGCTTCAAAGGCTTCAGCCCTCAGAGCCAGGCGAAGACTCTTTCTGTGTGGGGTGTTTCTGCCTACAAGTCCTGGGAAGTAGCAGCTCCCGCAGGGATTGCAGGAAAAGCCACCTTTGGCTGTGGTTGCCGCCACTGCAGGGGGCTGGAACGGATGACCCTTGGGGTCCCTTTCCCACGCGACCCCCCTCCCCAGAGGAGCCTCCCCCTGCCACTGCCCCCCCCCGACAAGGGCGCCCGCTCTGCTTACGGGTCAGGGCTTGTGCTGCCGCTGTGTCTCATCTGTGGTGTGCAAGGAGGCGCTGGCTGTGGGCTGCATACGGATGGCATCTCCGCCGCCTGCTGGGAAGGAAAGAAGCACAGCTGCCGTCAAGAGACCCCCAAAGGCTGGCCCAGGAGCAGGCAATTCCCCCTCCAGGCCCTTGGCAGAGATGCAAACCCCACGGACTCCCCTCCATAAAATAAAGCCACTCTGGTGGGTTCCCAACAGAACACCAAGAACAATAATAAAAAAGCAGTAATATCAAACATTAAAACAGGGCTGCCTTCAGATGTCTTCTAAAAGTCAGATAGTTGTTTTTCTCTTTGACATCTGATGGGAGGGTGTTCCACGGGGCAAGTGCCACCACCAAGAAGGCCCTCTGCCTGGTTCCCTGTAACTTGGCTTCTTGCAGGGAGGGAACTGCCAGAAGGCCCTCTGCGCTGGACCTCAGTGTCCGGGCTGAATGATGGGGTGGAGATGCTCCTTCAGGTCTACTGGGCTGAGGCCGTTTAGGGCTTTCAAGGTCTGCACCAACATTGAATTGTGCTCGGAAAACGTACTGGGAGCGAATGTAGGTCCTTCAGGACTGGTGTTATATGGTCTCGGCGGCTGCTCCCAGTCACCAGTGTAGCTGCCGCATTCTGGATTAGTTGTAGCTTCAAAGGGTCAGCACCCAAAGATAGCAAAAAAGAAAGCCCGCCCCCTCCTTCAAAGTCATACCTTCGTTCTCAGCACGGATCTGGGCTTCCAGGTCTTCGGGGTTGACGTACTTGTAGGGCTCCTCCTCCTCTGGGGGGCGGCACTTCCCACAGCAGAAGCAACAGCAGCAGCAGCAGCAGCAACAGGTGATCAAACTGCAGCACACCATCAGGGGCTGCGGAGAGGGGCAGAGCGGCCGGTCAGGAGCACAGGGCAACCAGAACTTGCCCCGTGGTTTATTACGAAACAGAATGGCATCAATGCAACTGGCACAACCAGAATACAGCAGTACCTCGGGTTAAGAACTTAATTAGTTCTGGAGGTCCATTCTTAACCTGAAACCGTTCTTAACCTGAGGTACCACTTTAGCTAATGGGGCCTCCTGCTGCCACCGCATGATTTCTGTTCTCATCCTGAAGCAAAGTTCTTAACCTGAAGCACTATTTCTGGGTTAGCGGAGTCTGTAATCTGAAGTGTCTGTAACCTGAAGCACCTGTAACCCGAGGTACCACTGTATATAATCTATATCCCTCAGTGAACTTTCTGGACCCTGGCACAGACCCTTATTGTGAAAGTGTCCCGGACAGCTCCCACTCCCCGATTCCCTAACCTCAGAAGGTGGTGGATTCTCTTTCCATATTAGGAAAGAAATGATAAAGCAAAGGGAAACTGAGGATGAGATTGTGAGGCCAGCGATGATTCACTGGGCATCAGATTTCAGGTACAATATAGAACTTTCAGCATGGGAAAAACTGGAAAAACGTGATAATTTTTTCAGCATGTTACACAATTAGGGAAAACATTCAAAAAATGATATCTGATACCCAAAAAACTCACCAAAATGTATAAAAGAGGATCAAATTTCTGTTGGATATGTTCAGATACAGAGAGATGTTTAATTCACATGTGGCAGCAATGCAAATTCGCAAAAAAATGGGAAATAGTAGTCAAACCTCGGTTTTCAAACATCTTGGATGCCGAACATTTTGGAAGCCGAACACTGGAAACCCGGAAGTGAATGCTTCTGTTTTCGACCGCACCTTGGAAGTCGAACGGCTTCCGAGGCGCGTTTCTCCATTTTTTCAATGGATTTTGTTGCCAGCCCTTTGATCCTCGGTTTACGAATGTTTCGGAACTCGAATGGACTTCCGGAACGGATTACAGTGGTACCTTGGGTTACATACGCTTCAGGTTACAGACTCCGCTAACCCAGAAATAGTACCTCGGGTTAAGAACTTTGCTTCAGGATGAGAACAGAAATCATGTTCTGGCAGCGCAGCGGCAGCAGGAGGCCCCATTAGCTAAAGCGGTGCTTCAGGTTAAGAACAGTCCTCTGGAACAAATTAAGTACTTAACCCGAGGTACCACTATACGTTCAAACTCTGAGGTTCCACTGTATCTGACAAGTTTAAGAAGATGCTTAAGTACACATCCCCCCCCCAAAAAAAAACCAGAAGCATTGCTGTTAGCAATAGTAGGTCAGGAAATATCAGACAAAGTTCAAAACCTATTTCAATACTTGCGTATAGAAGCCACAAAAATACTGTATGCAAAAATGTGGGAAGAGAAAGCCTTCCTGACAAAGAACCAATGGCTGTTTAAGCTAAAAGAATATGTTGAACTAGCAGGTATGATGGCCAAAATATGAAATATAGATTGAAAGATAGTAACAAGCAAGTGGGAACAATTGCAAGGGCGTTTAAAACGAAGTGGCATTAAGATTAATCCTAGTAGCAGAGATGAATCTGTGATCAGAAGAAGGCCAGTGGGCATAAGGCTAACGGCAAGCACAAATTCATAACAAACACATGCTGTAACTCGAGCAAAAGGTCCTAAACCTCTGGCTGGTGTGTGTGGGAATACATGGGGGGATGACACCCCCATACGGGTCCTCTGTCACTCACACGCACTTGGCTGCATCTCTCAGGGGTGGGGGGCGTTTGGTCCCCCCCCCCCAAGGACAGCCACCCACCTTGAACCACCATTTTGACATGAGGAAGTAGTATTTGACGCTCTCCTCCCCAAACTGCTCCGAGACGTAGAGCCCCATGGAGCCGTACTCGTCGTAGATCCGCCGCTTGTTCTCGTCGCTGAGGGTGGTGTTGGCGTTGTTGATCTCCTTGAACTTCTCCGCGGCTTCGGGATTCTCCGGGTTCTTGTCCGGGTGGTACTTCAAAGCCAGTTTCCTGAAAGGGCAAGGCGGCAGGGTTGGGGGCAAGCGGAGCCCAAGGGGAAATCAAAAGCATGAACGGATTCAAAATCCATTCAAAGAAAGGGAATTCTGACATGAAGAGCCGTGTGATCGTGGAACAGACTCTGAGGTCAGATGGCCCTCTGTCCTGGATGCTTTGGCCGAGATTCCTGCCTTGCAGGGGGTTGAACTAGATGCCCCTACCCTGGGGAGGGGGTCCCTTCCAACTCCACAATTCTAGAATTCTAATACAAAGCTTCACAAGGTTGCAGAAACTCGGAAGCATGGAGAGAAATGGCTAGAGAAAACCTGGATTTCCAAATCTAAGGGGCAGGAAGAAGCCCATATCTGAGATCCGCCTCGCCTCTCCGGGCTGGAAAGGAGCAGCCAGGCTGCCTTGAACTCGGAGCAAATGCACTCAGGGGGGTGGAGGGAGAAGAGACACAATGCCCAGGGGGACAGAAGGCTTCCAGGTCAAGGAAACCCGGATGCTGAGGCCAATGGACGCCCCACACAAATTAAGCACCCAGAGGGCAGAAGACGCCCCCTTCAGTTTCTGAGATGTCACCAGACGCCTGCCCAAGGCCCCCACTCTGCACATGCACAAAGGCTGAGGATGTTTGCCTTTTTTAAAGAAAAGGGAGCTGGGAAATGGAAGGCCTCATCCTGTGCTCCCAATGACTGGGACGTTTGCAGCGATGTGACCAGGAAACAAGGGGGCAGATGAAGGAAGGGGCAGGTGCTGGCAAGGGCTGAGCCCCCCCTGGGGGTGGGGGGGGCAAGAGGAAGCTGCATGCCGCCCTCCTGCCCCACAAGTCTCTGCTGCCTCCTCTAGGATTGGGAATTCTCCTTATTTAAGCCAGATGACGTACAAATGTAAGAAGAGCCCACTGGGTCAGGGCATGGGGGGGTGTCCATTTATTCCAGCACCCTCACAGTGGCCACCCACTGGGAGACCCACAAGCAGGACCTGCTTGCAACTCTACGGTTCCCCCACACCTGGTATTCAGGGGTAGACTGCCCCTGGGCATGGAGGTTCTGCTAGCCTATCCATGTGGAGAGCCCTGCCGCTGGGTTGGGTCAAAGGGGGACCATCTAGACCCCAGTTAGCCTGTTCTCAAAGCCGCCACCCAGACGCCCTACTGGGAATCCTGCCAGCAAAAATGGTTGGGGAAGAACCCAGATGTGGTTGGGGGCAGGAGGAGAGCAGAGTGGGAGCAGCCCCTGCAAGCCCACCTCCGGGCAGAGGGCAGAGGAGAGAAGCCCACCTGTACGCCTTCTTGATGTCCTCAGAGGAAGCCCCTTTCTCCAGGCCCAGGATGCAGTACAAACTCTCTCCGGCCCGTGACATCTTCCGCTGCGGCCGACCGGCGTCCGCCATCTTGCTCTAGATTGAGTAGCACAAAAGAACTGGGTCAGGGATTGCGAGGGGCTGGACTAGATGGCCCTAGGGGGTCCCTTCTGACTCTACAAGCGAGGGGCTGGGTGTGGCCCCAGGTCTCAGGAGACCCCTGGCCAAGGCCAAACAAGCTCCAGAGATCACACTGGGGTGGGAGGCAGTGGGACCCAAGTGACCTCAACAAACAGCATCACCTCACTCTGGGTGGGGTGTGAGGAAGAGACCCTAAACCCCCCCCCCCGGATGCATGCCCAGCCAGGTCTCCCTCCAACTCTCAAGAGTGGGGGGGTTCCTGCCCACTCCCCCCAAAAGAGCAGACCTCAGGCCCAGTCTGGGGTGAGGCATGAGGACAGAGAGACAGAAAGCTGGCAAATGCCCTCTGCCTGGCACAGCCTTGGTGGCTCTGGGAAGGGACCCTGGCATGGAAAAGGGGCTGGGCAGGGTCGGGGGGGCACCCAGCCAGCAGATCAAACACTCCTCCGTTACAGGAGGATAAAAAAGGGAGTGTGGTGGTATAAGATGATAAGCCTGAGATGGTAAAATCAAGAACAGCTCAGTTGGTCGAGCATCGGACTCTTGATCTAAGGGTCACGGGTTCGAGCCCCACATAGGGTGAAAAAACACCTGCGCTGGGGGACGGGGTGGGCTAGATGACCCTTGGGATCCCTCCCAGCTCTATGAATCTATGAAAAAGGAACTGAGAAACCATTCTGTGTTTACATGTGCCTTTGTAATAATATGCAACTTCCAACCCCTGTTGGAGTATTTTCTGGCAGTGTAGTGGTTAGAGAATTGGGCTGGGGAGGAGTGACTAGGCCCCAGGGCCCAACTCAGCCGCAAAGCTCCCTGGGGGGCTGGTCTCCTTCTCTCTCCCAGTCTTGCCCACCTCACAGGGCTGTCGTGAAGACTGACCACGCCCCCCGCCTTGAGCTCCTTGGAGGAAAAGGCAGAAGAGAAGTGCCATAAACACAGACGACACATGCGGAAAACCTTTCTTAAGAGGTTTTAAAGTGTGGGTGGAGGGGGAGGAGAAGGGCAGCTCCCCATGCCAAGCCCCACAAGATGCCGATGGGCCCCAGGGGGTGGAAGGCAAAGGCAAAGGCTGAACCACCCAGATGGACACCAGCTGCCCCCAGCCGGGCAACTGCCTGTTACAGGAATTCTAAGGTCTTATATATGTAAATTAAATGTTCGTAAATGTACAAGGCAAACACATACACAAGTATATAAATCATGTGTCTGAAATAGTACAGGAGAGCAATTCTGGAGCCATGCTGACTCTCCCAAATAGACCACAAGTATTTCTCTGCAAGGAGGAAGGAAATGGGGAAAGCTTCCTGATTGTCTTTGGACTTTGGGCGTGCACCTCTCTGCAAATACAGTCCGGCAAGAATCTGTGAAGCTGAGCACACTCTCAGTATTGCTTCAGGAACTAAGTATTTACGGTCTCCAAGGAATGGCCAGGCTACCCAGAAAAGGCAAGCAAGCAAGACATGATCAGGCAGGCAGGAGAGAAGCAACACACTCCAATTTCCATAGCTGTCAACTTTTCCCTTTTCTTGCGAGGAATCCTATTCGGAATAAGGGAATTTCCCTTGAAAAAAGGGAAATGTTGACAGCTATGCCAATTTCTGCTGGGGACCCCCGCTTTCTGTGACGTATGCATGCTGTTTTGGGGGTGGTCTTGAGCTACAAAGAAGAGCTTGCACGCCAATGTTCGGGGTTCCTCCTCCCTCCCTCCCCGTTGCAGCAGTTAATAAAGATCCGGCTTCCGAGCTGCTTCGCTTCTCAAGATTCCCCGCTTGGCCTCTGCTATTTTCCTCCTCCCGATAGGGAACCCCCATCAGGACTCCATGGGGGCTCTTGTGCCCCCCCATAGGGGGAAAGGAGCCATTTCCCCCCCTTCTCTCCCGCCCCTCCGGCCCCGCCAGGCTAAGCCCGCCTGATCTGGCTTTGCGAGGCCGAAGGGCTGAGCCGGATTAGCCCGAAACGAGGCCACGGGGGGGGGGAGGGGAGAGAGAGGACCCCCCACCCCACCCCCTCCCTCCCCACCCCAGGCCGCCCTCCACGCGGGAGGGAGGGAGGGAGAGACCCCTCTTCCCCGGCTGCCCCCCCCTCCCCGCCCGCCCGGGGGGAAATGTCTCGGCCCCCGGGAAGCCCCCGCGTGACGCAATGCCCGGGGCGTGACGTCAGGAGGAAGGCGCGCGAGGCGAGGCCCGGGGTCCCCCCCCGCCCCCCCCCCCCGGGCTCACCAGGCGGGTCTCCGGCGGCCTCTTCCTCTTCTTCTTCTTCTTCTTCTTCTTCCTCCGCTCCCCGGTCAGCGACCGAGCGAGCAGGACCAGGCGGCGGCACTGCGCAGGCACGGAAGCAGCTGAGGGAGCATGCGCACTAGAGCGGGACTTCGCAGTCCTCCGAAGAGAGAGCGGCCCGCCTTCCGCGCTTCCGGCTTCCTTCTTCCCGGCGCCGGATGCCAAGGGGAGGAGCCGGAGGGTCCTGCGCGGCTGCCATTGGTCGGGAGAGAGAGAGAGACGCCCGAGCGACGGGTGAGCAGCCGAGGAAAGAGGAGGAGGAGGGAGGAGGAAGAAGAAGAAGAAGAAGAAGAGCTGGCTCGATTTAGGGGAGGGGAAAGGGCAGGTCTCCTTTTCCCAGAAAACTCTGGAGTCATGAAATTGATGCACTGATTTTGTATTTTGGTTTACGCAAATTCTTGGTAAGCTAAGAAATTCACAACCAGGCATCACTAACTCGAAGATTTGGCTACTTTAGGCGAAAACAGACAAAAGTTGAAATACTAAAACGGATTAAAAGTACCTCATCTTCCTAAGCAGCTGGATGGGCATAGCCAAGCAAAAGTTTTTAGCAGGTGCCAAAGAAAACACAGTGAAGATGCAGGGGACTCCAGAGTTCTTACAAATGCAGTATTATGGGGCAGCAGTGCCCACTCCAAGGGGGATAAGCCAGGAGAGCCAAAGACTGAGGGATTCAGGGCAAAAAGAAGGAACTATGGAACTCCCTCCCACAAGCAGCAGTAATAACCAGCAACCTCAGAGAGGGGTGGGCTTCACTGGAGATGTTTAAGCAGAGGCTGGAAGGACACCTGTCTGAGATTCTTTAGCTGTGATTCTTGCATTGCAAGGGGTTGGCGTAGATGACCTTCGGGGGACCCTTCCAACCCTACAGTAACTAGGAGTGAACCCAAGGCAGACAATTGTTACACTATTTGTTCTGTTTTTGCTATACGTCAGCAGAACAGAAATAGAACATAGACACCCCACTCCTTAAAAATAGGGTTCATCTAAGTTCGTGGAAACGATATATTTTAGATGATTAGGATAAAGTATTTTCTGTATTTTATATTGTAATTTTGTGTTGTTAACCACCCTAAGATCTATGGGTTTAGGAAGTCGAACAGCCTAGTTCTCGAATGTTTTTGCTCCCAAATGCTGCAATCCCAAAAGTGTGTTCTGGTTTGCGAACGTTCTTTTGGAAGCCTAACATCCAACAGGGCTTCCAATTGGCTGCAGGAGCTTCCTGCAGCCAATTGGAAGCCGCATTTTGGTTTCTGAATGTTTTGGAAGTCGAACGGACTTCTGGGACAGATTCCGTTCAACTTTCAAGATACGACTGTATAATAAAGCAATTTCTCAATGCCTTAGATTGTGAGTATACAAATCCCAGGAATTAATGTTGGGTCTTTCCTTCCCCTCCAATCAATTATAGTTTTCCTTTTGTATCAGTATGATTGATGTTTTTTGCATTATGTCTTTTTAAAAATTGAGCACCTTGAAGTGGGCCTTGAAATGAAACCGGTTCTGAGAGCTCTGCAGGGAACCCCAGGCAGGAATCTTCCGAGTTGTCTTCAAGGGCAGCCCCAACACACTGAAATAGTCGCCTGGAGGTTTCCCTCCGCCATCGCCGGACATTCACTTCCACCCATTTGCCCAATCCTTCTTTACTGCGGGGGGGGGGGGAGCCTGAGGTTACTGGACTCCCATCAGACCACCTGCCCAGTACTCAGGGGCAGTGGGAGTCTAGCACCACCAGGGGGTCTTCCTGACTTCAATGGGGCGCCTAGTTCTTTTTTAGGACTGCATCATCCACGTCCTTCACCAGAAAAGCTCTTCTCTTCCATCAGGCTGGAGGTTGACCTTCCTTATAATCAAAGGTATTTTCCCATTGCAGGTATTGGTACACAGGTGTCTGCCCATAAACCTGTGTGCAATCAACTAGTGCGCAGCTGCATATATGAACATACCAGTGTACTGGAAGAAGCAAAGTTGATGAGTTTCGAAGCACTAATTCTTCAACATCAACTTCGTTGGACTGGTCATGTTGTGTGGATGCCTGATGATCGTCTTCCAAAGCAACTACTCTATTCTGAACTTAAAAATGGAAATCATAATGCTGGTGGTCAACAAAAGAGGTTTGAAGACTCTCTCAAGGCAAATCTTTAAAAAATGTAGTATAAACACCAACAATTGGGAAACACTGGCCTACGAGTGCTCCAATCGGAGAACAGCCTTGACCAAAGGTGTCATGGGCTTTGAAGATGCTCAAACTCAGGACGCAAGGGAGAAAGGTGCTAAGAGGAAGACGGCACACTTGGCAATCCCTCACCGTGGTCAACTCCTGCCTGGAAACCAATGTCCCCACTGTGGAAGGATGTGTGGATCCAGAATTGGCCTCCACAGTCACTTACGGACTCCTTGTTAAAACCGTGTTTATGGAAGACTATCTTACTCAGCTACGAGGGATCGCCAAATAAGTGATTATCTAAATAATATAATCCATATCCAGAAATGGAGGGAGAAAGCTAGAAAGTCCTCTTGGCTCTTGAGGAGACCCTCCCCAGAGTCTGAAGGGGATTTCAGTGAGGGCAGAGAAGAGTCCAGCCAGACCCAGAGCCTCAGTTCGAGTTGTGGATAATTTTGGAACTCTACATCCTTGGGAGAGAGCGGCAGAAAGAGCATTTAAAGGGTGCTCCCCCCCCCGTCCGATTTTCACACTTGTATTATTATATGGTATCACATAATACTACACAGGAGTCGCCTGTTTTATTATATGGTCTTCTAAATGGGAAGACTGCCATTCAAACTGAGAGTGACACCTTGAACACGCTGTGCTGAAGGAAGTGACCCCCTTGCCATCTGCCCAGCCGGGGCAAATCTGAACAAGCCCAGAGCCCCCACCCCCCAGTGTGTTCCCCTCTGCAGACCCTCCTTCCCCCAACTGAAAAAGGGGAGAAGCAGGAGCCACTCTTGGTCTTTATTATCACGTACAAAAGCAAAGAAGGCAGATCCGTACAGTACTTGGAGGAGGTGGTCCAGGAAGGCAGGCAGGCTGGCCGGCTGGCCTTAGGCGAAGGACAGGGGTGGGAGAGGAGGGACCCCCCCCCCAGGCCTCTGGAGTGCAGGTCCACCTGCCTGTGGAGGCATGAGAAAGGGAGGGGGGCGGCTGGCGCCATGGCCCGCTGGCTCCGAGGGCAAGAGGCGGCCAGGGATGTTTCCTGCACAGCCCGGCTGGCCCTGAGCCCCGGCAGCACAGGGGGAGTCATGGGGGGGGGGTCCCGAGGACAGGATGTAGCAGGGGGGTCCCTTCGAGCTGGGAGCGTCCCTGCCGAGGAGCGCAGCGGACCTCACTGCAGCCACTTTAGCCCCGGGTGGGCCAGCAGACAGAGCGCTGGCGAGGAAGAAAGGACCCCAATAAATATGGAGATGGAGGGCAGTGGCGGCGGCAGCACTCTCCCCTCCCCGGGAGAAAGGCATGCAGTCACAGCAGCGCCCACAAGGTCTGGCGGCGCAGGGGGTCCAGCTCCCTCCACGCCCCCCAGCCCTGTCGAAAAGCGAGGCCAGCTCAGCAGTCCATGCAGTCTCCCTCGTACCAGGAGGGCAGGGCGCTGTCGGTGCCAAAGTATCTGTCGCCGAAGTTCCCTGAGGAAAGGCAAGCCGCAGGGGTCACAGAGGCAGGCGAGGGAGGAGAACAGAGCCTGCTGGATCAGGCCCAAGGGGGCATCGAGCAGCCTCCTGTTCTCACCAAACACCCCCAAAGAACCCAGGAATCTAGACAGACTTCCTCTAGATGTGGAAGTTCCATGAGAACGTAAGAAAAGTCTGCTGGGACCAGCCAGTGGCCCATCTAGGCCAACATCCTGTTCTTACAGCAGCCGACCAGACGCCCATTATGGGAGCAAACCAGGAAGCAGGATCCGAGCACAAGCGTTCTCTCCCCTCCCGGCCCACAAGGGAACTGGCAACACTGCCCATCGGGGAACCGGAGAACTCCCTCCCAGGGCAGCAGCTTCTTTCTCTGACAGGGAACAGAGCCCCCCACCTTGAGCTGGTTCTGCCCCTCCACAGGAAGTGGGGGCCTCTCAGGAGCAGGTGAAGCCCCCCCCCAGCAGAGCTCTTGCTCACCAATGCCTGGAATGATGTGGAACTCCTCGCTGACCCTCTTGTCCACGGCTGTGGTGATGATGCGCACCCGGGGGAAGGCGTAGGCGACCGAGTGGACCCCCATCTCGGCCATCAGCAGGGAGAGCAGGAAGATCCGGTCCTCCTGGACGTCGTGGTCCTGAGGCAGAGAGACACAGAGTTGAAAGGGACCCCCAGGGGTCCTCTAGACTTGCCACCTCCAGTGCACAGATGGCAAACATCACTTGGAGGACAGTGCCAGCAGCCAAGCGGGCCCCAAACTGCGTCTGGCACACACTGCTTTCCACAGGCACACCTCCAAGCTCCCTCCTGCATGGCAGGGGGATGGACTAGATGAATCAAGGGGACCCCTGCCAACTCTGATTCTCTGCTGGCAATCATAACCCTCTTCCGGTCGCCTGCCTGCCCTCCCCCAAAAACACAGGCAAACAAGGCCTGCTTGTTCCTGGGCCCTGAGCAGCCCCATGCAGGGGTCCCGGCCCCACAAGCTCCCCCCTGCCCCCCACTCCCCTTCGCCAGGGTCTCCTCACACACCAGCAGCACTCGGATGGCCATCATGGCTGCTGCCCCCGTGGAGACCGTGCTGTCCATCAGGATGACATAGTCCTCGCTGATCTCCTTGGGGAGCCGGAGGTAGTGCAGCTGCAAGAGGAGGGGGGGAAGGGGGCGCAGGTCAGTCTTAGCCGTGGGGAGAGGCGGCCCCTGCCCTCCCGCCAGCCCCCTCCCCTTCGCTACCTCTGGCTCCCCTGTGTTGTGGTTGGTCTGGATGAGGATCTTGCCCAGGCGAATGTCCTTGCAGACGGCCGTCAGAGCCTGCTCCATCGTCTCTCCCGCCCGCAGGATGGAGACGCCAGTGATCTGGGAGAGGAGGAAGCAGAGGAACTTGTCTCCGGCGGCCCTCAGCGCCCGGCACAGGATCGTCCCTGCCCTCCGTCCAATGGGGAGAAGCCCACAGCTCGGCAGCGCAAGGGCTGGGCCAAAGACCCAGCAGCAGCAGCTCCTGTGGAAAGGCCCTGCGCATTGGCTGCCGGCCAGAGTCATCTCCCACCCAGCGGAGCCCGAGACACTTCCGTGCACGGAGCGTGACTCACCCGCTGCCGATGGAACCGCTTTCCCTCGTAGACCGTCCCTTGCGGCGTCTCAACCGTCACCGGCTGCAAAAGGCCACGGAAGACAAGGGTGGGCGGGAGGCAGGAGAGCCCGGCAGGCTCTTGGGCATTGCCCGCGAGGGGGAGCTGCCAACCAGCCAACCAGCCAGCCAGCCATCACGCTCACCCTGGGAGTGGCTGTGCCGCCTCCAGGGGCTCCTGTGGCATGCTGAATCCCAGAACTGGAAGTGGATGGGTCCCCCAAGGGCCATTTAGTCCACTCCTGCCATGCAGCAATGGGAGCAGGAGGCGCACGCACCTTGAGGGGCAGGAAGGAGAGGGCATGCTCAATCAGCAGGCGCATGAGGCGCTTGGAGTAGAAGATGAACTCGTCCCGGGTGGTCTCCTTGTTCCTGGGTGGGGAAGCAGAGGCAGGGGAGGTGTGGGGAGAAGGCAGGATTGGCACAGCGTCAGAATCAGAGAACTGTAAGGGACCCCCAAGGGTCCTCTAGTCCAGCCCCCCACAATGCTAAGAGTGGCAGCTGAAGCTTCCCTAAAAAGTGCCCATCTTGCGGGAGGATCTACAGCCAAATGGCAAGTTGCATGGCGGCTAGATAGTCCCAGACAGGGGTCTCTATGGGGGCGTCTCCTCTAAACCTTTCTGGCAGGAAGGGGAACCATAGAAACCATCTCCACTTCTTCCTGTCACCACACGCCCTTTTTCCTACCTGTGATGGGGAAGGACGTTTCTTTGCTCTCCTCCAGAAAGCAATCTCCAGTTTGATCTGGATATTTGTGGCGTCTAAGGATTACTGCCTGCCTGATTTTTGTCACTGTAACTGTTGAATCCTGGCAAGACTATGATGTGAGTAAACCTTATTTTTTTCTTACTTAGTCTGAGTGACTCTTTTTTGTTAAGAGGGAGAATATAACCCAAATCTGCCTAAAGCATCCTTGGATATCATGGTTGTTCTAAAAAGTTATGCAAGCGTGTCCTAATAGTTTTCAGAGGCGGATAGATAGCGATTTTCAATTCTACTGAAATAGGTATTTGTGTTCTCACAAGTCAAAGGATCATTACTAGATAAAAGATCCTCTCCTACTCATCCACCACACACCCAACCTCTGCTTCAAAACCTCCATCAAAGGAGGAAGCGCCGATTCCCCTGCCCCCCAACCCAGCCCTCTCAGACCTTGCCACCCCCCAGTACCTGATGATGGTGTGCATCCCGCGGACCTGGGGTGTGCTGTCCAGGACACTGAGGGTCTTTGGCAAGGGCTGTCCCTGGTGGGCCGAGGCCAAGGCTGCTCTGTGCAGGAGGAGGAGGAGGAGGAGGAGGAAGTTGAGAGCTCCCCAGCAAGGGGTCGGCTGGCCGGCTACAGGACAGGGCCAGCTGCTCCCCATGCAGTTCCGCCTCGCCTGGTTCACATCCCTCAATGCCCTGACCCGGGGGGAAAGTGGGGCCAGCCCATTGCGCCTCAAAGAAACCCCCCCTTACTGTTCCCACTCTAGGGAGTTCTTGGATAATCCCCCTGCCACTGGAAGTCCAAATTCCCAGCCCCTCCACCCCGGGCCAGCGCTAGAATTTCTCCAGGCGCATTTTGCACCTGGCTATTGGCCGCTTGCAACCAAGTGAAGATGGCCAGGCACCAGGAGGCCGCCTGACATCACCACTGCCTGGAGGCGCCTGCCTGGGGAACCTTGGGTCTGGACTGTTTTCACACTCTAGCAACACATCCTGCAGAATTCTACCAGCTATATTTTATCTGCACAATGAGAATGAATTTCAGGAACCAAAGACATATTGAAAAATACAACTTTCAAGCCGCCTGGTCCCCAAATGGCAACTGGACCTTCAGTTTTGGCAACTGCAACCTTCGTTTACGGAGCCTTTTGGCGCCAAGCAGGCAAAGGGGGCTGCCCTCGTCTCCCAGCAGGGAGGGGGCTCCTTGCCACATGCACTACTCTGCCAGAGGGTCAAGGCTCCTGTCTGCCCCCCATCCCTGGGGTCCTCGCCCAGAGGAGTCAGGCGCACTTTGTCCCTCTTCCTCTCCACCAGCTCCGCTCTGCCCTGCCCCTCCTCTCCCCACACTCCGCCCCACTCAAAACCGAGCACAAGACACAGGGGAGGGGCGGGAGGCGCAGCGGGGAAGAGCCAAAGGAGACCAAGTGTCCTCACATATGCCAGCGCAGCTTCCTCTGGTGAAGACGCCCAGGGCCAGCAGGGAGGGAAGGAAGAGAGACAGACAGACAGACAGACAGACAGGGTGTTAGGGAGGAGGGCAACGAGGGCAGCGGCTTCCTGCCAGGTGCAGGGGGGTGGCAGGAGGGGGAGAGGAGGAGGAGGAGTGCCCCACAGGACCCAGGCAGGCGAGGGGGCAGCCTACATCTCCCCCTGCACCCCACTGAAGGAAGGCCCAGAGCAGCTCCTCCCCCTCTCTCCCCCCTCCAGCAGCCAGGAAGGACAAGGCAAGGCAGGGGAGAACGTTGCTCTGGTGGTTGCAGGTCGCTTTGGGTTGCCTTGGGCGAGATAAAGCGACTAAGAAATTTAGCCAACAGATAATCGTACGTAGAATCTAGTCCAGTCCCCTGCAATGCAGGGTCCACACAGATGCTGCCACCCAGCAAGCAGGGTTCAAAAAGCAGGGAGGGGGGTTGGCGAAGCAGAAGCGCCCCAAAGAGGGCTGGAGCTCCCCCAGGAATGCAGAGGGGAAGCCTATCAGCAGCCCCACCAAAGACAAGCAGGCGGAGGGAACTTGCCAGAGGTGGCAGCCCAACCCAGCATGCTCCCCAAGGGAACCAGCCAGAAAGGCCTGGCAGCACAACGCAGCCCCAGTAAGTGGTGGGTCTAGTCCCCTCCCCAGACAACCTGCACCCCCTCCTTGCCTTCTCCCCCCCCCCCCAGCTGCAGGGCCCAGCCCTCCCCCCTGCTCCCTCGCTGGCTGGCTTGCTGAGTGGCTGGGAAAGCACCAGGAAGGGGGTTTTTTGGGGGGGGGAGGCGAGGGTCCAAGCTCTGCTCCTTCAGGGCCGCCGTCATACCTGACCGTGATTTCGCGCTGAGCGGAGGCAGGAGTGGCCCACAGCGGGAGGCAGCAGAGTCATTACAGGGGGGGGGGGCGGGGGGAGGTGGAGAGAAACACAGAACAGCCGTCACTGCACACCCCCAGCTCTGCCCCCACAGGCTTCCCACCTCCCAACCCCAGGCCCTGTCACTGGGGGGCAGCCCAGCGCGGGACTGAGCCTCGTTCAGGGATCACCTGCCCAGGGTCCGGGGCCAGGCTGAGACCAGGACAAACCGAGGTGCCAAGAAGCGGGTGATGAGAAGAAGGAAGAGTGACCGCACGGGGCTGTGGACCACCCTGCAGCAGTGGAGACAGGTCCCCACGCCCACCCCATGCTGCCCCAAAGGCCCCCCCCCCACCGACCTCCTCACCTTCTCCAGCTGGCTGTGCACATGCTGGACAATCAGATCCAGAGCCACAAAGTTCTCCCCACCTGGAGAAACAGCAAGGGGGGAGGAGAGGAGCCCATCAGAAAGACTTGGGCGCACTTGCTCCAACAGGGCAGGGATGGCAGAGTTGGCGCTCTGGCACTTCCTCCTCTGGGAAGCCAAATGCCGGGAGATCCAAGGCAGATAAAAGAAAAGGACTCCTTCACACAGGGCAGAGTTAAACTATGGAACTCCCTTCCACAGGAGGCAGCGATGGCCACCAACCTGAACAGCTTTAAAAGAGGAGAGGCCCTGGGCACCAGCTCAGACCATGCTTCCAAGGGTTGTGAAGCAATGGATAAACGGCTAAAGGTCCATCTCTTGAGGGGAGGGAGGTCGACTCCTTTGCCCACGTGGCATCTTGGCCCGGCCCCTTCTCCTTCCCGGGACACCAGGACATCTTGAGTTCCTGCTTCCACAATCCCAAGACGCTTTGCAGACGGGCTCCTAAATATTCTGAAATGCCTACAGGGACTTACTGGCCCCTGCTGGCTGCACCAGAGGGTCCTGCCCAGTACATGAACCAGTTCTACTTGGCTCAGAGATTAGCTCAATCCTTGGTGAAGCTCCCAGAGATTTTTCAGGCCTCCTATGATTGTGGAGGGGAGAAATGGTTTTGTAAAGTATTGCGGTACCCAACTGGCAGATACTTTATAGAATGCAGTTGAGAGCTCTCTCCTGTACAGCGGGCCAGGGGCTCATCGCGCCCGGCATTCTGTTCTCCCAGGGGCCAGACATAGGCCTTTGAGATGCCCACACACAGGAGGTGAGAGTGACCGCCCCCCCAACAGGATCTCCAGCCAAGGTGTATTCAGGGGCAGGGGGCCTCTGTTCCACAGCCAACCCATCTAGGTGCCAAGGAGAGCCTGGCCTGCCCCCCATGCCTTTGCCTGATCCTCATTTAGAGCCCCCCAGTTGGAGGCCTCAACACGCCTTGCAGAAACCTAGCAGAGGTTTAATGCTGAACTCCACCTTCAAGGTTTGAGTGGTGGCAGCTGCAAACCGGGATTGGTGACTCCCGTGCAAAGAACTAAGAGCAGGAAGGAGTGCAGCAGCCAGCCTGAACACAGAGGGAAGGGGGTCCAAGGGAGAAAGATCCTGCCCACCCAGCCTCTCCCCCCTTTCCAGAGGGATCTCCCAGCGTCCCCCAACGCCCTCTCGGGACACAGGGAACAAAGCCACCTCCTGCGCAGACCCCGTGGGCCTCCCCTCCTCACCTCGCGGCACCACAATGTCCGCCGCCTGCATGGTGGGCTCAATGTACTGCTCAAAGGCCGGCTTCACAAACTTGCTGTACTGCTTGATGACGCCGGCCACTTCTCGCCCACGCTCCATGATGTCCCTCTTCAGGCGCCGCACCAGCCGAATGTCCGAGTCGGTGTCCACAAAGACCTTCATGTCCAGGAGCTGCAGGAGTCGCGAGGAAGAGGGTGGGAGGCTCAGGCCTCTGTGGGGAGGCCTCCCCCTCTGGCCAGCCCAAATGTGGGTCCTGGGGAGGCAGCCTCCTGCATGGGGCTCCCACAAACGAGACACATTTGGGAAACAGGGCCTGTAAGGTAGCCCCTGCCTGGAACACCCCCTCTTTCCATACCTGCAGGAGCTCCTTATTGGCAAAGGCCAGGATCCCTTCAAACACAATCACATTGGCCCCATAGATGGTTTTCTGCAGAGAGAGGAGGAAGGATGTATCAGACTACCTGGGGAGCACCCAGCACCCATACGAACCTCAGAAGAGCCTGCTGGATCAGGCCAAATGGGGTCCCACTGACTGCAGCATCCGGTTCTCACAGTGGCTCAACAGCTGCCTGAGGGAAACCCACAAGCAGCACACGGCCCTCCTGTGGTTTCCATTGAGAAGCACGGCTGCCTCCATCTTGGCTAGTAGCCATGGATAGCCCTCCCCTCCGTGAATTTGTCCCACCCTCTTTTCAAGCCACCCAGGAGATGGTCTCCTGGTCTCCTGGCCTCTTCCAGGCTGGCCGGCAACCTCTCTCTCCCAAGAGAGCCCAGACTCAGTCCCACCAGCCTGCCTCCTGGGCCTTGCCGTCCCACGTACACCTGGGTCCCAAAGGGGCAAAGAGCCCCCACAGGAAAGCCGCACATGGGAGTGTGCACATTCCCTCACCCCTACACACACAGACACAAAAAGAGTTGGTGCACCATCCTTGGGGAGAGATTCATTGAAAGGGGTGGGCAGCCTCTGCTACTGATTTCAAAACAAAAGCGGCTCTACATCCTTGACAGATCTGTCCTCTGCTCTCAAACCCCCACCACTCCTCCCACCCCCAGAAGTGGTCCCTACAACACCAACAGACAAGGCCTGTTCTGCGTTCTCTTCCGGGATCTCAGGGTGCTGGTGCTCATAAGAGAGCATTAACCCTCCCGCTCAGCACTCAATAATATACTGTCCATCCCACCCAAAAAGCAACATTCTGCAGACCAGAATCTCCTCTTCTACCAGTTTACACACACACACCTCCAGCTCCAGCCAGGATCTACAGACACCCACACTCCTTTGGGAAGGACCACAATGAACTATAATTCAGGACAGTCACTTTGATTTTATCATCATATTTTGACTTGAGTCATATGCCACCTTGGAAGGATTTGTATCCTCAAAGGCAGAAAATAAACAAATTACCATAGATCAGTGAAAGGAGAGAAGGGCAATGCCAGGATGACGATCACACATAGAGTCGTCTTCCCAGAGGCCGCAGCCCAGAAGAAGAGCTCCCTTCCTCACCCCAAGTGGGCTTCAGAAGCAACACAAAGTTTGGGAATTCAGAGCAGCGTTTTGTAGCTGGGCCCAAGCAGGGGGACACGGCTGTAAGGGACCAGAGCAGCAGGAAGACAGCAGCACACCTTGGCAGCGCCTCGGGGACACCACCCACCAGCAGAGCGGTCTTTTGGTTCAAAACAGCCCTGTGCAGAAATGCAGCTTCTGCTCCCTGCTTCCCCTCACAAACTGACTTCAGGTTCAGGTAAACGCAAGCAAACTGCGCCACTCCTTGCAGCTGCAGAATACAGCGCAGGTCCCTTTGTGGCTCCCGCCCAGCCTCACGGAGGACGGCTCCTTTGGGCCTTGAGGGAATGACGCAGCAAAGACTGAGGGAGGGGGCCTCAGTTCCCTCTTCCCAGTCTCGCCCCACATACCCACTCCTTGCTCCGGCTGTGCGTGGTGAAGTCGTAGACGGGCACTTTGACACTTTTGCCCTCCTTGAGCTTCCGTAAGACACTGATCAGCAGGTCAAAGTCAAAGGCATCGGGGTGGTCAAAGTTGTACTCGTTGCAGGCAGCCAGCTGCTGCTGGTCCTTGCTCAGCACCTGGGAGAGCGCAGGGGGAGGGAGGGGCGGATCAGAGAGGCAGAGGGGACCCGCCCCCATCAGATCCGGGCTTGGAGCTGGGCAGGAGACCCCACCCACCTTGTAGAAGCTGTCCATGGAGAGCAGCACCACCCAAGGCACATCCAGGGCTTCGATGATCTTGTTGGCCACCGTGGTCTTGCCCGAGGCACTTCCACCACACAAGCCTGAGAGAGAGGGAGGCCCATGAGATACCGGGACCCTTCAGCCGAGGGGCCCAGCTGCAGAGGGCAAGCCAAGAGGCTCCGCCACCGAGGCAAGGTCCTGGCCAGCCTTGCGGGGGGAAATGATCCAAGGCCAGCTCTTCCGCGGCACAAGGCAAGGGGGAGAGAGCTGCACCCACAGAATCACAGAACTGTAGTGTTAGAAGGACCCCCAAGGGTCATCTAGCCCAACCCTCTGCAATGCAGGCGTCACCTTTCCCACCCAAGGAAAGGGCACTCTGAAGTCATCTCTGCCACTCTGACTGCCAGGAAGCAATCGGGTGACTCAGCTGGCAAGAGAGAACCAAGGGAGGAGGGAGACCCCCGGAAAGAGCTGCCCCCCTCCCCCTGCAGGCAAATGCAGGAAGCGCTGGGCGGGGTCCCCCATCCCTCCAGCCTCTCCCCCGCCTGCCCCGGGCTGCAGCCCCCCCCCCCCCCGCCTCCTTGTCCTCAGGCGGCCCCCGCAACAGACGGCGCCCCCAAGCCCAGCAGCTGCTGCAATTGCGAGGGCGGCCCGCCTGGGCTTGGCAGCCCCTCCTGCCGTCTCCGCGGGCGCCTGGGTCCCTCCCTCCCTCCCCCCCCCCCGCTCACCGATGACGAAGGCCTCCTTGAAGGGGGTGCCGGTCTCGTTGTACCAGGGCGGGCGGCCGGCCGTGTAGATGGTGCGCTTGCTGGTCCGCAGCAGCGGCGGCTCCGTCTTGGACTGGCTCGTGGTCCGTTTCCGCGGCGAGAGCGCCGGCGTCAGCGGCGGGCGGCACACCAGGCTGTCCAGGGCGGGGGCTCCGCTGCGCCGGGAAGGAGAAGGCCGCCTCTGAGCACGGGCAGAGCGCCCTGGGCCCCGCCGCCCTCCGCCCGCCCCTCGCCCGCCTCACCTGCCGCCCTCCGCCCGCCCCGCCCGCCCCTCGCCCGCCTCACCTGCTGCCTCGCCGCCCTCCCGCCCGAGCCGCCTCCTCAGCCGCCATCTTGGCCGCCTCGCGCCGCTCTTCCAGCGCCCCCAGCCGCAAAGCCTGCCGGGAGGCGCGCAGGGCGACGTAGCGGACGTCATCGGCGGCGCCCGCTCTTCCTCCCTCCGCGAAACTACCATTCCCGTCAGGCACCGCGCGCACGGAGGGAACAGAGGCGAGAAAGGGGAGAGCAGCCCTCGCGCAGTCCGAATGGGGCAATTCCGGGCTCCCCCGACCGTGTCCTTGTCGGGGCTGGGGGGGGGGGAGTGTCGCCTAATGGTTAGAGTGCCCTTCCCTCGAAGATCCCAGGGCGACTCACAACAGAAAAGCTCCTGGGCCCGTCCTCGTCTTCTCTCTCAACCTGACCTCCCTTTGCAGGAGGATCCCTTTGTGAGGATCAAATGAGGGCGAGGATCTGGGAGATCAGGGTTCGAATCCCCTCTCACTGAGAGAGAGACCAGGCCATTGAAACTGGGCAGGCGGGGTATTACTTTTGTTGGTTATCATGGAATGCATGCTATACCGCGAGGGCGGCATAGAAAATTAATAATAATAATAATAATAATAATAATTCTTCACAGGGCCGTTGTAGGGATTAATTGAGGAGAGGGGGAACCGTGTGACCACCTCCAAGGACGTAAAAGGAATGAATGAATGAAGCTGCCGAGAGAGGAGCCCCTCCCGGCGATTCCCGACCCAGGGGAGGAAGATCGGTCTCCTGCTTACAACTCCCCCACCCCGCAAAAAGTGCTCGGCGATGGGCGAGGCTCCTTCTTCAAGGCGCGTCCAGGAAGTCTGCCTTGCATTTGACTTCTTGGTTCCTTTGTAGGGCGACGCTGCTTCCTGGGAAGCGAGCCACACCAGGGAAGGAAGGCTGTCTCCGCCTCCGCAGCAAGGCCTTCTTGGCGGTGGCCCCTGTCTGCTGCTCGCTCACTTCCTTGTATCTCCCGCACGACCTCCTCGTTCTGCCGGGCGCTGACGCAGAGCGATCCCCTGCTCCAAGGCTGGGGGGGGGGGCGCATCTGGCGGCCCTCTCGGGTGTGCGGTGCCAGAGGGCCCGCCAAACCCAGGGATCTCCTTAAATCGTCATATGTGATCCTTATAATATCTATCTATCTATCTATCAATCATCTATCTCATGTATAGTTGCTGTTATTATTATTATTTAAATGTCTTCGTGGCTTTACTTGTGGATATGACTCAGAGCGACTCGCAGATACCACAGAAAGACTAAAACCAATTAAAACAAAACCGCATCTTGATAAATAAAAGGCAGGTGTCGTCATGTATACACGTATATTGATGCATTTGGTATGTATCATGTAGCATAACTTCATCATACGATCGTTTCTTTTCGGTTTGTTTTGCTTTTTTCTCTGGAAGCGTGCATCATATATAATTAAATTTCTTATGTTTCATTTTTGATCAGATGGTTTGTAATTGGATACTTTTTGGTGGGGGAACAAGCTGCCTTTTGCACCAGGCATCACCCCTGGACGGGGGCAGAGACCCCCCCCCACCTTTCTCTTTTTGGCCATTCTTCTCTCTCCCTTCCTCTTTCTCAAGGGGGCACGTGCTTCGCGGCCGAAGGAGGCCTTGGCCTCACCTACCTCGCAAGGTTGTTGTGAAGGCAAAGTGTACATACAGGTAAGTATATAATGAAATGATTTCTAGTGCCTTTTTCTTGGTCTGCATTTTGGTTTTACGCGTTGGCGAAGCGGAGGAGGGATATTGCAGGCAGGGAGAAATGGCAGGTGGAGGGTATGTGGCTGGGAAATCTTGCCCCAGGACAGCCCTGTGAGGTGGTCCGCTGACAGCATTGCAGTTCCGCGGCGGCTTTAGACTCTCCCGTCACAAAGATAGCCGCCCGAAACACGGCTCCGTTTGCAGCGCATGGGCTTCTCCTTAAAGTGCCCCCCCCCCCGGCAAGCGCCGGGGAGAGCTCCTCCTCATGCGGGCCAGGAATGGGTTAAGTCGCAGGAACAAGCGAGCAGAAATAAATGGAGAATGCGATGGAGAAAGGGCAACGCTATAGGAAGCTGCGCATTTTAACGTTGCTGAAATTACCAGATTGTTCAGCGTCCTGAAATAAACACGTCCAATAGAGCTCCGAAAGGACCTTTCCAAACTGAGCGAATGGGCGTTAAAAAGTCCAAAGCAATTCAGTATAAACAAGCGTAAAGTGTTGCATGTCGGGGTATTTTTTTATTATTATTAATTCAATTTAATATGCTTAATTTCACCTATACAGAGTCTGACCTGGCGGTGGGTGGAGAGGAAAGACATTTGCTTAGCAGCTGTGAAAAAGGCCAGCGCCCTGATCGGGATCACGAGGAAAGGAATTGGAAATCAGATATTGTGCTAACAGTGCCCTTTATACCAGTCTGTGGTGTGGACACGCTGGGGTGCTGTGGGCGGTTCTGGTCGCCTCGCTTCAAAGAGGATATCGAAGACCCGGGAAAGACTCAGAAAAGAGCAATCAAAATGTTCCAGGGGATCATGGAGAGATTTCCCGCGTTTGGGACTTTTTAGCTTAGGGGAAAAGGGAGTCAGAGGCGACGTGACAGGAGTTTATCAGATCCTGCAGTGTGAAAAAGAGGAGAGAGCGGGTAGCCAGGAGTTTTGTTAGGGGGAGCAGAACCGGCTTGATTGGTCAGTTAGTTAAGTATTTCTATTGTTTTACATGATCTGGGGGGGGGGGGCAGATGCCCCCATGTTGGTGGGCTTGGATCTGGAGAGGAGCCCTCCGAGATCCGGCGTCCGGCCAGCGACTCAAAGACCGGAGACTCGCGACTGGGACGACAGAATCACTCGAAAGAGATATCTAGATATAATCGAATTTTATTGTTTTTCAGCATCAATGAAAAACTCCACAGATACATTGGATCCCTGGATTTTCTTAACAGACGACGCTTCAGCCAAATCGTAATGGTTACTTCCCATCTGGAAATATTAAAACTATTAACTCGAAGAAAAAGGCGGAGCAGCAGCCAGAGGACTTCGGGAAGAACGGGGGCAGCAGGAGATCCCCCTCGCTTTCGGGGTTCCTGCGCCAGGTGCAGGCCGGTCCTCTTCCCACTTCCTCGGCCCACGGAGAAGCATCTCTCCCCGTCCCCTCGCATTTTGAAATCCCTCTTCTTTATTTCCTAAGATTTATATACCGCTTGACTGTTTAAAGAGCAGACCGCAGAGCCTTTTACAAAAACTGTAAAACAAAACCAAAATGTTAATAGTGATGCGCATTGATCTCGTTGCCTACAGAGTAGCGAAAAGGCTTGAAGGTTGAGAAGGTTTTTGTGAGATAAGGGGGGGGTCGATTCTGAAGGGCACCAGGGACCACCTTCCCATCCCTTGCGTCAATTTCCTCACCTTCGCAGGTAAACCTCAAGCGCATTATCCGAGGGTCCGTAATCGAGACGGGGAAAGTGTAACTGGGAGCAGCGCCAAGCAAGCATCACACGGCCGCTTGGAGTCTCGCTCCACGGGTGTGGCACCCCACAAAAAATAATATTGAACACCAACTGGTGTTTTCATTTGCGACAAGGACAGCTTCTCGTGGTAAAGCGGACTCTTGTTTTTAAAACAGGGACATTATGGCTTCAGAAGACAAAAGCAAGGGCCGCCCTCCGCCTCTCTCTGCCCACCGGCGGCGACCCGTCCTTCCTGCCCTGCTCCTCCTCCGGAATGCAGGACTGCCAGGTCTCCCCGACGGAGGGGGGGAGAGAGAGACCCCCGCCAGGGCCTTGGCACCGGTTCGCAGCCCCCCACCCTCTTTCCTTTGCGTCCTGCAGGGCGCCGCAGCGACTTTCCCCGCACCGAACTGGAAAGGAGACTCGGAGTCCGCGGCGCCGTCTAGCAGCGCCGGGAACCCGCCTCTCGGAGCTTTTTCCCGCGGCCTTTCTTCTCCAGGAAGGCGTCCAGCCGGCCAACGGCGCCGGTAAAAACGTCCCGTGGCGCATAGGCCTCCTTTGGGGTCGCCACTTTGGAGCAAAACGCACACGGGCCCCATAAAGGAAGGCCGGGAAGGAGGCGCCTCATTCGCCCCTCCTTGGGCAAAACCCCAGCGCCGGTTCCAATAAAAAATCCAGCCGCCCCCTTAGAAAAGTCCGTCTCCCCCGAGCCCCACGGAAAGAGGTCGAGAGGCGTCCTCATTTCTGCGGAGCCTCAAGATGGACGGGAGATTTGGGGGGCAGCCGCAGTGCCCCCCCCCGCCCGGGCTCTGGACTGCAGATTTCTTTTGCCCCCTCCCGGTGAGGGGCTTCAGGTGTGCAGGCATCCGGAGTACGCGCCTCCCCTGCGGTCTCCCATCCCTTCCTCCCTCCGGCTTCCCTGACGCCTCACAGAGAAAAACAAAGAAACGAAATTGGGCCGCGCAGAGGGTTTGGCCCGGGAAAAATGGATTCGGACGGGCGACCGCATTTTTCTAACCTCGGAGCCGCCTCGGGAGGAGCGGGGCGAGGCTGGAAGAGGGCAGAGCAAGCTCCGTTTCCTGGGCAGGAAGAAGCGCGCCGGGGATCGCGCGAAAACGATCCAAGCAGTGCCTGGATCGAGGCAGCCGCCGCCTCTTTGTCGGGTAAGATAGGAAGAAAGTGGGGGAGCCTGGTGGGCACCGCCGGTCCACGGGCTGAGACTCTCTGTTGGGGGGTCATTGCGCGGGGGGGGGCCTGCCGGGCCCCGGATTGGGGGACCCAGTTAGGCCCAAATCCGGCTGCCTCTTCCCCCTGCGCTGGAGGGAGCAATCCCGCCTGCCACACAATGGATCTGCCGCGGGGCTCTCCTGAGATCCCTTCTCCGGCAGAAGATCTCCAATGGTCCCTGCCTGTCCCCTTGGGAAGAGACACCCTTTTCTTTGGCCTCCCATCATCACCTCCATCACCGTTTCATTGAATAGCCATCAGTATCGATCCTGCGAGGCGAAGAAAGCGCTCCCACTCAGCCCCGCGGCGCCTCCCGGTCGCTCCGCGCGCCGCGCCTCCCGCCGGTCTCTTCCCGCAGCTCCGCTCCGCCGACGGACGGGGGCTGCGGTCCGGCCCCGTTCTTCTTGCTGGGCCGGGGAGACCTCGCCAGCGAAGCGCCTTTCCTGGCCTCCCAGCCCGGAGCCGAGCTGCGGGCCACCCCCTCGGGCCTGGGGAGCTCTCCCCGGGTTCGACGGCCAGCCACAACGGAGCGCCGAGCCAGAGGAGCGCCCAGGCGCCTTCCCGCCTCCGGGGGTCCAGGCAAAGCAGCAGGGAGCAGCATCTCTGGAGACCCGGCGCAATCGGGCATCTCCTGCGCTCGGCGCTGCGCCTGCCTCCTTCCCGGGCGCCACGACGGCGCGGCAGTGAAGAGGCGCGGCGGGGGCGTCTGAAGGCGCATCTTCCCGCTGCCCGCAGGGGGCGGGGCCTGTGGCTAGGGGCGGGGCCTTCCTCCGCCCGCCCGCCCGCCCACCGGGGGTTGCCTCTGCTTGGACCTCTCGACGGCGCCGGCAGCGGCGGCTGCAGCAACAGGACGAGGAGTCTCCTGAGAGCACATGGAGAGTGCCCGGCGCGCCTCTGCCTGAGGCCGAGGCCCGAGCGCAGCAGCCAGGGGGTTTCTCCTTTTCTGGACGCGATGGAGCCCCCCTCGGGTGACGGCAGGGACCCCTCGGAGAGCGCTCGCCTGGTGGGCAGCCGCAGTAGCAGCAGCTCCAGCAGCGTCCGCCTCAAGAGGTAAGGGGGTCCCCACGCCTCCCCACTCGCAGAAGCCCCTTCCTCTCCTCCACCGGGATCCTCCGGAGACTCCTCCAGGCGCTCCCCTGACCCACTTGAAGACCCCGCTGAGATGGCCCCTGGCTGCCTTTTTCCGCACAAGCGGCCTGAGGTTTTAAATCTTACACGCTCCTGCCGAGCAAAGTGACGTTTGGTCGCCCGCACTCCCCGGACAGCCAGGGACCCCCGTCGCCTCTTGCCCCCGCCCTGCCCAGTCCCCCGGCCCCCACCCGGCAGGTTCCCCGCCTTGCCTCCCCCCAGCACCCCCCCTGCTCGGGAATCCCCGCATTTTCTGGGGAACTTCGTGTATTCGTTGCGAGGGGGTCGGCCAGAGGGGGTCCCCTTGTGCCGCTCCGCCATCTCCTCCTTCCGGGGCATCCTTGGATTCCTGCCCCCGCCCCCGGGACGGCTCATGGGGAATTCCACGGCAGTGGGACGTGAGCGGCGGGAGGGGGAGGCGCAAAAGGGGGGGGGAGAAGCGGGAATCGTGGAGGTGGGGGCGTCTCCTTCCCAGTTCCTTGCGGGGCATCTTTCACTTCTGCCTTAGCTCTGCTGCCGGTGTCGAGCGTTTCAGTTCTTACTGGGGGGGGGAAGGCGGGGGTCCCTCTCGCCCGAGGTGGGCGCTCCCTGCTCCCGGAGAGCCCCCAGGAGCCTTTCCTTGCGGCGACTGCATTGACACCCCTCCCTCACCCGTCACGTCTGGGCTGCTGCACCAAAGGCAGGGAGTCTCTCAATAGAGTTAGCAGCCGGAGAACCCCACTCTGCCCCAACCCAAGACCCACGTCGGGGTCGCCTTGCCTGCGCAACCTGCTGGAAACCTCGCAGCTCCAGGGCCCGCTCGGGGGGCAGCCAGTCAGCGAAGCCCCACTGCCCGAGGGGGAGAACCAGGCTCTCCAAGCATCGCTGAGGAGGCCCGTCGGCCTTTCGCCTGTCCGGGAGGGCGCCTCATGGACGGGCCGGCGGTCAGCCGCTAGTGATGGCGTTGCATCTTGGGGGGAGCAGGGCAGCTGTGGCTGGAAAGAGCCCCCCGAGGAGAGGGTGGGGGATGCCTGGCCCTCGCTGCCAGCCCACGAGGCGCTTCCTGTGCCGTCGAGCCTGCCTCCTTGGCACGCGCCAGCTTGTTTTCTGTGCCCCCATCTGCCTCCAGAAGGCTCTGCCGGGTGCCAGGGAGGGACAGCTGAGCGGTGGGCTGGCGAAATCTGCGCTGGGGGAGCGTGGCTGCCTCGTTTTCCGGGGCTTGCGTTTGAGGAGATGGGGGGGCGCACACATGGAGGGCAGGCTCCCCATCCCTGTGCAGACAGCCCCTAACCCAGCTTCCCCCCCCGTCCTCCAGAGCAGCCTGGCCAAGGAAAGGCGCCTTGAAGGTCACCGAGGTCAACGGCAAGGACAGGTGCCTGGAGTCTGAGATGCTGCGGGGGGGGGGGGGGAGGCCGCCTCCCCTGGAATCCAGCCCAGCCTGTCTGGAGCCCTGGAAGCGTTGCGGCAACGGGGGAGCAACCCCTGACGAATGCCTGCCTGTCACGGTTTCAGCCAACACGCTGGGAGCTGCTATTTTGTGTGGGAATGTTGACGTTCTGCCCTGCGAGGTTGGCTGCCTGTGGGAAGGGCTGGGGCGCAGGACTCACCTTGCACTGGGGCTGCCATGGGGCTGCATGGGGAGGAACAGTTCGAGAGGGGAACTGCCCTGCTTCCAAGACTGCCGGCCTCCCATCAGGTGCTAGACTGCTACTCCTCAGATCTCTGGCCTCACGTTCTCCTTCTCCATCCTGAGAGGAAGCCTCTAGGGTGGATCTCTCAGCCTCTGAGATGCAAGAGGGAGCCGGCCTCATTGCTTCTCCTTAGTTAAAATGAGAGTTTTTCCTGACAAGTTAGTATTTCCCACCATAAATCGAGAGTTCTTGTATCCCTAAACTCATTTCCTCAGTGTGAGTAAATCCAGGGGAAAGTGTGAAATATCCTCCAACGGGGAAACTGAGTAAGAGGAAGTCGTGGGATGGGGAGACATAGCTGAACAGGACGGAGGCGGATGGGGTACAAGTAAAACATTTCTACCTTCTCTCCTCTCCCTCCCTGATCTCTCTGGGTATCCCGAGCCTTTCTGTCTTTTGTGGGCGGATGGAGCCAATGCCTGGAGCGCGCAGGGGATGAATTCTATTGTTAAAGATGAAATAACCACACAAAGAGAAGAACAAGCCCTGCTGAGGCTGTCAGCAGGGCTTCCGCAAGGACAAGCCCGATCTCACCAACGTATTGGTTGAGAGTGACAAGAAGCTGATAGAGGTGATCCAGTTGACAAAGTGCACGTGGGATCTCAACACTATACCTGGCCCATGACTCCTGAGTAAGCTCAGCAGTCAGGGAATAAGAGGATATTCCTCGTGTAGATCAGGAATGGATTCAATAGCAGGAAGCAGAGAGCAGGAACAATGGAGGGATGGAGAAAGTGGAGTCCTCCCACCCACCCCCGGATCCTATTGGGACCTGTGCATGTTCCCTTCGCTGAGGATACCAAATTACCAAAACCAAAAGAGATTGTGAAGAGCTCTAAAAGGATTTCTCCCAACAAAGCGAGTGGGCGTTAAAATGTCAAATGCATTTCAGTGGAAACAAGTGTAAAATGATGTATGTCAGGACAAAATAAGTGATGATGATTTCACACACACACACACACACACACACACAGGAGGTGAGGAGATTTTGGGGTCCTAGGAGAGCTCCCATGGACTGCAAGAAGATCCAACCTCTCCATTCTGAAGGAAACCAGCCCTGAGTGCTCACTGGAAGGACAGATCCTGAAGCTGAGGCTCCAAGACTTTGGCCACCTCATGAGAAGAGAAGACTCCCTGGAAAAGATCCTGATGTTGGGAAAGATGGAGGGCGCAAGGAGAAGGGGACGACGGAGGACGAGATGGTTGGATAGTGTCTTTGAAGCTACCAGCATGAGTTTGACCAAACTGCGGGAGGCAGTGGAAGACAGGAGGGCCTGGCGTGCTCTGGTCCAGGGGGTCACGAAGAGTCGGACAAGACTAAACGACTAAAGAACAATACAGAGAGCTCAGTGAAGATGCCAGTCCAAGGGGCTGAAAAAGGCAAGTGGGAAGACTGGGGTCCTGCTCTGGCTGCCTCCCCTCAAAAAGAATATTGCAGAGTTGGAAAAGGCTCAGAAGAGGGCAGCCCCAATTATCCAGGGTCTGGAGCGAGGAGAAGTTGCGGGTTGGACTGGGAGGCAGCGGTGCTTCTGAATACCCGCTGCTGCTTCACCAGGACGGGGAGCGCTGCTTTGGGGCCCGGGGCCCGCTTGCGGGTTTCCCATCCTCCCTTTCTTACCTGGGGGGCCACTGTGAGAAGAGGGTACTGGGGTTCATGGGCCGTTGGTCTGATCCAGGCTCTTTTTATGTCCCCCCCCCCCAATTTCTGGCCTTCGGAGGTCGTGCTTCTGTGCCCTAGGCTTCCTTTGGTCTGCCTGCGCCTCCTTCGCTTTTCCTGGCTGGGGGCACCCCCAACTTCGAGTGGGATGGGGGGCACCGCTCTCTCGCTCCCCGTCGCTTTTTCCTCTCGAGGCCTCGACGGGATCCCCGCCCTTTTCCCTTCCTGTTCCCCCCGCAGCCTCGAGGGCTCCGCCACGGACTCTTTGCTCCAGCGCGGTTTCCTCCCTCCAAGACCGGCTGCGATGTCCTGGTGGTTGCCCCGGAAGAGCAGCGGGGCGGCCCCGGCAATGACTCCAGCCTCGGCTCTGGAGCGCCTGTCTCAGTCCAGGGTCGCCGTCGAGTCGGTCTGAATTCAGCAAGAGGGCCTCTGAGCCACAGAAAGGAAAACAGGCGCATTCACACAAACTGAAACACGGACACGCATGTTCTTGACGGGGGTCTCTTGCTCCAGCTTGTGCGTATAGACAAGAAGGAAAAGCCCCCCCCCCCCCTGTCTGGACTGCATGAGCTACGCTCCCTGGATCGGGGCCCTGCTCAGACGAGGCGCAGCGCCCCTCGACGGCTCCTTTCTCTCTACCGCCTGCGGGAGCCAGTCTTTGCGGGGGGAGGCGGGAGAAGGAGAAAGGATTTTGCGGGGGCAAGTGATGGAGAGAAGAGCAGCAGCAGCCGTCCGTGGGTGGGAGGGGGCGGAGGGGACCACGTGGTACTGCTCTGCAGGAGGGGGGGAGCCGCTTGGGAGGCTCCCAGGCGTGAGATAATCGAGGAGAGAAAGGCCTGCAAATACGGGGGGGGGGGGACGGGGGACGGACACGAATGGAGGATAATTCTTCCTGAGTTTTTCACGGCAGCCTTTCCATACCCACCAACTTAGGGACATCTAATCATCATCATCATCATCATCATCATCCCTGCCCATCTGAGTGGGTTGCCCCAGCCATTCTGGGTGGATTCCAACATATGTAAAAACATAATAAAACATTAAAAAAAACTTTATAGTTACTTCTCTCCTTGGTTTGGGGCAGCAGAACTCCATATCCTCCAACATTTATTTGAGGAAAATAGGGATGTCCTAAGGAAAAGTAAGACATTCCAGAATCAAACCAGAAACCAGGACAGCTTGTGTAAATCTAGGACTGTTCCTGGGAAATCGAGACGAGCAAAGGGAACTCCCTTGGTGCAGCAGACAGAAAGTCATCAGGTGCAGTGGGAGAAATGGACGCTGTCCCAGTCACGTTTGTGTCTGGCGTGCGCACCCACCCACTGAACTGAAAGCCCCCTGCCTGAACCCCACTGGGGGGCCCTTGAGATATTTCAAAGGACGACTCAAGTGCAGGTTTCCATGCCATCCAGAAGAGGGGGAGATTCTCCGCCAGCCGGCCATGGCTTCTCTACACCGAGACCTGTTGCTAACAGCTCAGCATTTCTGACCTTCCTCTTTTTAGTCTCCTTATTTGGAGAAAAGCAGGTTTTCATAAGGATATGGCCCAGCCGATTCTCTCCCATTCCAGGATTCTGCCCTCTGGCTTGCCTCCTTCCTGCCAGCCCAGCACCCGCGAGCTCGGCTCCTGGGCCCAGCTGCCTCCTCAATGGGTCCTTCTGGCAGCAAGGCAGCCACCGTGGCCAAACTGTCCAGGGGCATCACAGTTCTCCAGTTCCTGCCAGGCGGAAGATGATTAAATCTCCCCGCAGCCCCAGGAGACGAGCCGCAGTCACGGAGCCAGCTTGGCTATTAATTCCCTCCCCAGCGAGACTCTTGGGAGCACTTGACAGGCATCTTTCTGATCAGGCCAGGCGCTGACAAAAGACCTCGCCTTGCTCCAAGGGGGTGTGAGGGGCATGACAGGGGCAGCCAAACCCAGAAGAGGAGCATTTTTCTGCAAGAAAGCGCCCTTCATTCAGGGCTTGGTATTGACCTGTGTGGCTTCCCTGTGCAGCCTGGAATGTGCCCACTGCCCAGGGTGGATTAAAACAGAGACCTTGACAGATCAAGATGCATTTGCTCCCTTAGGAAAGTCAGGAGACCAGCACTGGCATTTGGGTGTCTTTTTTACATCCCTTTCCTAATGACTCTGCATTGCAATGTAGGAATCACAGCTAGAGAGTTTCAGGCAGATGGCCCGTCAAGGAAGGAGAGTCCGCCACTTTCTGATATCATTGTTGTTGTTGTTTAGTCGTTTAGTCGTGTCTGACTCTTTGTGACCCCCCCCCCCCCCGGACCAGAGCACGCCAGGCCCTCCTGTCTTCCACTGCCTCCCGCAGTTTGGCCAAACTCATGTTCGTAGCTTGGAGAACACTGTCCCACCATCTCGTCCTCCGTCGTCCCCTTCTCCTTGTGCCCTCCATCTTTCCCAACATCAGGGTCTTTTCCAGGGAGTCTTCTCTTCTCATGAGGTGGCCAAAGTCTTGGAGCCTCAGCTCCACGATCTGTCCTTCCAGTGAGCACTCAGGGCTGATTTCCTTAAGAATGGATAGGTTTGATCTTCTTGCAGTCCATGGGACTCTCAAGAGTCTCCTCCAGCACCAGAATTCAAAAGCATCAATTCTTCGGCGATCAGCCTTCTTTATGGTCCAGCTCTCACTTCCTTACATCACGACAGGGAAAACCAGAGCTTTATCATAGGATATCATAGGATTATAGAATTGTATAGTTTGACCGGTCATCTAGTCCAATCAGTTGCAATGCAAGAATCGCAGCAAAAGACTCCCTGACCGGCAGCCAAGAAGGGAGAGTCCACTGCCTTCCAAGCCTTGGTCAAACAGCCCTGACCGTTAAAAAGTTCTTCCCACTGTTCAGTTGGAAATGGCTTTATTGAAATTGGAATCCCTTGACATGGGTTGTCCCTTCCAGAGCAGGAGAAAACAAACTCGCTCCATCTTCAGATATTTGAAGATGGCTCTTTCCCTGGCTAAACATATCCAACTCTACACTGCTATTCATCTTTATCCTGAATCTGCAAAATTACTTCTAACTCCTTCACTTTAGTTTGTGGGTAGACACCCAGTCTGTGATTTGTTCTAGTTCGTGTCGGGTGTTTGTTCCCATTTGTTTCATATTTTATTGGGTTGTATGCTTTACATAAAAATGAAAGATGTTAAATGGGGGGGGGGAGTGCCTCTACAAGACAGCCGTGGGTGGCATGAGGAAGGAGGGGGCTAATTCTCTGCGTGTGTATTTTGTGGGGGTTGAGCAGGACTGAGGGGCTGCCCCTCCCTCATGTTCCGGCCTTCTCTCAGTCTGTTTGCAGGCACCCAGGATGCCTTCCCCAGCCTCCCCCTGGAGAACGGGCATGCGGAAGTGCCCGGGGGCCTGGAGATGGAGCGCCGCCTGGCCCCCCACTGCCACCAGGGGCCCTGCTCCCCCAGCCAGAGCCAGCTGAAGCTCCAGGCCCAGAGGAAGCTCAGCATCGCCTGCGGGGTCTGCTTCCTCTTCATGATCGGAGAGGTCATAGGTCAGTGGGGCTGGGAAGCGGTTCTGGGAGGGAGGTTCATGGACCACCAAGCCAGTGGCAGGCACCTCCACTGACCCGAGAGAGGCTCAGAGATACAGAAAAGCTCTCTGGGATGCCATGGGGGTTCTCTTCCTTCTTCAAGGAACAAGGACGACACACTTGTTGGGTGGGAGCGCAGATGGCCACCTGCTTCTCTCCTTCCAGGTGGACGGGGTCACCTGACATCCAGGGAGCCTCCTCTGGGATATTATTGCAGTCAAGCCAACAAGTCATGTTTTGCCAGATGGGGACATGAAGGGGATGAGGCTCACAGAGCTTTCCCCATAAAATTTGCTAGAGAGAACTCTGTGAGATCACTTCCTTGTCTGTCTTGACATGCTTCTTTCCTGCCTGGGAAGCCCTCTCTTTCTTCAAGCTTACCACACACGCATCATTTTTGAATTTACATTTTATACTTTTGTAACTTAGATAGTAGTTATAAACCTGCCTTCATTTTGCTACTGTAATGGCTGCCTCAAAACTTAGATTATGTAAGTAAATACTACTTTTACTTCTTCACAAAACAATGTTGGTGTGATTGTTGTTTTTCAGGGGGTAAGACCAGGAAAATCCAGCCTGTCTTAAAGCATCCTGGATTATTGTTTCTAGAAGGTTAAATCAAATATGCCTTCACTTCCATGTTTAAAGCTGCAAAGGGTGGTACTCTGCTGAGCAAAGGGTACTCATGTGAGCAAAGAAGAAAAATAACTAACTATATATATATATATATATATATATATATATATATATACCCTCTCCTAGTGCCTGAATCCATTCCTACACTTTGTGGCTGAGAGAGGATGTTTCAATTTTCATTTGATTCACATTTATTTTATCTGTTTTGCAGTTCTTTGCTGACTTTCCGGGGTCTCTTTCAAGGTGTTCATTAAGATAATGAGCAGGAATCAGTTGACAGCAAAGCGATTGACACAGCAAAAAACCCTCAAAGGGCAGAGGAGATAAATCATGGCAGCAGCACTAGACTCAGCTCATCCTTACAAAGACCCAGGAAGTCTGCCTGAAAGGGGATGAGAGGGTATCCTGGTTAGAGCCAGGGCCTCCCGCCCCCCAGTCCTTCACCCCTCCCTCCACAACACAGCTCTGCTTGCCTTTCAGGAGGGTACTTGGCTCACAGCCTGGCCATCATGACAGACGCAGCTCACCTGCTGACAGACATGGGCAGCATGGGCGTCAGCCTCTTCTCTCTCTGGGTCTCCACGCGCCCGGCCACCAAGATCATGAGCTTCGGCTGGCACCGCTCAGGTACCTCCAGATCCTCCACTAGGTTCCCACCCTGCCAGTCCCACAAGGGCATAGGGGGGGGCTTTCCCAAGGGGCAGCCGAGGGTCACTGCTGCTGCTTCTGCCTCACCCGCTTCTCCCACTGCCCCTTCGCCACCACAGTCTTCAGCCCAAGAGGCCACCTGGTGGCTCTCAGCAACTGCACTGCGTCCCAGAAAAAGCAGGAAAGCCTTCATCAGGCAGAGTGGAAAGGAAGCCTTTGGAGGGCCTGCCAAGTCGCCTGGCCTCTGGGTGCTCCATTTGGGGTGCGGCGGCAGCAGCAGCAGCAGCAGCAGCAGCAGCGAGATGCTTCTCCCATTACAGTTCAAAGGCTGCTGGGGGGGGGGTGACTCCCTCCCTCCGTCCTTTCCTGCTTGCTTCCCTCTGAAGTGGTGGCAGAATAGAGCCAGGCAGCCAAGGAGCCAGAGAGGCTCACAAATTGTTCCCTGAAAAAGGCAGAAGGCAAATGGATGGAGGGAAGACTGATGGAGGATGAAAGAGAAGAAGAAATGGATTCAAATGGCCTCCTCAGCACTTGAAAGAGATCAAAGGGCTTTTTTGATGGCTTGTCCCCACAAAGTGAAAGACCCCCAGACTCTCCAAGGGGCCTTCCCTGCTGCCAGGGCTTGACTCGGCTGCCCCATAGCCTTTCTGCGCCTCTTCTCTGATCCTGCTTGGGGGGGTCCATTTCCCCTCCTGCCCCCCACCCATCTTCTTCCTCACTGCTGCCCATTTTGTGGGGAGCTGAAAGAACTCCCTGCAGGAGTCAATCGTGTCCTATTCCAGCTGCAGGGAACCCTCCAGGCGTTACCAAACTGCAAATCCCACCCACCTCTGGCTACCAGCCCTGCTTGCTGGGGCTGATGGGAGTTGTAGTTCAGGAACACCTGTTGGGCCAAACGTTCCCCACCCTGCTCTTTATTCGACAGACCTTGGAGCGGTGTTTCAGCTTCCCGCCAACCTCGTGAGGTAGGCTAGGGTGAGAATGCGAGGTGGGCTAAGTCATGAACCTAAGTCTTCTCGGGACAGGGCAAAGGACTCCTTCTGTGAACTGGCCTTGGGGACAAGCAGGCAGGTCCGAGAGACCCAGGAACATCTTCCAACCTGCTGATCTGGGTTCGGGTTCCAGGCAGCCTCAGGGAAAAGGCCCAGAGCTGGCCTTGGTGCTCCCCAACTTGGAGGGAGGGCACAGGGCTATTTTGGCAAGGCACCCCTGACTGGCATCTCCCTCTCTCCCCCCCAGAGACGCTGGGTGCCTTGGCCTCGGTCCTCTCCATCTGGATCGTCACGGGAGTGCTGGTTTACCTGGCCTCGGCCCGCATCATCAGCAACGACTACGAGATCGAAGCCTCCGCCATGCTGGGCACCTCGGCCTGTGCTGTGGGCGTGAACATCATGTGAGGCCTGGCGCGGGGCATTGAGGGAGGCGGAGGGCGGATTCTCAGGCACAACACACTCCCATTGTCAGGGGCTGCCTCTGGTCAGTTCATTTAATTATAGCCCAAGCCCACACCATGCAGGAATCACAGCTAAGGAATCCCTGCCAGGTAGCCAGCCAACCGCTGCTCAAAAACCTCCATAGTATCACAGAATGGTAGAGTTGGAAGGGACCCCAGGGGTCATCTAGTCCAACCCCCTGCAGGGCAGGAATCTCTGCTAAAGCAACCCTGACAGATGGCCTCCAGCCTCTGCTTAGAAACCTCCAAGGAAGGAGAGTCCACCATCTCATGAGGGAGACCGATCCACTGCGGAACAGCTCTTACTGTCAGAAAGTTCTTCCTGATGTTGAGTCGGAATCTCCATTCTTGTCACTTGAAGCCATGGGTTCGAGTCCTCCCCTCCAGAGCAGAGGGGAACACGCTCGCTCCATCGTCCACATGGCAGTCCTTAAGATCTTTGCAGAAGGAAGCATACTGCCCACAAGCAGGGCCCAAGAGCTGAGGTGAATGGCAGACCCTCCAACATTTCTCTGATGAAAATAAGGACGTCCCATTCCATAATGATCATTTTAGTATTTGTACGCCACACATCGTACTGGGTGGCCCCAGCCACTCTGGGCAGCTTCCAACATATATAAAATCATAATAGAACATTAACCATTAAAAACACCTTTCCCTATACAGGACTGGCTTCAGACGGCTTGGGGGTTGGATAACTCCATAAGCCCCAACATTTCTCCAGCGGAAATAGGGACATCCTAAGGAAAAGTGTATAGGGACGCGGGTGGCGCTGTGGGTAAAACCCTCAGCGCCTAGGCCTTGCCGATCGAAAGGTCGGCGGTTTGAACCCCCGCGGCGGGGTGTGCTCCCGTTGCTCGGTCCCAGCGCCTGCCAACCTAGCAGTTCGAAAGCACCCCCGGGTGCAAGTAGATAAATAGGGACCACTTACTGGCGGGAAGGTAAACGGTGTTTCCGTGTGCTGCGTCACGCTGGCCACGTGACCCGGAAGTATCTCCGGACAGCACTGGCCCCCGGCCGCTTGAGTGAGATGGGCGCACAACCCTAGAGTCTGTCAAGACTGGCCCGTACGGGCAGGGGTACCTTTACCTTTACCTTTAAGGAAAAGTGAGACATTCCAGGATCAAATCAGAAACCAGGACGGCTTCTCTAAATCAGGGATGTCCCTGGAAAACACTTGGAGGGTCTGGGAGAGGACCCCAATGGTTGCCTTGCCCTGGGAGGGGAAGGGTGTGGCCCCCACCCCAAAGCCTTGGCTCATAGCTCTTGCCACCCCTCTCCGCAGCATGGCCTACCTTCTGCACCAGTCGGGCTCCCCCCACAGCCACGGGGTGAGCACGGGGGGCTACGAGCGGATTGGGGAGAGCCCCGGCGGTGCGCCTGCGGTGCCCACCCACAGCAACACCAGCGTCCGGGCCGCCTTTGTGCACGTGGTGGGGGATCTGCTCCAGAGCATTGGGGTCTTCGTGGCTGCAACCGTCATCTACTTCAAGGTAGGGGGACCAGGCATCCTGCTCTGGATAGGGACCCAGAGCCTTCCTCCTTGAAGCACTGTCTTGTTCCCATGGAACCATAGAATGGCAGAGTTGGAAGGAACCCCCAAGAGTCATCTAGGAATCACAGCTAAAGAGATTTTCCCTTTTTTGCATTGACCAGCACCCATTGCAATTAAGAGGGACAGTGCATCAAATACAAACAATGCAGTAGATCAGTTTAAATTGCCAAATTAAAAAAGCAGCACAAATTTAGAATCAGAGCACCATGGGCGTTCTTATTTAAATATTTCCTGGTCCTGGCAAACAGTGGTGGAGCCAGCCCTCAACGTTCACCCTGCCAACTCCCCAGGAGGCCTGTCTGCGGCCCAAGAGGTCCTCTTCCCCTGAATGTCCAGGCAAACCAGCTTCCCTGCAGCTTCCACTCCGACCGGATCCAGTTCCCCCTGCTGGAACCACAGAGAGTGAGGCAGCTGTATCTCTGACGCCAGAGATCTTGGAAGGCTACACCCCCCCCCCTTATTAGACTTAATTAATTAACAAAATGTACATACCAAAGCAACAATCGGGTTGGATCCAAAGTAGCGCTGAGGAGTGTGTCACATCCATGCAAGGATTTCTGCCTGGGGAATGGGGCTGCCCCCTAAATCTGTCCTAGGGGTCCTCTGTCCTCTGTGTCAGTGCAGGGATCTTGTCTATGTCTATCCCTGCCTCTCCTCCTCCTCCTCTGCTTTGCAGCCCCAGTACAAGATTGCAGACCCCATCAGCACTTTCCTCTTCTCGGTCTTTGTGGTGGGCTCCACTGTGACCATCCTCCGCGACGTCTTCCGGGTGCTCATGGAAGGTGAGTTCCAACCCCGACCCTCTCGGGTCAAACGAGGCCGCCTCATTAACCAGCTAAGGGAAATCTGAGGAATAAAATCCTGGTGCAATTCCAGCCGGACCTCCTTGTCCCTTCCCTGCCCCAGGCCTGGGGATGCTCAGGGCACTGGCTGCAAAGCCAACATCAAAGGGTGCCCAAGACCATCCAAAAGCCAGCAGGGAAGCAGGAGGAGCAGGAAGGGGCAGGGGAAAGGCAGAGGGGAAGAGGCAGGGGCCAAGTCCCTCTGCAAGTGACTGGCTCAGCTTTAGCACAAGGCACCTTTAGACTCCAGGCCTAAAGACAAATCGCCCAGGGAGCTCATGGCTGTTTTAAGGCTGCACCGGGTGTTGAAATTTTGCACTCCCTTACCATTTTTTGCCCAGGGCAACTGCCCCGGTGACCCCGCACCCCGCTACACCACTCAAGGACCATCTCCAGCAGGAGGTGCCCCTCCCTTGCTCTGCTCCAGGTATGCCAGTCAGGGAGCCGGCACCACATCTGCTCCTCCAAGGGGGGGGAGCTGGGGGTTTGGAGGGACCCCAGCCAAGTCTGTTACCACCCTGCCTCCCTCTCTTCCAGGGTCTCCGCGGGGCGTGGAGTTCAAAGCCGTGAAGGAAGTGCTGCTGTCCGTCAAGGGCGTGAAGGGGGCTCACAACCTCCACCTCTGGGCCTTGACCCTCAGCCATCACGTGGTGGCTGTGCACCTGGCAATTGGTGAGCACCCCACCCTGCCTCTGAGTGCCCGGGACCCCCTGAGGAAATCCTGAGAGGGCAAAGGCCCCAGGCGATGGGGGTGGGGACTGTACCACCTCCGACTGCAGGCAGGGGGACCACATTTCGGGATGCTACCCTGAGTTTAAAACGCCTCAAAAGCAAAACACATCTATCCAGGACAAAAATCAATTGGTATAGCTGGGAATGTTATCTATTCATTTAAAGGCATTTCATAAGCCACTTAATATTTTAAAAACTCAAAGTGGTGCACCACTTAAAAGTTTCATTAAAAGAAAAATGCAACATGGAACCAGTAAAACAGCAGCATAAAATCAGGAATCTGGGGAACCGACAAATAAATAAATAACAGGGCCCAATCTTATGGATCAGGAAAGGCCTGGGGGGAAAGGATGTCTTTAGAAGACCTTTACAGCAAAGGGCATCCCATAATACAGGAGCAATGGGGGGAAATGCCTGTTTTCAGGTCACCCCCCCATGATGTTCTGTAGGGTGTGATAGGAGTACAGTTTTCCCCAGAAGATGGAAGTGAGCTTAACAGGTCTATAAAGGGGCAGCTGGCCTTTCGGGCGACAGAGTTGCTTTAAAAGTGAGCAATACTAACAATACTCCCCCCCCCCGGCTCCTGCCCCTCCCTTTAGAGAGGATCAGACCCATCCAAGGAGGAGAGGGCTAGCAATGGCTGCAGCCACAATGGCTATGCTGTCTCCGCAGTTGGACACCAGGGCTGGAAACTGTAGGAGTTGCTCTTGTGCTCAGATCCTGTTTGCTGGTTTCCCCTGATGGGCATCTAGTTGGCCACTGTGGGAACAGGAGGCTGGGCCACTGGCCTGATCCAGCAAGCTCTTCTTTCGTTCTTATGGAGCCTCCAGGTGCAGAGGCAGTCTATCTCGAATCCCAGGTTCATAGAGGCATTGGCCGCTGTGAGAACAGGATGCTGGGCTAGATGATCCTGCAAACTCCAAGCCTCTCCTTGGGTGTGCAGGGAGGGCAGAGGCTGGTGCAGCCTTTGCCCAGCTGACCCCTTTCTGGGTCTCTCCCCCTTGCAGACTCTGGGGCCGACATGGAGGCGGTGCTGCAAGAGGCCACAGCCGTCCTGCAGAGCAAGTTTGGCTTCGTCTCCTGCACCATCCAGGTGGAGCGCTACCTGGACGACATGGCCAGCTGCCGCCAGTGCCAGGACCCACAGGACTGAGCCCAGCGCTGCCCCCTTGGTGCCCTCCAACTGCCAACCTCAGCCGGGAGGCGCTGGGAATCCCAGGGCCAGCAGGGGTGGCGGCGGGGGGGAGGTGTCTCCTCTGCCCACCTCCACCGCCAGGGCCGCCTCAGCTGCCCAGCCAGAGAGGAGAGGAGGCTGAGCACCTGCCCCTGCGCATCCTGTTCTTCTTCGTGTCACATTCCAGGCAGGCACAGGGCCCCCCCTCTGCTACTGCCCACCTCATTGCCTGCCTCAGTGTCTTTGGTGTGCAATGCAACCCAGCCCCCCCCCCAGGCGAGGCCTGCCATTCGTCGGTGTTTGCACGAGTGTGTCCCCTTTCCAGCAAGCTCCCTGCCGTGGAGTTGAGTCTGCAAGACATCCTATGAGTTTAAACAGCTGTACAGAATTGGGAGGGCTCCCCCCCCCAGGGTCATCCAGTCCAACCCCCTGCAGTGCAGGAATCCCAACTGAAGCAGCCATGACAGACGAGGGCAGATCCTTCCCCCGCTTGGCCAGGCCAAAAGCAAAGTGGTCTGGCCAGGAGGTCAAGAAGGATGCCATGGCAGGGAAGCAAACTCCTTGCTCATCAGTGAGGACCAAGCCATGGAGGGGGGAGCCCTGGGGGGCAGAAACCAGTTCCCCAGCCCTCCTGATCAGAAATGCCTCCACTGCCTGCCAGATGCTTTGGGCGAGGGGCCCACATGGAGAGGCCAGCCCCCCAGCCGAGCGACAACTTAGGAAGCGCTGCTGCTGGGAGATCCCCCATGGAGGGGGCCAGCCCCGCCCCGCCCTCCCCACACTCACGTGTCCTTGTGTCTGTGACCTTGTGCAGTTCACGTCTGTGTGTGTGTGTGTGTGTGTGGACCGTGTCGAGTATCCAAGTGTTGTCTTAACCGAGTGCTCAGAGTACCAGAGATTCCAATAAAGTGAGCTGCCTCAGCCCATCCTGCCCGTCTGTCTGCCAGTCCTTGGGGCAGAGGAGGAGGGGGGCGGGGTGGGGAGCTGTGTCTGCGCCCCCTACATCCTGTCGGAAGGGATCCCCAAGGGTCCTCTAGTCCAGCCCCCTGCAACGCAGGAATGCCAGCTCAGGAACCCCTGATAACCCCTTGCCTAAAAATGGAGGAGGGTTTGCCACCTTCTCCCCCAGCTTGGCACTGACCAGCGTAGATGCCAAGCCAGATTCCTGGCAGGAGAATCAGCAGCTGATTTGGGGGGGGGGGGGTCCTCAGAAAAAAGAGCCGGCCTTTGAAACAAAACAAGTCACTTTAATAAGAACAACAGTTAAAGACAAGGAATGAGCTCAATGTGAGCAAGGCTGCTGTGCCCCCCCAAGAGGCTGGCGGGGGGCAAATGCCCAAAATGCATCTAGCAGGGAGCTGGTCTGGGCCCCACGTGCCGAGCCAACCCCAACCGGCCCATGTTGGGGGGGGCAAAGGGTTGTTCCACTGGGCCAGCCAAAGGGAGGCAGAAACCCCCTCCCTGCCCTGGTGCTGTGGGTCACACATAGGGCAGGCTGGGAGAGACCCCTCACCCACCCCCTGCCCCAGAGGCAAAAGCACACAGTCATGGAGAGATGTCCAGTTTGGGGGCAGGGGCTGCTTCTCACTCCCAGCCCCACCCAAGGGGAAAGGAGACACCCACAAGCCCCCCGGGGGTCTGGCCCCTCCTTGGGCTCCTCCGTGTCCGTCCTCACAATGCAACCAGGATCCAGCCAGTCCGTCAGTGCCCTGCAAGATGCCCCTGGCTCTGGGCGCCTCGAACGAGATCCCCGCCTCCTCCTCCTCCTCCCCGATTTCTGCCAGTGCTGGGGGGGGGGTGCTCAGCTGACGGCGGGGTGCGCCCCCGGGGGCTCTGCTGCAGGGCCGTTCGCCTGCTCCTCCAAGTCGAACATGGCGCTGAAGTGGGCCTGGCACTCCCGGAGGAGCTTGCGGCTGGGGGGGGAGGCCAGGGCCTGGAGGCAGTGCAGACGGACGAGGCCGGACTGGCCCCCCGACAGCAGCCAGGTGTGGCAGGCCAGGTTGGGGCTGAAGCGCACCTGCGGGAGAGGAAGGGCGTCAGGCGGGGAAGCGCAAAGGGGGACGGACCCTGCCCCCCCTTCAGGAGGGAGAGACTCACTCCCTGGCTGCTCCAGGGGGCTCAGAGAGACCAAGAGCCTGAGCGGCCAGGCCATGAGCTCTGGGAGGCCTGAGGAAAGCAGCCAAGGGAAAACTCTCCTCTCTCTCCCCCCACGTGAGAACTTGCAGGTGCGCCATCACAATACTTTTATTATTATTTACACCCCACCCACCTGGCTGGGCTTCCCCATGAAGTTGGAAGATGCAAAACAGATAAAAGAAAGTCCTTCTTCACGCAGCGCAGTTAAACTGCGGAACTCCCTGCCACAGGAGGGAGGCAGCAACGGCCGCCATTCATGGAGGCGGCGGCTCTGGGGGGCTCCTGGCCAGGGTGGCTCTGCTCTGCCTCTAGGGCTGGAGTCAGCAAGGCTCCCCAATCCACGTGGCTGGAACCCCCAAGACGGGATAGCGCTCTCTTGCCTGGACCCTGCCTTTGGGATTCCCCCAGGCCTTGGGCTGGGCACTGGGAGGACAGGAAGCTGGATTCACAGGGCCTCCCGTGGCCTGATCCAGCCGGTTCTTCTGATGCGCTCACAGGAGGGCTGCTATGGGACCCCGCAAGCCAGAGCCAGCACATGACACTTCCCAATGTCCATTGTTGGAAACCAGCCAGAGTTGCTCTTGCGCCAGATTCCGCTTGCGGGTTTCCCTTGGGGGCACGATGAGAACAGGAAGCTGGATTCACAGGGCCCCCAATGGCCTGATCCCACGAATCCATTCTGAAGTTCACAGGGGTAGAGCCCCGCCCCCCCCCCCGCTCACCTTGTGCACGGCCTCCAGCTGCAGGCGCCCCAGGCCATCCCCCTCCTTCTCCTCTTCCGCCGGGAGGGGCTTCTTCCTCCCTTTCCGCCTGAAGATGTTCTTGAAGCTCCTCTGGAGAGGGAAGGGGGGGCTGAGAGAGTTGGTGGGGCCAGGCCAAGTGGGGGGGGGCTGCAGCTACATCCCATGGGGGCCTCCTGCTGACAGCCGGCGATTGATGGGCCTGGGAAGGAGCCTTATCAGCCAGGAACACACCACAGAACAGCAGCGCACTGGGGATCAGTGATATGAATCCTGGACACTTGGGGGGGGGAAGGGGGGACACCCTGCCACCCCCAGGTTGCCCCTCCAGGAAGACCTAGGGGGGTTCAAGCAGCCCCTTGCCTCCCCCTTCCTTGCCCCCCGTTTCCTCTGAGGCCTCACCAGGTCCGTGTCTCGAAAGAGGATGTAGTTCTGGGCCACAGACTCCTGGTACGTCCTGCCCTCCACGGGGGCCATGAGCCTTCCGCCGGGGGCTCCTGTCGACGCCTCCTGGTTGTGGAGGCCGCAGGGGAGCAGGCTGGCCTTGTAGACGGGCTGCGGAAGATGAGGAGGAGGAGAGGGCATGGGGGCACTGCCAGGCACAACAGCCCTGCCCAAAGGCAGCCCTGCTTTGGAATCAAAGGCGATCTCTGGCGCAGCTTTCCCACTGTGGGCACCAGGTTGGCCACCGTGAGAACGGGACTCTGGACTAGATGGGACTCCCATTGGCCTGATCCAGCAGGGCTCTTCTTCTGTTTCTGTGGAACCTCCAGGTCCCAAGGCAGTCTAGCTACATTCCTACGGTCTTAGGGGTATTTTGCCATGTGGGGAAGAGCAGCCTGGCCCAGATGGACCCTTGGGCCTGATCCAGCTGCCTCCTCTAATGTTCTTATGGATGGGCTGTTAAGAGGCAAGGCTCCCCCCAAGTAGGAGGTTTCGCGCCCCCACAGGCAGCAGGAGCCAGAAGCCCCAAGTCAGGCACCCCAAATTTTCCAGCTCCAGAATCTTCCCACCCACCCCAAAGGAGTCCCCTTTCCTGATGACAACTTTGCTGTCTGGAGGGGAAGGAGACCTTTTTGGTCCCAACTCAAAGCGCCTCATGGAATCATCACTGGAAGGGACCTCAAGGGCCATCTAGTCTAGTTCCCTGCAATGCCAGAGGCTTTCACTCAATGTGGGGCTTGGACCCACGGCCGAGACAGAGAGTCTCCTGGTCTACCAACTGAGCAGCCCCTGCCCCCAAACCCGTCTGAGGGGAGAGGGACGTCATGAAGGCTTGAAGCTCCTTTGGACCTCAGCCCTTCTCTCAGAGGGCACAGAAGTCCACCACTGCTTTCAAAGGGGAGACCCTGTGACACACAGAGAGACTTTTCAGAGCTAAAGAGGGGGGGCATTTGGGCTGAAAGCACCCACCTGCCCATAGGGACTCCAGCCAACGCAGCTGCTACCACGCACTGGATCCAGCCTGGACTATTCTGTGGCTACATCCATGGGGCTGCAGCTCCCTTCATCCCCAGGGACCCCCACCCCGGATCTAGAGGATGGACGAGTGGGGAGGCCTCGCTATCTCCCCTGATGGACTGAAGGCAAAGCTTGTGAGTCCCTTGCGGACCCCCCTCCCTCCCGCTCAGCGGCAGCGACACCTACAAATCGGCGCTCCGACGGACGCTTGACGTTGTGTGGGTTGACGGACAGGTCAGGCATCATGGCTGCCACCAGCTCTCCCGTGACGTCTCCAGCAGCCACCGTGTTGAGCCAGTCGGATCCAGAGATGCTCTGGAAGAGGGAGGGAGGGATGTCACCTGGGCCCACCCCCTTCTTCATTCCCCCCTCCCCAGAAATAATAGGGCCCCCAGTGCCCCAGTGTTGCCCTCCAACGCACGAGGCAGAGGAGACTCCGCTTACCCACACGGTGCCCTTCCGAGGGGCCACAAAGTAGGCCCGGAAGCCCAGGTAGCCGGCGTCCAGGTAGTGGATCCCACACAGGCCGTACCTGCAATGCAAGAGGGGGCGGGTAAAGAGCGAGGCAGCGCCCGCGAGCAGGGGGGGCGGGCGGGAAGCAGACCATTCCCCTGCCAAACAGGCCTCATCGTCAGAAAGCTCTTCTTAATTCCTGCCCCCTCCCCACCGCCAGCCTGACGCCTGCTGGGGCTGGGTTGTCCTGGGGGAGCAGGTCTTCAGAGCGAGAGCACCCTCTGCCAAGCACAGAAAAGCACAGCGGCCAAGCAGATCCCCTGGATTTCAGCTGCCACAGCCCTCTCCCCCCTTGAGGATTCGGGAAGCCGTCCTGGCCAGCAGCCCTCCCCTCTCCGCACTCACGAGGCATAGCAGTTGTCCTGGGCCACCGTGATGCCGCTGTAGGGCAGCAGCCAGGCGATCTCCGTGCTCAGAAAGCGCTTGATGCTCTGGAGCGGCTCGTACAGCCGCCGCAGGTCCCAGTACTTGATCTTGCGGTCGTTCCCGGCCGTCACCATGAAGTTGCTGGAGCAAGCAAGGGGGAGGCGGCTCAGTGATGGAGGTCCTGGCGAGGCCCAGTCGCTGGCAGGGTTGACCCACTCTGAGGTCTCCCCCCAGGCAGCAGGGGAAGGAGGCTGGAAGAAGTCCCCCCCCCCCGCTAAGCCCGGCCCCCACCTGTTGGCTTTGCACCACTGGATGTTGCGCACGGCGTGGTCGTGGGCCAGGAAGCAGTGGAAGGGGTAGAGCTTGAGGGAGCCGTCCGGCTGGCGCACTCGCTGCAGCAGGGAGCGGCTGGCCAGGTTCCAGAGGGCCACTGTGCCTGGAGGGGGGGGGGGGACAGGCAGAGAAGAGTAGGCTTGAAAGCATCCCTGACAGGCGGCCATGCAACTGCCAGAAGAGGCAGAAGGTGCATCACCTTCCGAGGAGGAGGCTGGGATTGGGAGCCTGTGCCGGGGGGGGGGGACACACATCCCCCCCCCGAGCCTCCTTGGCACTTGGGAGTTTCAGCTGCAAAGCTTTCTCCTCTCACCATCATAGAATCCGGCCGCCAGGCGTTGGTGAGGCTTCGCCGGCATCCAGGCCAAGCTGAGGCACTGTCCGCATTGGGAGGGGCTCCCGGCCTGGATGGCCCCCACCTGCAGGGAGGCCACGCACTGGACCTGCAGGGATGGAGGAGGAGGAGCAGTTGGGGGGGAGGCCAGAGAAGGAGCCCCACGGAAACTCAGGGGTCGGTGGCCACCTTGGCACGCTCAAGATTCCAGGCCTGACCCCCAACTCCTTCAGTGACTTCTGCACCGGCCTTTCCAGAGCTGCAGCTGGACCAGTGAGGGAGGCAGAGCCCCCCTTTGTCCCTGCCCCTCAGAACATGGGCAGCTTGGAGGGCTCAGGATGTGGCTCCAAGAGATCCTCTGTGGGGCTGGCAGGACGTACCTTGCAGATGGTGTGCCGGGGGGAGGGCCCACCTAGGAGAAGGAGGGAGAGCTGCTGTGAGGCCAGGAGCAGCCTCTGTGGGGTGAGAGAAAGCACAACCCCCCCACCTCAGCCACGCCAGGTTGCCCCCTCCTACCTGACGCAAGCAAGGTTAGGATTCTCAGGCTGCTCAAGCCAAAGCCCCCCCCCCCCCGCAGGACCAAACGGTGCTCTAGACCCATCTGCAGGCAGCACCCTCATTCCGCGACTCAGGCTGCCTGTAGCCTCTGCCTTGTAAAAGAGACCTTTTTAAAAATGCACCGGCAGAGAAATTGCCCCATAGCTTTTAGGGTGGCAGTGGAGCAGTTGCTTCAGAAGGATTGGGGGATCTCTGAGACGCAGGCCGGGGGGGAAGAGGACTCTTGGGCTGGGGCAGCAGCTGCCTTCACCAAGGTCCTCCTTGGATCAGGAGATGGAGACGAAGGGCGGGGGGTGAGGCTGGCTGGCTGCACCTCTGTCAGGGAGCCAACTGTCAGCCAGAGATGCCCTCGAAGGCATTGCCGGGCAGAGGCCTGAGCAGCAGAGTCTCATGGAGGGCGTGTCTGGAGAGGGAGGTGGGACTGAGCCTCCTTTATCCCCACCAAGGAGGCAGGGCTGAGCACCCCCAAGGCCGCCCGCCTGCAGCCTCATCCATCACTCCTGCAGACAGATATCATTACAAGGCTCATTAGCTGATACGGCTGGCTGAGCACCCAGGCCGCTGCTCGCCCCCCCGCCCCACCAGGGAGGGGGCAGCTGCCTCTGCCAGAACGTTTTGGGTGAGAGACTCTCTTCCGCTACCCCATAAAACAGCCCTGAGCTGGCAAAACACCAGGCAAGGCAGAGAAAAAGAGAAAGAAGGAGGGGGAGGAGAGAAAGAAAGAGAAATAGATGCTCCTTGCCACCCGCCAAGGGAAGCACACTGGCACAGCCCTGGCGCCCAGCCCTCCCCGTGACCCAGGGGAGGAGGGGTCCCTTCACAGCTCTTCCTACCTGTTACCTGGGCTCTCCGGGAGCCACGCAGGTCCTCTGCGTGAGGCAGGCTGTACAACAGCACCTTGCCGTCAGAGAAGGCCACGGCCAGCAGCCCCAGGCGGCTCATCTGGGATGGCGACTGTTGGGAACAGGAGAGAGAGCTGGGAGACGCCGCGCTGTGGGGCCCCAGCAAGCAGCCGGCTCTGCCAGCCTGCCCCCCCGCCCCCCGGCAGCCTCTGTGCTCTCTCTCAAGCACATTGGGAAGCGGGTGCCCAGAGACCACCCCCCGTACCTTGTGGCGGGTGGCAGGGGGCTCCCAGGCACCGCTGGGGCAGAACTTCATATCCCAGATGCAGCCGTGGTCAGTGGCAATGCCATAGGCCAGTCCTGGCTTGGTGGCTGACCTGGGAAGGGGAGAGAAGGGGGGGGGGGAGGCTGTCATTGCACAGGTGCAGCCCGGCCATTCAGACTCCAGCATAGCAGTGTGGCCACGTCTTCCAGAGGGATCACAGAAGGGACCCCAAAGGAGTCTCAAAGCGGCTAACATTCTCCTTTCCCTTCCTCCCCCACAACAAACACTCTGTGAGGTGAGTGGGGCTGAGAGACTTCAAAGAAGTCTGACTAGCCCAAGATCACCCAGCAGCTGCAGGTGGAGGAGCGGGGAAGTGAACCCGGTTCACCAGATTACGAGTCCACCGCTCTTAACCACTACACCACACTGGCAGGAAGGCCTTCCTGAGGTTTCCTCGCAATCTCCTTTCTGGGAACTTGAATCCTCCCCTCCAGAGCAGAAGGAAACACGTTGGCCCTGTCTTCCTTGTGGCAGCTCCTCTCTCCTTCTCCCCCCCCCACCTGTGCCCTCTTTCATGCCAGGGGGCCCAGCTCACAGGTGCCAGCCTCTCTGGTCCTGCGGCAGAGAAAGCCCCTCCTCGCCTGCCCTCCTGCCTTGCCCAGGGGTCCTTGGGGATCAGGACATGTCCCTGCTGAGCTCCACTGGGCGGCCACCAGGCTGCCCTGGGGCTGAAGCCGGGGGAAGGCAGGGCCAAGGAGCGCTGCAGGGGGCCTGGGGGCTCCCCACTCACCCTGCCTCCTGTTGGAGAGGCCCCAGCTCCCAGAGCTGGAGCAGCGCTGGCCCCGTGTGGGTCCCCGCCAAGCTGTGCCGGTCGTCCATGCCGGGATTGCAGTAGATGGCTGCGTACTGGGAGGCTGGGGCGCCTTCTGGGGTGGGGCACCACTCCATGGCCCAGACGGGACCCCCCACAAAGAAGGTGACGTCCAGGCGCTCCTCGTGGGGCTGCAAGGCGTTGAACCTGCCAGAGGGGAAAGAGAAGGGGGGTCTTGCCAAGGGGCTCACAGGCCGGGAGTCTTGCTTCAAACGGGGCTGTTTGCAATGTACAGTGGTACCTTGGGTTAAGTACTTAATTTGTTCCGGAGATTGGTTAACCTGAAACTTTTCTTAACCTGAAGCACCACTTCAGGTTAAGTGGTGCCGCCCAATTTCTGGTCTCATCCTGGAGCAAAATTCTTAACCCGAGGTAATATTTCTGGGTTAGCGGAGTCTGTAACCTGAAGTGTATGTAACCTGAGGTACCACTGTACAAGGTTCAGGGCAGATAAAAGAAAATCCTTCACACGGCACATGGCTAATTTGTGAAACTCCTTCCTGAAGGAGGGCAGGGAGGGCCACCAAAAGGATTAGGCAAATTCATGGAGGGGGAGAGGGCTCTCAGTGGCTACTTCTCTGCCTCCAAAGTCAGGCTTTGGAAGCCCCAGGACGGGTGATTTGCTCTTGTGCTCAGAACCTGCTGGCTGGTTTCCCACAGGCAACTGACAAGAGGGAGCTGGGCTCCTGGGGCCCAATCCCACAGGCGGTTCCTGGGCTCTTCAAGTACTGCGAGATGGACTCTCGGCTGAAAGGCGGGAGAGACGTTTACGTAAAGTGACCGGCACCTGTTGATCCGGTAGAGAACGCTGCTTTCTTCGTGGAGGCCTTCGCGCTTGATGCAGAAGAGCGGGGACTTGGTCTCGCTGGGGAGGTATTCCTCAGCTTCGCTTTGGAAGAGGAAGGAGGAAAGAGGGGAAACTCACTCCAAGGATCTTCTTCACACACGCACACACCCTGACCTCTCTGGGCTCTCGCAAGAGGCTGGGCTGCCCATGCAAAAGCGGCCTCTTTCCTGGTGGTGATTTGGGGCTCCTCCTGCTGGTGGTGGCAGCAGTGGCAAAGGGCCCAGAGGGCATGCCACGCGGGGCACCCTCTCCCTGCTCTCTCCCCAGCATGCGCTCCCCCCCCCCATTATTGCAACTGCCAACCTGGGTCCAGATGTTCCTCAGAGTTACCGGCACCTGCCCTCCCTCTTCTTTGTCAGGAGGCCACTCACCTCTCCGAGAGGAAGACCCACTTCCGGGCCGAGGGCACCCACTCTGGAAACTCCCAGTGGGAGTAGAGCTGCTCACGCCTGCAAGCAAACAAAGCCACATGGCGTCAGAGAGAACTGCAGCGGGGAACGGGGCCAGCCCAGAGGGCGACAGCATCACTGCAACCTCAGCAGGAACAAACCCAGGCAGTCCTCTGTAGTGATCAGGTGGGATTGCTATGAGGAATTATAAAAAATATGGAGCAAGCCATTTGTGCCAGCAGTGAAAGCATTGCGTTGACTGGGTGAGCCATTTTGATATGATTTCTGACCAATCCACGCCTCTGCGTCTCTGTCCTATTTCTCTGCCTGACAGGCACACACAAGCATTCTAAACACAGGCCAGTTGCTTCACCAGGCATCCTGGGTCACAAAGATAGTAGGTAGCTTCTTTGATATACCCTTCCTTGGTTTTGTTAATCTTAGGGCCAGGAAACAGTTTCACATGAAGGTGATAAAGATACCTGTCTTCCTTGCCATCCTTCCCCTCATGTTTACTGCTTGTTTATGACCTCCGGGGTTTTGCTGAATGCATTCCTCTAGTCCTGTTTTATTTATTCTCAGATATGTATGCATGCTCATATTAGCTCTTTGTAGTTTTAACTTTAATTTTGTCCCCATGTGGGGTTTTTGAAACGCTCAGAGGAAATCTGATTGGTTTTTATGGACACTATGTAAAAAGTTCTTTTGTGAATACAACGACCTGGGCCGGAGGGTGGACGGATTATTATTATTGGCACCCCTCCCAGAGTCTTGCTGGTCAAGCCTCATGTGTATTTTATTAATCAGAGTACAATCCTTCCTTGCTTTTGGGACGCAACAGTCCTCGCTCTCCGGGGTCCCAGCTGGGGTCCCTGGAACCCGCACCAGCCTGAGTGTTTCAGGCGCACAGTTCCCCCCCCCGCTCCGATCGTATTGTTTGAAGGGCAGTACAATGAGCGCAGCTCCTTTCCATACTGCAGGGCCATGCAGTAAAGGAGCTGAGCTCTGTCCCAGCGGCAGCAGCAGCAGAACAACTGCAAGGCAGGGACCCTCCCCTTTCCTCCCCCCCCATTCCTGTGCTTCAGTTACCCCACCAGCAAAGTGGGGCAGGCAGCCCCAGACTTACACACGGTGGGTGACGGAGAGCGCCTTCCAGATGGGGGCCATGATGGAGTTGTGTAAGCCGTTGGACGCAAACCCTCGGCAGTGGCTCTTGGGCCTCTGGGGAGAAGGAGGCGGGGGTCAGAGACAGAGGCCCACGGAGCCCACCCTCCCAAGCCAGCAGTCCCCAGAGAAGGGCCGGGCTTGCTCTCCATTCACAGAGGCCTCTGAGCAGACCACCAAGAGGAGCACTCCTTCCCCGTCCCCCAGCTTAGTCACCGCTGCTCCACGCAGCCCAGGCTCCAGGTCAGAGTCGGAGACCTCGCTGAGCCGCAGGTCGCTGTCCTCTTCCTCCTCCTCCTCTTCCTCCTCCTCCTGCAAGAGTCCTTCCTCCGAGGGGTTGAAATCCGCATCCTCCTCGCTCTCCCGCTTCTGGCTCTGGGGCTTCCGGCCTCGCCGCTTCCGGCTGGGCTCCTCCGGCCGCGGGGCGTTCTCCAAGGGCTCACTGCAAGCGGGCGGCTGGTACACGGAGGTCAACTCTTCGGCCAACTCCTGCAGGTACAGAAGGGCTCTGCAGGCCGAAGGGGAGGGAGTAGGGACAAATGGTCACAAGACACCCCAGATCTTCAGGGCAAGAGCCGGAACTGAAGAAGGGTGGGAACAGGGTGGGGCTGCGGCAGGCACCAAACACTGCCCGCCTGGGTCCAGCATCTCCCCATCCTCTGGGCCAAAGTGCTGCTTGCAGAAGGCCTGCAGCTCCAAGTTCCACACAAATTCTGGAAGCTCCCATGAGAGGCAGTGAGGACTAGTGACTTGGATGGCCGAGTGCCAGGACCAGCTCCCTCCTCTCTCTACATCTTTCTGCAGAACTTTGCCTTGCATGCAGATATCTGCAGTCAATCAATTTGTTGACTAGGATTTCTTTAATCTTTTCCCTGTCGGTTTTTGCTTTAGGAACTCGATTCAAAACACGAAAACTAGAGGACAGCTTCCACTGAAAGCCCAGCAGAAAACAGGTTCCGCTTGGCCCCAACTCCGTGAGGTCACAGGTGTTGGGGGGGCCATGTTCTGCCTGCATCCAGGTGAGGCCCCTGTGGAGTCCCGTTCCCCACGTCTTGAAAACCTCTTAGGACATCCTGACCTGCTCAGAAGGAGAGGTGCCTGGATCAGCCCAAAGGTTCCTTTAGTCCAGCATCCTGTTCTCAGGGGGGCCAACCTGATGCTCCACAGATAAGCCCCCCAGCATGACTGGAGCAGGGGAGTCCCCTGCCTACCTGTGACTCCCAGAATCTGGGATTCGGACGCTGCTGCTTCCGATAGGGGAGGCAGAACACAGCCATGGTAGCTAGTAGCCGCTCACGGCCTTCTCCTCCCCCAACTGGGATGGCTTTAGAAGAGGATTAAACCCATTTATAGACGAGAATGAATCCACGATTCCATGTACAGTGGTGCCCCGCAAGACGAATGCCTCGCAAAACGAAAAACGCGCAAGACGAAAGGGTTTTTCGGTTTTTGCGTCGCTTCGCAAGACGATTTTCCCTATGGGCTTGCTTCACAAGACAAAACTTCTTGCGAGTTTTTTTTCCTTTTTCTCAAAGTGACCGCAAAGGCGAGCTCCGGTCGCGCGGCCGAGGGAAGCCCCGCTGTGGGTCGTCCAAAGTCAGCCCGAGCACGCCACTCACCTAAAAGGCATGGAGAGACGGAGGGAGCGCGCGAGGATCCCGGTGCAGAGGAGGCTCCTGCAGCAAAATAAAGGCAGTCGGCAGCCGGAGGGCTCCAGGACCCGGAGCTGCGGCGGGGCCGTCGATGGCGTTGCCGGAGACTCCTCCCTCTGGGCCTCGCTCTCTCCGCCTTCGCCGCCGCTTGCCCTGCTTGCGATCGGCCGGGCTCATCGCTCCGCTCTGCAGAGCGCTGCGCAAAGGCGCGGCGGGACAGGTGTCCGGGGACGCTTTGGCTGAGCGCGCCCCGGGATCGGAGGTGTGGGGTGCTTGCTGCAGATCTTATCTTCCGGGGTTGCTGGGATGGCGGCGGTCGGGGCTTGTGTTATGTAAGCACGTCAGGAGGGACTGCTTAAGAGGCCGGACAAGGCTTATGCAATGGCCAGATGCTCCCTAGGGGTCGAGGCTTGCAGTTGCGGGAACGAGTTTATACCTGTAGCCGCTAAGCCGCTAATAGCCGTGCTTCGCAAGACGAAAAAACCACAAGACGAAGAGACTCACGGAACGGATTAATTTCGTCTTGCGAGGCACCACTGTATGGCTAGCGATGGCTACTAGTCACGGTGGTTCAGCTCTGCCTCCAGTTGGAAGCAGCAAAGCTTTGGAAGGCCAGGGGCTGGAAGCCGCTGGAGGGGAGACCTGGGCTCTTGTGCTCAACTCCTGCTTGCATCTGGTCGGCCTGTGAGACCAGGATGCTGGACTAGATCGGCCGCTGGCTTAATCCAGCAGTTTTTTCTTCTGTCCTTATAGAACCTCCAGGTCCAGAGGCAGTCTATCTAGATGCAACAGGCCTGATCAAGCAGCCTCTCTTTACATTCAATCCTGTTTTAAAGCCTTCCAAGCCGGTGGCCGTCGCTGCCTCCTTTCCCCCTGGGCCTAAGAAGGCAGCACCACTCCTGCTCAGTAGTCAAAGAAACTACCAGCGAGTTCCTCCCCCTGCCCGTCAACGCCTCTCGCTTACACTTTTGCCGCCCTCCGCTTTGGGCGTCCCCCAGGCGTCGTCTCCAGACAGTCCAGCCCTCCATCACTGGCCAGCAGCTTCTGTTGGCAGAGGGGTTCGGGCGCCTGACACTCCAGTCCCTGCGACAGCTTCCTCAGGAGCAGCTCAGCCTTGGACTTGCGCCCCCGCTTTTTCGGCACTTTCACAGGCAGGGGTGGGCCGTTCTCCGAAGGCCCAGGGGCCTCAGGGGGTCCCTGGGGTTCCTGGCGGGCAGGGCCTCTGCAGGCGGCGCCTCTCTTCTTGCGGGGCTTGCGACCACGCGGGCGCTTCTGCGTGGACGGGAGAGCTGCCGGCTGCTCTTTGGCAGGAACCAAGGCTGCCTCTGGGGAAGCGCAGAGTCCATCTGCTTGGAAAAGGAAGGGCCAGGTTAGGTAAGCAGCCGCTGCCATGCCAGGCGGAAGAGGGCTCCCAACTCCTGCCTCCCCTTCCCCACTTCCAGCCTCAGCTCCCCACAACTGAAGCCTGCCAGGTCTGAGGACATGGAGCCAGAGGGATGGACTTAGTTTTATATGGAGGGCTGCACATGGCCTCTTTCTCCACAGGGGTCATTTTGTCAGGACTGCAGCACACAGGTAGAGAAGGATTAACTTCTCCGCACACACAGCTACCCTAGCAAAAAAGACCTCATTAGCACTGTAATTAGGGTTAACAAAAAAAGTCTTCCTAGTCAAGCCGATGGGAGCTCCTCCTCTCCCAAAAAACCATCATTGCTGCACTTATTTATTTCATTTATATCCCACCTTTTCCTCCAAGGGGCTCAAGGTCACGGGGGCAGATCTCCACTCATTTTATTCACACAACAACCTTGTGAGGTAGGTGAGGCCGAGGGGCAGTGACTGGCTCTCAAGGTTGCCCAGTGAGCTTCACAGCTGAGCGTGGATTCAACCCCTGGTCTCCCAAGTCCTAGTCCAATGCTCCAACCACTGCACCACACTGTGACCCTGGCAGTGACCACAGAGTGTGTGTGTGGTTGTGTCCTTAACTGTGGAGTCCAGCAGCTGCTCATCCAGCTCACCTGGGACCTCAGGGTCTTCCTCAGTGCTCCTCCCAGTCCCTGCCAAGTTACAGGTTCTACCCAAATCCTCCCCAGAATCTCATCAGTCTCCTCATCAGAACCATTTCTGCAGAGATTTCAGGTGCTATGGTGCTGCCACAACTCCCTCCCTCCCACAACTCTCCAAAGGCATCACCCTCCCTAAGATAAAGGCAGAACCTGCCCCCTCATCCCCCCCCCACACTTGAACCCCACTCCTTCTGCACCAGATTATCTCCATGCGTGGCAGAATGGAAGAAGGACCCCCCGCCATTTCCCAGGCATGTTCAGTAAGGAGCACCTGCTTGCCCAAGGGGCCTGGGCCTAATTTTGCAGCTCCTTCAGCAAGCCCTGGCCCCCCTCCCAGGCAGATCCCAGAGGATCCCCAAAGTCTGGATTAAGCAAAATAAGCCCTGCTTAGGGCATCAAGGGAAGGTGGGCACCATAGAAATGGTCACAGATCACTCCACTGAGAGTTCATTTTCTCAGTTTCATTTCATTTCAAAAACAAGTTTTTATTTTACGGTTAATTACTGTTTATATTTTGAATTCAATACATATGGGGGCACCAAAATCTTCTAAGTGCTTAGGGCCTCTAAAGGTCTTAATCCGGTCCTGCATGACACTCAGAGGCGGCTTCCTGGAGGCCTTGGGGTTGGGGAGTCCCCTTCTGCATGCGGTTTACAGGATCCCAGCCAGTGGCCCCCAGAGACGTACCAAGGGCTTCCCGAGCGCCTGTCTCCTCCGCTTGCCCCTTCAGCTGTGTAGAAGGCAGCTTGCCTTTAGTCTCTAGGCCGCTCTTCTTGCAGGGGGGGCTCTGGGGCTTGGGCCGTTCTTCCTGCGGGCAGCTTTCCGTAGGGGGGCCTATTGCTGCTGCTGCTGTGCTTGCCTCACTCAGACACGCTGCTCCCGCCGAGGCCAGCGCTTCTGGGGCAGGATAGTTCTGCCCGCCCCAGCAAGGGTCTCTACGGCAAGGCTCCATGCAAAGGATACGGCTGGCACATCCACCTGCTCGGTCTGCGGCTTCCCTGGCTATCCCCATGGCACAGCTTGGCGTGGGGCAAGGTTCCATGAAGGCACCACAGTGACTCAGGCAGGTGCGACTCCCATCTTGCACTGGGACCTGCCCGTGAAAGAGAGAGGCAAAGGAACAAGGAAAGCTGTGGGCAGGACAGTCATCTCAGATCAAATAAGCAGATGAAAGCAACGGCGCTGTTCTAATTATTTTATCGCATTTAGATCCCATGTTTTCCTCCAAGGAGGTCACATAAATGTCACTGGGGCTAAATTATTCTACTTATTTTGAACACGCTTTGGGGGGACGTCCTTTTGCCAAGAACATGTTCACACAACATCAGAGTTTTATGTAGGAGGTTACTACTATAATGAACTATACAGCACCGGGATGGTAATTTTCCAGTATTATAAAAACTGTGGAAATGTAACGTGTGCTAAATAACTAGTATAAACCTAACATTTTATTATAGTTACCCTGGGTTTCATAAAATGATCTTTGAAATTCCTCTGAAAGTAAACCATCCTGAGATCTTCAAATGAAGGGCGGTATACAATTTAAAGAAATAAAACGAATAAATACAGTGGTATCTCAGGTTAAGTACTTAATTCGTTGCAGAGGTCTGTTCTTAATCTGAAACTGTTCTTAACCTGAAGCACCACTTTAGCTAATGGGGCCTCCTGCTGCCGCTGCACTGCCGAAGCACAATTTCTGTTCTCATCCTGAAGCAAAGTTCTTAACCTGAAGCACTATTTCTGGGTTAGCGGAGTCTTTAACCTGAAGTGTATGTAACCTGAAGCGTATGTAACCTGAGGTACCACGGTAAATGGATTTTAGTTTCACAACCACCCTGTGAGGTGCGTTAGGCTGAGACAGTGAATGACCCAAGCTCACCCAGTGAGCTTCCTTGTTGTGGGAATTTGAACTCTGGTCTCTTGGGTTGGCTGCCCTGTCCATGCCCATCACTGTGTGAGCAGAAGGGGGGTAGCCTGTGGGCCCTTTGCTTCAGCAACAGGAAACCTTCTGCACTCAGGGAGGCTTCTCACACCATCTGGACCCCTCGGGGGGGCACAGCAGCCTGCTCATCCCTAAGGGGTTGGAGTATCCATAGGGCTCAGGTGAAGCTCAACTGCAAAAATAAATGTTGCAAACCTGGGAAGAATTCAAAGCTCAACAGACAAGGGAAAATCCCCCCACCAGCTGTGTTAGATAGCAAAATAAGGCAGGCTGTTGCACATGCGCTCTTAACATATCCTGCTTTTATTTTATTCTACCATTCGTCTGAGATACCTGAATGGTATTTGTTACCTTAATTACCCCTTAAAGCGGGCCATCGACGAAGTGACACAGATTAATCGGGAGAGTTTAATGCCCTGCTGGCCAGCCTGGATAGCTCAGCTGGGGAGAGGCTGGGCTGCAGGTTCGACCTCGGCAAGGGGCAGCTGCCGAATGCTGCATCGCAGGGGGCTGGACTAGATGATCCTCCGGGCCCCTCCCAAGGACTTGCCAAGGAGCAGCTTTGGCGCCCAGAGATGATGTGCTGGGGGATCCAGTGGGATCCCTGACCTGGACTTGCTGCCTGGCCAGGGCCGCTCCCCCCCCCCCCCGCCAGAGACCGGCACCGGAGGCAGCATCTCGGGGCCCCGTCCCCCCCCCTCGCCGGGCAGGCGAGACCCCCGAGCGGAGACCTGCCCCCCCCTCAGGAAGGGGGCGGGGCCAGGCCTCTTTCCGCGCAGAACGAGGCCCGTCCGCTTCGCCGGCGCCCGCGGAGGCGGCCCTGGCCCTGGCGACTCCGGCCCGCGCCTCACCTCTCGCTCGCCGAAGCCGGTCTCCGGCCGAAGCAGCGGCGGCCCCAGCAGCCAAGATGGCGGCCGCCTCGGGCGCGCAACGATGACCGCAAGCCCCCGACGTCACTTCCGTCCCGCGACGCGGAAGCTCTCCCGGCGGCGCTGGATCTTCCCCGCCTCGTTCATCCGCTCGCCGCGGGCGCCGCAGCCTCGGGAGCCGCCTTCGCGCTCCCGTCCCGCCGCCCCTTCGGCCGCCGCAGCTGCGACGAGCGGAACCGCGCCAGCCCCGCGGCGGCCGCTGACGTCACTTCCTCCGCGCGCCTCGCCGGGAAAGGGGCTGCAGCGCCCCCTGGCGGCCGAGGCGCCGCACGCAGCTTCTTTGTTCCTCCCGCGGCGGGTCGAGGTGCGTGGGAACGCGGAGACACGCGTCGGACCCGCGACAGGCCCCACGGGCGAGGCGCCTTCGCCAAGCGAGCTGTGGGTCTCTCGGGCCCGTTGATTGGGGCCACAGGCCCCCCCAGCTTCGAAGGGGCTGCAAGGAGCCGCTTGGCTCAAGACAGTGGCTCCCCCCCCCCCCGCCCCGCACACTGACACCCCCAATCACAGGGCGGGAGCGTCGCAAGGGTCCCCGAGGGTCATCCAGCCCAACCCCCTGCAAGGCCGGAATCTTAGCTGAAGCCTCCAGAAGGCAATGTATTGCCTTCACATTCTCATTTTTGCTGGTCCAAGAGGAACAGGAAACCACATGCTTTTGGTGGTCTTCACCTGCCCTGCCCCCCCCCGCCCCCCCATAATCTGACACATGCCTGGACAAAAGTTTAGCAGGAATAATAAGCCCAGAGAAAAGGGGACATTTGGTCTGGCTTAAGACCTTAAACTTTATTATGAATCAGCATCTTTTTGCTGGTTGAAAGAATGGCTGCTTCTTGAAAACACTGACATTTTGGATCTAGAAGGTTTTAACAATGTATTTGGATGGCATGCATATCTGTGGTATGATAAGGTCAAAGCACATAAAGCATTTAAAAACCATATTGTTAGGAAAGCTTTGTTTAATGTTTGGATAAGATATAAGGACTTATTGGAAAATAAAACCCCAAGGTGGCTGTCACCGATGGAAGCGAAAGCCTTGAAAAAGCTCAATATGGAGGTCAAATGGCCGAAATATTGGGAAATTTTAGAACAAGATGGAGATAGATTGAAACTGCAGAGTTTTGAAAAACTAAAAAATAAAGTGCGAGACTGGCTTCATTATTATCAGAGAATGGAGGCATACAATTTGGATAAGAAAATTGGCTTCCAGGTAGAAAAATCAAAATTAGAAACTGTTAGAACCCAAAACTAAGAATTTCTCAAGAATGTATAACTTGCTGCTGAAATGGAATACTCAGGATGAAACGGTGAAATCTGCTATGATTAAATGGGCACAAGATGTTGTACATAACATCATGTTTGCTGACTGGGAACAGTTATGGACCACAGGTATGAAGTTTACGGCATGTAATGCCCTAAGAGAGAATATTATGAAAATGATATACAGGTGGTACATAACTCCAGTCAAGCTTGCAAAAATCTACCATCTGCCCGATAATAAATGTTGGAAATGTAAAGAAACTGAAGGTACATTCTTTCACCTTTGGTGGACGTGCCCAAGGATTAAGGTTTTCTGGGAGATGATTTATAATGAATTAAAAAGGTATTTAAATATACCTTCTTGAAGAAACCAGAGGCCTTTCTCCTGGGCATAATCGACCAATCGGTGTTAAAGAAGGACAGAACTTTCTTTATGTATGCTACAACAGCAGCAAGAATACTTATTGCAAAGTATTGGAAGACACAAGATCTACCCACACTGGAGGAATGGCAGATGAAAATGATGGACTATATGGAATTGGCGGAAATGACTGGCAGAATCCGAGACCAGGGAGAAGTGTCGGTGGAAGAAGATTGGAAGAAATTTAAAGACTATTTACAGAAATATTGTAAAATTAATGAATGTTAGAATGATGACGGATTGAAGTTAAGCGGTTTCTAGCAGTAATGGTTAAAAGAATTGGAAAAATTGGTTTTTAATAGGTAAAAATTTAATGTTATAATATATTAAGATTAAAGATCAGGATTAAAAAGGAGGGAAAGGAATTGCTGGATTAACAAACTGAATTGGAATACAAAAGAGGGAGGTATGAGGAGGTCCGGGAAACAAGTAAATGTAAAAGAAGTGATGAAAAGATGGAATTGTTTTTAACTGTTTTTTCTTTTTCTCTTTTGTACTTTGTATTGTGTATTTTTCTTTTTATTGTTAATTTTTTTATTAATGTGATCCTTTTCTTGTGAAATTTTAATAAATATCATTTAAAAAAAAGAAAGAAAAGGGGACATTTGGATAGGCCCTTCGTGATGAGCTGACAATACTCTGCTTTAAATGTAATAGGGCTGCTGGGTTTTTTGTCCTGTGTTTTCATGTTGACACTGATTTTTCTGTAAAGTGCCCTGGGTTTGTTCCAAGAAGGTGGCCCAAAAAGTGGGCAAAGAAATCAATGAGCATCCTTGGGCCACAGGAATCAACCAGAACAGCCTGAACAGGATCAGGCTCTGCCGTGACTGGCACTTCCTTTAATGTTGTGAACCCCCCTGTGATCTTCGGATGAAATTCAATAAATAATAATACTTACTTTAAAAGATTTCTAACCACCTTGGGGCCTATGGGGAGGGTTTGCCCCTCTATTGTCAAAGGAAGATGGAAATGTGGGGATGCAGTGCCAGGCTGATGGGGCTGGATCTACAGAGCTGGCTTGTCCAACCGATGAGGGAGAAAAGGGTGGCTCTCTGTTCAGAGGGAACCAGAAAAGCCCCTTCACACATCCCAGCCCAGAGTTTGGGCTCCGCGTCGACCCCCCACTTTGAGACGCATCCATGGCAACAACCCCCTTTCGGGAAGGTCTTCCAGTGGTCCTGTTCTGTCCATGCGCTCAGGCACACACGCAGCGGAGGCAGGGAGCAGGGCACACACAGGTTTATTGACCCCACCCCATTGGCATTACTGCTCCACGTTCTTGACCCGCAGCACAACCGGGACGGAGGTGCAAGGGATCATCCCCAAGTCCGTAATGACCAGGTCCACCAGCTCCAGGGGGGTCACGTCATAGACCAGGTTGAGGAGGCGCAGAGACTTGCTCTCCTGCCAGTTGGCCAGCGGGGTCCTCCCTGGCTTCCCACCAATCAGGTCGTCGGGGTCATCTGCAAGTGGCACAGCGGACAGCCGGGGTCAGCGGGAGGATGCCATTCCCCACCCCCCGGCAAGAGGAGGGTTAGGGTTCTCCCTCCCTCCCAAGGCCAAGCTCTGGGGCAGCCCCAATAATGGGGCTTGAGTGCAAGGGCCTGGGCTCCATGGCAGAGCATCTGCTTGGCATGTAGAAGGAGCTCAGCAGCATCTCCTTGTCCAGCATGAGGACAAGGTGGCTTCCTGAGCTCAGAGGCAGGAGATCAGGCAACAATCCTGGGCAGCCTCAAGAAAGCAGGCTAGAGGGGCTTCCCGGAGCCCTACAGGCTTCCCCCACTCCGCTTGCTGCCATGGCAGAGTTGCCCCTGCGAGCTGAGGGAGGGAGCGCCCTGTACGTACCCCAGGACCCTTTCAACTTACAGAGGGCTGCGGGGAGGGAAATGGGTGTTCTCATGGCATTATGATTGAGACTGAGGTTGAATCCTGACAAGACAGAAGTACTGTTTTTGGGGGACAGGAGACTGGCGGATGTGGAGGACTCCCTGGTCCTGAATGGGGTAACTGTGCCCCTGAAGGACCAGATGCGCAGCCTGGGAGTCATTCTGGACTCACAGCTGTCCATGGAGGCAGAGGTCAATTCTGTGTCCAGGGCAGCTGTCTCCCAGCTCCATCTGGTACGCAGGATGAGACCCTCCCTGCCCGCGGACTGTCTCACCAGAGTGGTGCATGCTCTAGTTATCTCCCGCTTGGACTACTGCAATGTGCTCTACGTGGGGCTACCTTTGAAGGTGACCTGGCAACTGCAACTAATCCAGAATGCGGCAGCTAGACTGATGACTGGGAGTGGCTGCCGGGACCACATAACACCGGTCTTGAAAGACCTACACTGGCTCCCAGGACGTTTCCGAGCACAATTCAAAGTGTTGGTGCTGAGCTTTAAAGCCCTAAACGGCCTCGGTCCAGTAGACCTGAAGGAGCGTCTCCACCCCCATCGTTCAGCCCGGACACTGAGGTCCAGCGCCTTCTGGCGGTTCCCTCCCTACAAGAAGTGAGGTTACAGGGAACCAGGCAGAGGGCCTTCTCAGTAGTGGCGCCCACCCTGTGGAACGCCCTCCCACCAGATGTCAAAGAGAACAACAACTACCAAACTTTTAGAAGACATCTGAAGGAAGCCCTTTTTAGGGAAGCTTTTAATGTTTAATAGGTTATTGTATTTTAAGTGTTCTGTTGGAAGCCGCCCAGGGTGGTTGGGGAAACCCAGCCAGATGGGTGAGGTATAAATAATAAATTTATTATTTATTATTATTATTAGCAAAAAGTACCAGCTGGGCATCTCCCTGCTGCTCCCTTTCTTGTTAGTGGGTCCCCCAACCTCCCACCCCCCAAGGGACCTGCAGCGTACCGAGTTCGTTGGAGACGAAGGAGTCAGTCTGGACTCTCTCGCAGAACTTGTAGGTCTCGCAGCAGACCAGGACCGGCACGTTGTGGGCCTTCGAAAGCAGCGCGATCTGCGAGGTGCCCATGCGCGACATCACGGAGCCGTTGGCCAACAGCGCATGCGCGCCCAGAAGCACTTTGGACACCTGCCAGGGGAGGAAGCGGAGCTGGGGATCTCGGCACTCTTTCACGCCCAGCGAGGGTGCCGGGGAGAAGCCCCCACCCAGACTCGGCCAAGGCGGAAGCACAAAGCCTTTGCAGAGTCCATCTGCCAGCAGAAAGAGCCTCCCTGCTCCCCTGCTCCCCGTCCTCACCTCGGGCAAGACGTAGGAGACGGCATTGATGAGGACGTAGCTGCAGCAGATGCCCTGCTTGACCAGGCGGCGCAGCGTCTCCTGCCCCTCCAGCCGTGGGCGGCTATCCACCACCACCACGCGGAAGGCACGGCCTGCAGAGCGGCACTGGGTGTGGGCGTCACAGAGGATGCGCGTCACCAGGGAGGAACTGCCAGGCAAACGTGAGCAAGGGGTGAGGAGGGGCCTTCCTGCTCCTGCTGCCTCCCACCCTCTGCTGCTCTCACAACCCATCTCACGGGCAGGGCTGTCTCAGCGTCTCGCTGGCTCGGTCGCCCCTGAACTCGCGGTGCAGCCTGCCACAGCAGAAGAGCCTGCCACAACGCTCCGACCGACAGGCGGGCTCTTCCCCGGACTCAACTCTTGGGCCCCAGACTCTTGGCCTAGAGCCCCTGAGAGCCTGGCACCCGGGTGTCCCGCATCCCTAGCACCTATAGGTAAGACGGCCCTCCTCACAGGGCACAGGTCAGCCCATCCAGGGGCGGGAACTGCAGGCCGGGCTCCAACAGGCCTCCCGGGAGCCAGCCCCCTCCAACACCTCAGCTCCTCAGCCGACAAGACCCATGCCGCCCACAGCAGGGTGCCCACCCCTCACCCTCGACTCCATACCATCCATAGATGAGGATGACGTCCCCGTCGTTGATCTTCTCTAAGGCAGACTTGGAAATGGCTTCAGCCGCCAAGACGATCTTCTCCCGCTCGTACCTGTCAATGGCCTCTTGGAGGTCTCGCTTGGCCTGTTGCGGGAGGGGGGCCTGATCACACCACACTCTCTGGCCCATCTCCGAGAGGGGAAGAGCCCCCTGCGTGCCCCCAGAGGACACCAAAAAGCCCTCTGCCTCCCAAGCTGGCACAAGGACGGGGCTACCACCCCAAGGATGAACCCAGAGAGGTCTGGCAGCTTGTGGTGGGCTCCGCTGCCACTCAAATCCGCCAGGGAGCATGGCAGAGAGACGGTGCCCCTCTTGCGCCTGCCACGGACCCCATGGCAAGCCCAGGCCCCTGCCCCCCAAGGCGCTGCTGGACTCACCTCCTCCTCGCGCATGGAGGCGGGCAGCGCAGAGATCTCCTTCTTGAGGAATTTGATGGCGTTGCCCATGCTGGCGGAAAGGGGCCGGCATTGGTTCAGGAAGCTGCAGGAGGAAAGGAGCACTCAGCCCAGCCTCATGGCTCCCCAGGGCTGCCTGCCCCACTCCCTCTCTTTCCCCAAGGGGGGCCAGCCCCTCCCCGTCACCTGATGTAGGGCTTCAGCTTGTTCACCAGGTCCCGCGAGAGCTCCTCGTTGGCTGGGGTGGTGTAGTCCCCGATCACCTGCCAGGACGACAAGAGGGGCAGCGGTCATGAGATGGCAGCTCACCCAGCGCCCTGATTCCGCCCGGGGCCAGCCAGACGCCTCTCCTGGGAGGCCCACCAATCTCTGCAGAGGCACAGGAGACAGAGGCCACCCACAGCCCTCTCCTAATCCCACCCAGGTCACCGTATTTTTCGCACCATAGGACGCAGTTTTTCCGTCTTAAAAACTAAGGGGGAAAGTCTGTGCGTCCTATGGAGCGAATGCAGGGGGGAGGCAGGCAGGAAAAGCCCCCAAGAGCCACACACAAGCTTCGTGCAGCTCTTGCAGGCTTTTCCCCAGGAGGCAGAAGGGACTGACATGGTCAGTCAGTCCCTTCTCCCTCCTCTAGAAAAGCCTTGCGCAATCTCTCCAGCCGCGGGGAGGCTGCGCAAGACTAAAGAGGAAGCCCAGGCAGCGAGCGCGATCCATCCCACTCACTGCCCGGGCTTCCTCCTTAGCCTTGCGTGCCTCTCCAGCCGCGGGAGGCTGCGCAAGGCTAAAGAAGCCAACTTTTAAAAAATCTCTCAATCTCTACCTCTTTTTCTTTTTTCATCCTTTCTCCACCCCCTTCTTTTCCTCTGGATCAGTGTTTTTATCTAGATTAATGTTTTAGTTTGGAGGGGAGGATATTATAAAAAAGGAAACTTTGCAGCTTTTATTTTAGTATACAATAAAAACAGATTAAACAAAACACAAAAGAAGGAAATAGCACAGAAGAAGAGGAGAAAAGGGAAAGCCATTTACCAGAGGTAGATCTTAACCCTTGCCTCACCTGGGAGCTTCTCTGGGCAGGAATTCCCTCGGCTTAATTGGGGTGGGGGGAGAGTGACAGGTAGGGGGTATCTACCTAGACACTGAAGCCACATGTCTCTCCAATGAAAATTGGGAGTGGGCATTGTGTGAAGTGGCTGTGGATCTCCTGCCGCAGACATGTAGGACTGTATAGAGTTGGGAGGGCCACCCGAGGGTCATCTAGCCCAGCCCCCTCACAATGTAGGAATTACAGCTAAAGAACGCCAGACAGATGGTCCCCCAACTGCTGCTTAAAAGCCTCCAGTGGTGGAGACCCCCAACACAACACCTTCCGAGGTCATAGAATTGCAGGGTTGGAAGGGAACCCCAGGAGTCATCTAGTCCAGCCCCGGTGGACAGTGGGCACGATCCATCCCGTTGCGCAAGGCTAAAGATGCCGCTCAAGGCTAATGAGGAAGCCAAGGCAGTGAGCGGGATGGATCGCGCTCGCTGCCTTGTCTTCTTCTTTAGCTGCGCTGGAAAGGTTGCACGGCTATGGATCCCGCTCGCTGTCTTGGCTTCTTTGCTCTTTGGGGCTGGGGGGGGGACCCAGGCTTCCCCCGCAGCCCCGAGAAGCTCTGGGAGAAGCGGACAGGCTGCACGCATAATATTTTTTCCCTTGATTTCCCCCTCTAAAAACTAGGTGCATCCTGTGGTCCGGTGCGTCCAATAGAGCGAAAAATATGGTAGTTGCCAATGCTGCTTCCATGGGTTAATTCTGCCTTGTCTGGACGACTCTGATCTTGAGCACCAATATTAGGAAAACTGGAGGGGCGGGGAGATAAATTTAATAATAATATTTGTGGTGTTGTTGGAGGGAGTGGTGGATTATCGGTTTGTTTTGTTTGTTTTTTGTATTTTTATCTTGTATTTTTTTGCTGTGAACTGCCTTGAAGAGGCAGTATACAAATTTAACATACATATATTAATAATAACAACAACGAGGAAAACCCTAATCCTAAACCTCTGCTTGTGGGACATCTTTGGGGGAAGAAAAAGGCTCAGGAGCGAAAAGGTAAAGGACCCCTGGACAGTGAAGTCCAGTCAAAGGTGACTATGGGCTTGTGGCGTTCATCTCGCTTTCCAGCCAAGGGAGTCGGCGTTTGTCCACAGACAGCTTTATGACAGGGTCATGTGGCCAGCAGGACCAAACCACTTCTGGTGCAACAGGACACTGTGATGGAAATCAGATCGTACAGAAACGCCGTTTACCTTCCCACCACAGCGGTACCTATTTATCTACTTGCACTGGTGTACTATCAAACTGCTAGGTTGGCAAGAGCTGAGACAGAGCAAGGGGAGCTCACTATTCCACGGGGATTCAAACTGCTGACCTTCCAATTGGCAAGCCCAAGAGGCTCCGTGGTTTAGACCACAGTGCCACCCGCCTCCTGCTCAGGAGTAAATCCAAGATGGTTGGATGGCGCCCAGTACGCCTCCTTCCAGCAACTCCTGCAGCCAAGCTGGTGCCAAATGTCTTGCTCTGCTTTCCTTTGGACCCCATCAGCGAGATCAAGGGGGGGGGGTCTTGTTCTCTGGGCAGCCCTGGACCTCCAGACACGCTGCCCAGGTTTGCATCCTGGGAAGGTCACTTCACTGCCTCCAATGCAGCAGTTGGACTTCACCCCTGGAGGCACACTCCATTGCCTCTGGAGACAGATGGAGGCCAACAGCAAGTATAAAATTCCCGCACTGCCATATTGCAGATGGGGTCCCCCTGGAGCCTGGCTTTCCTTCTGCCCACCCAGACAGAAGCCAGGGCGCCAACGTAGGCTGTGCCTGTTTTCTGGGAAGGCCAGCTCCTGTCTTGAGACTAGACTGCTGGCACACCCTCTGCTTGGGGCTGCCCTTGAAGAGCCTCCGGAAATGTCAGTGACGCCAGGATGCTGCCACTGCCTGGACTGCTCACCCGGGAGATGCGAGTGCGATGCCAGCCCTGACTGGCAGCCAGGCAGGGTCTGGGTGTGAAGTTCGGCTACTCTGCTGCATCGTGCCTCACTTGGCGCTTCCTTGCAGCAAACCACCTTTGCGCAACCCCACCCAGAACCTTCCACACACCTGTTTGAAGACCCTCAAGAGGGCGATGCAGCGGGCGTTGGAGCCATTGATGGTGCCCTGAGAGTACTGGAGGCCGAGGCGCACCACCGCTGGGTGGATGGCAGAGGCTGGGATGCTGCAGGGAGCACAAGAACACACAAACGCACCGCAAGTCATTTCACACAGGCGCCACACCTTTCTAGGACATGACAGAACAGGTTTGCTTTTCCCTCTTGCCCTCCCTTAAGAGGACTTTGGCGACCCAACTCCACGCCCCCTGTGATTCTGCACTTGGCGCCACACTTTCCTTTCCCCCTACACTTTGGCTTGTGAGGGCTTCCCATCTGAAGGCAACCCTGTTTAGGAAAGTTTTTAATTTTTGAAGTTTTATTCTCTTTTCAAGGTTCTGTTGAAAGCCGCCCAGAGTGGCTGGTAGAAATAAATTTATCATTATCCTTATTAAAGCACCCACTGAAGAACAGGTCTTTTCTGTGGTGGGATGCTGTCCCCAGAGAGGCTCACCTGGCACCATCATTGCATCCTGTGAACCATCCTGAGATCTTATGATGAAGGGTAGTATCTAGTATATAAATCTTAACAGCAGCAACAACATCTTTAGGCGTGAGGTGAGAACATTTTTTTTTACCCAGGCCTCTGGCCATTAAATAACTTATGGCTTGTTGGGGGGGGGGGCTGTTGTTATTATTGATTTTTGTTTCGCTGTGCATTCTGTGCCTTATTATTATGTTGCATATAAATTATGTTCTAGATGTTGCACACCGCTCTGGGATCTTTGGATAGTGGTATATAAAGTGAAATAACAACAGCAGCAGCAGCAGCAACAACCATAATAAAGGAACTGGAGTAAAACACATGTGGTTTGTGTGCTCACTCCCAAACTGGTACTTTTCCCGCTTCACAGATTCATTTTCAAAAAGCCATACAAAACCTCAACACATTTTTTGAAGGGGAAAGGTTGCGGGTTGTGAAGCAGCGTTGCGATTGCTGTCTCTCTCCCCCCACACACACTTTTTCAGATACCACAAAAGAGAAAAGTAGAGATGCTAAAATGAAATGCCTTTTTGGTAATTCTCTCATTGCAAAAAGTGAATTTAGAGGGAACCAGGAGTTGTGCCTGCCCAGTGGAATGCCCTCCTGGCAGATGCCAAAGAATTAAACAACTATATAACTTTTTGTAGACTTCTGAAGGCAGTCCTCTGATGGGAAGCTTTTAATGCCTGGTGGTGGCTGGTTTTCTCCCCTTTATTTTTTCGCTGGAAGCCACCCAGAGTTACTGGCGCAACCCAGTCAGACGGCTGGTGTACAAATAATAAATTATTATTAGTAGTACCCTCATTATTCCTGTGTTTCCATGGGGAGACGGGCTGGGTGCCCCATTGCTGAGGATGGCATCTGAGGGCAGGCAGTCTGATGGGGCAGGATGGGGCAGATACATTTGAGACACTGTGCATTTACATGGGAATTTAATTGCATGCTCTACCCACTTAATTATATACCCTGGGAAATAAACAATATTAAGAACTGTCAAACTCCGCCCTGGGAGAGGCTCCTTCTTGCCCAACCCCCTGGGCTCAGCCCCAAGGCGGCTGTAAGGGGGCGAGGCTGAGCTGGATGGAGCAGCCCCCCAACTTCCTCCTCCCTTTTCCCATCATCAGTCTAAAAACAGCCCCATCACAAACTCTGCAGAAGCCAGCGAGAAGCAGCATAAAATGAATGGGGCAGCCCCACAGCCCTGATGGGGGAAACAGAGCCCTCCACGGAAGCAGAAGCATGGAGCTCCCGGGGTCGGAACGTGACGGACGGGCGCCAAGAGGGCACCAGGGTGGATTTGATTTAAATCAAATCAATTTAAATCACTAGTTTGTAAGACTTAATTTAAATCATTTTTTTTACAGAAAGATTCATTCCTTCTGGTATCATCTTAATATTTACAACTAGAGGAAGGTTTCATTTTTAGCATAATAAATTTTAAGAGTAGGTTTTACAGTTATATCAAAAATTACTGATTTGGTTATACTATTAAAAACAGATAATTATGAAATTATTGTGAGGTTTAATAAGTTAACTTTTATAATTGGGCAACTTTTCTGCTGTACTTTATTGAAAGGAGAAAAATAATCATTTCCTTAATAACAATTTAAGCTATTTAACTAAAACAGTAACATTACATTACAGCATACGTATCTGTGTTTGTTAACTGATATGGTTAAACACTTTTTTTATTAAAAAAACTTAGACTGAGTTTTAGCACACATGAAAAACTTAAAACAAATCCTTACTTCCTGATGACTAGCCTTTGGACTATAATGTAACTTAAATAGAAAACTATCTTTAGAAAGATTTTTTCCTCCAAAAATATTTTTTTTAAAAAAATTCAATTTAAATAAAAAAATGTGATTTAAATAAAACCATTTTTTAAAACCATTGGTTTTTATCCACCCTGGAGAGCACCCACCTCATCTGCTGTGTCAGCAGCTTCTTGCGGCTGTACTGGTGGAGATGGGAGAAGAGGCTGACTTTGGCCCCGTAATCCGGCCTCAGAGGCACCTGCAGGAAGGAAGAGGAAGAGGAAGAAAAGGGGGGCTGAGGGCAGGAGTCAAGACCCTCTGCACCCCCTGGAAGTGGCAGCAGTGCCCCACCACCCTTTGCCCTCCATGCCCCTAGGGGGAGATGGATTGCCCCCCCCCCCCCGTCCCTGATCTCCCTTCCTGAGCCACAACAGCCTTCTCCACCTCCGCCACGGGGGCCTGCCTTCCAGGGTCCCCCACATCTCAACATTTTTATTACTGTTACTTTAACTATTACATTTTCATAAAATGGATGCACTAACTACAAAGAACATTGCTGACTAACCAGCCAGGTCTGCTTTTAAATGTGTCTGCAGGAGGGGGGTGGGGGGAGCGGAGCGGAGCGGAGGTTGTTTTTATTATGTCTTTTGTGTTTTAATCTTGTATTTTTATGCAGGAACTGCCCTGAGATCTAGGAGCAGCATCATAGCTGGCAATGTTCCCCTTTTTTTAAGGGAAATTCCCTTATTCTGAATAGGATTCTTCGCAAAAAAAAAAAGGGAAAAGTTGACAGCTATGAGCAGCATACAAACTTAATAAATAACAAGAAATATTAAATAATGGCTTCTTGAGTTTCCCTTTTTGGAAGCCATCTTACACAACAGCACTTTAAAACATACAAAAAGTTAAATGGCTAAAAGGTTAAAACTTCCATCGCTTCCTAAGCATTCTTGTTGGAAATCAGCCCTGAGTGCTCCCTGGAAGGACAGATCCTGAAGCTGAGGCTCCAATACTTTGGCCACCTCATGAGAGGAGAAGACTCCCTGGAAAAGACCCTGATGCTGGGAAAGATGGAGGGCACAAGGAGAAGGGGAAGGCAGAGGACGAGATGGTGGGACAGTGTTCTCCAAGCTACGAACATGAGTTTGGCCAAACTGCGGGAGGCAGTGGAAGACAGGAGTGCCTGGCGTGCTCTGGTCCAGGGGGTCACGAAGAGGCGGACATGACTAAACGACTCAACAACAAAAGCAGGCCCCAAATTGTAGCACTAAAAGACTACAGCGAGGGCACCTGCTTGAGATCAAGAGGCAGGGAGTTCCAGAGGGCAGGCGCTGCCAGATTAAGCCGTGAAATTCTTACAAATGCGCAAAACTTGTGGGGTGATAAGGGGACATAAAAGGGGCGCAAGGAGGGGGGGAGGAAGGCGTGGTGCCCCCTCCGCTCCGCATCTTCTTCCCGGAGGAAGCCCCCCCCCCAGCCGCCTACCTGCTGTCGCTCCAGCTTCTTGGCCAGCTTCTTCTGCGCCGCCGCATCATCCACCTGCACGTGCTCGGGGAGCCGCTTCACCCCTGCGGAGAAGGACCAGGCCGGGCAGGCGGTGAGGCCGGGCAGCGGCCGCTTTCCCCGGGCGCCCTCCCCGTCGGGGCGCCGCCTTACCTGGCTGGGTCTCTCCGGGCGGCGGGCGCGCCTTGGGCACCGGCGGGGCGGCGGCGGCGGGGGCCCCGCTTCGCCCTTGCGCGCCTGCTTGAGCGCCCGCTCCGCCTCCTGCTTGGCCCGCCGCTCCGCGCGCAGCTCCGCCTTGCTCTTGCCCGCCTTGTCGGCCCCCGACGGCGCGGGAGGCTCCGCTCCTGCGGGAGAGAGGAGGGGGCGCGGCGGAGGCTCAGCGGAGGGCAGCCGGGGAAGAGCCAGCCCGCCGCCCGGGGCCCGCCCTCCGGTGCCCCGACCTGGCGCTAGAGGCGGCGGCGCGGGCTCCGCGACGGGGAGGGGGCCTCGGGGGCCCGCCGCCGCCTCCTGCTGCTGCTGCTGCTGCTGCCCGGCCTCGTCCTTCCCGGCGTCGCGGCGCTGCTGCTTCTTCTTCTTCTGCAGCTTCTTCTCCCGCCGCTGCTGCAGCTTCTCCTCGGCGCTGGGAAGCCCCGACGGCGCCTGCAGGGAACGCGAGAGCAGAGCCCCGCCGGGGCGTCAAAGGCGGGCAGCCGGCCCCGACGGCAAGCCCCCCCCCCCGGCCCCGGCGGGGCCCCTACCTGCCCGGGCCGCTCGCCGGCCTCGCCGCCGCCGCTGCTGCGCTCCGCCATCGCCGGCTCCTCTCTCCGACGGCACCGGATGCTGCAGCGCCCCCTGCGAGCCGGACGAGAAGCGGAGGGGGAGGAGCCAGGTCCGGGGGGGCGGCGGGGCTGAGCTGCTTAGGCAGCGTCCGGGAGCGGGGATGCCGTCGCGGGCGGAGCCTCCTCCTCCTCCCGAGCCCTCCGCACCCCGGGGCTCCTCCTCCGCCCGGAGGGCCCCGTTCAGTCGTGCCCTTGGCCCCCGGGGCTCGGAGGGGCGGCGTCGGGGGGCGGCGCTGGGCTTGCTGGCGCCCCTCGTGGTCGCTGCCCGCTCTGCGGCCAGCCCGAGGGGGAGGAGCCGCCCGACAGGACGCCCCGCCCCGACGGGGGCCCGCCTCTCCTTGCGCAAGATGGCGGCGGCGGCTGTCGGGGCGGCGGAGCTGGGCCCGCGCCCGGGCCGGAGGTAGCGGAGGGCGAGGCGAAGCGAGCGGCCATGCACTTCTCCATCCCCGAGACCGAGAGCCGCGCCGCCGACGGCGCCAACGCCGCCTACGTGGTGCGTGGCTGGACGGGGGGGGGGGAGGGAGGGAGGCAGGGAAACGCCGACGCCCCCCGGAGAGGACGGCCCGCTCTCCCCGAGTCCCCCCCCGGCGCTCGCGGGATCCGCCGGCCTGCAAAGGGCCACGGGGGGGGGGTGTCCGCTTGGGCCCCGACGGGGCGGCCTCCGCCGGCCGGCTGCCCTCTTCTCTTTCCCGGCCGCCCTCCCCGGGGAAGTAGCGGGACGAGGGCTCCGCGGGCTCGGGCTCCATCAGGCCAGAGGGCCTTAGTGTGGGGCGCAGCGCTCGGGGCCTCCCGTCCTGCGCCACTTAACCGGGAAAGAGTCACACTAGTGGCGCCCGCCCCCCCCCCGTCCATTTCCCATTTCCATTTCGGAGAAGGGAAAGGGCCCATCGGGCTGCCAGCCTGGGGGGGGGGTGTGCCAGCTGCGCCAAGCGGCCACTGGGGCACCGAGTCCTCCCCTTCTGCTCCTGCTGGGGCGGCCGCGGTCTTTCCTGCTCCGCTCCCGAAGCCTCTTTCTGGTGGGGGGAGCGGGTCCGGGGCCCCCCTGCCGTGCTTGCTGCCCCCTCGGTTGCTCTGTCCGTGGGGTGAGGCCCGCCTGGCCCCTCCCTGACCTGCCCCCCTCTCTCCCCTGGCAGGCCTACAACATCCATGTCAACGGCGTCTTGCACTGCCAGGTGCGCTACAGCCAGCTGCTGGGCCTGCATGAACAGGTAGGGGGCGCATTGCGGGGGTGGGGCTGGATGACCCTCGGGGGTCCCTTCCAACGGATTGCGTGCGCAGGCCGAGGGGTGTTGGCTGGGAGCTTTCCCCCGATGTTTGGGGCATGGGGGGGTCTGGCCCCCTTGTTCTGGAGCCGGGCCGGGCGCAGAAACGCTCTCCCTCCTTGCAGCTCCGGAAGGAGTATGGGGCCAACGTGGTGCCCGCCTTCCCCCCCAAGAAGATCTTCACCCTCACCCCCGTGGAGGTGGAGCAGCGGCGGGAGCAGCTAGAGAAATACATGCAGGCCGGTGAGTCCCTGGGAAGGTGGGCTTGAGGGCCGGGGGGGCCTAGCAAGGACCCCCCCTGGGCTGACGGCTCCCCTTCTCTCCTCCTTGTGCCCCCGCAGTGCGCCAGGACCCCTTGCTGGGAGGCAGCGAGATCTTCAACAGCTTCCTGCGCAAGGCTCAGCAGGTGAGGCGGGGCAGGTGAGTTGGGGGGGCCCGGTGGGTGAAGGGCCAGGTGCTGACCCTCTTTGTGCCCCCCAGGAGACCCAGCAGATCCCCACAGAGGAGGTGCAGTTGGAGGTGCTGTTGTCCAATGGACAGACCGTCAAGGTCAACCTCCTCACCTCGGACCAGACGGAGGACGTCCTGGAGGTGAGGCCTTTTTTTGGGGGGGGGGAGTGTGATCAACATGTCCAGAAAGGAATGGGGGGGGCAGGGGGTTTATTAACAAAACCAAAAGGAAGTTAACAATGGCACTTAGCCAGACGTACCAAAGGTAAAACATGAAAGCAGATTGTATTTGAACGCCTTGAATGTGTTTTCTGCCTTTCTTAAGATGGCAGGTCTTTTTCCCCAGGGGAGGGAGGGAGGGAAAGAGGGAGGAAGCAGCTGCTTTTGGTGACCCCCCCCCCATTTGCTCCCCATTGTCCGCAGGCCGTGGCCTCCAAGCTGGACCTGCCAGAGGACCTGATAGGCTACTTCCACCTCTTCCTGGTGCGAGAAGCCAAGGACGGGGCCTTTTCCTGTGAGTGCTCCCCCCCCCCTGCTGTTATGTGCGCCTCGCTGGGCAGGATCGGGGAGGGAAAGGAGGGGGGGTTTGGGGGGTGGCAGGAAGGGGGGGGGCTGGTCTGGGTGCTGGTGCTGCAACTCTGCGTTGGTTTTCTTCCCAGTCATCCGGAAGCTGCAGGAGTTTGAGCTGCCCTACGTGTCCGTCACCAGCCTCCGCAACCCCGAGTACAAGATCCTTTTGCGCAAGAGGTGAGGGGGTGGCTGCTGCCACGGGGGGGGGGGGCAGACACCAGACCCCCAGCCAGCGCAGACCCTCTAACGGCCCCAGCTCCCTCTTTTCCCCGCAGCTACTGGGACTCCGCCTACGACGACGACGTGATGGAGCAGCGGGTGGGGCTGAACCTGCTCTATGCCCAGGTGAGCACCGGGACCCTGGCTGGGCTGCGGGGTTGGACTAGATGACCCTTGGTGTCCCCTCCAACTCTGTACAGCCCCAAGATTCCTCTCCTGTCCCCTTCCAGACGGTGGCCGACATCGAGAGGGGCTGGATCCTGGCAAACAAAGAGCAGCATCGCCAGCTGAAGTCCCTGCAGGAGAAAGTCTCCAAGAAGGAGGTCGGTTGGGACCCTGCGTGGGTCGGGCGCTGCCAGCTTGGAGGGCTCCAACGCTGCCTCGGTTTTGGAGGGTTGGACTGGAGGACCCTTTAGTACCCCCTCCTACGCTGAGATTCCCACTCTCTCTTTCCTTGGCACAGTTCATCCGCCTGGCGCAGACGCTCAAGTATTACGGCTATCTCAAGTTTGACCCCTGCGTGACGGACTTCCCCGAGAAGGGCTGCCACGTCATTGTGGGCGCCGGGAACAGCGAGCTGAACTTCCAGGTCAAGCTGCCCAGCGACCAGATCAAGGAGGGCAGCTTCAAAGTGACGCGCATGCGCTGCTGGAGGGTCACGTCCTCGGTGAGTGATGCCCCTTTCAGTTGCACCGAGCCCTGTGCCCGTCTGGCCAGTTGGGCAGGTGGCTGCCTCTCGGACCTCTTTCTCCCCTGGCAATTTGTGGGTGTGTCCCCCCCCCCCCGCAAGTGCAGAAATGCTTCACACCCCACACCTGCTCCTTTCCAGGTCCCCGTGCATAACGGGACGTCCGGCCCAGCGGGCAGCAAGTCGGAGGTGAAGCTGGAGTTGGCTTTTGAGTACCTGATGAGCAAGGACCGCCTGCAATGGGTCACCATCACCAGCCCCCAGGTAGGCCCAGCAGTGAGGCGGGAGGGTTTGGCCCTGGGGACCCCCTTGCCCTGCCCCATACCCGCTTCTGCGCTCGAGAGCATGCTTGCCCAATAACGCACGCCAAACACTTCTTGAGAAATGCAAACCGGCTTTTATTCTAGTCTGACTCACAGCCCCAAAATTATGGCGCAAGAGGCTGGATTTCCTGCCTGAGGTCAGCAAAACCGGGGCTCTTGCTGGGGGCGGGGGCGGTGTGGCACATGGGACTAATGTCACAAGGTCTCCCCCCCCCCTGCAGGCGATAATGCTGAGCATCTGCTTGCAGTCGATGGTGGATGAGCTGATGGTGAAAAAGTCCGGGGGCAGCATCCGCAAGGTGAGGCTTTGGGCCCCCAGCAGACCTGGGGGGCAGGGCGGGGGACGGAAACAGAGCCACCCTGTTTTTGAGGGGCACAAGACTAACCTACTTTGCTGTCTTCTCCCCCCACCAGATGTTTCGTCGGCGAGCCAATGGCGGCCTGCAGCGCTCCGACAGCCAGCAAGCCGTGAAGTCCCCCCCTCTCCTGGTAAGAAGCCCCTAACCCCACCAGACCCCTGCCCCAGCCTGCCCCTGTGGGGGGCTTGGTCTCCTCTGACATGTCTTCCTGTCCCAGCAGGATTCGCCCGATGGCAGCCGGGACTCCCTCACGAAGGTTGCGGTGAGTAGCGCCTCCCTTTGCCCCCCTCCCGCGGCCCCTGACTTGTGGAAGGGGGCCCCAGGGGACATCTAGCCCAGGTCCCAGGGGCTGCCTGTTCTCACTCCCCCCCCCCGCCCTTCCTCCCCCAGAGCAAGCTCAGCTCGGTCAGCCTGAGGGCCATCAGCCATTCCAGCTCCGCCACCGACATCGGGGCGAACAATTTCCACGGCAACTACGCCTTCGAGGGCATCGGCGACGAAGACCTGTGAGCGGCCTGCCCCCCCCCCCCGCCTCCATGTGGAATGTACGACCTCCCGGGTTGACCTGGATGTGCCTCGACCCCAGCCGGCTCCTCGCCCCCCACCTCGCCACCCCCGGGCCCCGGGACGGGCAGCGGGTGGGGTTGCCGGCTGGCGGCTTCAGCTCCATACGCGCCAAATTAGGGTAGAGTGGACATTTTGCACAGCGATCCGACGCAGCTCTGGCGCTGGCCAATAGACTTCTGTGTAACTGCTAGGCTTGTAATCTCGTTTAATCTCCCTGCTGTTTACAGATGAACACGAACGAATGTTTGTGGCGATGATTAAATAGATCATGATTGGGAAGTCCTGTCTGCGTCTCCTCCTGCCTTCTCCTCCTTTACACAACACAAAGGAATACAGAGAAAGGAAGAAACAGCTCACACAACTCTCCGCAATTCTATAGAACTTTGCAAAGACCAGATGTAAGAATTGGGCATTTATATTCCACCAAGTGTCTGTTTCTTTAAATAACAGCCTTTCCTTAAAATATGCAATACCAAAATCATGTCCTGGTGCGATACAGGATGTCCCCAAACTAAAGTCCCGCCCAATATCCCTCCTTTCAATAAAGAGAAAATAATAGCTACAAGTATGTTTGTTTCTAAAGGATAATCCACATCCCTGGGAGTGTTGTAGCGTTCTTCTCAATCGCTCCAACCGCAGTGGCAGCTGGGGCACTTGGTGGAATAGAAAAGTTTTACGTTTGGTCTTTGCAAAGTTCTATAGAATTGCAGAGAGTTGTGGGAGCCGTGTTTCTCCTGCTTTACAGAGAAAGGGTAACTGCCCCTTCTGTGCTATTTATGGGGGGGGAAGACTCCCCAAACCACCTACTTCCTGGGGGGGAGGGGGAAGCCACCTCCCAGCAATGCCGGTTGCCGCGTGTGAGTTTCGGTTCTGCTGCTCTCCCCCAGCCAAAATAAAGCAAGATAAGAAAACAGTTTAATGCATTAATACACGATATAAATTACACAGACTCAAGCAGCAACCACAGTTAAAAGGGGCTGGGGAGGAGGCACAGAGAGGACAGGAAAGCACCAAGAACCGCCCTCAGTCAGAGAGTTTCTTTGGGGGGGGGGGAGTGTTCTGTTGCCCCACAGATACAATCTTTTCCAGGTGACGTGAAAAGGGCCCAATCCGCAGGAGCAGGCAGTGCCCAGCTGCGTTTTGGCCAAGGAGGTCCCAGTGCTCCACTGCCGGCACGAACTGCACTGCCCCCCCCCCCCCCGAAAGGTCCCTACAGCTGCTTCCCCCAATCCTGGGGGTGGGGGCTTGTTTGGCGTGTGGAAGAGGCCCCCTCTTTCTCCTCGCGCAGTCTGAGCCTATTCCTATGCAGAGGCACCCGGGAGGAGGCGGGTGCCTTGGTGTGGCGGGTGGCGCGGTCTCCCCCCGCGGGCCCTCAAGGCAGGCTGCTGTCCAGGCTGGGGCCCCCCTCCTCCTCGGGCAGGCCCTGGCCGTGCACCTTCTGGTGCCGCTTGTAGTTGTCCCAGTGGCCGGTGGTGTAGGGGCAGAGGCGGCACTGGAAGGGCTTCTCTCCCGTGTGCCTCAGCATGTGGCGCTTGAGGTTCATGCTCTGGTTGCAGGAGTAGGAGCAGAGGCGGCAGCGGAAGGGCTTGTCCCCCGAGTGGATGCGGCCGTGGCGCTTGAGGTTGGCCAGGTTGCCGCAGGCGTAGGGGCACAGCGGGCACTTGTAGGGCTTCTCTCCCGTGTGCACCCGCTGGTGGCGCTTGAGGTTGTCGAGGTGTGCCGAGGCGTAGGGACACAGGGCACAGGCGAAGGGCTTCTCCCCGCTGTGCGTCTTCATGTGCCGCGCCAGGTGGTTGGGGTAGGTGGTGACGAAGGGGCACAGCTGGCACGAGAAGCCCTTGGGCGACGACTGCTCTGCCCCCAGCACCGCCAGGCTGCAGCGCCCGCACACCGGCTCGCCCAGGCCCTCGTCCGCCTCCAGGACCAGTCCGCACGCCCGGCACGTGAAGGGGAAGAGCAGATCCGGGAGGACGGCCGCAGAGTCCTCGGGCCTCAGGAACGGGGAGCCCGGGGCCAAGAGCGGAGGCTCTGCGGAGGAGAAAGAGCAGTGAGGGGGGCAAGGGGGGCTGGGCGAGGGAATCCCTGCAGCCCGAGACACGTGACCCACGTTCTGCGCTCCCACACGCAGCATCCACCTAAGAGCCTCCCATTCCTCCTATCTGCTCCAGAGCTGGTTCCCACACTGCTGGACTCTGCTGACCCCGTAGAGGTTAGGCTGAAGATCCCTTCTAATGAGGAGGCCACCATCTTGGGAAGCAGAAAAAGGGATTTGTTGGTTTATTGATTTAGCTAAGGAGGGGTCTGAGGAGAGTGTTCCCCGCTACCTTGCTAGGAATGGCTTAAAATCAGTCGCAAGGGACTTCCGGGCTCCCCTGGTCCAATTCCTTATGTAGGAATTGCTGCTGCTAAGGAATCCTGGTAGATGGCCAAGCAATCTCTGGTGAAAGACCTGCAAGCACTGAAGAAGAGTCCTGCACCATATGAGGGAGCCCATTCCGCTCTCAAACAGCCCTCACCTCCAGAAAGTTCTTCCCAATGTTAAGTCGGAATCTCCTCCCTCGTCATTTGAAGCCAAGGCTTCAGATCCTGCCCCCTGGAGCAGCAGAAAATAAACCGGCTCCATCTTCCAGGGGACAGCATTTCCAGGCTTCTCATGGTCATCTTTCAGGAATGACCCTCAGCTCCCCCTTCCAACTCTACATTGCTAGGATTGATAAAAACATAAGAAAAGCCTGCTGGATCAGGCCAGGGCCCCCTCTAGTCCAGCCTCCTGTACTCGCAGTGGCAAGAGCCTTCTCCCCTCCTGGGGTCAAACTCTGGCTCTCTTCTCCAGGCTACACAGACCCAACACCCACAACCATTCCTCGTAAGGATGGATTTCCAGACTCCTTGCTCATCCTGGTCTCCCTTCCAGCTTGTCAATATCCTTTCGTTCCAAAGCTAAACAGCTCTTACTGTCTGAAAGTTATTCCCAACATTCAGTCAGAATCTCCTTTCTTTGATTCAAAGGACAACGAAGGAGATACCCATTAAACATTAGGAAGAGCTTCCTGACAGCTGTCTACCAGCTCCATCTGGTACGCAGGATGAGACCCTCCCTGCCCGCAGACTGCCTTGCCAGAGTGATGCGTGCTCTGTTATCTCCTGCTTGGACTACTGCAATGCACTCTAGGTGGGACTCGGAAGCTAAAACTAATCCAGAATGCGGCAGCAAGACTGGTGACTGGGAGCAGCCACCAGGACCATATAACACCAGTGCTAAAGTATCTACATTAGCTCCTGATACAAGCACAATTCAAAGTGTTGGTGCTGACCTTTGAAGCCCTAAACGGCCTCAGCCCATTATACCTGAAGGAGCATCTCCACCCCATCATTCAGCCTGGACACTGAGGTCCAGCACCGAGGGCCTTCTGGTGGTTCTCTCATTGTGGAAGCCAAGTTGCAGGGAACCCGGCAGAGTGCCATCTCAGTGGTGGTGCCCGCCCTGTGGAACACCCTTCCATCAGATGTCAAGGAAATAAACAACTATCTGACTTTTAGAAGGCATCTGAAGGCAGCCCTGTTTAGGGAAGCTTTTCATGTTTGATGTCTTACCGTGTTTTTAATATTCTGTTGGGAGCAGCCCAGAGTGGCAGGGGAAACCCAGCCAAACAGGCAGGGTAAAAACAATAACATCATTATTATTTATTATTACTATTGACAGTAAGAGCTGTTCAGCAGTGGAACCGACTCATTAATAAGGGTGTGGACTCTCCTCCACTGATTGCTAATCAGCTGTTGGGCGGCTATCTGTCAGGAAGTCTTTCTGCTATGCAAGGGGTTGGACCCCCACCCCCGGCCTGCCCCACATACCTGTCTCCTGCTCCGCAGCCGCTGGCCCCTCCATCTCCGCCTCCGACTCCCCCTGTGCCCCGGGGCTGTGGCGCCGCAGGGGGTTGCCCCGGGCGCATCGGCAGGTGCAGGAGCCGCAGTGCAGCGGGCGCTCCTGGCCGTGGACCCGCTGGTGCCTCTTGAGGTTGCCGAGGCTGCTGCAGGCGAAGGGGCAGGTGGGGCAACGGTAGGGCTTCTCTCCCGTGTGGGTGCGCAGGTGGCGCGTCAGGTTGACCAGCTGGGCTGAGGCGTAGGGGCAGTGCGGGCAGCGGTAGGGCTTCTCCCCGTTGTGGGTCTTCATGTGGCGCTTGAGGTGGCTGGAGTAGTGCGAGGCAAAGGGGCACAGCTGGCAGGAGAAGACCACCCGCCCCTTGGCAGAACCTTCCTCCTCCTCCTCCTCCAGCTCTTCCTCCTCTGGCGGGCAGCAGGCGGCAGGGGCGGGCAAGCCGCAGTGCTGGCAAGCCTGGCCGGGCCCCTCGCCATTGTCCTGGGCCTGGCACAGCGGCGGGAACTCCTCATCGCTCAGCACGTAGGACGAGAGTCCGGGCGTCCCCCCAAGGGAGTCTGCGGCACACAAGGAGGGGGCATCAGGGGGGCAGCGGGGGGCATCCTCACCTTTCCTGCTGGCACAACAGGGGGTTACCACGGTGGCGGAAGGGGGCAGCGATCCCTGGGGGAGCCCTTCCTCGGCCCGCAGCCCCCCTGCCCATGCGCCCGCCCCCCGATTCCGCGCTGCGCTCCGGCCCCTCCCGGCCCGCCACCCGCTTCCCCCGCACCTTCCGAGTCCTTCTCGAAGGCGAGGCCGGCGCCGCCGCTCTCCTCCTCGTCGTCCTCGTCCTCCAGCTCCAGCTCGTGCTCCGAGAGGAAGGCGCCCGGCGGAGCCAGGCCCTCCTCGCCCGGAGGATCGACCGCCGCGCCCGCCGCGTCCACTGCAAGAGAGCGAGACGGGGAGGAGGGCCGGACGGGGCGCCCCGGTCAGACACGGGCGCGGGGTCCCGGGAGCCCCGCCCCAACCCGGAAAAGGACCCCCCCCCCCGCCGCCGCCGCCCGGTCCGAGCGGCGCGTCCTGGTCGGCGGAGGAGGCTCCCTTGACCCGCCCCCCGCCCCCGATCCCGGCCCGGCTGACCTTTGACGGGCTGCGGGTGGCGCTGCTTCCGGCGGGGCATCTTGCCCGGCCCAGGCGGCGGCGGCGGGGCTGGCGGGGCGGCGGCGGGCGGCTCCAGCCCTGGGCGCCTCCCGCTCGCCGGGCCGCTCGGCGCCGCTGCTCCGGGGCCGCCCCGCCTCTTCCTCCGCGACGCCCCGCCTCTCGCCCCCGCCGCCGCCGCCGCCGCTCCCGCTCCGCCTCCTCCCGCCCATCCGCGGGGCGGGCGGCCAGAGACGCGCGCGCTTCCGGTTCCGCTCCCGGCCGCGCGGCATGACGGGGGGCGGGGTCGCTGCCCTCGCGAGAGCGGGAGCGGCGAGAGCGCAGACTCGGCGCGAAGGGGAGAGGCGTCCTGGGGCGGCGGCTTCCGGGCTCGCTTCTGGACGAGGGCTCCGCCTTGACAGCCGCTCCTGCTGCTCCCCGCCCGCCTCTGCCCGACGGGGGAGGCGGAAGATGCTCCGCCCTGAAGCTCCAGAGTCCGGCCTGGGAGAGAGAGGAAGGGAGGAAGGGGGGATCAGCAGTGTGCCAGTTTCCATGTGCCCGAGGGGATCGACTGTCTGGCGCCTGGTCCTCCCCAGCCGGGGGAAGCAGCCACGGAAAGGCCCCTCCTGCCCCCGTTTCTATGCCCGCTGAACAGAGGGCATCCTCCTCTTCCCTCCCCGTCCCTTTCCCCGGGCGGGTCACATTTTTGAGCTTGCAAGGGCCGCCTGGGGTTGCATTCCTGAGAGGTCAGCCTGGTCTTTTGGGCTCCAAGGGCTGGCAGGGCATTTAAAGTTCAAAACCACGCGGAGCAACCGCCGCTTCCCCGAAGAACGAGCCCCGGTTGGACGGCAGCTCCACGAGACGGCCTCTTCCTTTGGCTCGGGCGAGAGCCTGCCAAGGAGAGACCGAAGCGGAGGAGCCGGGGAGCCCCGTCTATGCTCTTATCACTCTACCCTCTTCTATCTCTAGGGATGCTCCTCCACCCGCGCACGCGCAGGAATCCGGAAGCGAGGGAGGCGGGGCTGAAGCCGCCATAGATCCGCCCCTCGGTGACGTCATCGCGTGGATTGGGGAGTCCTGGGGGGCCCCAAAGAAGGCGGGGCTCCTGCTGTCCCATTGATGGGGTGGGGAAAGGGGTCTGCAGGGGGGGCTTTGCATCCCCCCTGGCAACCCGCCTCCTGCTGCAAAGCCCCTTTGATGCTGAGAGCACAGAGGGAGACTTCCCCAGAGCTAGAAATGGAGACATCTGCGGTGTCCGCGGAGCTGCGAGGGTCTCCATCCTGAAACAAGGAGAGCTGTGAAGACCTGGCTCTCTGCTCTTTCTTACCCAGGTCTGCTTTCGGGAGGGCGCGGGAGAATCACGGGCAATGCTCCGGCCCCGCAGAACTGGCCATCTTACGCTGGTGTAACATCAGCAGAGAAAACACATAAAAATTGCACTTCAAGCCAAAACATATTTATTCAGAAGTAAGCCCATTCAGATCAGTGGGACTTGCTCCCTAGTAAGTGTGCATTGAGATGGGGGGCACAAGGAGAAGGGGACGACAGAGGACGAGATGGTGGGACAGTGTTCTCGAAGCTACCAGCATGAGTCTGACCAAACTGCGGGAGGCAGTGGAAGACAGGAGGGCCTGGCGTGCTCTGGTCCAGGGGGTCACGAAGAGGCGGACATGATAAACACCAACAAGTGTGCATAAGATTGCAGTCTTTAGGTGGGATCCTGCACGCTCCCAGCACAGCAGTGGAATGGAAGCCAAAAGTAACCCCGGGAACTCAGCACCTGCAAGCCGCCCTCAGTTTGAAACCCCTTTGGAGCCCCCTCCCACATGCCAGTGAGGAAGCATCGCCCTTTGGACTGGGGGACACAAAGGGAAGGAGCGACAGATGGTGGAGCCGAGTCCGCAGAGAAGCTGCCGACAGAGGGACCCCGCGAGCATCCCTGGACCAAGACCCAGCAAGGGATGGAGAGGAACAGCGGCAAGCCAAAAAGGAAACTGCACACCTCCGGAGCCTCAGCCAGGCATCTTCTGCCCAAAATAGACAAATTGGGCAGCCATAGTTTTGAGAAGCAGTGTCATAACAATTGTGGGCTCCCTTCCTCAAACCCTCCAAGCTTCCAGGGTACCTATGGGACTCCCCGAATTTCCTTGATGGCGCTACATTTAGCCCCCAAACACGTCTGCTTTATATTAAGTAGCCCACCATGAGAAACAGCTTGGGGGGAAACGAGCATTGTCAGGTGTGTCGGAGGATCTGCAGCCAAATCACAGATTGCATGATGGCAAGATAGTCGCATATCCTCTAAACTTTTGTGGCGGTAAGGGAAACAATATAAAAATAATCTCTCCTACTTCCTGTCACTACACGCCCTTTTTCCTATCTGTGATGGGGAAAGATGTTTCTTTGCTCTTCTTCAGAAAACACTCTCCACTGGACAATGGGAATTTGTAATGTTGAAGGATTCCTGCCTGCCTGGTTCTCATCACTTCATATGTTGAGTCCTGGCAAGACTTTGATGTGAGTAAGACAGTGATCCCTCACTGGTGAAGAAAGGGCTGTTGGTCCTGTCCTCTGCTGAAGTCAAGTGGCTGCAGGTGGAGCCTGGTAGGCAGGGAGGAGGAACAGCAGCAGCTGCACCCCAGGGAACCTTTGGGGATGAAAGGGGCCCCCAGAAGAATGGGGTCTTCACACACTCCCCTCTTGGAGGCTGCTTTGCTTCAGAGGTGATGCCCCATCACACACTGATTACCGCATCCCGGGTCTCGCCACTGATTCTTAAGGGAGTTTCTTACATCAGCCTTGGTGCAGAGAGAGAGGAATTGCAGAGTGCCCTGCTCTTGTAGCAGAGATCTCACTTTGCATGATCAAAAGTTAAAAACAAAACATGTGAACCCCTTGTGTGGGGTGGCAATAGCTCCCCCTGGCTCCATTTCCCATTGTGTGGGGGCGGCCCAGGGGGTCCTTGGTATCCCCTTGCCTTGTATTATATACAGAAGCTCAAAGGCTCCATGTCCAGTTAGGGTCCTCCTGCGACCAGTGCTGGAGCCACAGTGGAAGACGAACTGGGCGGGGCCCGGGGGCGGGGCCTGGCAGAGAAAGTCTTTCAGGGCGGAGGAAGAGGCATCTCGGTTGTCCGTCTGGATGGGACTCAAAGGCTTGAAAATAAACCAGTTTTCTGCTGCCACACATGCCCAGCTCCCCCCAAAACCGACTCCAGCTGAATACATAAAATAGCTAGAGGCAGAGGGGGCAGGCGGGCAGGGAAGCCAGTTTTGGCTGACCATGAGGGGGAACTGCCCAGGGGTTAGAGCTGTGGGACAGAGCTTGCCTGGGGGCTCTCCTTGGTTGCTGCCGCGTCAGGAGGGGCTGCAGCAGGGAGTCGCGTCCCAGGGCTGCTGGCGATGCCTCTTGCATGGAGAATGGTGCTCCCCTAAAAGCCCTTTTCACTAAGGACCCCAAGCCCTGGGTGTGGGGCCCTGAGTCCTCTCCCCGCCTTTGGAAGAGCCCGAGGAGGCCTGCAGGTGAATGCGGCAATCCCCGCCACCCCCAGTGCTCCGTTTCCAGCAGGGGACAGACAAGCAGCTCGGAAGCAGGCCAGGGAAACCTCGGCGCTGCCATCGTCCCAGCGGCTCCTCGGGGGTGGACTGCTCCTTTCCATGGGGGCTCCATCCGGCTCCCGTGGGAAGGGCGCGCTGGCGGGGAGGCCTCGCGAGGCTCCTCTCACCGGCCTTCCGTGGGGGCCGCCTCTCCGTTCCAGGCAGCACCCCGACAAGGAGCGGGGGGTTCCTTGGCCTGCGGTCCGCTGGAGTCCGGTCCCCCCGCCCGCCGGCCGCCGTTGCCTGGCAGCCGGGAAGCCACGGACCTCGCCCTGCGCCGGCCCTGGTGACCAAGGCTCCGTCTCCCGGACGCCCCGCTCGCTCCCTTCTGCGCTCGCGTCCTTGTGGCCAAGCGGCGTCTCCCGGTGCAGCCGTCACTGCGGGGCTTTCTCGGGGGGGGGGGGGGACCTTCCCAAGATGCTGTGCGGCGGCGCTGGAGCTGCTGGGATGCTCAGCTGAGCGCAGAGCAGACCGAGGCCGGTAAGGCGGCGGCAACCCCGAAGCCCTGCCGGTTCCGAGGACCAAAGGCCCGGGGGAAGCCCGACCTGCCAGAGCGGGGTCCCCTCCTCCCCGGGAGACCTTGGCACGGCCGCCGCCGTCCTAGCCAGCGGTTTGGCGCAGCGGATGCGCGGGGCGCTCCGGCTCTGCTTGCGCTTGCTGCCTTCCATCCGCAGGGCGCTCGGACCGGGACGCGCGAGCTGCAGGCGATGAGCCGGCCCCAATGAGGGCGCTGGCGGGGATGGGGAAGAGCCGGGCCCCGGGGCGCCTCTCCGCCGCCCGGACGGCCCGCGGGCCTGAGTCTCTGGGGCAGCAGCAGCCTCGCCCGGCGGCAGCAGCAGCAGCAGCAGCAGCATGAAGCGGCCGCCGGCGGGGCCTCCCTCCCGGGGCGCCTCGGGCCTCTTCGGAGGGCAGCTCGCAGCGGCGCCGGAGCCGGAGGATGCGCTCAGCGCGGCCGAGGAGGCGTCCGCGGGGGCCCCGTCCATCCCAGCGCCGCCTGCGGAGGACGAGGCGTCGGGGGGCTTGCGCGAGTGCCCTTTGTGCCTGCTGCCCCAGCCCGCGGCGGCCTTCCCGGAGCTCTCGTCGTGCGCGCACCTGTCCTGCCTCACCTGCCTGCAGCAGTACCTGCGCATCGAGATCAGCGAGAGCCGCGTGCAGGTGGCCTGTCCGCACTGCCCGGCCCCGCTCCAGCCCGCGGAGGTGCACCAGCTGCTGCGCCCGGAGCCGGCCTTGCGCGACAAGTACGAGGAGTACCTGCTCCGCCGCCTGCTCGTCGCCGACCCGGGAACGCGCTGGTGCCCAGCCCCGGATTGCAGGTGCGCTAGGCCGGCGCGGGGCGGGGCGGCGAGGGTGGGGGTGGGATAAAGGCCCGATTGCTCCAGGAAAGGACCCGCTTTGCGCGCCCAAGGGCCCGGTGGCCAATCCCCGACGGCCCTGGGAGACCCTCCCCTGCCTGACCCCTCTGAGAGAGGGAAGGAGATGGTGGGGCCACGCCAGAAGTGGCTGCTGAGGAGCTTGCAGTTATGCGCTTGCCTCCACCAGAGGGCGCTCAAGGCCGCTCGGCTGGGTCTTCCCAGGGAGACCCCCAGAAAGAGCAGGGTCCAATCCTTGCGTCCAGTCCTTGACCCCTGGATGCTGGGAAGGCGCCCCTGTACCTGTGGCCCGTCTGTCCAGACTGTTGCGCACAGCCCGCCCGCGCCCCCCAAGTCGGCTCCCTTTGTTTCCCCGCCTGGCGGTGCTGCGACACCCCCTCCATAGGCGGGCAGGATTTGGTTTTAGGGAGATCAGAACTTTTCTTAGAGGGGGCAGAACAAAGGTGATTGTTCAGTTAGTTAAGTATTTCTCTTGTTTTACTTGATATGGGGGGGAGCTGCTCCCCTTGGCTACGCCAAGCCTCCTTCAGCACCCTTGGGCCCGGGGGTGGGGTGAGGAGGAGCTGTGCTTCCTGCCGGGGAGGCCGCTGGGGGCTCGGACTCCGCCGAAAGGCAGCTCAGTCTGTTCCCAGGATGGAACTGCGAAGCTGAAAACAGAAAAGTTATCCCGCTCTCTCCCCGCGCAGTACATCACACATTTCCCGTCAATTAAGATGAAACACGTGTAGTTCTGAATTGGATTGTGGAAGTATTAAGATCTAAAGGTCTCGGGAAGGAAGACCGTCCAGGCACATCAGAAGCGCAGCTGGCCGCGAGCCCCGCCCCCCCCCCAGGGTCGGCCAGGAGCCTCTGGTGCCTGGAGGCCAGAGACCAGAGTTTGGTTATTCCCGGCTGCAGAATCGGGGCCCCCAGACTGCAGCAGGCAGCGGCTCCGGGTTAGGCGAGAGCCCGGTCTCAGTAAGGGGCAAATGTCCCACTGGGCCACTGTGCGGGGAGGACCAGGAAGGGCGAGGCCGGCCTCCCATTCTGAGCCCCGCTCTCCCTCCCGCTCCCAGCAGTGGCGGACTTGGGGGCGCGCCTGTCGGGCTCCCCTTTCTCTCAAAGCGCCTCTGCTTGCAGCTACGCGGTCATCGCCTACGGCTGCGCCGAGTGTCCGCGCCTGGTCTGCGCCCGCCCGGACTGCCGCACCGAGTTCTGCTTCCACTGCCGGCAGCCCTGGCACCCCGAGGCCTCGTGCGAGCAGGCCTGGCGAGAATGGAGCCAGCAAGCGCCCCTGGGCGCCATGGAGCTCTCCCTGCAGCTGATCCGGAAGGAGGAAGCCGGGGCGGCGGCGCCGGGGACCGCGCAGGGTGAGTGCAGCCCCCTTCTCGAGGGGGGAGTGGGACGCCGGCAGGCCGCAACCCCAGCAGCCCCCCACAGTGGGAAGGGCAGGGGGCTTCAGGGGGCCCTCTCCCCGCCTAGACGCCCCTCTCTCTGGGCCTGGCCCCCGACTCTCTCTCTCCCCTCGGCCCCCGGGCCGGAGAAGGTCCCGGCCCCGACCTGCCGCCTCTCTCCCCGCAGACAAGGACGCCATCAAGGTCTGCCCGCGCTGCGGGGCGCTCATCATGAAGGTGGACGACGGCAGCTGCAACCGCATGAACTGCACCATCTGCGGCTGCCTCTTCTGCTGGCTCTGCCTGCGCGAGATCACCGACGTCCACTTCCTCAGGTGCGACTGGGGGGCGGGAAGGGGCGGGGGGGGGCGGCCGAAGGAAAGGGCAGAAGAACCAGGCTTGGCCCCTCCGAGTCTGCAGAAGCCGCCTAAGGCTGCCGTCCTCCTCGCCCCGCTTGCCCGGAGGAAGCCCCGTCGAAGCGGACGCAGAAGGGAGGAAGGGAGCTCGGCTAGGTTTGCACGCGCCTCATAGAATCCTAGAGTTGGAAGAGACCACAAGGGCCATCGAGTCCAACCCCCTGCCAAGCAGGAAACACCATCAGAGCACTCCTGACATATGGTTGTCAAGCCTCTGCTTAAAGACCTCCAAAGAAGGAGACTCCACCACACTCCTTGGCAGCAAATTCCACTGTCGAACAGCTCTTACTGTCAGGAAGTTCTTCCTAATGTTTAGGTGGAATCTTCTTTCTTGTAGTTTGGATCCATTGCTCCATGTCTGCTTCTCTGGAGCAGCAGAAAACAACCTTTCTCCCTCCTCTATGTGACATCCTTTTCTATATTTGAACATGGCTATCATATCACCCCTTAACCTCCTCTTCTCCAGGCTAAACATGTCCAGCTCCCTTAGCCGTTCCTCATAAGGCATCGTTTCCAGGCCTTTGACCATTTTGGTTGCCCTCCTCTGGACACGTTCCAGTTTGTCAGTGTCCTTCTTGAACTGTGGTGCCCAGAACTGGACACAGTACTCCAGGTGAGGTCTGACCAGAGCAGAATACAGTGGCACTATTACTTCCCTTGATCTAGATGCTATACTCCTATTGATGCAGCCCAGAATTGCATTGGCTTTTTTAGCTGCCGCGTCACACTGTTGGCTCATGTCAAGTTTGTGGTCAACCAAGACTCCTAGATCCTTTTCACATGTACTGCTCTCAAGCCAGGTGTCACCCATCTTGTATTTGTGCCTCTCATTTTTTTGCCCAAGTGCAATACTTTACATTTCTCCCTGTTAAAATTCATCTTGTTTGTTTTGGCCCAGTTCTCTAATCTGTCAAGGTCGTTTTGAAGTGTGATCCTGTCCTCTGGGCCTCCCTGGGCGTTTGTAGTGAAGCGGTTTGGTCCTGCTGGCCCAGGACCGGGAAAAACTGTCTGCGGACAAAGACCGGCTCCCTGGGCCTGAAAGCGGGAATGAGCGCCGCACCCCACAGTCGAATTTGACTGGACTTAACCGTCCAGGGGTCCTTTACCTTCTTTTCATTTTTTATACAGTGAAACATTCCCTCCCTCTCTCCTGCAAAAATGACAGGACGGAATGCAACCTAAACCTAAACAGTTTCCCAACCGAGCAGGGATGCTTTGGATGCGACGCCTGCATTGCAGCGGGTTGGACTGGATGACCCCGGGGAGCCCTTTAGAATTCGACAGCTCCGTGATTCTATGAAACGCAGCCAAGGGTGGCCACGAAGCAAAGTCCCGCCGGAGCAAAAGATATTCTGGAGGGGCGGGAGGATTATCAGGAGGGAGGGAGGCGAAAATAAGGCAGGTGGATGGGTGCCTGTCAATCACATGGCAGTCATTAGGATGTCACGTGATGGGCAGGTGAGTTGGGCTGCCCCACCTGTCAAAGATCCTTGACCCTCCAATCTTCAAAATTCATAGACTCTCAGAAGTGTCGAGTTGGACGGAGCCCCCGAAAGCGAAATGGGGAGCTGGTGCTGGGCCCCCCTAGAAGAGGCGCTCTGGTGCTCCTGGGGGTGCTCTTCGGCACCCCCTTGCTGACTCCCCCCTTGTCTCCTCCTCCTCCCCAGTCCTTCCGGCTGCACCTTTTGGGGGAAGAAGCGCTGGTCGCGCACGCGGAAGGTCCTGTGGCAGCTGGGGATGGTGCTGGGCGCCCCGATGGTGATTTCGCTGGTGGCGGGGATCGCCGTGCCCGTCATCACGCTGGGCATCCCCATCTACATGGGCAAGAAGGTAAGGGGGCCGCGGCTCCCCGGAGGTTGGGCGAGGGTCCCCGTCCTGCTGCGCCGGCCTGAAGGGGCCCCGAGCGAGGAGACCCACTGCCCCTCCGCCGCCTCCTCTCTCCGCCAGGTGCTGAGCCACGGGCGCAAGAGCAAGCTCTCCGGCTGCCAGCAGTGCCTGTCGGTCGCCAGCAGCATCCTGCTCTCGCTCTTCGTGTCGCCCGTCATCACCGCCGTCACTGTGGGTAAGGGTCCCCAGGGGGCGCAGAGGGCGCTGCTGCTCAGTGGGCAGAGCACCCGCCTCGCAACCAGAAGGTCCCGGAGGGTCAGTCTCCAGGAAGGGCTGAGAATCCCCCACCCGGAACCCTGGAGAGCAGTTGCCGCTGCCAGTCAGTTTACAGGGCATGGAGCTACTGAATGCAGCTGCTCTTCTTCTTGTTAGACCCATCAGGACTAGAATCTTACTTCATTTTCATAGAGGAGCTGCCTTGCACGCAGACGGTCCCGAGTCCAGGAGGGGCTGGGAGAGACGCCTTGCCTGGAGCTCGACGGAGGCGGCTTTCTCTGCTGCTGGGCCGCGCCTCACGCCAGCCTCTCTGCCCGCAGGCGTCGGGGTGCCCCTGATGCTCACCTACGTCTACGGGGTCGTGGTGCTCTCGCTGTGCCGAAACCGCCGGGGCTGCGGAGGCGCCCGCAGGAAGGGCGGGGAGCTCAGCGCCGTCGAGCTGGAGAACCTGGCCAAACGTACGTGAGTCCTGGGCGGCCTGGCCCGGAAGCCCCTCTCCCTCCGCCAAGGCTGGGCGGAGAGCTCTCAATCGGTAGGGAGGGGGGCTGCGGGATAGACGGGGCTTTTGGGGCAGAGACCCTCTGCCGGTCATCCTTGTCTCCGGGCCGGGCGTCTGCCTGCAGGTGCCAACCGGACTAGGAACATTTTCATTTGGTTGTGCATTTGTCTGCTGCTTTTGCTGTAGTGCCATTACTAAAGCCAGCCGGAGAACTTTTGATTTAAGTTGCCATATAAATCAGCCGACCGTCACCTCCGAGCAAATCCCCTCTCTCCCTCCCTCTGCCTGTTGCAGTGAACGAGCTGCTGGCCGCGCTGCCCACGCCGATGGGGGCTGAGGGAGGGGGCTCCGCCGCCGCCGCCGCCGCTGCCGCCATGGCTGCCCCCTTCCTGCCCAGCCGGAGCAGCGGGCAGCTGGAGGAGTCCTGCCCGAAGGGCCCGGAGAGCCCGTGGAACGAGGACGCAGCTCAGGCCACTTCCCGCAGGTCAGTCCAGGGGGCGGGGGCAGTGCGGTCTAGTGGCTAGAGCGCCGGGCCCAAGCTACCTGACAGGGTTGTTCTGGATCTAAAATGCGGCGGGGAGAACCATCTGAGCCACCTTGAGCGCCTTAGAGGGGAAACGCGGGGTAGAAGTGTCATTATTATAAAATTATGCCCCCGGCTTTTTTTACGCCACTACCGCCAGTGACACAGGTCTCTGCCCCGCGCAGGGACGGGCAGAACAGGATGGAGGTGGCGGTGGAGGTGGAGACGGAGCCTCCGGCCGCCCACGAGCACAGCCTCTGCAGCGCCGCGTCGGGCCAAAGCTTCTCCACGGATTCGCTCACCTACACCAGCGACGGCTGCAGTTTGGCCGGAGTGACGACGGAGTGACGCCGCTTCCCCGGATAGCCGCGCGCGCCCAGGTCGCCGCCTGCTGCTGCTGCTGCTGCAAAGGCGGACTCGCCCGCCGCCCCCACCGGACTGGCCAGCGCAGACGCCCCCCATCCACCCCCCTGCCTGCCTGCCTGCGCACCTTCTGCACTTGTGCCCCCCCCCTCACCCGTCAACGACTTCAGGCTCTGGACTTTGGTGCTTTGAGGCAATAAATTTGCAGCTCACAGAGAAGCCGGCCTCTTCTTTCCTCCCCAAGGGGCGAAGGAGCAGCGCCTCCTCTCTCCAGGGACCCGGAAGAAGCCTGCGCCCCCCTCCCCTCGAGGACCCTGCAGAGCACAGCTGGGGGGGGGAGCTGGTCAGTCAGGGTGGAGAGTCGTGAAAAGGCACCTTTGGAGGAGGATGGTGATAATGATAATAACAATAATACTAATACCCCGCCCATCTGGCTGGGTTTCTCCAGCCACATCTTGAGCAAGAAAGACGATTTGGAGCTGACTGTGCAGGAGGAGGAATAATAGGATTGTAGAGTTGGAAACGACCCCAAGAGGCAGGGATCGTTCAGAGGAGACTGGGCCGTGTATTGTGGGCAAAGAGCAAGAAGAGTAGGCGCTGCGTTTAGGTGCCTAGATGGCTTAGCCTTAGACGGCTTTGAAAGAGGATTAGACCAATTAATGGAGGAGGGAAGGCTCTCCGTGGCTCCTAGCCAGCCTGGCTCTGCCCTGCCTCAGGGTTGGAGGCAGCAGTGCTTTGGAATCCCTTTTTGGAAACCCCAGGAGGGGAGACGGACGGGGCTGGTGCTCAGGTCCTGCTTGCCCCTGGTTGGTCTCTGTGAGAACAGGAGGCGGCACTCGATGGGCCTCTGCCTTGATCCAGAAGGGCTTGTCTTCTGTTTACACGGCCCAGCTGTGTTCTTGGTGACCAGACCAGGGTCTGGGGTCTCTCTCTCAAGTCAGGTGAGCCAAGGGGCCATGAGGGCTTGAACTGTGGAACTGGCATAGGAAGCCGCCCAATGCCAAGCCAGACCATTGGTCCCTCCTGCCTGGTACTGTCTACACCAACTGACAGCAGCTCTCCAGAATTGTAGACATTCTATGATATTTCTGGAGACCCCAAGCAGGGATTGAGCCTGGGACCTCCAGCTCCAGCCCTCCTGCCTAGGCAGCCAGGGAGCAGTGGGGCAGCCCTGTTTCCTGATGCAGTGCTGAGCTGGTTCATCGTCCAGACGCAGGGTGAATGGGGCTGCAGAGGACCAGGCCAAGGCCTGCACAGCCTTCATGCCAGGCCAGAGATTTGTGCAGCTTGGGGAAACAGATCCACACACCCCTCCTCCATCCCTGTTGGGCCGGGCCAGGCAGGCACCTCAAAAGCTCAGGATGTACCTGCCAAAGACCCCACTGCAAAGGAGAGGGCCCTGGTGATCAGCTGGAGGGCAGGGGGAGAGGATCCAGCCTTCTTGCTACCTCACTCACAGCCCTGGGATCATCTGGTGGTTCGCACAGCCCCCAGCCGTCTCTCTGTCCCTGGGGAGAGCCGAGTGCCCCCCTTGGTTGAATGGCCACCAGGCAAGCAAGTGCAGCAGCTGGGAGCCCCTTTTGCAAGCAGACCAACTGGGGAAGCTCTTTTCGGAAGGTTTTTCAGCAGAGGTTGGGTGACCATCAGCTGTGACTCCTGCACTGCAGGGGGTTGGACTGTATCTCCCTGGGGGTCCGTTCTACCTCTACAATTCAATGATTATAAGCTGTTTCACGGCGGGGGAAGGAGAGACGTGTCTGGAATGAACCAAGCCGCTAATCACAGATTTGTATAGCTGGATGGGATCCCCAAGGCTCATCTAGTCCAGCCCCCTGCAATGCAGGAATCTCAACTAAAGCATCCATGACAGGTGTCCATCCAACCTCTGCTTAGAAACCTCCCAGGAAGGAGAGTCCACCACCTCCCGAGGGAGACCATTCCACTGTTGAACATCTCTTACTGTCAGAAAGATTTTCTGTATGCCGTGTCTGAATCTCCTTTCCTGAAACTTGAAGCCATGGGTTCGAGTCCTACCCCCAGAGCAGGAGAAAACAAGCTTGAGGCATCTTCCATATGACAGCCCTTGAGATGGTGGCTCTCATATCGCCTCTCAGTCTCCTCTTTTCCAGGCAAAACATTTCCAGTTCCTTTCCTCATAAGGCTTGGTTTCCAGAACCTTGATCAGAACTGCCCTGAGACCCGCAGGTGGTATATAAATTCAATAAATCATCATCATCATCTTGGTCACTCTCCTCTGCACATGTTCCAGCTTGTTAACATCCACCTTAAATTGTGGTGCCCAGAACTGAACACAGTATTCCAAGTGTGGTCTGACCAAGGCGAAATAGAGTGGGACCATGACTTCCCTTGATCTGGACACTAGATTCTGTAGATGCAGCCTCGTATAGCATTAGCCTTTTTTGCTGCTGTATCACACTATTGCCTCAGGTTAAGCTTGTGGTCCACCAAGACTCCAAAAACCTTTTCCCATGTAAGCTAGGTGTCCTCCATCCTATATTTATGTATCTGGTTCTTCCTGCCTGAGTGCAGAACCCAAAATTTGTCCCTATTGAAATTCATTTTGTTAATTTGGGCCCAGTTATCCAATTTGCTAAGGTCGTTTTGAATTCTGATTCTGTCTTCTGCAGCATTAGCTACCCCTCCCAGTTCGGTGACACCTGCTCATTTGATGAGCATCCCCTCAAGAGAGAGCAAGCAGGGAGGGACCACGGACTCCTTCCGTCGCATGGAAGGCTCAGTTCCTTGTACCCCACAAAAGGACACTACAGCCACTCTTCAGTTTTTGGGATTTTAGTTTGAAAAATCTCAGTTGAAAGATAGTGAGGCTTGGCGGCCAACATGGGAAGGGGGGTGGGCGCCAATCCCACAAATAAAAAAAACCCGAGAGGCCTTAAATAGGGGGCAGCTGAGAAACCTTGACAATGAAAAACTGCTTCCCTCCAACAGAAACATCACAGGCACGGAAATGGCAACAACCACTTGGAGAGACGCTGCGGGGGGATGGGGGGAGTGGGGGGCCGCCTTCGGGGCCCTGGACCTCCCCCGCCATTCCCTCTTCGGAATGGTTGCCAAGAACAGCAAGTGGGACCCCCGGGAACCCCCTCCTCCAAATGACACAGACAAACTGGGCCTCCCTAAGGCTAAAAAAGGCCTAACTCTGGCACCAAGAGTTCAGCGTCGCTTAGAAAACAAGAGTCCAGGGCGAGCTCAGGCGATTCCCAGCCCAACGCGGGCGCTGCTAGTCCTGCCTGGCCTTCTTGCTGCAGCTCTCTTCCGTGGGGGCCGAGGGGGCTGCCTCTGCCGCCTCGGCTGCTGCCGCTGCCCCTGTGCAGCCACTGCCGCTCTCCTCCTCCTCCTTCTCCAGTTTCCGTTTGCCACCCTCGGCCGGGGGCCCCGGGGTGGGGCGAGGCTTGAAGGAGATGATGATGCAGGTCATGTTGTCACAGCCGGTCCCGTCACCAGACGTGTCCGGAGCCAGGCAGCGGTCCAGGAGCTGGCAGAGAGGGGGGGGGGAAGGCCCAGCGTCACCTCAATGTACCAGCTGTGTCTCGCAGGGCCTGGCCAGGAGCAGCAGCTGCGTCAAGGATGCTCAAGGCAGCCAGCTGGCATTGGGTGTGCGGCTGGCAGGAGATGTGTAGGCAGGCTGGTGCTGGGCACAAGGGCACCTCTCCTCAAATGGGTGGAGGAGGTAGGTGCCTCTTTGGGCAGAGAGCGAGACAGAGAGAAGGAAAGGCACACACAACAGCCCTGAAGGTAGGCAGGCAGGCAGGCACCCCCAGCTGGGCCCAGAAGTCCCAAAACCTGGTTCAGGCCCATGCAGAGGTACACTTGCCCTGGGCCTCAGAGGGGACGCCAGCCAGGGATGTGCCAGGCATACGCTGCCATGCCAAGAACACCCCATGCCTCTCAGCCGACTGCAGACCTAACGGGCAAAACGACCATGTCTGTCTGTATGCATTGCAGGTTAGGAAATGGCATCATGGTGGGGTGTCTCATGGAAAAGACCCCCGCTCTGGGCCTCAGACAAGCTTGGGTGCAGGCCTGGTCTCCTTTTCCGGAGCCCCCTCACACAGCCAGCTGGGTGGGATTTCCTGCTTGCTGGCGCTACCGGAGCCCAGCCACTGCCAAGGGCCCTGCGTTTGGGTTGAGCTGCCCCAACCCAGAATTCTGGTCCTCCTGCTGTGGTCCTTTTGTAGTGATACAAATTCAATACATAATAATTTTTGCAGCCCTGCCTCTTAAAAGTGCCTGAGCCCAACAGCGTGGAAGGAGGAGCTGAAATGGCTTGTAAGGCCTGCCACTCACCTCTTCTACTATGGACGAAAGGGATCGAAGTTCTCCATTCTCCTGCTTCTGGGTGATCTTGGACTGGACAAAGTCCACCACCTCCTGGCTGCTCATGACATTCCTGGGCAGAGGCGGACGCAAAGAGAAGGGAGGTCAGCAGGCGCAGGAGGAAGGCCAGGCTGCTCTCGGACCAATGCAGCCCAATCCAGGATCCCGTGTGAGCTGCCCCCAGTGAGCTGAGAGAGGAAGCCCAGCGGCAGCAACAAGGGCAGCAGCTCCCCCCCCAGACACCTACCAGATGCCGTCGCAGGCAATGACCATGAAGTCGTGGTCCTCGTTGATTGTCAGCACCTTGATATCCGGCAGCGCAGAGATCATCTGCTCCTCCGGGGGAAGGTTCTTGTTGCGCTTGTAGAAGTGGTCGCCTGCAGAGGAGAGAAATAGGTGAGGGGGCTCCAAGGAAGGGGAGTGGAGCCTTTGGGCTGGTCTCTCTCCTTCCGCAAGAACTCTCCAAGGGCAACAGGCGCCCAGCAGCGGAACAGGCTCCCTCAGAAGGTGGCGAACTCGCTTTTCTTGGAGGTTTTTAAGGAGAGGATGGGTTGCCACCTGCCATGGATGCTTTCGCTGAGATTCCTGCATTGCAGGGGGTTGGACCGGATGGCCTTTGGGGGTCCCTTCCAACTCTTAGATAGATTCTATTATTCTAAGTAGTGGGGGGTGGGGGAAACAGGCCATCTTCCTCCCATTCAAACCTTGACCTCACCTGCCCCTCAGAGCAAAGGGCTCCACAATGGATCAGGGGAAGGAGGGTCGCTGGGCTCTCCCTAGCAGGGAAGGGGCAGAGAGGAAGTGACTGCCTGGCAGCCTGCTGAACCGCTCACCAATGGCTCTGGAGAGATTCAGGCCCCCATTCACCCGGCCGTCCATGGTCACTTTCCCACCAGCGTTCTTTATCCTGGCCAGCTCCACCTCGTCCTCCGGCTTGTGGTCATAGGACATGTCCACGGCTTTGCCGCCCTCCGACACGACGCAGCGAGAGTCTCCGGCGTTGGCCACAATCAGCTGCTTGCCCCGGATAAGCGCCACCACTGCCGTCGTGCCGCTGTCAGAGCCAGGCTGCAGACCAAGAAGGCAGAGCTCAGCAAGCGCCAAGGCCCCTCTGGGCTAGTGAGGGAGACTCGGAGCACAGCTCTTCCTCCTCAGAGACCCCTCCTCCCGCCCAGGCACTGACTGACCTTCTCCTTGCCTTCCATGCCTGGGAGCATCATGTCTTCGTCCTCCTCCTCCTCCGCTTCCTCGGTGTCGTCTTCGTCCTCGTTTTCTGCCTCCTCGCTGCTGTAACCATCCTCGTCCTCACTGCATTCCTGGTTGAAACACGAACCCACCCACCCCCAAGAAAAGAAGTGAGCACTCTTGGAATCTCTTATATATAATCTAATAAGGTAAAGATAAAGGAGCCCTGGACAAGGAAGTCCAGTCAAAGGCGATGATGGGTGTGGCACTCATCTTGCTTCAGGCTGAGGGAGCTCGCGTTGGTCCGCAGACAGCTTTCCAGGTCATGTGGTCAGCATGACTAAACTGCTTCTGGCGCAGTGGGACCCCATGATGGAAACCAGAGCGCACAGAAAGGCCATTTACCTTCCAGGTGCAGCAGTACCTATTTATCTACCGGCACTGGTGTGCTTTCAAACTGCTGGGTTGGCAGGAGCTGGGACAGAGCAACGGGAGCTCACCCCATTGCATGGGTTCAAACTGCCAACATTCCAATCGGCAAGCCCAAGAGGCTCAGTGGTTTATATAGTCTGATAACCAAATGGCAACTAAAGCCTGGGTTATGGTCACCACAGTAGAACGTGTTGGCATTTAAAAAATAATAATAATGAGGTTTTTAAAATTAGTCGTACGGAATCTGTTCCAGAAGTCCGTTCGACATTCGAAAACCAAATCACAGCTTCTGATTGGCTGCAGGAATCTCCTGCAGCCAATTAGAAGCCGTGGAAGCCCCGTCGGACGTTAGGGTTCCAAAAGAACATTCGCAAACCGGAACAATCACTTCCGGGTTTGCAGCATTTGAGAGCCAAAACGTCTGAGTTCCAGGACATTCAAGATTCAAGATACGACTGTTATTATTCATGAGTCTCGTGTTCCCTTCCAACTCTACAATTCTATGACTTCATTTCTATACTGCTTTATACTTGAAAGAACCAATCGTAAAGCGGTTTACAACACATTAAAACATCAAATAAAACAATTCAGAATAAGACCAGCCTGGCATCCAGAGAGCTCCATGTGGTCACAATTGGCTCTGTGTCAGTCGCAAAACGCGGCTGCCTGATTTCTAAGGCTGAAGCTGAGTGCAGCAAAGGGGCCTGCGGGTCAATGACGTCTGGTTTCCCCACCAGCCCAGACATGGGAAGACCGTGGGGCTCAAGTGGCCAACCCACCCACCCACCCACGTTGGGTACCTCGCTGTCATCTTCTTCCTCTTCCTCCTCCTCCTCTTCTTCCTCCTCCTCTTCCTCCTCCTCACTGTCCTCAAAGAACTTGGACTTAGCCCCCCGCTGGGCCTTGCTTGCGGAGGAGCAGGACGGTTCTGCCTCGCCTGTGCTGGAGGCTGGCCCTCCCTCAGCAGCCTTTTTCTGGGAAGGAGCGGCAGCATCCCCCCCGCCAGCCGCGTCTGGGCCAGGGCAGGCGCTGGAGGACTTGGGGCATGCCTGGCCGTTGGCTGCCTCCTCCTCCTCCTCCTCCTCCTCCTGGCGGTGCCTCAGGAGCTCCTCTGTGTCCACCTCCCCATTCAGGCTCCGCCCTTTCTGCGCCTCTTCCTGCGCTGCGTCTTTGCTGGGGGTCCCCAACTTGCCCTTGACGCAGTTTTGGCCATAACGCGTGAGCAGCTCCTCAATGGTCATGGTGGCCTCCTCGTGCAGCAAGGCAGCCTCCTCGTTGTCCACTGAACAGGGACAGAGAGAAAGGAAATGGGGGGGTCACTGTTCCCTGGCCCAGTAGTGCCATTCAGGAGGAAAATGGCTTCCAGGCCCAGGGCAGGATCAAGCCAAGCTTCTCTGCTACTGCAAGGACTTCCTCTCCATATGTTGCCTCTAAAATTCCTGTTCTAGGTTCTCATTTTGAGAAGAACATGCAGGGAGAGAAGACTTTTGTTGTGCAAGCAGAAATCCACTCTGCTGGATCCTGCCCATGCAACCTACACTAGAAACAAGGAAAGAAGGATCTGTTCTCCCAGCCAATCCATCACAGAGTCCCTTGGAACCCCATAACACCCCCGCCCCACCTTCACCTGGTTGCTCTGAACATACAGAGCTTTTCATACCCCTCAAGCCCACTCCCTACAATAGACCAGCGCTGCTTTGCCCATGACTCTGGGCAGCTGCAGCCTCTCAAGGAAGCCAAATCAGGCTAGTAGCCACAGCCAAGTCTCCCCATTCTTGTGGTGCAATCCTAATCTCACTGTGTACAAGACAGTGTTTGCCTCTCTGCCTCTCCCAGTGGAGAAACGTCTCTTCGGGACAAAGCTAAGAGAATCCTTTGCCCCCCACCCTCTGGTTCTGATTCAGTTCTGTCCCCGGGGACACTCCTGTCTGGGCAATGAACTGCCTCTGTTGCTCACCATCATCTTCATCAGCCACCTTTTCCTCCTTCTCATCCCCATCATCTCGGGGTCGACCTGCCATCAGCGACAGTTCCTTGATCACCTCCTCAGTTGTCAGCTTAGCATCGATTGCCAGAAAGGCATCCTCAAGAGCCTACAGCAGCACAGAAAGGGTGTCAGTCCCAGCGGTGCTCTCGAACCCCTGCAAGTGGGGCAACCCAACACTGCACCAGAACCAAGCAAAACAGGAGGGCCTTCTGTCCTTTGCCTGAGTCTCTTGGTAATAAGGAGTCCTGCGAACAGAACAATGGCCGGTTCAAGTTCCAGCCTTTGCTCTAATTGGGGGTAGGGAGGCTGAACCCGGCTTGGGAGCTTCCTAAAGCCATCAAGCTAGCCAGTTAGGAGACAAGAGACAATTGGGCAAAGCAATTCTGCCATTCTCTGGAGGCCTGTTACACATAACCAAGCAACCCCTGAAGGTCTCAGAAATGAAACACCCTAAGAATTCTTCTTTAACAGTTACTTGACCATATAACATCACATTCAGGGAAATAAAGATGCGAAAATCAAGGGCCTTCTGAGGAATGATTGATGCAGTTGGGGATGTTTAGCCTGCAGAAGAGGAAATGCAAAGGTAACTTGGGAGCCACTTTAAATACCAGAAGGGCTGTCCCGTGAGAGATGGAGCAAGGATCCAAGCCAAGGGATTCAAATGACAAGGAAACCTTAGGAAGATTTTTCTGCTGCTGGGAGCCGCCAAGGGTGGCTGGGAAAACCCAGCCAGATGGGCAGGGTATAAATAATAATAATAATAAGTGTAAGAAATGTTTGATTGCGGAACAGAATCTGCCGGAAGGAGGCAGACTTTCCTTCATTGGAGATTTTCAAAGGAAGGTTGGATGGCCACATCTTTCGTTGTGATTCCTGCATTGTTGGGGGTTGGACTGGATGGGGGTCCCTTCCAATTCTACAATTCCAAGAGGGATCACAGTCCCCCAATCCAAGTTGCAGCAACTGGCCATGCCACCCTGTTGAAATGGGGCCAGGGCGAGGCCCCATTCAGCTTCAGAGTCGCAAGAAAGGGCTGTGCTAACATCCCTTTGCAACATTTCCCCTGGGAGGCTCAGCTTTGGGCGCTAAGCTCCCCACCCTGCACAGGTCGTGGCTGGAACCTGGCAAGAAGACCTGTGCCCCACATGCTGCGAAGGGCTTCCTGTTTTGGCCCTGAGCTCTGAAGCCTGGTGAGGGGGAAGTGGCTCCTTGGAAAGGCCCTTTGCCCCTTACCTTTTGCAGCTTGCCCTCTTTGTATGCTTTCTGGTCCTTGATGATTTCTGGGAGGTACTTGGCACAGTACAGAGCGACCTCTTCCCCTGGAGCAAAGGAGAGGGGGGCCGTCAGAGGATCGGACCAGACGGCCCTTGGGATCCAGGCAGAGGGACCCCGAGTGGCGGCCCCGAGCAGGGAGGGGCGCCCAGAGAGTCCCGGGGGAGGAGGACCCCGCCCCCCCCGCCGCCTCGGGGCTCCCGTCCGGCCCCCCCCGAGCCCAGGGGCCGCGCTCACCTCCATGGCCGTCGTAGACGGAGAACATCGCGGTCTCGCCGTCCAGGTCCGGGATGCAGTTGTGGGCGTCCTGAAAGAGAGGCGGCCGTGAGCGGGAGGCGCTGCCCGGGTCTCTGGCCCGCTCCCTCCCCGCCCCCCCGCCCCGGTCCCGCCCCTCGCGCACCTCCATGGAGACCCGCCAGCCCTGCATGGCGCTGAAGCCGAAGCGCAGCGGGCGAGGCCCGTCCCCGGCGCCGTCCCCGGAGCTCTTGGCGGTGCTGGGCTGCGACAGGTAGGCCCCCATGGCTTCGGGCAGGCGCGGGCCCCGCCGGGCCGGAGAAGGAAGGGAGGCCGGAGGAAGGGAGGACGGGCGGGCGGGCGCCGAAAGGAACCGAGCGAGGGAAGGAGACCGGCAGGCGGAACCGGAAACGGGCACCAGAGAGTCGCCGCCGCCGCCACCGCCGCGCGGAACAACGAGCGCCGGAAGCTGAGGCGACAGAGCCGCCGCCGGAAGTGAGGGAGCGGAAAGCGCTCAGCGAGGTCCGCGGGGGATGATGGGAAGCGGAGGCACCACCAAGTCCGCTGGAGCGGCTGGTTGCCGGGCAACGGCGGTGAGGCCTGGAGCCCGGGATGGGCGAGACCCCGCGGAGGAAGAGGCCCCTGGGCGCCCGGCGAGCCTCCTCGGGGCAGCCTCTCGCCTCCCAGGCCCGCTTCCCGGCTTTCCCTCCTCGCCCAGTGAAGCCTCGGACTCCTCCGCGCCCCTTCCCAGCCCGGAGCGAAGGGGCGCCCGGAGAAGGGCGGGCCAAGGCCGGACCAGATGCTCGTCTGCAGATCCCCCAAGACGCCTCGGAAAACGCGGCCTTTGCTGGCCCCCCTCAGCGCACATTTGCAGAACGCAGAAGGGAATTAAGGGAGAGCCGATTGAAATGGGAAAAGGGATCGGAAATGATACAGCATCTCTAGAGCAGGGTCTGCAGGTGTTTTTCGGACCACAATTCCCACCAGCTAGCGAGGATGAGAGTTGTATTCCAAAAAGATCTGGAGACCCAAGTTTGGGAAACCTGCCTAGAGAACAAAAAACTGGCAGGACCGAGAGATTAAGCTGTGGCAAAAGTAGAAGGAGCAACTGATGAAGTGGAAGAACCACTGAATGATAAAGCTGGGATTCCGGAAAACAAAAAGTTATAAATGAAGAGATATCTGGATAATCTGACATCAATGGAACTAAGAAAAGAGTTCCATCTACGATTTGGAGTGATCCCTGGAGATAAAAGCTATTAAATCTCTGGCATTGTTTTTTGGAAAAGACTGGAAGAAATGCAAAATGGAAACACAAATGGAAGAGTCAATACTAGATAATGTGGAAAACATGGCAAATACAAAGTGGAAATTGAAGAGACAGAACTGGGTGCGGACCAATGGATATGCAATAATGTATAATGTATTAAATTATATTCACAGATGCTTATATCTGCAGAGGGAAAGATTTATCATTATTTTATATAGAGTCATGGTTGGTGAAATTGTTGGACAAAGTTGATTAATGTTTGAGACAAACTCTTGCTGACATATATCAATATCCTTAACTGGGAACCCCTTTTGGACTTTTTGTGTAAAAAGGAAAACACATCTGGGTTTGAAGACTGGAAAAATACTGGTTTATGGAAAGTAAAGTAGTTGGATGTTGTCATGAAATGAATGTTTTGAATTTTTTTTATGTAACAGGCAGGAGAATCAGAAGCCCTTTTTCTTTTGTTTTATTCTTCTCCCCCCTCTTCTTTTTTTCTTTCTCCCCCCTTTCTCCTGTTGTATCAAAAAAGCTTTAATAAAAAAAATGTATGCAGCATTACCTTTTTCTGGCTCCTACCGAGGGAACTCCTTGCCACCAGCAGTGTCAGTCACTGTGTGGAAGAAGCTCTCTAGCCAGCAACAGCCAAAAAGGTGAGTGGAAATGTCTGAAGCCCACCAGCTGCCTGGCCAGGTTTCCAGGCCTCCTCCTCTGTGGCTTAGTGGCCTTAGCCACAATGGGGGCTCAAAAAGTAGAGACACGCAGGACTCCAGCAGCAGCAGCAGCTCCTCCTCTACAGGTTTTTCTCTTCTCCACACAGCAGCACACTTGCTGCCCGCCCCCCCCTTGCTGCCAGGGCTACGAGGGGAGGATAGGATTTGACCCTCAGTGCAGAAGGGCTCATAGAGATGGAAGATCCTAAGGCTCATCTAGTCCAACCCCCTGCAATGCAGGAATCACAGCTGAAGAATCCCTGACAGATGACCATCTGACCTCCATTTAAAAACAGCAAGGGAAGAATAGTCCACCAGGGAGAGCTCCTCCACTGCCTGCTGGGGGTCCGTCCCCCCCCCTCCAGCCTTGCCCAGCCCAAGCACTTCTTTGAAGAGGCATGAGGCGTAAGCTGCTCCCTGCAGCTCTCTGTATTCAAAGGGGGCCTTGAAAGAAGAGCACCCCCTCTGCAGGCAGGAGCTGACTCCCCTTGGGCGGCTGGTCCCCTCCCCAAAGACCAGAGACAATGAGGACACTGTGGCTTATTTACAAAACAGTTTATTAAAAATAGGAACAGAAACAAACACTTGGAGCAGCCTCAGCTCTGGAGATGGGAATGGGTGCCCGTCGCTGAGCAACCGGCCCCAGCCCTGTTGGGGAGGGGGGGAGGGAGGGGAACCCAGCTCTTGGGGGGGTGTCTGGCCAGCTGCTGGCTGCCTCTTGCACCTGCGACATTCATGGCACTGTGCCCACCTGCCCACCCACTTTCTCCAGGGCTCAGGAGGAGGTGCCTCTGCTGCGCAACCCAGGGCAAGAAGGGCAGCCAAGCAAGGGGGAGAAAAGGAGCTGCCCAGAGGAGGGTGAGGCTGCCAGGGAAGGGGGTGACTGTGGGGCTGGAAAGCATGTGAGAGAGGGGGAGGGGCAGGGGGAGGAGCCACCCTCACTCTTCTTCCCCCCTCCCTCCCACCCCCTTAAATAACAAGACAGACATCTCTGTGCTGTGCAAAAAAAAAACCTCTGTACAATTCAAGCAAAACAAAACTCCATGCGTGAGCCGGGGGGAGAGGGAGGCCACTGGCCCCGGGGGGGAAATAATACTGACAAGGCACACAGCCCCCCTTCCCCGCCTTGCCCCCTCCCTCCTGCCCCCCGTCCCCATGGTGGCAGCGATTGTCTGCGGGGCTCCTGGCGGCTGCGGCACATGCAGGAGGCACAGCCAAGCTGGTTCCGTGCAGGCGGCGGCGGCAGCGGCCTGGCGGGGGGAGGGGGCCCTTTGCGGAGGCAGCGCCCGGGCACTGCTGGCATGGGGGCAGCCCTTAGGAGGAGACGGTGACGGCCGCCAGCGCTCCGTTCCGTGAGTAGAAGAACTTGCTGAAGGCCTCTTCAAGTAAACAGCTCAGCCGGCTCTGATCAGCCTGCAAGGGGCAGAGGGAAGGAGAGGCCAGTGAGAGCCCCACTCACGGGCTGAGCCCACCCACCCAGCCTGCCAGTGGGCAGGATCCTACCTCACTGATGAATCCCAGCTGGACCAGTTCGGCCGCCAGCTCCTGGATATTGTCACCTGGGAGAGGGGGAGAAGAAGAGGCAGCCAAAAGTCAGGAGGAGGAGGAGGGCTTCCCTTGCCCAGCAATGCCCAGCCAGGGGGGAGGGAGGGCGGGACTTACTGGGCAGCAGGTCACAGCTCAGGTGTCGGTTCAGCTTGTCTTCCAGCCTCAGCAGCAGTGTCAACTGGGCAGAGAGAAGCCAAAGTCAGTTCCTGGCCCCTGGGCTCTGGCACGCAGCCAACCCAAGCCCCTTCAAATAGGGCAGCATGGTGGAAGAGACACCCCCCCAGCCCAGGTTGGTACATACATGGTGCTTCACCCCTTCCTCGACTGACTCGATGTTGCATTGCATCAGGACCACCTGCGGGAGGCAAGGGGAGGCAGTGAGTGGGGTGGGAGGCCCTGGCTGTGCCTGCTGGCCAGGCTCCAGGACCTGAGTGGAGCAGGACAGCAACTCACCTTGCGGGTTTCCACTTCCGCAGGCTCTGGCGTGGGCGTCTTGACCGATGGGGGCGCAATGGGAGACGTCACCACCTCCTGCTGCGGCTGATGAGGGCGGGGCAGGCCGAAGGCTGTGAGGGGGTAGATGCCGTTCCTAGAGGGGGAGAGGGGTCAGGCTCTGTTCCCCAGGTGGGCAGCAAAGTTGCAGGCCTTCCACTTGGTGGAAGAGAAGGGAAGGAGGCAAGGGTCCAGGCGGGTCAGCCCAGGAGAGGCTCCCTGGCACACAAGAAGGTGGTGGAAGAAAATTCTCACCTCACATCCTCCAGAAACTTGTCTAGCTCCAGGGCTGGGGACTGGGAGAAGCTGTGCGGTGGGGAAAGCACAGAGTTAGATAAAGGGGGATCTCAATGCTGAATGCAAAATCTTTGCTGCCTGCTCCCCTCCCTGGCCTCCTTGGGGAGGGGCCAGAGGGACACCCACTGCTTGCCCTCCCCCTCCCCACATTCCCAGCCCCTCAGAGAAGCCTCACATCATGCGGACGCCCTCGCGGTCGGCATGGTTGATCTCTGCCAACACTGCACTCATGTCCAAGTTCTTGGTCATTTCTTCAAGGGCGTTCTCTGGGATCATGTCTGTCAGGAGGCAAAGGAGTCTTTCAGGAATGTTGCAGGGGGTTGGGTGAGATGACCCTCAGGGTCCCTTCCCCATCTACAATTCAAACATCCCCTCACCCTCTGCAAGGAAGGCAAAGGACACTCCTTGCTTCCTATGAAGGGCGGGTGGCGGGTTAACAGGACAGGAAGCACAGATGGTTCTCGCAGTTGATGGAAGGCAGGAGAGGGGCTGTCCAAGGGTCGGTATGGGGGTCAATTCTTTGACTTGGACTAGAAATGATCTGAGCCATCAAAAGTGGCCAAATTTGCAAATTATTCAGCACAAAGGAAGCCCAAGTGGTTTGCAAAGAGCCCCCAAAAGATCTCTCCAAACTGGTTGAAAGAAGTGCAGTGGAAGTCAGAATGAAGCAAGTGGCCTCTGGGGCAGAAACATCCACACTTCCCAGATGCCCCATGGGACCCGAACAGACGGGGTCTGGCCAATGGAAGAGGCCTTTGGGCTGCAGCGGAAAACACGCTCAGTGAGTGATGGCAGGAAGAAAAAGGCCATGCCTAGTGTGTTATAAGAGCAACTGGATTTTGAGGCATTTTCGTATTGCCAACATCCTAGCACCTGTCCATAAAGGCAGGAGAGGGGCGTGGAAAAAGCCAACCAAGATACTGGGAACCTTCTCTAAAAACGGAATGTGAAAATAATTGGGCCTTTTCAGTTTAGGGAAAATGAGGAGGAGGAGGAGCACTAGGAAGAGAAGCAACCAGAGTGGGGTGAGGGACGAATGGATCCTAGGGGAAGTTATTTCCCCTGTGGCAACCCAAGCCCCTTTCTGAAACTGCAGGTTCTGCCAGAAAGTGGTCCAGGGACTTCCTGCCTTCTGAGTGTGGGGGGGGGGGGTAGGGGCCGCCACCGCTCCCCAAGCAGAATGCGGCACCACAAGATGTAAATCACAGCACCAACTGAGGGCCAGGCTGAAGCATGGAAGGAGGGGACCCATCCAGGGCCATCAGTCAGAGCAGCTCAAAGGGCCCTCGGGGCTGAGAAAGCCCCAGACCCCAGCAGCCTTCCACCCTGCCCCAAAGAGCTCTCCAGGAGGACTCTAGCCAGGAGCTGGGAAGGCACAGAGGGCCAAAGGTTCAAGGCCAGACCCAGCAAGGGCTGCTCTGCTCAGTGCCCTTGGCTGTTTCCGCTCTCTGCCTCCAGAGGAAGGGATTAGGCCTCCCCAGCCACTTCCCTGAGCCCCCCCCCCAGCCTCCACTCACGCTGATGGCCCACAATGCAGTGGGCTGCCAGGAGCTTCAGAGAGGGCACTTCAAAGAGGGCTTGGTGGAAGAGGAGCTCGCGGGCCGTGGGTCTCTTGCTGGGCTGCAGCTCCAGGCACTTTTGGATGAACTCCTGGAAGGAGGGAAAGGAAGGAGAAGACGTGAAGGCCGAGACTTGTGCCCGTCCCGGGAGGGAGGGAGGAGGGGAGGGGTGCCTCACCCGCTGCAAGGGATCCTCCAGCAACTGGATGGCATTGTTGATCGCTTCCTGGGGCACATAAGAGGATTCGCCATTGCCCTGGATCTCCAGCACCGCCATCTGCAGGGACAGCAGAAGCACAGCTCAGTGGGGGGCTGAGCCCCACAGTTGGCATGCTGCGATCCCGGAGGAACCAAAGGGCTCCACCAGCCGCCATCACACACAACGAGGGAGAGAAAGGGGACTGGCTCCCTCCTTTCCAAATGGGTCTCTCTCTCCTCTGTTCCTGGAGTTTTCAGAAATCACAGAGACCAAATGACACCCCCTGCACGACACAAGGAGATGCACTGTGCACTCCTAACCCTGTCGAGATAAGACCAGGATGCCAAACAAGCCGCCCCTTCCCATAAAGATTCGAGGTTGGGGGGGGGGAGCAGCTATGCCCCCCAACCCTCCCTCTTCACAGCTCTCCTTGCCTTACCTCCAGCGCACACATCCCGAAGGAGTAGATATCCACCGCGGTCGTCACATGTGCAACTTCTGGAACACAAAACCAGGAATCAGGACCCCCCTGGCTGGCTGGCAATGGCCATTCAGAGCCACTCAGTCATCGGGCTTGGGAAGTTGGGGGGGGGGTACCAGTTGTTATTGGCCCATAACCTGTTAAGACTTGGACCCACCATTTGTAGCTACTACTACGCCCCACTTTGACCAGGGCAAACAGCAGAGTATGCCCAGATCCAGAATCCAGGAGAGTCTTCTAGCAGAGTATCAAGAGTTTTCCTGTTTTCCAGTAGCCAGCCTTTCCCAGAGCTCCCAGTTAAGAAACCTCCTTTCCCACTCAGTTCAGTTTAAAGTGCTTATTGTCTCATGGCACAAGACAAGCATAAACACCTCAGCTACATGAACCTTTAAGAGAGGCTGGTACATGAGCTAACCTACTAGAACACCATTCTTCTGGTCTTAGAAGGAGACCTTGTGAAGATACAAGAGAAATCCGCTAGCACTTGACCCTGCTAGCTCACCTTGCTGTGCTGAACCACACAGCATGTAACCTGCAGCTTCTCCACCGACACCTCGCACTGAGCAAAAGCTCTCCTTGGGGAAGAGCTCACACTCCTGGCAACCCTGCTGAACGCAACCTCGGCTTTACAGCCGCCTCTGCCCATACACGTTCCTTAGAGCAGCGTTTCTCAACCGTGGGTCTCCAGCTGTTGTTGAACTACAACTCCCATTGTCCCTAGTTAGCAGGACCAGTGGTCAGGGATGATGGGAGCTGTAGTCCAACAACATGGCTGAGAAGCACTGCCTTAGAGAAAGGAAGGGTGGATGAGTCATGCTCCGGGCATTTAGCCTTGGACTGGTATCTAAGCCACCCAGTGTAGCTGGTGTGCGAACTCTGAACAGAAACCAAACATGGAGGGGGGGCCTCAAGACATGGAAAATTACACCAACCCTGATGAGCCACTTCAGCCCTCCCCCCCCCCCCAAACAACGAACTGCTGCTCTCCTGCCTTTCTTACCGCCATACTCCGGGGCAAAGAAGTGCAGGTTCTTCTGCTCCTCACGACACGTCTTCACATGGTTGTTGATGGTGTCTGGGGCCACTGGAAGAGGGGGGAAAACAGCAAGGAATCAGGGGCTGAGCCTCCTCCTCCCTCCCAAATTGCTCTCATGGGGCGGGCAGAGGGCATTCAGGCACAGCTGCTGCCACCCCAGTCCAGTCCCAGTGCAAGACAAGGGCAGACGCAGCTCAGAAGCAAAGGGGGGGAGGCAGGTCCACATGCTGCTCCAGATCTTCCATCTTTCCTGGGTGAGCTCCAAGCCCCAGCAGCCAAAGCAACCCCACCAGGGAAAGCAGATGAGCCCAATGGGAGCCGGGGGGAGGGGGCGTGGGCAAGGCAGCACTGCTGGAGGAAGAAGGCAGAGGAAGTCCTTTCTGCTTCTCCTGGGTCTCCACTGCAGAGAAGCGTCAGCTGGACCAGCACTAAGGCAGGCACAAGGGGCTGCAGAGTAAGGGGGGGGATCCTGAGCAGTAGCAGTAGCAGCAGCTGGTGTTCCACAGACACCCACACTGACCCACCCACAGACACCTGAATGACAGGGAAGGGTACAGACAAGACAGTCCTCACCTCTCTCTCTCTCTCTCTCTCTCTCTCTCTCTCACTCTCTCTCTCTCTCTCTCTCACACACACACACACACACTGGCTGGCTTCAGGCCTTTTCCTGAAAGCCCAGCAATGGAGAGGGGGATTCCCACTTGATCAGGTTTGCACCAGCCTCTGTCTCCCCACCAAAGAGGGCTGCCTCCCCTCCACTGCTGCCCCATCCATTCACTCAAGAGGCACCACCCAAGAGCAAAGATCCCAATGGCCCAGTCACCTGAGAAATGCCAAGGGGAGGGGGCAGTGGCCCTGGAGCCAAGAGTGCCACAGACCCAGGCCCCAAAGCAGGGATCGACACAGAGGGCGGGACTTGGTGGCCACCCTGAGGGTAGCAGCGATGAGCAGAAGACAGATGCTGGGGCAGAAGCCGCACCAAGCCGCCTCCTCCTCCTCTTCCTTGGCCCCCAAAGCCAGATGCAGTACCAGCCACTTTCTAACACAACTGCTGCTGCCTTAGAAGGGAAGATTATACCAGCTATGGCCTGCGGCAAAGCACCCCTAAAATCCAGCTTGTGACCTGGTAGCCTGCACATGAGAAGGAAGCTCAGTTTTGGCCTGGAAAGGCAGAGAAAGACTTCATGACAGGAATGCTCAGTTCAGGCAAGCTGGAGCTCCATTAGCTGCTGCCACCACCTCCTTTGCTGCAAAGCTCTCCCGTCCTCCAAAAGTGCCCCAGACTCCCTTCTGGAAGCAGTAAGCCATCATAGGACCACCTCAACACAACTCAAATTACCAACCTAGTGGTTTCAATGGCCAGAGGCGCCTGCTAGAAGAGCCCCAAATTCTCTCTCTCTCTCTCACACACACCCCCCGCAATTCAGATGTGGTTTTAAAGGTCATTTCCCAGACACTGAAGCCAAACACTTCCTGACTGGCACCCTTTAACGTTTTCTTTACGCTTGGATCACTGCCAGGAAGGCAGGATTCATGTTCTCTGCTTTCCATTTTCAAGACTGACTTGAGCTTAAAATGGTGCTTTTCACCCTAGCAGACAGAATGGACCTTCCCCTCTCAGCCACTGCCCCAGCCTCCCACATGATGGTTTTTTATATATAATTGTCTTTTACTTAAAACTTCGCTCCAAAGCTCCACAAAACCACTCCCCAGTCCTGCTGCTTCCCCTGTCCCCCCACAAATCTCCCACTCCACTTCTGACCCATGGAACGATATCCTGGCCTCTCCTCCTTGGGTTTCCACCAGGTGTTAGAACTGTGGTGTCTGTAAGGGGTTTGGACTTTCTGGTTAGTTTTAATTCCAGCCTCTACACAGGGGGCCAGACATGTACACAAGGGTTTGGACCAGGAGTCTGCAAACTTTTTCAGCAGGGGGCTGGTCCACTGTCCCTCAGACCTTGTGGGGCTGGACTATATTTGGAGGAGGGGAATGAACGAATTCCTATGCCCCACAAATAACCCAGAGATGCATTTTAAATAAAAGGACACATTCTACTCATGTAAAAACATGCTGATTCCTGCACTGTCTGCGGGCTGGATTTAGAAGGCTATTGGGCTAGATCCGGCCCCTGGGCCTTAGTTTGCCTACCCATGGTTTGGACGCTCCCAGTTTCTCAACCAGAAAAAGCTCAGGCACACTTGTCCTGATCAGAATAAATGCAAGGTACCTATATTTTTAATTTCAGAAATATGCCACCAAATATAATTGTATGTGCTAATCCCATCTGTCTGCAGAGTTTCTGTACACAGCAAGCGTATTCTAGTCACAGAAAGGTGTTTTTATCCCTCATGCCAAAAATGGGAAACTTGCTCAAAGGCTTCCTTCTGCTGGGGGGGGGGGGGACATGCTTTTCAGGAACTAAGTCTGGCATTCAGGTTGCAGCACCTGCGGTTGAGGCTCTCAGGCAGGCAGGCAAACGAAGCAAGGCGGAGCTGCTGGCATCAGGCAAGAGAGACAAGGCCACGCGGCTCTCGACTCGGAAGAGGGCAGCTTCTGTCCTTCCTCTTGCGGAGAACGGCAGGGCCTTCAGCTTCCTGGAGTGCTGGGCTCACTTTTGCCCAGGCAAGCCTTTGCCAACACAGCTGGCAGCTCTCTTCCTGCTGCCCACCGTCTTTGGGATCCAGCTCAAAGCACTTCACTTTCTTAAAGCAGTCAAATAAGCTTGGCTCCCTTTCCCGAAAGTGTTCTCTCTCTGTGGCAGATGAAGACCCAGCCCCCTACCACCACCTTGGCTCCTCCGGAAAGTGTCTTCTGGGGAAGGAACGGGGGGGGGGGGGCGCAATGCATAGCAGGCGCCCCCAGCCCCAAAGAGGTCCCTCCGGTGTAGCTGCTGTGTCTTTCCCAGACTTAGTGCTTCAAGTGTCCAAATCAAATGCACTGTCCAGTGGTACGCCCAGGAAGCAAGCGGGCTTGGTTTTGCAGACTTCCTTCTGCCTCTGGGCAGGGCAAGGCCTTTGACAGACCCTGGAATTTCATCCCCAGCCCATGAAAACCTCGCCAAGATACACAGCCACGCCCGAGACTCACTGAGCACACCACCCAAACTCACCCACCCCAGAGACTGGGGCCCTGAGAAAAGCTGAGCTCTGCTCCTGGCCAGGCTCCCTTCCACAGAAGACATGCCACCTGCATGCAGCCCAAGCAGTGCCAGCGCCCTGGCCGCCCTCCTCCTCCTCGCGTTACCTGCCGCCTCTGCGCCACGAGCGCCACCTCTCCTCTCGGCCCTGCTCTCGTCCAGCTTCCACCTGCTCCGCTCCACTGAGCTCGCCTGGACCAAGGTGCCCAAGGATTTCTTGCCTGCCCAAAGCGAAGGGCTCTTTCAGTCCTTGGCCATGCCGGGGGGGGGGGGAGGACACCCCAGGGCCCCCGTCTCACCGCCAGAACCTTCCGCCTGCAGGGCACAGCTCATCTTGCGCCAGGCATTGGCCTTCTCCGCCAGCCCTGTGTCTTCTCCTTGCTGGCAGTGGAAGCAAGAGACGGCCCTTCCCAAGGCAGACCTCCCTACCACTAAGGCAGGAGGCGCAGGCAGCTCCCCAAAGGCTCCCCGCAGAAGAGGGGGCAGCAGCAGAGCAGCTGCAGGGCCTGCGCACTTCCACGGCTCCGCCAGGGTCTCCCAAGCACCTCCAGGCCCCTGCGCAGGCGACACCAGGCACACAGCTCCCAAGAGTCAGGCTCCACCACAAACGTCCGACCCATTGCCAAACAGCCGGCCGCAGGGAGCTGGAGGAGGAGGCAGCGAAGCCACAAGCAGACAGCAAGCAGGACACCACCCCCCCCCCGGGCCACGAGTGGAGGAGGAGGAGGCTGCAAGGGCGGCAGCAGCTTCTCCACAGGCACAAGCAGCCCAGCACACATGCAGGAGGCAGCCATGCAGCAGAAAGGCAGCCCCCCCACCCCCCCGAGGAGCCCCAACAGGTGGCAGGACTGGGGTGGAGCTCCATAGAGCCCAGGTGCCAGCCTTCGCCGGGAGGAAAACGAGCGTCATATATGCCAATATACAAAGTGATGCTCTCATATCTATATCTCTATAGATAGATGCTCCAAAGGTCACAGTCACATCACAGAGCAGAGAGATTTGCTCACCATTAGCAAAAATCCTATGAAAGACTGTTGGCGAGAGAGAGAGAGAAAGAGGCAGCCCATAAAAGCAGGAAGTAAAACCAGACATGGTGGGTACCGAGGGGTCAGCCCTTCACCTCAGCAGCCACAGCGCCCACGGCCACCACAACCGGGCAGGGAGAGGCGGTCCTTGCCTACCCAGCCACAGCGGAAGGCGATGGAGGGTGGGGGGCTCCTGGGGCAAGGCCCTTCCCTGCTCCTGCCAGAACCCAAGAAGCTGCCCCCAAAGCTGCCCACTGGCCACCCCCAGCAGGGCATCAGGAAAAGGCGCTGACCAGGCCAGCACGGCCAGGAGCTGCTTCTGGCTCAGCCAGCACTTGGGCCCAGGAGCAGACCAGAGACTCCCTGCCAAGGGAGTGGGGTGAGGAAGGGGCCCAGGCGCTGCTGGGGAAGGGGAGGGCTTCTCTTGAAGTCCCTCCACAGGGCATGCGATTTAGTAGTACAGGATCCTCGCTGCCTTCCCATCTCCCTTGCCCCCAGGTCAGCTCCAAGCACACCCCCCCCCCCAATTTCCAGTGGGTCATGGGGAAACAGAGGCCTGAAGTCCTCTCCCCAAGGCAGCTCCTCTTCCACAGCTGCCAGAGGAAGGGAGGCCATGCGTGCCTGGTGACCCCCAGCCAAGCCAAGCCCAGAGGCCTCTCCAGTCCAGGAGTCCAGCAGCCTCCCCTCTTTTCACTAGCCCCCCTGACCTCCCCCCCCCCCCAGCTTCAGGGCCTCCTCTGCACACCTCACAGGCAGCCTCAGGTGGGGCTGAGCAGTGGGAACCTCCTGGACAAAACTGCCAGCCACTGGGGCTGCAAGAAGCTCCCCCCACCCCTGAATCATCAATGGGGCTGGGAGTGGAGATGGAGGGAAGAGAAAACAGGCAGGGAAAGAGGCAGAAAAGAGCTCTGGGTTTTTCCAAAGTTTTTTTGGCTTTGGGGGGTGGGAATCTTAACAGATTTTGGGGGGAGGCATGAAGGGAGAGAGAAATGTCTCTGAAGAAGGTGCGTGCGGCAGACAGAGGGGGATCCTAAGGTCAGGGTTCAGGTGCTGGGACCACGACCACAACCAAGCCTCCGTCCACTTGCTCCCAGACTTAGGGCAGGAGGTGGCAAAGCCAGGCAGAGCCTCCCAAGCAGCACTGCAGGCCCTGAAGCTCTTCCCAGCCCAAGGGAAGGGAAGATGGCGGGGCAAAGTACTGGCCCACCTCCCGATTTCCTCCCCAGCTTCAGCTGACCAAACCCATAAGACAACCACCCGTTCAATTCCCCACTAAGTACAAAAATGGCTCATCAAGAGGTTGTGGGAAAGTGGCAGCCAGGAAGCCAAAGGTGGCGAGTGGAAGGAGGGGGAAGCTCTCCCTCTGCCGTCTGTGCCCAGCCCAGCGTGCCAATGCCCAGGTGCAGGTGGGACCCAAAGGAGCCACCCAGTTCCGTGGGGACTGAAGCAAGACCTGCCCCAGTAGAGGATGGGGCAGGCGGAGGCCTCCGAGTTTGCTTCTGGGCCAGATCCACACAACAGGTGCCAGTCACACCACAGCCGCGCTTCCTTCTCTTCCCTCTTCTCAAATGAGCCTCGGAGGGGAGAGCCAAGGGCATTTGCTGGCCTCCCACACCAGCTACTAAGATCCCGACAGACAACGGCAGAGGAGGGCTCCAGCCCCTGCACCCATCCACCCAAAGGCGCTGCTGACAGGCGCAAATGGTGCCGTGGAGCTTTCCTAAATCACAGCCCTGCTGCCCCTTGCCATGTCCCGGGGAGCAAGAGAGTTTGAAAGAGCAGGTGCTTCACCCCCTTGACTCAGCTGCTGCAGGAACACCAGTGAGACGAGCTCCGCCAGAGATGTCAAGCAGAAGCGGCATTGGTCCCTGTGTGGAGGCAGGCTGGAAGCTTTGCCATGATCCGGAGCCACAGGGCAGGTGGCGGCCTGGTTCTCCTGCATCTTAGCCCAACTGCAGAGCCCCCTCTCTTGTGCCCGGGGGGGGGGGTTCTGAGCATTGTGCAAGGTTGCCAGCCGCCACTGCCCTGGAGTTCCCCAATCCCAAGGGTGGCTCTTCCAGCCTGCGTGAGTTCCCTGTCCAAGCAGCTCAGGGGCCTCATCCATGCTCTCTTTCACCCACAAAGCATGCCAGGAAAGGCTCTTCTCTTGGAAGCAGTGAGGGTTTCTTCCACTAGAGATGGCCAGAAGATGTCACTGGCCCATAGCTCCTTACGGGTGGTCTTGTCTGGATGAAATATCGTAGACCCAAACTTGTACAAAGCAAAAAAGAGGATGGTACTATTGTGAGCTCTTTGCCCTGTGGTGGTCTTTGCAATTCTTGAAAACTTGAACACACATTATTTTCTTGAAGGGGGGGGCTCTGCTCAAACTTGGCCAAGACTCCAGAAGGTTCTGAAGTCTGTTCTACGCTGGGGCAGAATCCTGAGACGAGTGGCTCCAAGCGATGGCCCTGCAGGCGCAGCAGCAGCAGCAGTAAAAGATCCAGCAGCAGGGAAGACTGGGCATCCCTTGGCACCTTGGCATCCCCACAAAACTCTCTGCCCACCACTCAGCCAAAGGCATCCCAAGCACAGAGCAAGCAGGTCGGTCAATCTTGCAGTTTGCGTCAGAAGAGTCTTTGTTCCACCAGGAGGGCTGGTCTTCCTCAGCCTTGGCAAAAGCATCACTGGAGGCAGGTCTCTGGGCCCTTCCCTGCCTCACAACATATGGAACTCACTGTGACAAGGGGAGGGACATGAGTCTAGGCGGAACCCTTGCAGGGAAACCAGGGAGGCCACCTTTGTTTATTTTAGAAAGGTCTATGCTGCCCTTCAGCAAAAATTCCCAGGGCCGTTTACAGAAAAGGGTGATGCAAAACTCCATTGGAAAAAAACCCAGCCACCCTGAACTCCTTTTTTTTGGGGGGGGCAGGAAAAGGCAGTCACAGGGTGGTGGTGGTGGGACAGGCCCTTCGAAGTCCAGAAGAGAATCTCCACCCTCAGAGGCAGTTTACCAGACAAGGCCTCTGCACTCAGCCGGGTGACATTTTGGCTGCCCCTGAACTGCAGGCACCTTAGAAGGGCTTTGTTCTCAAAGGAGTTTTAGGACTTGAAACCACAGAGGCCAGCAGTCCATTGCCATGCACCACACACACACACACACACTGCCCCCCAACACTTGCACCCCTTGGCAGCTCTACACTGTGATGAGTTTCCTACCAATTTAACCGCCACAGGTCTCTCCTAGTGCCCAGGAAACTGCAGTCGCCAGCCAAGTCCCAGCCCTTGTCTTCTGCCAGGAAAGTCAACCTAACTGCCCTTGGCAAGAAGAGGGTTCTGGCTAGTCTGTCCCAGGAGCTCTCAAGAGAATCCAGAAATTTCCCAGAAGTGGGAGAGCCCCAGAAAAAGCCCAAGGGGAACTCTCCCATTTCCTCCTCAGAGCTCTTGGGGGCTGGGGATCTCCAAAAGGCAGCTCGGCAAAGCACTCCAGCTGCCCTTCCCTTTCCTCAAAGTCCCGGCTGGCTGCCTGTCCAAGCGCCCGGCTGGCAGGGAAGCAGCAAAAAGAGGAAGGAGGGTTTCTCCCCAAGGGACCAAAGGCCACCTGGAAGCAGTTTCCTGCCCCATGCCCTGGAGTGACGCAGGCACCCATGGTCTGGGCAGCCTGTCCAGGCACAGAGCGTGGGGTGGGAGGAAGCTGGGGGCTGGGAAGCCTGAGAAGGTGGTGGCAGCAGCGGCAGCAGTAGCTGCTCAGGGCCACACATATCCAGGTGGCAGAGTTCTCCAGGAGGTTTCCAGAAGTCAGCAATGAAGGCTACAGAGAGAGGCACCAGCTGAGGCTCAGAATCCCAGGTGAGCAGGGCAGCAGGAGCCCACCAAGCCCCTGGGCCTTCTGGGGAGCTCCTTCCCTTTCCAGTGACTCTTTACATCACTGGCTTGCGGCTCCGGAGGAGAGGCTTACCTGACCCGATCTTGATCAGCCCATTGTGCTGGATGAAGATGGTGTCACAAGTCAAGTTTCCGTGAATGATGGGAGGATCGCAGGAGTGAAGGTAACTGGAATGGCAACACAAGGAATGGTGGGCCCAAGAGGCTGGCACCAGCACTCACCGCCCCAACAAAAGGCCACTTTCACAGGGGCAAAACCAAGGCCTTGTGCCTGAGGCTGCCAGGGACTCCCCAAGAGAGCAACAGCCATCACTCTCTTACCTTCAGTCAGCTTGAGAAGGAGGGGAGGCAGGCAGGCAGGCAGGCTGGCAAAGCGGCAAGCCAAGTCCTGCCACAACTGCTAGAGGGAGCCAGAAGCAACCGCTCTCCACCCTGGCCTCGGAAGAACCAAAGGGGGCATGAGCAGCCAGGCTCCCAAAGCCTTTGAGGGAATCAAAGCACGTACCTGAGAGCAGACAGGATCTGGGTGCACCAGCGCTTCCAGGCCTAAAGACAGATAAAAGGAAGAGGCTCTAAGCAACACCCACAACAGGTAGCTTGACTGCAACAGGCAAATACTTTCCTTATTTCCTTGCTTCCTTCCATGCCACTCAGAAGGAAGAGGCCAGACACTTCCTGGTTCCTCCCCAGCCTCCTGTCCTTCTGGGGCTCTGGGTTGGCCAAAGGAAGCTGCTTCTCTGTGCTCAAAGGCAGGACGGCCCCAGCAGGAGGCCTGGGACCCAGGAGCAGAGGGAGGAGGGAGGAGAAAGAAGTGAGGGTCACCTTTTCATTCATGGTCTTGTGGTTCTTCTTCGTCTTCTTCAGAAACTGCTTCAGGCTGCCAGAGGACATGTACTCAGTGATGAAGATCACCTGGAAAGGAGAAGGAAGTCACCAACTGCTGCTGCTTCTCCACAAGCCCATCAGGAAGACGTTGGGGGGGGCACCCCACTTACCCTGGCCTTGTTCTCCTTCACATCTGCCCAGTACTTGTGGAACTTCACAATGTTCAGGTGTTCTAGCTGGATCAGGTTGTCAAAGACAGCTTTGACCTTCTCCTGCAGGGACAAAGCAGAGGAATGCCAGACCCCAGGAAGAGGAGAGCCTTTGGCTTACCCCAGCCTCACAGCCGTGGAGAGACGGATGCAGCGCTGGGAGAGAACCCCCAAGGGCTGGCCAGGCAGCAGCCAGCCCCCCCCCCCGGGAGGCTAGCCAGTCTTCCCACAGGGTTCTGCACTGCTGGGATTTATGCCACTACCTCCCAGGATCCTGAGCATGATGCCCACCTACTCCCCATCCTTCCCATCCCAGGCTCACCAACCTCCTGAAGCTTAAAATTCTTGCGCTCCGAGAACTGGACCTCATTCCAAACCACTTCCACCCCTTCTTCTGTGTCCATTGCCAGGTAAGCACTGTCAATCCCAGGAACATTGCGCTGATTCACCTGCATGAAGAGGGGCAAAAATAAAAGCAGTGATTCAGGGAGCTGTGGAGACGAGGTGCTGGTGCCTGCAGAGACCCCCACGCCTGAGTCAGGAAACTCCTGAGGACAGGAGCAGCCCAGAAAGATTTGCTCCAAGACCTCTTCCTGGCAAGTCAGTCTTGCTGCTCTGAAAATCACAGCAGAGATTCATGTCACCAAGAGTCAAAAAGCTCTCGTGCCCTAAATGACGGTGGCTGAGAAAGTCAGTCCTGGAATCCACTGGAGGGGGGTGGAAGCCTCGGCTTTATCCTGAGTGATACCCAGGATCTGGGGGAAAATCTCGATCTCATGGACATTTATCAATTTCAAGACATGACTAGAAGGTTGCCAAGTCAGCACAAGACAGTTTTAAAGGGGGAAACCTAAAAATGTGGGGGTCAATTAAGAACTGAGACGATGAAGTTTCCCCAAGGTGCTCAGTGGCTATTTAACACCATGATGACAGAAGCTCAGCTAGAATGTAGACCACTGATTAGGAAATGCCCCCCCCCCAGTCCAGCAGAGAGATTTAATGGCAGAGGGTGCCTTCATTCAGAGAACAGAAATCTTGCCCAAAGCAGAATAGAAAGGAGTAAGGACTCTGGAAAATAAGAAAGTGAATGGCATAATGCTAAAGGGGGTTCCTGCATTGCAAGGGGTTGGACTAGACGACCCTTGGGATCCCTTCCAACGCTACAGTTCTATGATTCAACGAAAACCATGGTTGACTAAATATCCAAACCAAGATAATCAAGGGTCTGGAAACAAAGCCTTCTGAGGAATGGTTGAGGGAACTGGGTATGTTTACCTTGGAAAAGAGGAGACTGAGAGGAGAGACGAAAGCCATATTCAACTATCTGAAGGGCTGCCACATGGAAGAGGGAAGGAGCTTCTTTTCTCCTGCTCTGGAGGGAAGGACTTGAACCAGTGGAGTCAAGTTTCAAGAAAGGAGATGCCAACTAAACACCAGGAGGAGCTTTCTGACAGGAGAGATGGGTCTTGTGCTCAGGCCCTGCTTGCATAGGAGGGGGTTGTTCTTTTATTTTATTTTTATTACTTTATTTAATTTAATTTAATTATTTATATGCCACTCATCTGACTGGGTTGTCCTAGCCACTCTGGCTAGTAAAAGCTTCCCTGACATCCTATTCCATATCAAAGATTTATGTTCCGACACCAGGGTACAGGAAAAGACTTTTGGTACTCTTCACAATATGCTTGGAATTTCACCACCATGAGCAATTATGGGTCATTTATGGAGACTGCCTCCCTCATCACCGACTCTCTGGAGGAAATTAAAAACATTCCTGCTTCCCCAAGCATTTGATGGCTGAAATGCTGTTCCTGAAATCCCTGTTGGGGGGGGGAATGCTTTTAATTGTTTTAAATTAAATTAAATTAAATGATATTGCTATTGATGTGTTTGTCACCCTGGGCACCTTTGAGAGAAAGAGTGGGATGTAAGTTGAATTGATGCCGATGCTGATGATAAAATAATGGCAAAAACCTGGAAAATTCAGAATAATTTTAAACAGTACTGAGCCCAACGCAGATCCTTGGGGACCACAAAGCCTGCAATGCCTCAATTACCCATAACTCTGATAACAACCCCCTCCCATGGGTCCCCAGTTGTGATGGCATGATGCCTGAGGTTTCGTCTCCCTGCAACACTTAAAAAAAAAACTACCAAGTTACGATACTACGATAACAAAAAGTTTGTGGGCACTTGTTCCCCCAGAGGGTTGGGCCAATATGGCCCTCCAGCCAAAAAAGGTTGATCTACACATCTGAAGAGAAACAAATCAAGAAGACTGGAAGGCAAGACTTTGTGGAAGTCATTCCTCTTGTTCTTCTGGCCTGAACAATTCACACTGCAAGAATTTCCCCCAGCTATACTAGGACAGATGTTCGGCTGAAAGGTCATGCCCATAGATCCCTTGAAAGGTGGGCTTCCCTCTGCTGGGCCTGCCCCCTGCCACTTCTGATGAGCCTGCCTGCCTTCTCCCCTGGCCCTGTGGCATGGGAGAAACCAGCAAAAGCAGCAATGCCAGGAGCAAGAGGCCCCAGGCCACCATGCTGGTCCCTTCCCCAAGCAAGGAGAGGCAAGGGAGCGAGAATGGGCCAGGATTCCTCCTCCTCTTGCCCCCCTCCTCTGCAGAAGGCAGAACTGCCTCTGGCTGCCAGGGGGTGGGGGGCACCCCAAGGCTTGGCTGGACCCACACCTGGAACAAGCTGGGCCTGGCTGGTGGTTTGCCTAATACTCCTCCTTCTATAGCCAGTGTGCAGAAAGGCGCCTGCCCCTCTTGCTGCCTCCGCAGCCTGGAGCCTTGCGCAGAGACCGTTTCCCTGGGTGGGCTTTCCCCATCCATCACCAGAGTGACGCAGTGGCAGGAGAGACACCTCCTTCCTGATGTTGCAGAAGAGGGCAGGAATCTTTCCTCTGGTCCTACCATTCAGGAGGCCCATGTTGCCTCCTTTTCAGGCCTGGCTCCCTTGCCCCTGCCCAGCCAGCCAGCCAGCCTGGCTTCCTCCCTGCCCCAGCTTGCAACAGAAATGACGCAGCAGCCTGCCTTGCATCAGGGCCACATTCCTCCCCAGGGCCCAGCCCTCTTCTGGGGCACAGCCACTTCCTGGAGTCCTCACCAGGTCAAGCCACAGTGAGTCAGCCAAAGTGAGTTGACACAGAATACGAAAGGGCCTTACCATCTGCCCGGAGATGTCTAGCAACATCGACCCCCCCAGCCCAGCCAAGGAGGGAGGGGCAAAGGAACAATGAATGAGAACAGCTGCAAGAAGAGGGAGGGCCAAACTGCAGCCAAGCAAAAAAGGCCCCCAGACTCAGGGCTGCTGGCAGGCAAATCTATTTGGGGAAAGGGAGGGGAGGAGCTCCCAGGCCGCTTTGCACCCCAAAAAGGCTCATCAGACAAAGCTTCCAGGAGAGTCTGCCCAGAATTCCTTTCCACCTTGTTCTCCCTCCAAGGTGCCTCTTCTCCTGACACACACACTTCCCCCACCCAAGGCCAATCTCAAAGTCAGGCCCCCACCCAGAGGCACAGCCGCTTGAAAGCCAAACAAGGCCTCCTGTGTTGGTCTCAGCCTCTCAAACTGCTCGCCCTGCTCTTCGCTTCCAGCTTCGGGACCAACTCTGACAGAGGCCAAAGAGGAGTCAGGCCAGGCTAGCGATGACCAGTCTTTCTGGAGATGCCCCTGGTCACATTTTAGCGTAAAAGGCATGGCCATTTTGAACTGCTCCCGGGGAGGGGAGCCTTTTCCATCAAAGGCTCCAGACCACAAGAGAGCCAGGATAGCCCCAGGAATGCCCTGTGCAAAGCAGGCATGTCAGCTGCCCCCAAGACCAGCAGTCAGTCAGCCTTGGCTGGTCAAACCAGTCACCATCCTGCCACTCTCAGCCTCAGCCAGCCGGCACAAAAAGGTGAACTATGTGCTCAACCTCCTCCCAAGCCCCCCCCCCCCATTCAGCCTGTGGGTGAGCAACAAGTCCCTTCCAAGCAAGGAACATCTTCTGGCACCCAGGTGCCTGGGGAGAGGACCCTTTCCTGGAACATGAGCCAAGGAAGCAGGAGGCAGCCGTAGCTTTCAAGCCTTTCAATTCCTGAAAGGGCATGGAAGCTGAGTGTGGAACCACATCCTGAAACTGCAAAGCACCTTTGCACCCACATGTCAGGGCTCCCAAAGCTTCTAGATGCAGCTGGTGCCATTTCTACCAATGCCTACTAAAGCCATCACCCAAACAGGAGTTTCCGGAATGTTCCAGCATTGCTCTGGTTAGGGAAAGGACAGCTCATACAGGCAACCTATGGAAATAGGATAAAGTCCCTCAAGACAACAGTGCCATGTTCCTTGAAGAGAGAAGTACTGGGTGGGTGGCTGGAATTAAATGCACACACACTGAGCACCACCTGGCCATACCCAGCTTCAGGGGAAGAGAGAAAAGAGCTTTGTGTAAGGTAAAGATAAAGGACCCCTGGACGGTTAAGTCTAGCCAAAGGCGACCATGGAGTGCGGCACTCGTCTCTGCTTTCAGGCCGAGGGAGCTGGCCTTTGTCCACAGACAGCTTTCCGGGTCTTGTGGCCAGCAGGACCAAACCGCTTCTGGTGCAATGGGACACCGTGATGGAAACCAGAGCACACAGAAACGCCGTTTACCTTCCCACTACAGCCGCACCTATTTATTTATTTACTTGCATGGTGTGCCTTTGAACCACTAGGTTGGCAGGAGCTGGGACAAAGAGACAGGAGCTCACCCTGTCGCACGGATTCCAACCCCAAGAGGCTCAGTGGTTTAGACCACAGCTGTGTACAAGGCTGTCTTAGAACATTGCTCAGGAAGTTGAGGGACTGCAGAATATAGCATCAGAATTGTTAAACGGGATGATGGATGGAGAATATCACCAGGAGCTACATGCGTACAAATCCTGGGTCTAATCTGAGCACATTTGAAGGTGTTGCTTTTAGCTTATAAATGTTCTAAACAGTTTTGAACCATGACACCTACAGCAGGGCTGGGGAACCCGTGGCCTTCCAGGTGTTGTGGGATGGATGGCAGGAGGTGAGAGTTCCACAGTACCTGGAGAGCAACTCCCCGTCCCCTAACCTGGCTGGCTGGTGCTAAGGGGAGTTGTAGCCCCTAATCTTTCCTACATAAACCTGCCTGACCAGTAAGCTGAGCCTCAGAGCCACCACTTCTCTCGGAATTCTTTTCCCCAGAAAGGATTGTCTGCGGTAGTCTTTATTCTCGCTTTGGCGCCAGGTGAAAACTTGGATTGGCCCAGACCTTGAAATTCTGTTTATTTTAAGCTCTAACTTGAGTTTCAGCTGGCCAGATCTGCAGCTGCTAATTTTTATTGAACTCTTTTATTCATAAGCAACTCTGATCTAGATCTGCACATAATGCTGAGATCAGAATTCAGTTTCTAATACCAAATACTGAATGCTTCCTTATGCGCTTACATTCATAATCTTACGTAAGATTTACTTGTCGTGTCAGATGCCCATCTCTACTGTAGTTATATCCCACCTGGGGGGAAAGCCCACAGCCACCTTGAAAGAAAGCAGGAGAATGCTGAACTGGGTATAAAATAAAGGATGATGCATCAATAGAGAACAGAGGCTGAAATAGAAGACACTCATCTCTAGAGACCCTTCGTCTGCAAACAGCCTGACACGCCCTCCCCAAGAAGCAGCACAAACATGAAGCAGGCAAGGAACATTTGACAAAATACTCTTATAAAATTCCAATATTTTGTCGCTTGCTGAAAGTATTGATTTGGTAGTTATAATTTTTATGGTGTTTTAATTATTTCATCCTACACTGCTATGATATGATTATGAACTGGTTTATAAATATTCTTACAAATCAACCAATATAATCAGAGTTGGAATGGACCCTGAAGGCCATCTTGCGCCACCCCCTGCTCACTGCATCCCTGATGGATGGTGGTCCAGATGCCTCCAGCCCCCCCCCCCCCCGGCACCTCTGTTCCACTGCCAAGCAGCTCCTCCACTTGGGAACTTTTCTACTAATGTTGAACTGAAATCTGTTTCCCTCCTGCAATTCCCATGCATTGCTTCTTGTCCTGCCCTCCAGAGCAACAGAGCAGGCTTCTGATGCAGCTCTTTCCACTAGTCACCAACTACATTCTACCTCCGCCCCTCAGGTCCTGCTTGTGGGCTTCCCACTGGGGCATCTGGTTGGCCCTTGGGGGGACAGGATGCTGGACTGGATGAGCCGTTGGTTTGTTCCAGTTCCTTTGATGACGATCAGTTAAGACACCTAGATCCTCTCTATGTTCAACAGTAAATTTCATAAATCACTCAGAAGCCATCCAGGCATTAAATGTTATATAAATCAACAATAATATCATCCTTTCTTTGTGCTACAAACACAGATGCCTGACTTAGAGAATCAAAGAGCAGAGTCCTACCTTGCAAGAAACTGCTCTGCACCCCTGCAAGTCCACAACTACTGAAAACTTGGGAAGCAAGGAGGCCCATAGAATTGTGGAGTTGGAAGGGACCCTGAGGGTCATCTAGTCCAACCCCCTACAACGCAGGAATCTCAACTAAAACACCCCTGACAGGTGGCCATCCGAGCTCTGCTTAAAAACCTCCCAGGAAGGCGAGTCCACCGCCTCTCTCTCTCCCAAAGAGGGAAGGGTCCACTGCACTGTCCAACAGCAGCACCCAGGGAAAAGCCGCGGCTGAGCAGCAACGTGATGCTGGGCAAGGAGCAGCTCTCAAGCTCAGCTCCCGCATCTCCACGGAGGCCGGGAAAGATCCCTGTCCTTGACGCTTCCGGGAGCCCAACTGGACAGCAGCCCTGGCAGGCCCGACGGCTGGGCCTCCCGGCTTCCCGTTTCTGCGGCGCCCTGAAGCCGACGGGGCCACCGCAGCAGCCTCGGTGGGCTGCCCAGGGGCCGCTTCTTCCTCCCGGGCCTTTCCGGGGCCCTCCCCGCTCCCGGGGAGAAGATCCGCGCCGCTCTCACCTCCTCGCGGCGCTTCTGCCACCTCCCGCACGGCGACTCCTCCAGGATCTCCGACTCGTCCTCGCTCTCCTCCTCCTCCTCCTCCTCCTGCGCCGCCGCCGCCGAGGCCGCCAGCGGAGGGGACAGCGAGGTCATCCCGGGCCCCGCCGCCTCGGCCTTCGGGTCGGAGCCGCCGCCGCCTCCTGCTCCTCCGCTGTTGGGTCCTGCCTGCTTGGCTTCGCCTTCGGACATCGCCGGGAACCGAGAGGCGCGACCTGCACCGGAGGGGGCGGGAGGGAAATGAGGCGCCGCTCGGGAGCCGGAGGGGCGGGGCCAGGCCGGGGCGGGGCGGGGCCTCGGCAACCGGGAGGGGCGGAGTGGGGCGGGCCCCCCCCCCCGGGCCTGACGGCGGCGACCCCGCCCCCTCCGCCCCTCCGCGGCCCACTCACCGGGCGCGGGCCGGTCTCCAGCTCGCGAGGGCCAACGGGCAGCAGACGGAGCCGCGCGCCGCCTCACGCGCTGCGGAGGGAGCGACGCCAGCCGAGGCGGGCCGGGACCCGACGTCGACCAATGAACGGGCGGGCCGAACCGCGGAGCGCCTTCGGATTGGCCGCCTCTCGGCTTGCGACCTGTCCGTCTGACGGGACGTCGACGCCGACGGGGAGGGCGGGTCCTCGGCGGGCCGCGGAGCGGAGTGCGCGTGCGCTCGCAGGAGAGGGCGGGGCAGGGAGCTCGCCGGCCGAGCGGCGGCGCGCGTGCGCAGTGCGGACTCCCCGGGAAGAGCGTCCGGCCCGTCCCTTCCACGGGAGGCGCCCGCGGGCCGCTCAGGGCGGGGCGGGGTGAGGCCTCTCACCTGTCCATCCCTCTGCGGAAACGGGCTTGGAGGGCTCCTGTTAAGCTGGAGCGGCGCAGGAAAGGCTTTCCTAGGCGAGGATCCCGCGACTCAAGCAAATAATAATAATAATAATAATAATAATAATAATATAAAAAAGTTATATATTGCCCTATACCCACGGGTCTCAGGGTGCTTTATCTATTTTTAGGATCTGTGGGATTAGCAGAAACGACTCAGCCAGGCTATTGGGAAAGGTTTCATCAAGAACATCTTGCTCTCCATACTATTTCAGCTCAGGTTTTACTGGTAAAAGTGATATTTCTTCAATAAATTGATGGATCCCTTGATAAAACGGAGCTAAGTGAAAGCATCTGCTATAAATAGGCACATCTGGCTACTTTGTTACCATTTTAACTGAGATGTTGCCATGGTCATTTGCAGAAGGGCTCCTACTACGTTACTATCCCTGTGCATTGATAGTGATATGTCATTATATTTCCATAAGAGTTGGAATCAAATGAAAAATCCATGGCAGATGACCACCCAACCTCTACTTAAAAACCTCCAAGCAAGGAGAATCAGCCACCCTCAGAGGCAGATTTGAAGATTACTGACATAACCTCTCAATCTTCTCCAAGCTCACAAATCAATTGTTTCTTTACCTGTTCTAGGACCCTTCCTGGTATCAAGCTGACTGGTCGGTAGTTGCCTGGATCTTCTCCCCCTTTTTGAAGACGGGGAGAACATTTGCCCACCTCCAGGGACCTCACCTGTTCTCCAAGGTTCTAAGGCAGATGCTCTGAGATTACACCTGCAAGTTTCTTCAGCACCCTTGGATGCTGCTCACCAGGCCCTGGAGGTTGGAATTCATTTGAAGTCTCCAGATGTTCCCTTTCCCCCTCTTTTCCTATCTTGCGCTGCAGCTCCCTCTTTGCATCGTTTACAGTGGTACCTCAGGTTACAGACACTTCAGGTTACAGACTCCTCTAACCTGGAAATACCACTTTGGTTTAAGAACTTGGCTTCAGGATGAGAACAGAAATCGCGCGGCAGCAGCGGGAGGCCCCATTAGCTAAAGTGGTACCTCAGGTTAAGAACAGTTTCAGGTTGAGAACGGACCTCCAGAACGAATTAAATTATTAACCCGAGGTACCACTGTATTCTGGGACGCAGGTGGCGCTGTGGGTAAAACCTCAGCGCCTAGGACTCGCCGATCGTCAGGTCGGCAGTTCGAATCCCCACAGTGGGGTACGCTCCCGTTGCTTGGTCCCAGCGCCTGCCAACCTAGCAGTTCGAAAGCACCACTTACTAGCAGGAAGGTAAACGGCCTTTTGAACGGCAGTTCGAAAGCACCACTTACTAGCAGGAAGGTAAACGGCGTTTCCGTGTGCTGCGCTGGCTCGCCAGATGCAGCTTGTCACGCTGGCCACGTGACCCGGAAGTGTCTCCGGACAGCGCTGGCCCCCGGCCTCTTAAGTGAGATGGGCGCACAACCCTAGAGTTGGACACGACTGGCCCGTACGGGCAGGGGTACCTTTACCTTTACCTTTTTACCACTGTATTATGTTATCACCAGGTTGGGCATCAGTTTTCTTTTGGGTGAAGACAGAGGTGCTGAGCAGTTCCGCCTTCCCTTGATCACCCAAAAACCTTTATCCTCTTTTAATAAAAAGGTGGACACTGGGTGATAGAAGCTAGCTGGCCCCTGTCATCCTGGGCAGAACTGTTGGTGCTGTGCATTTCTTCCTTAAATCAGGTAGAAGGGAAGGAAATTCAGTGGTTATTTAATTTAAGTTACTAGGGAGTAGACCTTATGCAAATCCAGAGTGGAGTCGCTAAGACGGTTGAATAGCATCTTGTATGCCTCTTTCCTGCAACTCCTGCAGCCAAGCTGGTGTCAGACAAATGCAGGAGAGAACCTGTTTCAGACCAGAAACTGCATTCTGTCATTGACAGCCGGGGGGGGGGGCACATGCCTGCCTGGGTGGGGCTAAAGGCCAAGGTGGGGAGGGCAATGGATGTGGCTTTTGTACACCTGGCTGCCTTTCAGCCTTTCAAGTCAGAGGATTCTGCAGACATCCTTCTCTAGCCAGCAAGCAAGAGACATTATTCAAGGGTGATGTCGGTTCTCTCACTGGTCCCTGCAATGTCCCAGAGGCCCCACTGGCCTCTGCTGGAAGTTAGGCATTTGGGGTCCTCCCTCCCTGCAATGCAAAGGAATCCTCCCTCTTTTTTATATAGACAGTCTTAGCCAATCATACAATTATCTGCATTACAAAAGGCTAAATTAATTGTAAATAATGTGGTGACGGAAGAATTTAAGATAGAAAAAGGGACACGACAGGGGTGCCCAATCTCCCCACTGCTTTTTATATCGGTCCTGGAGGTTCTGCTGAATATGATTAGAAGGGACCGGTTGGTTAAAGCCATACAGGTCGGAGCCAAACAGTACAAACTGAGAGCATTTGCAGATGACTTAGTATTGACGTTACAGGAGCCAGAATCTAGTACTAAAAGGGTTTTAGAACTAATTCAAGAATTTGGTCAAGTGGCAGGATTTAAATTGAACAAGTTAAAAACTAAGTTTTTAGAGAAAACTTTAACACCGATTGAAAGAGAGAGGTTTCAGAATGAGACAGGTTTGACTGTGGTTAAGAAAGTGAAATACCTGGGGATTAATATGACAGCCAAAAATGGGAACTTATTTAAAGATAATTATGAAAAATGTTGGACGGAAGTGAAAAAAGATTTAGAAACTTGGTCAAATTTGAAGCTTTCACTGTTGGGTCGTATTGCTGTGATAAAATGAATGTATTGCCTAGAATGCTGTTTTTGTTTCAAACATTGCAAATTGTGGACAAGATGGATTGTTTCAAGAAGTGGCAGAGAGATATTTCTAGATTTGTCTGGCAGGGCAAGAAGCCTAGAATAAAATTTAAGATATTAACTGATGCAAAGGAAAGGGGTGGATTTGCCCTGCCAGACTTTAAACTTTACTATGAATCAGCAGCTTTTTGCTGGCTGAAAGAATGGCTACTTCTTGAAAACACAGACATTTTGGACCTGGAAGGTTTTAACAATGTATTTGGATGGCATGCATATCTGTGGTATGACAAGGTCAAAGCGCATAAAGCATTTAAAAACCATATTGTCAGGAAAGCATTGTTTAATGTTTGGATAAGATACAAGGATTTATTGGAAAACAAAACCCCAAGGTGGCTGTCACCGATGGAAGCGAAAGCTCTGAAAAGGCTCAATATGGAGGCCAATTGGCCGAAATATTGGGAAATTTTGGAACAAGATGGAGATAGATTGAAACTGCAGAGTTTTGAGAAACTAAAAAATAAAGTGAGAGACTGGCTTCATTATTATCAGATAATGGAGGCATATAATTTGGACAAGAAAATTGGCTTCCAGGTGGAAAAATCAAAATTAGAAACAGAACTGTTAGAACCCAAAACTAAGATTTTGTCAAAGATGTATAACTTGCTGTTGAAATGGAATACTCAGGATGAAACGGTGAAATCTGTTATGATTAAATGGGCACAAGATTTTGGACATAACATTATGTTTGCTGACTGGGAACAGTTGTGGACCACAGGTATGAAGTTTACGGCATGTAATGCTTTAAGAGAGAATATTATGAAAATGATATACAGGTGGTACATGACCCCAGTCAAGCTTGCAAAAATTTATCACTTGCCCGATAACAAATGTTGGAAATGTAAAGAAACTGAAGGTACATTCTTTCACCTTTGGTGGACGTGCCCAAGGATTAAGGCTTTCTGGGAAATGATATATAATGAACTGAAAAAGGTATTTAAATATACCTTCTTGAAGAAACCAGAGGCCTTTCTCCTGGGCATAGTCGGCCAATTGGTGCCAAAGAAGGATAGAACCTTTTTTTATGTATGCCACAACAGCAGCAAGAATACTCATTGCAAAGTATTGGAAGACACAAGATCTACCCACTTTGGAAGAATGGCAGATGAAGCTGATGGACTATATGGAACTGGCAGAAATGACTGGCAGAATCCGAGACCAGGGAGAAGAGTCGGTGGAAGAAGAGTGGAAGAAATTCAAAGATTATCTACAGAAATATTGTAAAATTAATGAATGTTAGAATGATGTTGGATAGAAATTAAGTGGTTTCCAGCTGTAATGCTTTAAGGGAATATGAAAAAAGGGTTATAAATAGGTAAAAATCTAATGCTATTATTTTTAAGATCAAGGATTAGGATAATTAAAGAGGGTAAGGATTTGCTGAACCAACAGATTGAAGTGGAATACAAAAAAGGGAGGTATGAGGAGGTCCGGGAAACAAGCTAAAGGAAAATAAGTAATGGAAAATCTGGGTGTTTTTAACCATTTTTATTTTGTATTTTTGTTATTTTTTTCACTTTTATTGTAATATTTTAAAAAATCTTAATAAATATCTTATAAAAAAAAATACAATTATCTGCATCGTTCTTTGTATCATTTTATTTTATGTTCCATGTTCTAACATCACAATAATAATAACAGTAGTAAAGTGCCCTGATGTTTTATGATCTAGCAGTTCAGAAATACTTTTATAAATGAACAAGAATTGCAGCTCAAGGACCCATTCCAGCCAGGGGGAAGCAGGGGCGGTGGGAGCAGAGCTGGCCAGTGCGGAGAGAGGGATGAGCAGCAGCCAGTCTGGCACAGGAAGAGGCCTGGGGGCCATATTTGCTCCCCAGCCCGGCCCGAAGACACCCCCGCTCTGCTCTAAGGCACAGCAGACCCAAGAGGTCAGCAGCAGCGGCCTCTGTGGCAGAGTCGGCCTTTGAAGCGACGCCGGCCGCTTCCAGCCACCGCCTGGTTGCAGCTCTGCGGCGCCACAGCGGCTTGCCTTGCAAGCAGAAGAGCAGCTGGTGGCCTCCCTCGCGATGTGCAGCGGCCGCCTCTCGGCGCCGGGGGTCGGGTCTGTTCTTGAGGAGGTCGCTGCTTCTCAGGTGCTTCCTCGTCGACCCACTTTTCCGTTCCCGCTGCAGCTGATAAAAATGTGGCCGGTGGGATGAACCAGGAAGCCAAAACACTGGGAGGAAAGGAAGGCTTTTTCCGTGCCACCTGCCGCTTCCCGGGCAGGACAGGTATGCGGGACCTTTGGCCCTCCAGGTGTCGCTGAACCACAACTCCCATCAGGCCCAGCAAGCTGGCTCCGTGGCCGGGATGGCAGGAGCTGAGCCGCACCTGGCGGGCCAAAGGTCCCGCGCACCTGCGGGAGGAGCCGGAAGCGCAGCGCGGCGGGGCCAGCCGGGTCTCTCCGGGGCCGAGCGAGAAGCGGGATGGGTGAGCGCTTGGCCTCGCAGTCCCCTCTTTCCCCCACCCGCGGCCGCCCCTCTTTGCTCCCCGCCGGCAAGCAAAAGCGAATACACTCCAAGTCCCCCTCCCCGAAAAGAGGAGTTTCAGCTCCGAGGTGGCTGCAGCATCGCCCCATATCCGCCGCAGGGGCCCCTTGAGGAAGCCGTGCGCCTTTGCGCGTGGTGGCCGGGGCGCGGGGATCCCGAGCTGCGCCCCCCTCCTCCTCCTCCTCACGTCTCTTTCTACCCCCCATCCCCTCCGCAGATGCGGGACCCCGCGCGCGGCGCCTGGTGCGCAGCGGCATCTCGCTGGTGGTGCTGGGCCACCTGAACCTGGTGCTGGGCGCCATCGTGCACGGCTCCGTCCTGCGCCACGTGGCGCGCCCCGCGCGCACCATCACCTCCGAGTACGCGGTGGCCAACGTGATCGCGGTGGTCTCGGGGCTGCTGGTGAGTGAGGGGCGGCGGGGCGGGCGGGGGCGCAGGCGAGCTCCTTTGGGGCAGGAGCAGCCGAGAGCCACCGCGCGTTCCCCGTGTCTCCCGCAGAGCATCGCCGCCGGCGTCGTGGCCATCCTGGTGTCGCGGAGCCGCTCCTCGCCTTGGCTGGTGAGTGCGCCCTGCGAGGAGGAGGAGGAGAAGGGGCCAGGCGCCGCCTGGCTCCTTTCCCGGGGTGGGCGGGAGAAAGGGCGCCCTGGGCGGGGGGCCCCAGGCTGGGCCCGGGGCCCCCAGGGCTCGCTCACCCGTTGCCTCCCTCCGCCTCCCTTCTCAGCGCTGGGTGCTGCTGGCCACGGCCCTGGTCAACGCGCTGGTGTCGGGCGCCTGCTGCGCGGGGCTGCTGCTCGCCGTCTCGCTCACCGTGGCCAACGGAGGCCGCTTCCTGCTCGCCGGCTGCAACCGCTCGGCTCTGGCGACCGACGCCCGCACCGTGAGGACCGACGAGTGTCCCTTCGACACCACCCGCATCTTTGTGAGTTACTGGTACTATCTTGGTATTTATTTGCATCCCGTAGTTTCCCCTAACAGAGATTCAAGATGGCTTATAGCTAAAAACACCGGGAGGGGGGGACGGTAATTAAAAAGCAATTAACAGCAATTGGCATTAATAGAATAGAGATATCAAAACTTGTAAAAAGTATTAAGAAAATTTCAGTTGTACAAAATAAAGTGAAAAAGGAGAAAAATAAAAAGTGCAAAGAAAAATATAAAAGGAATATATGTGCATGTTACACTTCCATGTATTATCTATATAATGTACTGTTATTGCCCTAATACATATATGATTGTGGATAACCTGCTATATTATGTATAAATTTATTCTAAATGTCAATATCCAAAGTCTGCATCTCTCCACAATCTGTTCATCTTTTGCAAGGACTGTCATGTCTTCATTCCTTGAATTAAAGAGGACCAGATCTTTATTCTTCATGTTCATCCATACCAGTCTTTTGGTCATAGGGTTTTAATTGCTTTTTTGTCAACTTCCATACAGCAGGTATATAATGCAAAAGAATATATACTTCTGAAAATTTCATTTTTTTCCTGCACAGTCATATTGATACAGTCCAGCACTTTCTCCCAAAACTTAGGGAGTAAGAACAAATGTTTCAAAGAAGCGCTGTCTTTATACATCTTCAACAAAAAGCTGCATTAGACAGTCCTTTTGTATACAAATTGTATGGAGTTCAATATTATTTTCTGTTGTATAAGTCGTAATTCAAGATCCATCGATATCTTTGCTACAGAAACTGAAACACTTTCCCACTATCAAAAAGTATAGGAGCATCCAATTCTTTCTTCCAATCGTTTCTTAAAGTCTGCATCTCGAACTAGTAAATAACAAATATCTATAGAAAGTAATTGTGTTTTCAGTTTCAAAAGCTTTGACCAGTTCTTCTGAGGAGATCTTGGCTGCTCCCCAGCTGACCTTCTCTGCCTGCCTCTTCCCTCCCTAGGACACGGCCCTGGCCCTCTGGCTCCCTTCCTTGGTGATGGCAGCGGTGGAGGCTGGCTTGTCCGCCTGGTGCTGTGCAGCGTCTTTCTCTCTCTGCGGCCAGGGCCCCTCCTCCTACAAAGTGGCACTGGTAAGAGGGCACCTTTCTCCCTCCCCCCACATCCTCCCCACCCCGGCACTTGCAGAGCGACCCCTGGGGGCCACCCAGTGCGGCCCTCTTGCTCCCTGCTTTGCCCCAGGCCCCTGGGCAGTTGAAAAGCTTCTCTTTGGGCTCCTTTTCCAGCTTCAGGAGGCTGCCCCAGGAAAGGAGGTGGCAGAGGAAAGCTCCGGAAGAGACCCTCATCACCAGCTCCTGGTTGACGTGCAAGAAGAGGAGTGCAGCCTTTAGTGGGGTGGGGAGAAAGAGCCTGGCCCACTTTTGCTGCAAGAGGCCCATGACAACGGGCTGTGCTGTGCTGGCCAGACACAGAATGAGAGAGTTGGAAGGGACCCCGAGGGTTGTCTAGTCCAACACTGCAGGAATCTCAGCTGAAGAATTCCTGACGGATGGCTATCCAACCTCTGCTTAAAACTTCCAAGGAAGGAGAGTCCACCACCTTCAAATGTAGCCCATTCTCCACTGTCAAACAGCTCTTACCATCAAAACGTTCTTCCTGATATTTAGTCATTATCTCCTTTCTTGTAACTGGAAGCCATGGGTTCAGGTCCTACTCTCCGGAGCAGGAGAAAAGCCGCTTGCTCCATCCTCTGTGTGACAGCCGTTCAGATATCTGAAGATGGCTCTCATATCTCCTCTGTCTCCTCTTTCAGGCTAAACATCCCCAGTTCCTTCCACCATTCCTCATAAGGGTTGGTTTCTTGATCATCTTGGTCACCATCCTCTGCACACAATCCAGCTTGTCAATATCCTTAATTTGCGGTGCCCAGAACTGGACACAAGACTCCAGGTGGGGTCTGACCAAGGCAGAGGAGAATGCTACTTTACTAGCCAGGCAAGAATCTTCTCCTGGCTCAACTGGCACCCCTTTGCAAGGGGGGGGGGGAGAGATGCTTCTTCCATACTAATTCCCTGCTCCCCATATTGCAATACTTCCTGTGGCTGGGGCTCCTCAGTGCAGCTGCGTGCTCCTTGGGAGTAGCTGCAGAGCGACTCTGTGACCCAGCCCGGCGCTGTGAAGAGCAGCACTTGCACCTACTTTGCCATCAAAACTGCCCCCCAATGCCCAGATGGAGAAGGGGCATGTTGCAGCCGTCACTCCAAGGAGAGCAGCACAGAGATGGGCGTCGGACTAGAGAGAATTGGTTTGTGTCCCTTTGCTCTGGGGCTGGCCGGCGGCCTCAAACCCCATTGCCCAGCAGAATGTGGCTTCCCACACACCAGGAGGCCCTTTGACCAGAGCTGGGCCCCTCCGGCCCCCACCCAGCCAGTTGTACTGGACTTTGAGAACTCAGAATCCAAGTGCTGTGGCAGAATTAAACTGTACAGACTTAGAGTGGACAGTCCTTTCCTTCACATGACCCCCCCCCCCCTGTCTCTGCTGCTCCCACTGGGACCCAAACACCCTCGCTTGGGGCTCTGGCAGTGCCATATGCTCCCCGGCTGCTCACCCTCCCAGGCCCCCAGAGGGCCCCTATCTGTACCTGGAGCACCCACATGAGAGTCGCCACCTTCCTTTTAGGGCTGCTCAGCTCTGAGCGCTGCTTGCGCCACCAGAGGCAGCTCACATGGCCACCCCCTTCCAACCTTGCCGGGGTGGGGGAGTGTCACATGTCAGCCATGGATGGGGCACCAAAAGCATGATTCTCCAGACCAGCTGCTGGGAAGTGCCAGTGGGCAGAAGGCTTGCAGGCTTCCCTTACGGCATCAGGTTGGCCACTGCAACTGGGCCCAGCGCTTCTTATCTGAGAAGAACCCCCCATCTGTGCCCAGAGACAGGGTCACCCTCCTTGTATACCAACACGCACGTCCCTTTGGCGAGGGAGGGAGCGGTTTCAATCCTGAGTGTGGTGCTGGGGTGGACAAAGGGGTTTCAACATCCCTGCCCAGCCCAGCCCCAGGATCAGCAGGCATGTGACTCTCTCCAGGTAACGGACAGAGTGACCCCTCCAACCCTCCGTGTTTTTCCTCTGAGAGTTGCTTCGGCTGCTTCCAGTTCTTCCCTTCAGCTGGTTAGAAAGATGGCAAGAGAGATGTAGAAACGATAACATTTAATTAGAAAGGAGGAAGGCTCCAGGGTCAGGTCCTGGCTGCGTCACTGGAAGGAGAAGTTGGTGCCGGGCAGCCCCCCGCACCACTGGTTGATGAACTTGAGCACGTCCTGGCAGGAGGGGTTGTGGGACATCTGCAGGAGAGGGCGGGAAAGTCAGGGCAGGGTGGGGACCAGGCCAGACTCTGGATCCCCCCCCCACCACACCACTCTCCCTCTCACCTTGACCGCCATCAAGAACTTGTTCCAGCTCTCCTTGTTGGCCTCTTTGCCAGGGCGCTTGAATTCCACCTTGTTCCGCAGCACAGGGTAGCCTGGCAAGGGGCACGGAGATGAGACCAGTTGGAGGCGCCATGACAGGGCACAGCTCTTTGCCAACAAAGGCAGCTCCCTTGGGAGCTCCGCTGGGGCAGGGACAGCTGCTGCCCCTGGGCTCTGCGCATGGAGATGGTGTGGACCCCCTCTCTGGCTCAGGCTGGGAGGCCTCCCCAAGAGACTCGCAGAAGACCAGCAACCTAATCTGCGGGTTGCCATCTGATTGGATTTTATTCTGATCCTGATCTGATTTGAGGATGTATTTTAATTGATTGTCTGATTTTATGTTAATGTGTTTTACATTTGATGTTAGCCGCTCTGAGCCCGGCTTCGGCTGGGGAGGGCGGGATATAAATAAAATTTATTATTACTATTATTATTAACCCTTGACTGAGGCTCAAGGAAACACACTTGCAAGCAGCTAATCTCTCAGTGCATTGAAGGCAGGCAGAGATGATTTGGGTATAAAATAATGCATGGCATGGGGGACAGAGGAAAGTTTTTCTCCCTCTCTCACAACACCAGAAATTGTGGATGCCCAGTGAAGCTGAATATTGTTCGTTTCAGGACGGGGAGCATAGTTAAAGTGTGGAACTCCCTCCTGCAGGAGGCAGCCGCAGCCCCTAAGCTGAACGGCTCTGAAAGAGGACGGGGCAAATCCATGGAGGAGAAAAAGGCTCTCCCAGGCCCCCAGCCGCAATGGCTCTGCTCTGCCTCCACAGCTGGAGACAGGGATGCTTCTGAATCCCAGTTTCTGCAAACTGCAGGAGGGGAGAGTGTTGCTCTGGTGCTTGAATCTGTTTGGCTCCTGTGAGAAGAGGATGCTGGACTAAGTGGGTCCTTGGGCCTGATTCAGCAGGCTCCTCTTATGTTCTTACAGGATGGGGCACAGCAGTGGCCCCCCAGCCAGCCAGCCAGCCAGCCAGCCCCCTGGGACGCACGGAGCAGGGGCAGGGCTGGGTGGCCCCAGGGTCCCCTGCGAGGGTCCTGTTCCCCCTCACCTGTGATCAGGCAGGGCAGGGAGCGCACGCCGGTGCTGGCTGCCACCAGAGAGGCCTCGTAGGTGTCGCGCTCGTCGCGGGGCAGGACCTGCTCCAGCCGCTGGTCCATGGACACAGTCAGGACCCAGTCGCGGGTCTCCTCACGCTGCTCCTCCTGCCATGGGGGGGAGAGTGTAGGGGCCTCTCAGATGCAGGCAGGCCGCAGGGCAAGGGCCGGGTGGGGTGCAGGGCTGCCTTCCCCTCTGTGTCCCCCCCAGGGAGCACCTTCCCTCCCCCTCCCTCCCTCCGGCTGTCGCTGGGCACCCACCGAGACGTGCTGCTTGGCAGGCAGTGGCACCTCAAAGGGGATGTCCGTGTTCTGGAAGTCGGAGTGGTCCAGGGCGTCCAGAGAGCCCTCCTCAATCGCCTGGGAAGCAGACACAGGAAGGCCTTTTTCTTACCAAGGCCATCCTCCCCCAAGCCCCCTTCCCAGCCGCCTCCAAAGGAAACACTCACGTCCGTCAGGTCCAGAAAGTGATTCAGGAAGATGAAGGCCATGTTCTCCCACCCAACGCCCTGCAGGGACACAGGGGCGGTGTGAGAGGCTGCTCTGGCTGCCCCTCCTGCCCCTGATGCTGCCAGCTGAGGGATGCCAGCCTGGAGGGCAGGGAGGGCGGAGGGATATTGGGGGCAGCCCAAAGCACTCTTGCCCGCTGGTTGTGCTGGAGGTCCCAGGCTCCACCCCATTCCTTGCCTGGCAGCCGCATCAGAGGCTCCTGGGCCAGGCAGACTAAGGTGGGGGAAGGAGCCACCTCAGAACAGCAGTGCTTGGGCAGCTGCCCAAACCCCGAGATGGAGCAGGGGCTAAGAATGGGGGCAGGCGGGGGTCCTCATCCCGTCACAGCACAGAAATTCTTTCCACCTGCTGGGGGGGAATAGGTGAGGGTGGAGGAGTTGCTCCAGGCTCCTTTCCGGCTGGGGTGGTGCCACTGGGCCCTGGAGGCTGCTCTGGAGGGAGGTCCTTGGGCACAGGGGACCAGGAGAGGCTGGCTCCGATGGCTGCTGTGTGGCTCAGAGGGTGGAAGGAAAGGCCAGTGGGAGGCAACAGCCTCTTGGGTCCCCAACTGGGCTCTTGGTGCCCCTCAGGGGAGGATGGGGCTGACTGGCCAAAGCCCCACCCCCAGCCTCTTCCCCCAGCCTGGCTTCAGCTGCCCGCTGGACCCAGGCGCCCCCTGCCCCGCCTCTTGCCTTGGCTGCTGACCCGGCTTCATAGAAGGCCTTGTCTGCGGGGATGAGCTCCGTGTGGCGCAAGAGGGCAATGGAGAGCTTGGCTGCCACAGTGTCCTGGAGGCAAAGGGACAGTCGTCACCCTCCCTCCCCATCGCTCGGATCCCACCCCACTGGCCTCCCACCTTGGAGGAAGGTCCCCCGGACCCAACTGGCTGCCTCTGGCCCTCGGGAGCAAAGGATTCTGGGCCAGGGGAGAGCTGCAGCGCAGGATGTGAACCTCCTTTCATGGGAGGAGAAGCAGCTGACAGTCTGGCTCTTTCCTCTCTTCCTCTGGGGAAGGAGGAAGTGTGGATGGGAGAAAACCAGAGCTGAGGGCAAGACCTTCTCCCCTTCTCCCCGCTCTTTGGGCCTCTGTCGTTCTCTCACCAGCTGCTTGATGCTCTGGGCTGCTGACCGCGTGGCATAGTAGTGCGCCACCACCAGCATGGTCTCAAACTCCTCGTGCGCCGGCGTGTTTGCTTCGCTGGACTTCACAATATTCTCACACTGTGGGGAGAAGGGACCACTGGGCTTGGCACACAAGGCAGGGCAGTCGGGGGACGGGGAGGACCCCTTTGCTGCCTTCAATGGGAGGGCCAAGAAATGCAAGCAGCAACTGCAACTGCTGTATTCACAGAATCATGGAATTGCAGGGTTGGAAGGGACCACAAGGGTCATCTAGTCCAACCCCTGCCGTGCAGGAATCTTTTGCCCAAAGTGGGGGCATTGCAGGGGGTTGGGCTAGATGACCCTCGGGGGTCCCTCTCCAACTCCTTATTTCTATTACTCTGGTACAGGATTTTCTGCCTCAGAGCAGAACGTGTTTGGTGGGAACCTGGATGCTCCCCCCCTACAGAGCGAAGCAAACCCACAGCAGGGGAGGAACCTCCATCTGGCAGGCCTACAGAGGTCCCCATTTGGCCCGGAAGGCGGTTCACCCCAAAGATGCAGTGGAGAACCTTAAACTGGGGGGGGGGGACCCAGAATCTGCCCCCCGGCCCCAGCCAGATCCCAGCCCACCCTGAGGCACTTTTGCAGCCGCTGCCGCCGCTCTCACCAGGTTGAAGAGGACGTCTCGCAGGTCGGCCCAGCTGTGATAGGCCTCTGCGCAGTTCATGCCAGGCACGTTCACCATCTCCACAAAAAGCCGCTTGTAAATGTTGAAGTTCTGAGGGGAAAGGAAGGAGCGAGAGGGGCAGCGGGGGCAGCTCAACTGAGACGGGACCCTGACCTGCTGGAGGGTCTCTGCTCTGGGGGTCGGGTGCACCGCCTGTCCTGGGTGGGGCTGCCCCCTTGCCCGCCCCAGTGCTGCAGGACCCACCTGTCATTTGATCTCTTTCGTTGACCGTGGCAGCCTGGGCTGGCACAGCCAAGCTCCCCTTTGCCCTACCGAGAGGAGAAGCCAGAAGGATGCTGCCAGGCTGCCCCAGGGCCACCAGGCCCCTCTGCCCTGCCCTTGCGTGGGTTGGGCAGGCTTCATTTTGCCTGTGCCCCTTGCGGCTCAACCCTGTCATGGGCACAGGCCCTGGGTGGGGCTGCCCGGCCAGGCTTCCCATAGGCAGAGCCTACCGGAGGTCTCCACTTACCTGGGCATTGGAGGGAGCGCCGTGCTGGACGTAGAGGCTCAGAGCTTTGTCCCAGCAGCCTTCGCGGATGAGGTGGGTGGCATAGAGGGCCACGTACTTGTGTAGCACCTTGTAGTTCTGCAAGGGGGAGAGGGGGACACACGGTGGGCTCCGAGGGGCAGAGGCCAGGCCCCTTCTTTGCTGGTGGGGCCCATGCTCAGCATTTCCCCTTTCCTGGGGGTGGGGAGAAGGGGAAGACTGGCCAACCCCTCCCCGCAAGTGACCCAGGCTCCCAGCTGCTCCGGTGTGGCAAGTCGGAGGCCAGAGGTTGTGCCTCCCGCAGCCCAGCCCCTTGATTGTGGGCCTTTGCCCCACATCCCAGCACCTTGCCTGCCCCACAATAGCGGGTGGAGACACCGGCCAGTATTGCTGGGTGGGAGCTCTTGGCTGCAGGAGCAGCAGAGGCAGGTTTGCTGCTGAAGGCAAGCGCCCCCCCTCCACCCCTCTGGGTCCCTGCCCCATACCTGCTTGGCAGCTGTCTCCAGGCACTTCTCCCACTGCTCCCTCTCCACGTACATGTCGAGGGCAGCCATGACATCAACTCCCACCAACTGCCGGAGGGGAAAGGAGGCGCTGACCAGAGGGGCCAAACCAGCCTGGGCCTTGGTGGGTGGGCAGCCTCCCCAAAGCCAACCCAGAGGCTGCCACCTTTTGTTCTGGCACGAAGACCCCCCGAAAGGCCCTGACCCTGGGCTTGGCTGGTTAACCACGCAGCTCTTCCCATGGCAGGTCTCAAAACCCACCACCGGGGGCATGTGGGGCAGGTTGGGGGTCAGTTCCTTAGGAGGCCCTTGGAGAAAGCTCTCAGCCATTTGCAGCCTGAATGTGTGGGAGGCAGAGCCCCCCAGGGAACAAGAGGGGCTGGCTGTGCGTTTGAAATCACCCCCCCCATCTCACCGAGTCCACCTTGCCCTGGTCCTTGAGATACTCCTTGTAGTGCTGATCCACGTACTCCTCGTACCTGCCGCAGGGGAAAGGGCTGTCACTTGCAGCCGGGCAGAGAAGGGCCCTTGCAGCTACCTGGGGCCCAACCCAGCCTCTGGGCCCCTAGTGAAGGGCTGGGCCCTCTGGAGCAGGCAGGAACCCATCCAGACACCCCCCAGCTCTTAGAAGTAAAGCACGGAGGAGAAGCAAGGGGGTCAGCTGGGCACCCCACCTCATGCGCAGCTCTTCAATGGCTCAGGACTATAAACCCAGACCCTGCGACTGTCCCCCAAGCCCTTCTTCCTCATGAGAGTTCCAGAGGGTGGCAACATGAGAAGGGGCCTTTTCTGTGGTGGCTCCCCAATTGTGGGATGCACTCCCCAGGGAGCCTCACTGGGTACCTTCACTACAGATCTTCAGGAGCCAGGCAAAAGCAATCCTCTTCTCCAAGCCCTTTGGCCTTAAGCTCTCTGTGGGCTCTCGCAGGGTGTTTTTTACATATTATTTCAAAGGGGTGTGTGCGTTGTTTTCATTTAAATGTATTTATGTGGGGTTTTGTTCTCTGCAAGTCACTTTGAGTTGTCTTTGGCAAGAAAAAGCAACCAATTAGTAATAGTACAGTGGTACCTTGGGTTAAGAACTTAATCCGTTCTGAAGGTCCGTTCTTAACCTGAAACTGTTCTTAACCTGAAGCACCACTTTAGCTAATGGGGCCTCCTGCTGCCGCTGTGCCACCGGAGCACAATTTCTGTTCTCATCCTGAAGCAAAGTTCTTAACCTGAGGTACTATTTCTGGGTTAGCGGAGTCTGTAACCTGAAGCGTCTGTAACCTGAAGCATATGTAACCCGAGGTACCACTGTGGTGGTGGTGGTAGTAGTAGTAGTAGTAGTAGTAAATTAAATGCTATACTGCCCTCAGGGTGGTTTACAATAATAAAAACACAAAAATACGTAACATAGTAAACAGTGCAACACCCCCCAGTTCATATGGCGATAGGCGAATATTTCATAAATAATAACAGCAATAGGTCAGACACCCTGAGCTGGAGGACGCTGAGGGCTACCTCAGCGGCCCTGGCTGGCCTAGAGGGAAGGGGGTTTCCTGGGGGATCCCCCCCCCACCTACCTGGGGTCCAGCTCCTTGGCCACCCGCTTGGCTTTGTTCCACTCCTCTCCCTCCATGAAGGCATCTATGGCTTCCTTGATGAGGTCCAGGTTGAGGTAGAGCTCGGCTGCCTGGGAGGGCAGAGGTGGGGGGCTCAGCCGGGGCCAGGAGTCTGGAGGCCCCCCCCATGGTTCATCCCAGGCCAGCCCCCTCCCCCAAGAGATGCCCAGCCCCTGCAAATCCTGGCCCTTCCTTACCACGTTGAACTTCCCAATGCTGACCAGCTGGGGCCCCACCAGCCGCATGACCTCGATGCTCCGCGGCTGGCCAAGGAACTTGATGGACAGCTCAGCCGCCTGCAGGGGGGGAGGCACAATCACAGACCTGTGGGGTTGGGAGGGGCCCCCAGGGTCATCTAGTCCAACCCGCTGCACCACAGGGATCTCAGTGACAGCACCCCGGACAGACAGGCGCCCAATCTCTGCTACAAGTCTCTGGCAAAGGAGAGGACACCGTTTCCCGAGGTGAGTTGGGCACAGCCCTCTGGCTCCAGAGGCCCCCATGGGGCCTGGCAGGGAACGGATCCTGCAGCGAGAGCAACACGCACCTTCATCCAGCACTTCTCCATCAGGGGGTTGTTTCCGGGGTCCCGCACCTTCAGGTAGCAATCCACGGCCCGGGCAAACTCGCCCGCCTGCTCCCACTCTCTCGCCTGCTCCAGGATCCCCTCCACGCCCCTGCCGGCCAACAGCACCCAAATCAATGCCCGAGGACGGGGGAGAGGAGGAGGAGGAGAGCTCGGGGGTCCCTGCAACCTGCCCCCCCCAAAGAGCAGACTTCACTGACTTCAGGAACCTTCGCCCTGGACAGGTTCAAGGGGTTTCGGCACCCTTCTTCATCTTGCCGTCTTGGAGGCTTGACATTTTTGTACGCCGCCTTGAGTCACACAGATGTCTTAGGTGGAAACAAGAACTCCCAGAACTGTCAAGTTGGAAGGGTCCCCCAAGGGTCATCTAGTCCAGCCCCCGGAAACGCAGGGCCTGCAACTAAAGCCTCCCTGGGCAGGCACTCATCACCGGCGTTGGGGGCCACTGCGGTATCCTGAATCAGGCAGCCTCCGTGGTGGAGGAGGGGGCGTGCAGTTGCTGGACCCCAGAGCAGCAACTGGGTGCAGCCTTTAGCTGAGATTCCTGCACCGCCGGGGGCTGGGGGTCCCTTCCAACTATGATTCTAGGCCCCTGGGAACAGCTGGGCAGCCAGGTCACATGCCCCCCTTCCCCGCCCCCCGGCTTTGCTTGCCTGGGCCCCTTCTTGGCCACCTCCTGCTCATACTCCTCCTGCAGCGCCTCCAGGTCTCCCGGCAGGAACTCCTTGCAGACGCGCAGAGCGTCACTCCACATGGCAGCCTCCTGGAGAGAGAGCCAGGGCAGGGTCACAGGATCCCCTCCGGCCTCAGCATCCGGGGAGCAGGGGGACACCACGCCCCACCTCGGAAGGCAGCTGCCCCAGAGCAACGGTGCCCTGCGAGAAAGGACCTCTGCCAGGGCCCAGAGCCTGGCGCATGTGCCCTCCCCGCCCTCCTCGGCCCGCTACCTTGTAGTGCTTCACGGCCAGGTCCAGGCGCTGAGCCCGCAGCAGCAGTGCCTCGGCCTTCTGGAACTCCTTCTGCTTGAAGGCGGCGTCTGCCTGGCCCACGAGCACAAGGACCACGCTGTCCGGGTCGTGCGCCTCGGCCACTCGCTGAGCGGCCGCCCAGTTCTGGGCATGGGCGTACCTGGGGGAGCACACAGGGTCAGGGCGGGAAGGAGAGGCGGCCGGGAGAGGAGCCACAGAGGGCATCCTCCCAGGCAGGCCGAGCCAGGCGTCTTGGGGGACGGGGGCGGCACTCACATCAGAACGGCCTCCTTGGGCTTCCCGGCCTTCACAAACTGGACTTCAGCCTCCTCAAACTTGCCCTACATGCAGGGGGGGGGGGATTAGCCTCTCTCTCTGCCCAAGAGAGCAGCTTCCCCACCCGCCTTCCAGGCAAGGTCTCCTCCTACCTCATCCTCCAGGAAGGAGCCATATTTGAAGTGGATCTCTGGCAGCTTCTGCTTCAGGGAGAGCCTGGCCAGCTCAAAGGCAAAGTCAAACATGCTAAGGAGGAGCAAGGAGAAGATAAGGGGCTGGGCAGTGGAGCCACCACCCACAGGCCCCTGCTGGGAGGCAGCCCCAGGGAGGACAGGGTCATGGGGGCCACTGGTGGGTGTTGGAAGGACCCTGTCCTACCCAGCCACGCCTGCTGCAGCAAAGCTAACTATGAGGGGCATGTGGGCAGAAGACGGCACTGAAGCCCTTCTGCCTTAGAATCACAGGGCAGGGCAGGGACCCCTGAGGGTCATCCAGCCCAACCCCCAATGTGGGACTCACAGCTGAGGCCATTCACTCACTTGTTGTCGGCTGCGTGGTCAATGGCCATTTCCAGGAGCCCAAACTTGTTGAGGAGCTTCACGGCGGCCTCCCCGCCAAGGCTCTTCGCCCACAAGAAGGCCACGTGCTTGTGGGAGTTTGCCCCACCGTGAGCCTTGGCCACCTGTCTCGGACCAGGGCAGAAAGGAGGCCACGGGTCAGCAAGCTTCCTGCCCCCCAACTCACTGCCCAAGGCAGGATGGAAGGCCTCCCACCCGCCTCTCTCTGTGGGGTTTGCAGCCAAATCACAACTGTGTTTTGCTAGACAAGCAGAGGGCGAGAGCACAGAGAGTTCTGAAACTCCCCAGAAAGGACCCTCTGTGTGACCCACTTTCCTTGCCTTCTCTGGGCAGGAATTCTGTAACCAACGAGATAATCCTTTAACTTCCTTCCGCCTCTCAGGAGACTGTCTTTTCACCACACTTCCAAGCTAAGCAAAGGTGCTTTGCTGCAGCTCTTTTTTCTGCATACTGCTTTGCTGCATTTGCTGCCTGCACTGAGTAACTAAACCTTTTTGTTTGTTTGTTTGTTTGTTTGTTTATCTTGCTAAAAACAAATGGCTCATTCTCTGCAACAGGGGTGAAGAGATAGAGGTCAGCAGACCACAAATAAAGGGGATAAAAAGGTGCAATTGGCTAATTCCTAAGCTTTAGCAAACTGCAAAACCTTTAAGTGTTTTACTCTGCTAAAATGCTTCACAGCCCATTGACTTTTTGTATTTCTCACACACACATAGGAAGGTTTAATCTACGAATTAACCCTCAATCCTTCAGTTATGCTGTGAACCACCCTGAGGTCTACAGCCATAGGGCAGTAAACACAATTAATAAATAATAGTAATAAATAAATCCCCCCAGGAGTAAGCCTGTACAGGGCATGGGGGGGGGAGGGACACGGGAACCAACTTTCCTCCAACACCCCCTTTGGACAGGCTAGAGCAGCGCTAGCCAAACTTTTCATGTTGGTGGCACACTTTCTAGACACGCATCATTTTGCAACACAGCAATTCAGTTTTCCTAGCAAACTGGAGGTTAACCTCACCCCTTTCCAGCCCCAGGAGGTGAGCAGGGAGCTTTCGCATGACACATCTACATACCGCTGCCACTGGCGTAGCTCACCCTACTGCCACCTGGGATGGACGGGCACAGGCACGGCTGGGTGAGGGCACCCAGGGGGCGGCACGGAGGGAGCACAGCTGGGGAGAGGGGCAGCAGGAAAGGAATGCTGCCCCCACTGCTGCTTCTCCCTCCATCGCTTCCCCCCCTCGGCAAGCCTGGCCTGGGAGTGCTCAGCCTGGTGGTGCTGAGCCATTGTGCAACACACAGCCCAGCGGGGGGGCGGGGGGGCGGAGATATGCAGCCGCTTCCTCTCCCCTCCGCTGCTTCCAGGCATGACCCAGGAGTGGAACTGCCTAGCTGTCATATGAGGCTGGGAGAGGAGTGCCAGAGCCACCTCCTCCCCAGCCCTCCATCGTGGCCCGGCCCCGGCCTCCGCCCTCTCGCTCTTCTGCCCTCTCGCCCAGCCCAGAGGTGGAACGTGGGGCAAGTACAGGCTGAGAGGAAGAGCCGCTGCCACCACCAGCAGCCCAGAGGGCAGCCGGGCGCCGCTTGGCCTTGCCTCCCTGGAGCTGTGCCACCCTCCCCCCACGTGCTGCCTAGTGCGCCCCCCCCACCCCCGGTTAGCTACGCTGGTGAGTGCAGCAGACCCGCTGACGTGCCGCGACACTCCGTTTGGACCGCTCTGGGTCAGAGCGATGGCTCAGCCCATTGCCCCCGTGGAGCAGTGCATGCTGGGAGCTGCCCTTGCTTACCCGGTAGGCTTCATCCCACATGCTGTTGACGCGGTACATGTTGACGCTCGCCTTCCAGTCCTTGGCCTCCAGGTAGTGATATTCCGCCTCCTGCAGGCGCCCCTCAGCTTCCAGCTCCTGGGGCACAAATAAACCAGTGACGCCCCTTGAGCCTGGCTCCTCCTTGCCCCCCTCGCTGTCTTCTACCTACCTTGCCCAGGTGGAGGTGAGTGTCGCTGAGCAGGTCCTTGTGGTACTTGCCCAGCAAGCGGATCATCTCATCGTACATCTTGCACTTCTTGTACATGGTGATAGCCAGGTCCGGCTCGTCCACCGTGATGAAGAGCCTGGGGAGGGCAGAGCTGGGCACTGAGGGCGAGGAGGAGGAGGAGGAGGGTGTGGGCCCCCCACCCCAGCAAGGAGCCTGCGCAGCACCCACCTCTCGGCCTCCTTGTACTTGCCCTGACGCTCCATCTCCTGGGCCTGCGTGATGTACAGCACAGAGACGTCCTCGGGCCGCATGCACTTGGACGCCAGCTGCAAGGAGAGTCGGGGCTGGGAGCAGGCGCCAGAAGGAAGGAGGGACCCGCAGGAGAGAAGAGCACCCCCAAGAATGCCTGCCACTGGGGCAAACAGGGCCGGCCAGTCCAAATGCCACCCCTTCCTTCTCCTTCTGCTTCCCAGAGACCAGAATAGAGGAAGACCCTGCAAGGTCCCTCAGTGCTTTCGTTGTGATTTCTGCCCTGCAGGGGGCTGGACTAGATGACTCTGGGGGTCCCTTCCAACTCTACCAGTCTATGATTCCAGAGGGCCTCATAGCTGCAGCTCAAGGAACAGCCAAAGGACACTCCTGTGTCTGTGACTCCTGCACTGCCTGCCATGAAGGCCTGGCTGTGGATCTGTGGGTTTTGATGGCCATCTGCAGCCGGAGCCTCCGAGTGGGATGAGTCCCCCGAGCGCAAACCCTCACCTTGTGCGCCTGCTCCCAGCGTCCCGCCTGCGTGTACATGTCAATGGCCTCCTTGCTGTGGTCTCCCTTGACGTACAGATCCTCCGCTATCTGGAGAAGGAGGAGGGAAGGAGGTTCCTGTCAGGCTCCTGCCCACAGGACAACGGCTGGTGCTCGGGGCGCTAGGGAGGAGGCTCTCACCTCATACTCCTGCAGAGCGGCATAATGCTGGGCGACGCGGAGGTAATACTTGCTGGCCGTCTTCTTGTCCTGCGTCTCCAGGATGTAGATGGCCTTCTTCCACTGCCGCGCCCCAATGGCTGCCTCAATGGCCTTGATGGCGCACCTGCACCGTGGAACCGAGGAATTGGAAGGGCCCCCCAGTCCACCCCCCTGCAAGGCAGGAATCACCTGGAAGAGGCCAGGCTTCTCCCCAGGGCCAGGTTCCCGTGGCAGGAGAGAGGAGCCCAAGGGGGAGGCTGCAGGGCGGGCAGGCAGAGGGCCCCCACCCCAGCTGCCTTTGTACCTGGCCTCAATGTAGTGGTTGATGGCAGCATCCAGCTGCTTCTGCTGCACCAGGTGGTCCCCCCAGGCCTCCTCCAGCTTCACCACCTCGGCGGGGAAGACGGAGCGCGCCAACTCCACGGCTGCAGGGGGGGGGAGACGGAGACATGGGCAGGCAGCCTGGGGCCAGGATGGGGCCTGGCCCAGGACTAGCACTCCAGGGAGCAGAGAGGCAGCCAGCCTGGGCAGGAGGGGCCACAGCTGCAAATCACAGGCCAGACCCAGCAGCCTCCACTGCTGTTCCTCCTCGGGATCAAGGGAGGGGGAGCTGTGCCCAAGGACTCTGTTGGCTTCTTTTGCCTCGTTCAGGGGAAAGGGTGTTGGTCAACTTTAAATAAATATATGAAATGCCCGCCCACCCACGGGAGCTGGCCAGGCGAGGCCCCGCAATACCTTTCAGGAAGGAGCTGCCCTTGCGGAAGCACTCCAGGGCCCTCTGGGGGTTCCGGATCTTCTCAAAGAGCTCCCCAGCCTGAGACGGGGGGGGGGAGAGGGAACAACAGGTGGGTCTTTTAGAAAGGTGAGCAAGCGAGGGGCTGGGGTGGTGCACATGCCCTGTGCCCAGGGGCGAGGGTGGGGCCAGCTGGGGCAGGACGCTCTGCGTGGCCTCCGAGGAGTCTGCCTGTCTCCTCCCCTCTGCCGCCTTACAACTGAGGGGGAGGCGGCAGGCAGACCATTGTCACTCCCAGGAGAGACGCGTGGCTCGGGTGCACTGCAGGCCCCGCGGTGAATGCTGCCCGGTATTTTGTCACCCCCCTCAGTGGTGACACCCGGGGCACCCGCCCCCTCCGCCCCTGCCAGAAGGGCTCCGGGGTGGAGCCGGGAGTGAGTCTGCAGGCGCCCGCATCTCCCCTCCATGCAGCTTCTCTCAGCCCTCACCTGCTCAAAGAGGTCCCCTCGAATGAGGGCCGTGGCGATGCGGTTGACCAGGTCGGTGTTGCCCAGCAGCTCCTCCCGGCCCGTGGCCAGACGCGCCGCCTTGGCCGGCAGCCCTGCTTTCAGGTAGAGCCCGATGGCCGCCTGCAGGTCCCCCTGGCCCTCCTGCACCTCCGCCGCCCGCTCCTCCTGCTGGGTCTGGAGCAGCCACTCGTAGTAGCCCTGGCGCAGCTTCTCCAGCGCAGGGTGGCCCTGTGGGCAGAGGGAAGGAGGGTGGCAGCACACAAGGGGCCGGGCTGTGACGGCTCCCCAGTGGCCCCCTCCCCAAACACCTGCCCCCCTACCTTGGCCTCGGCCACCGAGATGCACTCGTCCCACATGTGGAGCTCCTGATACATCTCCATGGCTTCCTCCACAGCGTTCTGGAGAGAGGAGAGGAGACAGCCCAGCGTGAGAGGGGCATGGGGGACTCTGGAGCTGCCCACAACGCCCCCTGCCCACTTCTGGGCTCACCTGCTCCAGGAAGATCATCTCTGCCAGCTTGTAGTTCTTCTCCAGCATGGCCAGGCGGACACGCACCTGGTAATAGTCTGTGCCATCCCCTCCCTAGAAGAAAGCGGGCAGCTCTCAGGACATGGGATGCCAGGGCAGGGGGAGGGGCTCTGCCGTGGGCAAGAAGGGCAGGGCAAGGGGCAGCACAGGTACCTCCTGGCAGGGAAAGGGGCTGTGGGGGCTGCGGGACGGAGGCGAGGCTGGGGAGGAGCAGGTCAGGAGCACAGAGGGGCGCAAAGCGGCAGCACCCCCCACCCCGGGACCCACTCACATATTCCTTGGCCACTTGGTCAGCTATCTCGTTGGTCTCGTGGAGAAAGCGGGCCTTGGAGACGTGGCCCAGAGCAGCAAAACACCTGTGGGGGGGCGGAGAGAGAGGCTGTCATGGGGGTCATGTGACAGTTTGTGCAGCCTGAATCTCATGCAGAAGCAGCAATGGGAAAGGGTGTGGGGCGGGGTCCGCTTGGCCATCCTTGCCCCACACAGAAACACGACTGAGTGGGTGACATGGGAAGAGGTGCAGCTCCCTTTGTAGGTGAGGGTGAGCAGAGTCCCGGGACGCCTGGTTGGCGTGTAGAACTAAGCCAGGCCGTTTTCTGGTGCAAGGGGGCAGAGAGCCGTGAGGAATCCCCCAACCAGCCCCCAGGCTGCTGCCTCACTGCCCTGGGGCTGCCAGCTGCTCTCTGGGGCCAGCCCGCCTCTTCCGCCCTCCCCACGGACCTCTCTGCAATGTGCAGCTGCTTGGCTTCCAGAGCCAGGCGGCTCAGCGTCTTCCACATGGCCTCCGTCTCGGCAGACATCTCCAGCGTCTCCAGGAAGGCAACAGCCCTGGGCGTGGAAGGCAGAAGGGGGTGAGGATCGGGGCCGCTAACAGGGAGGGGGAAGCCCAGCTGGTCGAAGGAACTTCCTTCCCCCCCCCCCCATGAATTCGTTATGAAAGCTTTTTAAAAAGTTCATAAAGCTTTTTTGAATCATGCAGTAAGGGAAGCGGTGTATGAAGTATGGGGGAAATGTAAAATTTTATGAGAACAAAAAACACCCTGGTGGCTCAAACCCACTGGATGGGATATCCTTAAAAAAGCAAATGTGAGAAAAGACTGTGTATCTTATAAAGAATTATTAATAGAAATAGATCATGAGTTGAAATTAAAAAGATTTGAAGATATAAGAGAATAATTAACTGATTGTTTACAATACCATCAACTTAATGATATATTTAAAATGATCCTAAATAAAGGTTTTTTATACTATATGTGATCGTATATTGAGGTAATACTCCACAATCCTTTTTAATAATAATAATTTTATGATTTATACTCTACCAATCTGGCTGGTCTGCACCCCTTCTGTATCTTCCCATATTGCTCCATCTCTGCCAAGGCCTTGCCAGGGACTGTTCCCTGGCCGGTTCCAGGTTCCTGCTGGTGACGGAACCCCCCCCCCCAACTCCTCTCCCAGCCGCCCACCTGTGGTAATCGCCGTCGTCAATGGCGGTGCCAAACTCGATCAGCCCTTCGTCCAGGGTGTAGGACACGGTGTTGACCCCCTCGGTCACGATCACCTCCGTCTTGCCGTTGCCCCTCTCCAGGTCCACGATGTCACCCTGCCGGGAGCCAAGCCCCAGGCTTAAGCCCTGCCTTCGGCCCCCCCCCGGGCCCTCTCAGCCCTTCGGGACAGAAGCCGCCTCACCTTCATGGGGAACATGGTCACTCGCTCGGGGGTGTCGATGTTGTACCACACGCAGAGGCTGTTCCGGTTCTGGGCCACCACGACGTCGCTCCCGGGGACCCACTGCACGTAGGAGCAGTAGCTCAGGATGGTGGTCTTGGTGGCGCTCTCAATGTCGTAGAGATGCAGCTGGGGGGCGGGGGAGAAGAGGCGCAGGATCAGCGGAGGTGGGGAGGGAGGCAAGTCCGCCGGCCTTCGTGCCTTCAGCCCCCCCTCCACCCTTGGCCTCCTGCTCACTTTCATCTTCTTGTCCCGGAAGAGCAACTTGTGCCCGGTCTCATTCAGCTCCAGCCAGTCAATCTTGCTGTCGTGGCTGACGGTGCCAATATTGTAGCTGCCCACGAGGTCCACTGAGAAGAGGCAGAGAAGAGGCAGGTGGCTCAGGAGAGGCGCCTGGGGCAGCCTGAAGCACTGCCAGGGGGATGGGGAGTTTTGGGAAGGGGGTCCCGCTCACCTGTCGCTATTGTTTTGATGTCCACCAAGTAAGCCAGACGCTTGTTTTCCTCCATTCCTTGCTGCCTCCTTTCATTGATGCGGACACTGGGAGAGAGAGAGAAAGGACATAATACATGGGGGGGGGCACTGCTCCCTCTTCTTCTTTCCCATGGGAGAAAGAGGGCCTCCTCACTCACCTGATGAGATGGGGGTTCATAAACTCAGTGCGCACAGAACCCAGGATCTCATTGCTCCCATACTCCACCAGGGTCAGCTCCCCTGCGTTGAATATCATGCAGACCTAGGGAAAAGGAGAGATTGGGAGAAGGAAGAAAGGAGCCACCCCTGCCCCACAAAAGAGGCCCTGTGGTGTAGGGACAAACCCCCAGAGCAACCCACGGGGCTACCCTCCCCCAATACCGCTGCTTTCCTTGCAGACCGGCCAGAACCTTCATCCTTGGAAGGAAGGAAGGAAAAGGCTTCTTCTTGTACTACTGCAGGCCCTGCCAACTTACATTCTCATTGTCGAAGAAAAACTTCTCATTCCCGCCAGATCCCTGCCAGGCGACCTGAGAGAGACGGCGGAGAGGGCAGGTGCCCATGAGCTCCAGGCCAGCCACACCACCCTCAACAAGGCTGCCCCATCCCCCAGCCCACTCCCCGCCAAACAGACCCAGAGACCCCCACTGCCCTCCCGCCAAGCTGCCCCACTTGTTTGCAGTCCTCTGGGCTCTCTGGGAACACGCCGGTGCTCTCTTGCGCGAAGACCCCAGGAGCCTGTTGGGAGGCTGCCAAATTCCTCCCCGCAGGCGCAGGATGCTCACCTCGCTGAGCTTGGTAGAGCTGAGGTCCCCCAGGAGCAGCGTGTCGGAGGTGTGAGCCACAAGGTAGCGCTCCTTCCCCAGGATCTTCACCTCGTCAATCTCATAGCCATAGTGGGATTTCAACACGACCCGCATCCCGGTGGAGAGGTTCTTCACAATCACCTAGGAGAGGGGGATGAGTGACACAACTCGGATCCTCTCCTTCCTCCCCTGGCACACGCAAGGGCAGCTTGCAGCGGAAGGAGATGGCCAGTCCCTTCCCTGCTCTGCAGCCCAGAGGAAAGCAAGGCTGGCTGACAGGAGGGGCAGAGCAGCTTTTGGGCCAGGAGGAGGCAGCCTCCTTCTGAGGAGACAGGTGCTTCCACAAGTTTCCTGTTTCTATTATTTCATGTTTTTAAAAGATGCTGATGGAAGAAATTGCATTTCATGTTTGCGTGCGTGGTTGTTTTCTTAAAGAAGATGTATGTTCCAAAATATTTGGTTGAGGACCTTCAAGGATAAACAAGTAGAAAAGGTGGAATTTAATAATAATGATAATGAAAATGATAATGATAACGGTAATGATAATCATAATCATAATCATCATAATCATAATTATAATCATAATCATAATTATAATCATAATCATAATAATTTTATTATTTATATCCCGCTCATCTGCTTGGGTTTCCCCTGCCACTCTGGGCAGCTTCCAAGATATACAAAAACGTGATTAAAACATCAATCCTTAAAAAGCTTCCCTAAGCAGGGCTGCTTTCAGGTCGTTCTTTATTTCCTTGGCACCACAGGGAGGGCACCACTACTGGAAAGGCCTTCTGTCTGGTTCCCTGTAACTTTGCTTCTTGCGGTGAGGAAACCAGCAGAAGACCCTCAGAGCTGGACCTCAGTGCCCAGGCTGAGCGATGGGGGTGGTATACTGGGTCAAGGCCGTTTAGGGCTTTAAATTTGAGTCATATGGGAAAACACCGAGCAGAAGAAGATTCCTGTGGCACCTTAAAAATTACCACCCTGGTGGTGGCAGGAGCTTCTGTGGGCTCCAGCCTGGAAAAGCAGCAGGGGCTGGAAGTGAGGCTCTTCTCTTGCCCCAATGAGCGAGAGGGAGGATGGCCAAATTAAGCCGGAGGGGCTATAATCCATTCAGAAAGATTTACTTGAACTACATCAGCAGAAGTCTAGTGAATGCATTTTAGTTTATGAAAAAGAGAATCAATATATCAAAGAGGAAAACTATGTGCACATAATACATAAATGCATCTTGAGGGGAGAATCTAAGAAATGATTAAGTAGCTATTACATGCCAGGTTCACAACATACAAGATTATAATGAATCCTACAATGGCCCAGCTAAACTCTGCCAGCCCTCTCATTAATAAGCTGACTCCATGATCCCAGCTGCCCTAATTAGTTTAATTAGCTGCCTTTGAGTTTAAGAGAAGAACATAGCTACCAGTCTAGAGACTCCCGGGGTCTTAGATGTGTGCCACAGGATCCAGAAAAATCCAAACACAATATTAGTCGAGGCAAAAAGCAAAAAAAGTAATGCTTTAGAAAGAAAATAGTGAAGCCTGAACCAACTGAAATTTGGTGAGAGAAAAGAACAAATAGGAATGCAGAAAATCTGGGATGACAAAGGAGAATCAGGAAAAAAACTGCACTGTGCTACAACCTGAGACTTCCTCAGAAAGGGTTAGGGTTAGGGTTAGACACAAGATCTACCCACTCTGGAAGAATGGCAGGTGAAGCTGATGGACTATATGGAATTGGCAGAAATGACTGGCAGAATCCGAGACCAGGGAGAAGAGTCGGTGGAAGAAGATTGGAAGAAGTTCAAAGATTATCTACAGAAATATTGTAAAATTAATGAATGTTAGAACGATGTTGGATAGAAATTAAGTGGTTTCCAGCTGTAATGCTTTAAGGGAATATGAAAAATGGGTTGTTAAGAGATAAAAATCTAAAGTTACTATTTTAAGACCAAAGATTAGGATAAATAAAGAGGGTAAGGATTTGCTGAACCAACAAACTGAACTGGAATACAAAAAAGGGAGGTATGAGGAGGTCCGGGAAACAAGCTAAGGAAAAATAAGCAAAAGAAAATCTGAGTGTTTTTAATCATTTTTATTTTGTATTTTTTTTTCTTTTTCATTTTTTATTGTAATGTTTTAAAAACCCTAATAAATATCTTATAAAAAAAAAGAGAGACTTCCTCAGAAAGGGGTGGCTTTTGAACAAAGCTGAACTGGCGTCTTTCAGAGATTTGGAGCCCAGCTGGCCCTTTCTTGGAGTTCTTGCTTTGACCTTGCTCCTCCCTCCGTTTGGGAAATGGCTCTTACTCATTTTCTTTGAGTCAACCTTCTTGGGCCTGAATATTTGGCTCATGAACAGTTTTGGATGGACACAGCTTTTATTTTCCCGAAAATTGGCTTGGACCTCACTAACTGTATTTAATACAATTTTTCGGAACAGAGTGTAGCCTCTGCAGTTTGCTCATCACGATTTCGGCCCCTTGGCAAATCAAGGACCTTGCTTGCATCTTGGTCTGCAGCAAAACTGACCTTTGCTTAGAGAACATTTTCTTACACTTATCCTGAGTAAGAGCAGCAAGGAGTAAAAGGAGCAGGACAGGCCTTCCTCTGGGCAACCTGCCCTCCCTCCAGCAGCAACCATGTGCTCTTCAGCAGCCCCCTCCCCCTTCTTCCACCCCACAGTCCATGGCCAGAGCCCACCACTGCAGCCATAAGTCACTACCCTACGGCCGCAACACATACCTGGCTGGGCCCCACGTAGGTCATCTCAAACTTATTCTTGTAAATGCTCCTGCGCAGGCAGCAGTCAAACTGCTCCACTCCGCCACAGAGGGTGCCCTGCAGGAACAAAAGCCTTTTCAGCCCACAACCCCTCAGACCCTTCCTGCCCGCCAACCCAAGACGCCCTGCAGTGAAGCTGCATCAAGCGGGCATGATCCGGCAGAGAAGGCGGCCTGCCCCACTCACCGCGCAGAGCCGCGAGCCGTCCCGCTTCCAGGCCAAGGCGGTGATGGTGTAGAGGTGAGGGATCTCCTTGGGCTTGGCTTCCTCCCAGGCACTCCGGCGGGGGCTCCAGTTCAGCACCCTCAGCCTGGGGAAATCAAGGGGGCAGGCAGTGAGGGTCCGAGGGGGAACAGGCCTGCCCCCCAGCGCAGCGCCCACCCCCCCGTCCCGGCCCTCCGGCTCAGCCGCACCTGTCAAAGCTGCCGATGACCACGGACTGGCCCCCTGGGCTGGCTGCCGCCACCGTGAACTCCTTCTCGGAAGAGTCCCGGCTGTAGTCGAAGGTCTGGATGACGTGGCCCTCCTTCCCGTAGGCCACCATCTTTTTGTCACAGCCGGCGGCCACAATGCTGTTTGAGGCCCAGGCCATGGCGTAGGGGGGGCAGGGGTGGATCACCAGCTTGCCCTGTCCAGCACCAGGAGCAAGAAACAGGGAGCAATGAAAAGCCGGAGAGAGAAAAAGATCTGCTCCCCCTGGTGCTAAAGCCAGCTGAGACCCCTAGGCAGCGGCAAACTCTCTGCTCTCCCCACCTAGCACAGCCAGGGGATGGGGTTGCAACACCTGACGTTTTGCTTCTCTGAATGCCAGGGGAGGCCTGCACTGCACCACGAGGTGCAGGTGGGAAACCAGGAGGGCAGGAAAGACTTTAGTGGGATAATAGGCATTGCTGGAGGGTGGCGGGGGCAGCCTTGCTGGGACTAATCTCCCCCTGCTTCATTTAAAGGGCTGCCTGAGTGCTTGGCACAAGCAAAGAGCACACAAGGGCTTTGAAACGAGTGTGAGACAGCCACCCCCATGAGCTCCCTGCTGAAAGCAGCCCCTCCATCCACCTCAACAAAACGGCTGCTTGGAAATAATTCTCCCCTCTCACCAACACCTCCCCAAACCGAAGGTGCTCTCTGGGGCCCTTCCATGCCTCAGAGGCAGCCAGTGTGACCAGTCTCCTTAACTGGAGGTTTTTAAGCAGAGGTTGGGTGCATTTTGTGCATTGCAGGAGGGTGGCCTAGATGACCCTTGGGGTTCCTCTCCCTCTATAATTCTATGACTCCCCCTGCCCTGGTCTCCCCGCAGGCCTGGTCTAGGTGGGGTGGGGGGCGGGGCTCCTGAGAGAAGAGAGCCTGCCTGCACCTGTGACTCCCCAGAGCCTTCATCGTCAAAGAAGTAGCGCACGATGGTTCCGTCTGCGTGTCCAGAGAGGATTCCCTTCCCTGAGATGCTGTGCGGCAGCAGAAGGAGGAAGACAAAAGGAGGTCATCAGGGAGCCCCAGCGGGGCCTTGCCCTCAGGTCAGAGAGACCTGAGCGGGGGGGGGTCAGGGCTGCCCCGTGGGGCTTCCTCTCCCTCCCACACTCACTTGGAGGCCAAGGAGACGACGTAGGAGTCTGTCCCATAAATGGTGGATGATTTGTTGGTCTTGGTGTTGGCCAGGCGAACCTGCCAGAGAGAAAAGTCTGGTCAGCCTTTGATGTGCAAGGGAGCAAAGCGAGAGGAGAGGCACCTCCAAAACCCCACACTCCCTCCAGGGCAACAAACCAGGGAGAAGACGGAGCCCCAGGAGACGTCAGGGCCAGATGGAGGGACTCCTCTGCAGGAGGCTCCAGGCGGGCTCTTTCCCACTCCAAGAGCTAAGAGGTGGAAGCCCGGTGGCCAGGCCACTCCTACCTTGCCCTCAACAAGCCCAAAGACGATGGTGTTTTCCTCCGGCCACAGCAAGCAAGTGACAGCGCTCTGGTGGGGAACAGGGCAAAAAGAAGGGGGTCAGGAGGAGGAAAGCAGGCAGGTAGGAGGCCCAGCTCCACCTCTGATGGGCTGCTCAAGGAGGAGGAGCTGTAAAGAGGCACCTGGCTCCTCTGAAGGAGGTGTCTGGAAGAGGAGGCTTTTCTCACAGAGCCCTTTTGATGCTGCCCCCTCCCCTCCAGCACCACAAGAGAGGGGGGGTCCTGCCCAGCAGAAAAAAGGAGGACAGGAGAGAAGAGAGGAGAGACTTTGTCTCTGAATCATGTTGGGACCAAGACTGGTTCTCTGCGCTTGGCCTTGGCTTGTCTGGACTGAGCTTTATCTGCAACTCGGTTGGTGAGTTCTGGGGTGAAAGGCTCATGTTTTCTGTAACCAGGAACCACCCTGCAGCCACTGAGCACATCCCCTGGAGTTTGATAACTCCCAACTGCCCAGTAATGAAAACCTGGAGGTGAGGAGGCCCCAACAGCAGCCTTGAGGGTCTCCGCAGGCACATGGAGACTGGGTGCTGGGTCTTACCGTCTGAATGAATTTGTTGCAGATCACCTTCTTGTCCCCCCTGAAGAAGAGCAAACAGAGAAGAGTCATCCTCAAAGACCACTGTGGTGGTTCCAGGAAACATGTCACAGGGCTGCTAAGGCATCCCACTGGATCAGATAATGCAGAGCATCTAGCAGTAAAGAGCACTGCGCCCCCTCAACTCTGCCCCCTAGCAAGTGAGGCTCCAGAGGGGAAAGCAAGCCTCCATCAGCAACAGCCACCTGGGCTATGAGTGCAGGCAGCTGTCCTTGCAGCAGGAAGGACACTACAGAAAAGGCCACTGTGAGAGCAGAATGCTAGACTCTTCCATCCTCTTGGGATGGAAAGGGAATGGGAAGAAGTGGGGAAAGGGGCCAGCCCAGACTGGTCTCCCCACACCATGCAAAGACTCTTACCATTCCTCCCCAATCTTGTAGACGAAAATTATGTTGTCCGTCTGCCCAACAGCAATCTTTGTGGAATCTGGGGAGAATGCCATGCCCTTCACCACATAGCTCTTCCTGCCATACTAGGGGACGAGAGGACACAGGGATAAAGGCGAGAGTGAGGACCCATTCTGAGATTCCACAGACTCACTTGCCATCGCCACAGTGAGTAGTCGTGTGTATTTGGTTTAAGTTGCTTTGCAAGTTTACTTGCTACTGCCTTCAACTGTCACTGAAGTGTCCCTGGGTTTGGGAGGGCTTTGAGGGATCGTTCTGCCCCCTCCAGCAGAGGATCAGGGCAGCCGAGAGCACACACGTGTGGCAGCAAGCTATGAGTTCAGGAGCTGCTCTTGACCTGAGGGCTGGGAGGCATCAACACCTTCATCCCACAGTTTTGTGTTGCCCAATGACAGTTTTGTCTTTTGACCAGCTCCAGGTACAGGAAGACCCAATAGCTCCAGTGCCATTAAACACTTTTCTCCTGGTGTTGCTTATCAACTGAATTACTGCCACTTGTGTGAGTATTTGTGTGAATGCGTGAGTGTTTGAACCTCTTGGTACCAATGTATTAATGTATACTTGACTATAGGAAATAAATGTTACATGAAAGGTATATAAACCCAGATCTGGTCTCCAATGTGTCTTATTGAAAGTCCTATAGCATATGGGATATCACTTGTCTCTCGGGATTTCAAAAGAACCAAGTTACCACGGTTTGGTATTTTTAAAATTCCGTTTCTGTCCTCCTGCCCAAAGGAGCCCAGAGCTGGCCACCAAGGCTGCTTGTCTCTCCCCCACCCCCTGGGGCTCAAGACTGAACCCACAGGCTCTGCAGCAGCCCTTGCCCTCCAGGTGCTGTTGGGGCTCCAAACTGCCACCAGCCTCAGGTGGCACAGCTAGTGGGGGGGCGGGACAATGCAGTTCAGCCATCTCTGGGGGGCCACCCTTGCTTAGAGCAAGTCGCCTGCTCTGGGTCTCTTTCCTTGAGGGGCTTGAGGCGGACCTGTTCCCCGGAGGCTCTGGGGGTCACCCCCCCAACAACGACCGGGGCTGAGAAGGGCTCAGCTGCCAGAGCCACGTCTCCCGGGGGCTCCGATGGCGGCTCCCCTTGGGACGGAGCAGGGCCCCGGAGCCTGAGTCGCGGGGGGGGAGCGCTGGCTGAGCTACCTTGGGGTCGGTGGGCTTAGTGGAGAACTTGTCCCGCCGCTCGCCGTGCTCGTCGTAGAGGAGGACCACGCGGTCCACGGTGCAGACGGCGAACTTGGCGTTGTTGGGGGCCCACGCCATGCACGTGACCTTGGCGGCCCCATCCTGGGAGGAGGAGGAAGATGCCGAGGCTCAGCGACGCCGCTCAGGCCGGAGCAGCCACGGCAGGCGCCACCCCCGAGAGGGCCCCGCACGGCGGGTCCGGGACTCTGCGCCCCCCGCCACGGGATCCCCTTCCCCGCCTGGCCCGGCCCTCTCGCTGGGCCGCCCCCCCCCCCGGAGGCTGATGCTGGCGGGGCCGGGGCGGGCGGCTCCCACCTGCGGGGTGAGCAGGGTCCGGACGTGGCGCAGCTGCATCGCCTCCCCGTCCCCGCAGGCCGCGCGGCGTCTCCGCCCGTTGCCCCAGCAACCGCCCCGGGAAAGCGGCCGCCTCTGATGACGTAACCAGCGCCGCGCGGCGTGGAAGGAGGAAGGGCGCGCCGAGGCACAGAGATCAACTAAAGGGTAGAGTGGCGCCCGCCCCCATCTGGATAGGCATTTCCGGTCTCGTGCCGGAGGAGCTGTTTGGGGCGGGCGGAGTTCTCCTCCGCGTCCACCCGGCACCGCTCCCTTCCTCGATCTCTCTACCCGTTCCTATCTCTGTGGGTGAGGGTGCTGTCCGCGCATGCGCCCTGGCCCAGCCGAGGGGGCGGCGGCGGCGGCGTCTCGGAGCCCCTCCCTCCCTGCCTGCCTGCCTCCCTCCGTCCGTCCGCCCCGTCCGGTCCCTTCCCGATGGAGGCGCTGCGGGCGGCGGGCCGGGCCGTGCTGCGGAGCCCCAGCCTCGCCCGACACCGCCTGGGCGTCGCCCGCCTCCGCCGCCACCGTGAGTCCCTCCCCCGCCGCGGGAGCCCCACGTGGGACTCGGAGGGGGGCGCGGGGCCGGAGCAGCCCCGCAGGAGGGGGGGGGTCCGCCCTGCTGGTCCCCGGTGGTCTGACGGGGCCCCGCGCCCCTTCCCTCCCTCCCTGCCTCCCTCCCCGCAGAGCTGCCGGAGTCGTGGTCCGACATGCGGGAGCCGCTGCTGGAGGGGATGGGCTTCGCCCTCAAGTACCTGGGCATGACGCTGGTGGAGAAGCCCAAGGGGGAGGACATGGCCAGCGCCGCCATCCACCGGATCCTCGCCACGGTAGGAGGCTCGCGGGAGGCGGGGATGGCCACCAGCCGGGCGGCTTTTGGACTACAGCTCCCACCATCCCAGACCACTGACCTGCTAGCTAGGGAGGATGGGAGTTGTAGTCTAAAGACAGCTGGGAGCCATAGCTGTCAACGTTTCCCTTTTTTAAGGGAGATTCCCTTATTCCGAATAGGATACCTCGCAAGAAAAGGGAAAAGTTGACAGCTATGCTGGAGAGCCAAGTTTGAGAGACCCTGGGTTAAGAGGGGGAGAGGGTTGGCCATGGCTGCTGCTCTGCCTCCACAATCAAGGCAGCAGGATTCCAATTGCTGGAAATCCTGCTCTTGGGTTTCCCTTTGAGGCCTCTGGTGTCTCATGTTTTATGCTTTCAACTGAGCCTCAACATGATCAAGAGCAACCAGGGAATCTGGGACAAGATTGGAGGAGTCATGTGCTTGGATCGTTTGGTGCCGGAGAAAACTGTCAACAGATCAAGCTCCTTTTAAGGGCAGACCTACATAAAGAACGTTGCAGCTAACATGTTTGGAAGTAGCTCAGAAAAAGCTGTCTTCTTGAAGGAATGTTGCAATTGAGGAATCTGTGAAAGTTGGCTGCTTGCTGAGGGTCTCACTGAAGATCTTGTTCCCCTCAGACAGACTCACTGCTGATGACGCGGAGGCTGGTTTCAGGAGCCACTGGCTACGCATCTTGGTGGAGATCAGATCTGTTCTGGTTTCCCAACCTAAGAAAATAAGCTACTGTAGAGCCAGAATAAAGGGCAGCCCAAATGGTGCAGGGATTGGAAGAAACCTTACTGCATCTGGGGCTTCCTGATTTGGAGAAAAGGGTTTTGTCCGGACATGCTGTCTCCAGGTGTGACGATGAGCACCAGCCTAGATCTATCTTTGAAAGGGGATTGGACAAATCTACGGATAAGGAGATGGAGATGCCTCCCAGTGGGAATTCTCTGTCTGCAAAAAATAGAATGTTTCCTGAGTTCCTTCTGTGCTCCAGCCTGCCTCTTTTACAGGATGGGTGCAGGGTGAAGGGGGGAGAGCTTCTTGGAAGTCTGCTAGGAGCTGAGGGCTGGGCTAGGGGGTCTTCTGTGATTATCCAGGAGACCTCCTTCCCCATCTCTACCTTCACTCCTCAGGCTCGGGTGGGGCCCAAGAAATTCCGGAAGGTGATCTTGACTGTCTCCCCACGAGGCCTCTCTCTGCAAGACGCTGAGACCAAGGAGACCATTGAGACCATCTCCATCTACAGGTGTGTGAGGATGCTTCTGCAAGGTAGGGCTGCTGGAGGCCAGGGAGCTGCCTGGCTGAGCCCCTCTCTGCACGGCTGCCTGGCTGAGGACTTGCCCGCTGGCTGGGCTGTGAGCAAGCATAAAAAGCAAGCAGACAGGCACCCAGTTGGGCACTGGGGAAGCCAAGTGAGGGGCAGCCCGCAGGCGTCTCCTTTGGAACAAAGCCCTGCTGTCCTGGGGGACGTGGTTTGCTGGGGAGCCCCATCATGGTCGCTCCCTGGGGGTGTGTGGAGGGGCTGCTCCCCGGTTCCAGCTCCTGCTGCCTGCAGGACAGGGACATTTTCTGCTCTTCCTGTTTCCGTAATCCACTGCTGGGGCAAAATGCTCTCGTTGTGCTGCGTCTCTGCCTTAGTCCTGCATGCCCAGTAACATGGCCATCTCCCACGGCCCCCTGCCCCGTCCTGAGGCCCTCCTGCTCTTGCCCTGCCAGGGGTGCTTGGTGTGGGGATGCCGAGCGCTGCCTCCTCTCCCGCCCTCTTTCAGGATTTCCTATTGCACCACAGACAAGCTGCAGAACAAAGTCTTTGCCTACGTGGCGCAGAACCCCCAGAGCGGTGCCCTCGAGTGCCACGCCTTTCTGTCGCCCAAGAAGAAGATCGTAAGCGCTGCATTTGCCCCCCGGGGAGGGCTGGGTCCTGCGCTGCTCTTTTGGGGTGGGGTTTGCTCGCTGGTTGGCCCCTCTGCCCCTGCATGCCCGGCAGAAGCGTTCCCCACCTCCCTCCCGGGGCCCTTTGCAGGGTGCTGCCTCGCCAGCTGCCCCGCTCGCCTTTTCTTGCCTCGTGTCGCCCATGCAGGCCCAGGCTGTGACTCTGACGGTGGCTCAGGCCTTCCAGGTGGCCCTGGATCTCTGGGAGGCTGCGCAGGCAGGTACGGATGATGGCCGTGCCCCTAGCCATTGCTATGCCAAACCCGTGACCTGCTCCCGCCTGGCTTCCTTGGTGGCTCGGTTGCCCCCCCCCCCCCGCCGGGTGCACCCTTCTTTTCCAAGGTTGTGGGGTGGTGAGGATGGCGGGGGGCACAGGAGGGGGTGTTCATGTCAAGGATGTGAAGTGCCAGCAAATGGGAAAGGGGGGGTTTCAGCCTCTGGGCATTTTTTCTCCACCAGGCTCCAGGGAAGGGGAGGGGGAGAAGAAGCCCTCCCTGAGTCCGCTGTGCCCCCCTGTGGAAAGCACCCGCCCGCCTGGCAGGTCACCCCTTGGCAGCCCCCCCTTCAAGACCAACTTTGAGGTACGGTATTGGGAGTGACCTGCTGCCCCACTGCCAGGCCCCCTTGGCTCTCAGGGCCAAGAGGCTCCCTCCCTCACCAGCCCCACCCTTTGTATGTCAGCGGGGGCTGCCTGCTCTCTCTCTCGAGGGGCCTGGCAGCCACCTGGCTTTCTCTGGCCCTAGGAGGAAGAAGAGGAGGACGAGGAGGAGGAGGAGGAAGATCTCAACGAAGCCTTCTCTGGGTAGGGGCCTGTTGGCTGCGTCAAGGTCCCCTGTTGGTTGGGGGGCAAGGCAGTCAGAGGTGTGGGTTTTCTGTTTCTGGGGGGACACATTGAAGGGCTGCGGCAGGGCTTGTGGAATAGAAAATGGTCTGGCTGGGGGGGCTCTCCTTGCTGCTGCTGCTGCTGCTCTGATCTTTGTCTCTTCTCTGCCCCAAGCCGCGTAGAGGAGAGGGGCCGCCCCACCACAGGTAACCATTGACACCCCCCCCCCAGCATGTCCCTGCCCTCAACCTTTGCTTGGGATGAAGGGGTGGGGGAATCCCTTTGAAGCCTTTTCATTTACCTTCTTCCAGGGGAGCTGGGGGTTCCCCTGCATTTTCACATGGACTCTTCCATTTGTAGGTTTCTCTCCCTCTCTGTCTTTTTCTTTCCTCTTGAGTGGCTCCTCTCAATGCCCTTGTGTGTTTCAGGTGTGGGGGGGCTTGCGTTTGGGGGCTCCCCAGTTGCCCGCTTCCAGTCAGTGGCGGCATGGGGCTGCAGCCCCCCCAGCAGCTGCCTGCCTCCGGGGACATTTTTCTGAGGCTGCTTCTCCTCATCTTTCTCCTGCCACTCACCGTGTCTTCGCTGCTCATCTCCAGCACAGCCTCTGCTGCCCCTTGTCTGTCACCCACAAGGACCAGCTGCCCCCACCCCTGGGAACCTGGTCTAGCCTGCCTTGGACCCTCAGCAGCAACCCAGGCCAGCCCCTCCCTCACCCTACTGGAACCCCAACAGCACCCTGCGGGGCATTCAGCAGGGATCCTCAGCCCCAGAACCTCTTCTGCGGGGGGGGGGGGCAGCATGAGTCTTGGGGGTGGGTGCACCAGGCCTCCTCATGGTGCTCTTGAGGCCTGAACATTGGGGGGGGCAGCATTCAGATTCCCATCAGTCCTCACCCACCCCATATTGAGGAGGGCTGTGTTGAGTGTAGATAAATCCTTCCCTCTGCTGCCCCCCTCCGCCCTGCTGTCCAGCTCTGGTGGGAAGGCAGCCCCCTCCCCTCCCCACCAGCTGCTCATCACTGCCAAATCACAGCTTTGTAGCAAAAAGACTAGTTTTTAATGTCCTTTTCTAAAGGGAAATAAACCATTTCTACTGTTGTTGTACTTGGGTGTCTTTCCTTGCAGAGGCCTCAGCCCACGGGGGAAAGGGGCAGCGAGTGGCACAGCCGGCCAGCTCTGGGGGAGCCCGACTGGCACACAGGGGGGTGGGGGGCATAGCACCGTCCGTCTCCTTCCTGGGCCGGGATTCCCGGCTCACCTGCCTGGGGCTCACCAGTCTGGCACCACCTGGAAGCCACTTCCAGAGCTCTTCGGGTGAGCTATGCCAGGCAGGCCCTTCCCAAGGGGGGAGAAGCAAGCCAAGTGGGCCTGGGGGGCAGCCCTTCTGTGGGGCAAGAAGGTGGGCAAGCAGGGGATTCCACAGCCCCCCACCATTGCTCTTTGCTGTGCAGGGGGGGGGGGAGCCTGCGAGGGTCTTCACTTGTTAAAGTAGGTTCTCTGGCTGGGGGGGGGGAGTGGAGCAGCAGGATGGCAGAAGAGGGTCTTTTGCTGCCCAGCTGGGGAGGCGGAGAGCTGCCTGTCCTGAGGGAAGGGTGGGATGGGGTGGCTTGACCTCCAGGCAAAGGGCCCTGAGCTGCTCTCAGCCCCACAGCTGGAGGGAAATAGGCAAATGGGGCTCTTCTCTCTGCCAGGACCGAAAGGCCACCTGCCACTCCCAACGCAGCGCTCTGAGCTGAGCCTTCAGGCCAGAAGCGCTGGATTCCTGGAAGGCGGTGCTGGGTGCTCGTGCGTCACGGGGGGGGGGGGGCTCCTCCTGGATGTGGCCGGGGGGGGGGGTGGCAGTTCTCCAGCTGCCAGGAGGGAAGGGACCCCTCCTGATCTTGCTGAGAAGGAAGAAGGTGGAGGTGGGCTGGGCTGGGGGTGGCTTTGGCTGGAGGGGGAGGGCAAAGGCAGTTGGCACACAGCTGGTACCTCCCCAAGAGGAAGCCAAGGGCAGCTGGCAGGAATCCTATAACTGCGGTGGGAGGGGGCAGGTGGGAAGGCATAGGGGCTGAAGGGAACTCTTGAGGGAGGTGACAAAGTCTGCCCAGCATGGTCTTCTGGGTGGTGGCCCCGCTCAGGGCCCAGTCCAGAGTTTCCATGGTGAAGCTGCGGGGGGGGGGGCTGGGCGAGGTCGCGCCTTCAGCTCCCACAACGAGGCTCTTCGGATAGTAGCGGTGGGTGGCGCTGGCCTGTCCAGTGGGTGGCGCTGCTGCTGCGCTCTCCGTTGGCGGTGGCCCCAGAGAGAAGGGTTGGGCGAGAGGGTGAGCCCGGCTTTCCGCATGCACTTTGTCCCCGGCGGGCTCCATGCAGGTCTGCTCCTCCTGGGGCGAGAAGAAGCAGGAACTCTTTGCATGCAGGGAAGCAGGAGGCTGCGACGGTGGTGGCAGGCGGAGGCCGCTGAGGTCCCCGCGAGTTTCAGCTACACCTCGATGATGTTGACAGAGGGCGATTTCATCTTCTGAAAAAGGGAGAGAGAGGGTCGTGGGAGCGAGCAGAACCCCCAGAGCTATTGGGGGCCCCGACGCCTCCCACTCCCTCTTGGCCAGGCTGTGCCCCTCCCCCGCAGCTGAACTGCGGCGCCCCCATTGCCCTGGAGAGCGCCCGGCACCTTCGCTCCTTCGAAAAATGCGTGTCCAAAGTCCCCACCTGTCATTTTCCCTTGCAAGATGGCAACCCGCCCTGGGTGGGTTAGGTTCCGGCGCCCTTTCTCCCCCTTCAGGCCGGCTGCTGCCGACGAAGAGCGCTCCTAGTGACCCAACTCGGCCAAAGCCGGCTTCCCCGGAGCCCCGACGGCTCCCGGCGCCGCGCTTTTGCTCCAGCCGCGCAACCAGCATCCGGCGGAGAAGGAGGCGGTGGCGGCACAGACCCGCTCCAGCCGCCGAAAGCCCCGAGGACGGGGCAGCAGCTCCGGCCCCGCTGTCTCGGGCTGGGCTGCCCGCCGTCGAGCTCCGCGCCCTGGCCCTCCTCCCCGGCGATGGTGGGCTGAGCCAAGCTCCCTCTTCTCCCCACACGGCCCCCGCCCGCTCCTTTGCTGGACGCCCCCCACCTTGCTGCGGAGGAGGCCCCCGGTGGGCCGCTCGGGCGTGCTGTGCTCCGAGGCCGGCTTGCTCTTCTCCTTGTTGTTGTTGGAGTCGTTGTCCTTGATGATGTCGTATTGCTTGCAGAAGAGGGCGATCACCGCTGCGGAAGCAAGGAGGAAGGAAGGTGAGGAAGGGCCTCCATCGCGCAAGGGTCTCTCCCCCCGCCCCCGCCCCCGCCTCCGCCCCCGCCTTTGGACATGCTGGAGTCAGTGGCTGGTTGCTTCCCAGATCTTTTATTTGCGCAGAAGTTCAACACAGCTCAGTCAGAAAAGGGAACTCGCGTTCGGCCCTGCGCCCCGAAATAAGCATTTCTACCCAATCTCCCGCGCGTCGCCTTGATCCGGGGACTCTTCAGATTCACGGCGATTTTATCCTCTCAGAGCTGTTGCTTCTGCACAAAGCTCGTCAAAACCCAAACCCAGATGCCAAACTGCCCATCGGGAACTTGGGGTGCGCCCCCCCATAAGCATCCGACCGGGAATCACAAGCGGAGAGGAGGAAAGGGCTGCGCTTTGCTCAGGTCCGGCTTGCAAACTGGGTGCCCCGCTCGCTTGGGCCTGATCCTGCTGCTGCTGCTGCTGCTGCTGCTGGGCTCTTTTGACGGAGCCGCGTTCAACGGGATGCTTCATTTGGGCGCGCAAGGCTGTCAGGTGTGGCCCCTCCGTGCAAAGAACGGTAGCCAAAAGATGCAGCAAAGAAGAAGGAACTTTGGCTGTGCCCCCAGAGACAAACTCCGGGCCAGCGCTCGTGGGATACTCACACACCCGTCGGGAACATAAGCAGAGCGTGCTGGACCAGGCCCAAGGGAGCTTCCCGCCCGCCTCACCTGCCCACATGAACAGCACAGCCACGATGATGACGATCTCGCCCGTCTGCAGCTGCCGCTCCTTGTCCAGCCCCTCCATGGTGATGTCTCCTGCGGAGAGAGAGAGCTGTGCTTCGGGAGGGACGCCCCGTCGGGCGAGGCAAGGGGCTCTTTTCAGAGCCGGGGAAGAGCAAGGAGGGGAGAGCAGCTGCAGGCTGGGCAGGGTCTCGCCGGCCCCTCCGCCTGGGCTGCCCACAGGTCACTGAGGGGCCCCACCTGCCCAAGGACGGAGGCACCACGGAGCTTCCTGGCCCCCGGAGGAGGCCCGGGACTGACTGGGGGGAGACAGGCGGCGCCCAGCCGGCCAGCGAGGCTCCGGAGGGCGGGGGTGGGAGAGGGGAAGGTCCCCGCGGGCGCCTCGCCTACCCTGGCTGGAGCTGTTGGACGGCAGGCGGTCACTCTGCTTGAGGGTGCGGAAGTGGACCCTCTTGCTGGCCTGGCTCTCGCCGTGCAGGCCGATGCTTTGCACCTGGATGACGTAGTCGGCATCCTCCGCCAGGTCCCAGAGCACGCACGCCCGCGTCGTCGTGTTCACCTCCCGGATGAAGCGCTGCATCTGCCCGTCCTGCCGCTGCCGGAAAGGAGGGGGGGCGTCAGAGGATGAGGGCAGAGAGAGGGAGGGAAGAGAACATAGCCCCCCCCCGGCTGAAAAAGGGGTTGGGGAAGTGAGAAGCAAGGGGGCGGCGGGGCGGCGGGACAGAGGAGTGGCGCGCCCCCGCCTGCCGCCTCCTCCAGCCTCACCTGTTGCAAGATGGCGTAGCCGATGACGACGTCCCCTTCCGGGACATCCCAGGAGACCATCGCGGAGTTGGCCTTGAGCTGGGTGACGGTGACGTTGACGGGCGACGGGGGCCGATCTGTGAGGCAAGCAGGGATGGAAGGGTCACTGGTGGCTGGGCAGGACTGGACTGGATGACCCCAGGGGTCCCTTCCATCTCCGCCTCGGGTTTCTCCTCCCTCCTGGGGGCTGGCACAAGTTGGTGCTGCTGCGGGGAGGACTCTGTCTAGGGAGCAGCGGCCTTTCCAGGGGATTTAGCACCCCTAGAGTCGCAGGGGAGCAGGGCCTGGAAGGCAGCGTCAGCGTTCTTGATGCTGTTATACTGAAGGTGTCATTTTAGGGCTAAGAGTTATCATCTTGCAATGCAGTGCTTTCGTGCAAGCTGCTTTGAGCTTTAGTTTTTAAAAAACCAAAAAACCAAATAGAACTTAATCTGAAAACTAAAGCCATTTTCCCTCTAAAAGTGAACTCCGGTGGTGAGTACAGATAGAAACGAGACCCAGACAGAGCCGATTAAAGGTTATGAGCCCGGGACGCTTCATTTGTGTTGAAATATGGACTACACACCATGATGGAAGGGGCTCCCTAGGCCCGAGATTCTGACTGCAAGCTGAAGAAGAAAAACATGGAAACTGGTGGTGGAACGACAGGAATATTCCTTTGAGGAGGATAATACTGGGTCAGTGAGTTCCAAAGATCAATTAAGAATTGTCTGAAAAATATTGTTTCAGCATATTTTCTTTTCTTATTTTTTGCTCCATGTTCACTGTGCCCCCCTGTTCATCTTTTACTCGGAAGGGCGAAAGGTTGTTGCCTCTCCAAGGGGAAACCAGGAGAGTGGCTCAGCGGAGGGGGAGAGCCTTGTAGGGAGCCTTGACACAAGGAAAGACCCTCCATCCCGCAGAAACACCTGCTCCTTCCAGGGCTTCTCCTCCTCCGAGAGTTTCCACATTTGGACTCCGCAGTTCGCCTTCTCTTCCAGCCGACCTCCCCGCCAGTGGCGCCTCCCGCCCGCTCAGCTGTCACAGTTGCGCTCTACCGTTTCATCAGAGTCCTGGCAAAACCGCGCACCCTGGACTCCTCTTGGTCCCCTGGCTGTGCCCCCCTTCAGCCACAGAGGCCCCCTTTCTTTGGGGGAAAGAGGCAGCAGGTTGCCTCCTGCCCTGGCTGGGCTGCGCTTTCCTGACCTCGGCCACAGGGCCGCTCCCTACCTCCAGCTCCCTCTCCAGAGGAGACCCGGGGTGGAGAGTGAGGGGAGGCTATGAACCCTGCAAGGATCCCCTTCTGCTCCTGCGCCATTTCTGCAGTTGTATTTTAAGCCATTAATTTGAGAAACTTCTGTTTTGAGGGCACCAGGCAAGAAGCAGGAGGGCCATCTATTTGACCAGTAAACGAATAAATGTATTTCTTGGAACTCTGCGGGCTTGACTGCCAATAGGTCCCCCTCGCCATACCTGCCTGCTTTCAGACTCCCCGGGATTGGCAGCTCCTGACAACCACCTACTTTCCTTGCAAGCTGCACTTACAACTCCTAGGGGCCTCGGCTCAAAGTCAGCTATTATGCATTAAAAAGACGGACCCCGCCAAGCAGGGGAGTCTGGGGGGCGGAAGCCGGCGTGTGGAGAGAGGTCAAAAGGTGTCCTCCTCCAAGCGAGGGAGAGTCGGGCCCCTCGTCTTGGGCAGCTGGAAGTAAAGCAACAGCCGCCGGTTTGGGACCGGATTCCGGGCAAAGCAGGCCAGACTGAGGGGATCGTGACGGTGCGTGGGGTGTCTCATGGGTCAAGTGCGGTTTGGGGGCGTCGGGCGTCAGAATGGGCCAGAGTCACCTTCTCCTCGTGGGTCAAGGGCAGCGGAGTGGCCGCAGGGTGCCAGGAGGTGCCCCCTGCCAAGAGACCTTTGCCACCTCGAGAGGAGGCGGAGGCCGGGGACGTGGGCAGAGGCTCCTTCTCACCCAAGCGAGGCCAGCTGGCAGCCGCGGCCTTCCCTGGAGCCAGGCTTTTACTCTAATGAAATTGGCCGGGGTTCCGCTCGCGGCTGCCGGGAACAAGGCGCCTCGAGAGGGGCCCGAGCCTGCCTTGGCCGCGGCGCTGCTGCCCCGATCCGGCTGCTTCCGCGGGTAATGGGCGGCCAGTGACGCAGCCGAGCAGGGCAGGGCAGAGCTGGGGCCAAAGAGACCCCCGCCTTGCCCGCCCACCCCCTCCCTCGCCCTCCGACGGCCCTCGTCGGTGTGCGGAGCAGCCCGGGTTCAGCACCGAGGCCAGCGGCCCGAGAGACAGCCAGCCGGGCCTGCGCTTGTGGGGAGAGCGCGCTGGTCTGGGGGCGCCGATCCTGACCCCCGGGGGCTTTTTCTCTCCCGCCTCCCGCCCCGCCCGGAGCCCCGGCACTTACTTGCGCGCACGAGGCACAGGTCGCAGCTGACCAGCACCAGCACGGCCGCCGGGCTGAGGTACGCGGGGAGGGAAGCCATGGCCGCGGACGGGCGCAGCACTTGCTCATGGAGCCCGGCGAGGCTCCGGGCGCTCAGGGGGCGGCCAGCGCGGGGCCCCCCGCAGTCTCCGCCGCAGCGGCTCCCGCCGGACGGGTCAGTGCCAGCGCCGCGCTCCCGGCTGCGGAGCCTCCTGCTCTTCTGCCGCCTCGCGGCTCCATCCAGGCGGGCCGAGGCGTCCGCAGAGCCCAGCGGAGGAGCCCTGCCCAGCGGCCGAGGCCCGGTTCCGCTGCGGAGACTGCTCGGGCGGCGGCAGCAGTAGCAGCAGCAGCAGCAGGAGAGGCAACGCGGTCCCTGCAGCAGCACCAGCCGCGCTCCGTCGTGGAGACGGTCTGCCCGCCCAGCGCCGCCCAGTTGGCGCCGCCTCCGCCTCGCCTCCCCGCGAGGGCAGCAGCTGCCCCGGACCTGAGTGGCCACTGGCCGGAGCCCGGGAATTCGGGCAACAAGGAGCCCCCGCCGACGTCACGCCCCGGCCAGGGTCGAGGGGGCGCTCTTTGGCCGGGTTCCGACCTGGCGCCCTATGGGTTTATTTTGGGGGGGAGGCGCAGAGTAAGGAAGAGACGCGCAAAGAAGAACCGAAGTTGCACGTGCGGACAGCCCTCCGGGATTATCGGTGGGGCAGGGAGGTTTGCAGGGGGTTGGACTCGATGACCCTTGGAGCCCCTTCCCGCTCTGCCCTTTTGTGATTCTATGACGTCATTCAGCCCCAAAAAGGACGGGATCAGACCCTCCCCCTTGCGATTTGCATACGAGAAACGTCGCTACCGTGAGGCAAGGCGTGTGCTGGGGGGGGGGGTACATTTGCCAGGTCCTTCCGCCCCCGTCCAGGACCCTCCGGGCTGCCTCTCCTCACCGGCTCCCCTGACATACTTTCTCGGTCCTTGACGCGGCAGCTGTTCAAGCCGCGCTGCGGGCGCATCTGCCTTGGGGCCTTTCACAACCCGGTTGATCCTTGGCCGGCCATTAGGGCTAAGCAGCTGATCATTCCCCAGAGGAGCCGCAGCGAAGCATTGCCACCCCAAATATCTGTTTGGGGCGCTGGGCGCCTGGCTCCTCCTCATCGGAACTCTGCTGGACCAGGCCAAGGGGTCCCATAGATTCATCATCATCATCACCACCAATTAAATGTGAGCCGCCCTCCACCTATAGACCTCAGGGCAGTTCACAGCATCCTTTTCCCACAGTGGCCAACACAGGAGCCAACTCCCAGGGGCTGTGGGGTCTTCGGCCCCAACAATAAAATATTTGAGGGGGCTGCTCCCTCAGCTGATGGGCATTGGCATTCAAATGTGGTGCCTGCAGCCTTTTTAAACAATCCAACTGTAAAAATCAGTAGCCACTAGGCCAGGGGTCAGCAACCCGCGGCTCCGGAGCCGCATGTGGCTCTTTTACACCTTTGCCGCGGCTCCGGGGCGGATACTAGCGAGGGGAGGAGGCGCATTGTGTGCCCCGACACTCCCCACTGTTTTAAATGTCGCAATGGTTTTGCGGCTCCCAGTATTTTTTTCTTCGGTCCAAGTGGCTCTTTTTGTCTTAAAGGTTGCAGACCCCTGCACTAGGCCCTTGACCATCATCGAAAACCTCCTGACAGCAGAGGGACACAGTAAAGGGATGGTATCCACAATATACAAAATATGGCTCCAAAATCCCACAAACCCCCTTGACACAATCAAAGAACAATGGGAAGATGACATAGGCTATGAAGTTAAGCCCACCCAATGTACTAGAATGTGGCCTAAACCTCCTTTTAGGTCACTATCAGCCAAAAGAAGGGAACTCACTCTGAAACTCACCTGCAGGTGGTACTTAACACCCTGGAAACTGGCGCTGATATGCCCAGGATTTTAATGTTTGAAGTTTTATTCTGTTTTTAATGTTCTGTTGAAAGCCGCCCAGAGTTGCTGGGGAAACCCAGCCCGATGGGTGGGGTAGAAATAATAAATTATTATTATTTTTTATTATTGGAGAAGCTAACTGCACCTCCACAGTAGCTGAGAGCCAGTGTGGTGTAGTGGTTAAGAGCAGTAGTCTCGTAATCTGGGAAACCGGGTTCGCGTCTCCGCTCCTCCACATGCAGCTGCTGGGTGACCTTGGGCCAGTCACACTTCTGTGAAGTCTCTCAGCCCCACTCACCTCACAGAGTGTTTGTTGTGGGGGAGGAAGGGAAAGGAGAATGTTAGCCGCTTTGAGACTCCTGAAGGGGAGTGAAAGGCGGGATATCAAATCCAAACTCCTCTTCTTCTTCTTCTTCTTCTTCTTCTCCACAGGCACATACCTCCACATGTGGTGGGAATAACCTAAAATCCAACCTTTCTGGATAGCAGTTCTACAAGAGATATGCAAAAAAACTAACAGGTAGTAGAACTCACCCCAGAATTGGGCATACTGAACATCTTCCAAGATCGAAAAGGCCACTCACGTTATAGAGAGCTTATAACCTACCTACTCTCAACAGCCAGGAGCTTCCTAGCTAGACACTGGAGGAACCTGTCAGGAATAAACATGGACCAAAGGTATCAAATTGTATGGGAAATGGTCTTGCTAGAAAAGATAACCAATAAACTGAAACTGACCTGGGGACAAATAGAAGAGGACGCCTTCACCCCAGTATGGCTCATCTTTATCACATACACAGCCCAACAAGACAACAAGAAGAATCCACTGACAGCATAGGAATCAATCCAGCTTACCTGACCCAACAAGCCCCCCCCCAAAAAAAGCCCCACTGCAAACAACCACAGACAACCAACCCCACCCTGCCCTCCAACACCTCTCACTACCAAGGAAATGTAATAAACAACTGGAAAGAGAACCTACCCAGTTGACGCTGACACAAAACCCCACACCTAAACTATATAAATGAATGTACCATAAGCCTCCCCACCCCACCCCTCCGCCCTCTTCCTCCCCAACCTTGTTCTATATTCAACACTCATGTCTTTCCACAAATGTAACTGATCTGGAAGAAAGACTGTTGTAGCAGGAACCCCCCACCCCAATCATTCAGTTTGTACAAACTTCACACACTCACACTCACACACTACATATGCCACACTTCTGTTATAAATTCATAGGAAAATCAACCATACATCGGATTTGCACTGTTCCATTTTTATTTTACTCCATATGACAAGGACTATCAAAGGGGGGTGGCTTGGTTCTGGTCAGCCATAATCCCTTCACCATCCCAGCACATCCACAGGAGCCCTGCCCAGTTGCTATGCCAACCCTGATGGTCCTAGACAGAAGACCATCAAGATCACAAAGAACTTGCCTATGGGAGTGGATTCAGCATGGACTGAAACAAAGGACAATGATCAGATCTTCCCTCTGGGGGCAGGAAACTGCCAACTCCCCTTGTCTCCTGGAAGTGACTCATGGGGAGGGGGAAAGGAGGAACCAGCCAGGTGACAGGACACTCAGGTTACCACCACAACTCCTCCCTCAACCCCTCCTTTCTGTAATGTATGCATGATGTTTCTGGGGTGGGCTTGACCTAGAGGATGGGAATTTCAAAAGTTTTTATAAGGTCTTGCACACCATCTTTCTGGGTCTTTCCTCTCTCCTGCAAGTGAGGGGAACACCCTGTTGCAACAGTTCAATAAAGGCCAAGCCTACAGGCTGCTGTTTTGCTCCAAGTTATCCTGGTTGGTGTCTTTGTTTTTGTCCAAGGGAGCCCTCGGATTTTTCCGGTAACACTGTACAACCTGAAAAAAAGAGACAAGGCATGCACTTTTGTAAACCAAGAACATCTTTAATGCCTGCACCGCATCATGGGCTCAGTTATGCGGGACACGGCTTACCTGCCCCCCCCCCCCGGTGGCCCATCAGGGGCCCCAAAGGGAGCTCGGCCAGGAGGTCTGGAGCCCCGGAGCCTCGCGGCCTCGAACTGGGCACGCCAGTAGGGCCGGGGCCGCCAGGAGCCAGGAGGGAGGGCGAGGGGGGCCCTGCTCTCGGACGAGGGCAGGTCCCCTCCCGGAACGGGCGCCATTTGGGGAGAGGCGCGGAGGCAGCGGACCTCTCCCGGCCCCAAGGCGCCATCTTAGCAGAGGCACGGTGCGCGGGAAACGCGTCGAAGAGAGGGCGGGTAAGGCGCCGCCGCCATCTTGGGCGAGGGCACGGTGCCTGCCGGAATGAGCGCCATCTTAGGAGAGGCAGGGAGGGCGGGCGGGCGGTTGTCTCTCTCCTCCGCAAGTGCTGCCTCCTCACTCCGGTTCCGGGATGGGAGCCACCGTGGCGCAGATATAGGCGGCTAAGTGGCCGTCTTGGGCCCCCTCAGTGGCCAGAGCAGCCCAGATAGACTGCCTCTGAACTTGGAGGCTCCACGGAAGCAGCGCCGCCCCTCCAGGGCGGGGGGGGGAGGGGGCCTGTCGAGCTCGCAGAAAACTACAACTCCCGTAGCCTGGGCGTCCCCAAAGGATTCTGGGAGCTGTAGTTTGAGAGCAGACCCTGATTCCCCTTGCAGATCCCTTCAGGCAACCTGGGAACTGTAGCTTCCTATGTGGGCAGAGAATATTCCCTGCAGCCTTTCCCAAGGGGACTCTAGGACTTGTACTTCTGAGAGGGTCTCCTGGACACCCTGAGCAAGCTACACTTCCCAGCATGCTGGGGACTGCATTGAGGGTTGTGATACCCTGCACAGAACTACGGTTCCCAAAACAGGTCTAAAAGCCCATTCCTCTTCCTAGATAACTCTGGGAACTGTAGCTCGGTGGGGGAAACAGCCCTTGGTGTCCTAAATAAACTATACAGTAGTTCCCACGATTTCTGCCAAATGATCCTGGGAATTGTAGTTCAGGGAAGGGAACTAGCAGCCTCCAAACAACTCCTGGCGCCCTGAACAAACTACAGTTGCCAGGACTTTCCCAAAGCATCCTGGTAGCCCACTCTGGTAAGTGCAGTTCCTTTGGGGGTAAATCACAAACTCCCAGCACGCTGAATATGCATCATTCTGCATTTCCCTTTGGACTCGTCACTAGATGGAGCCAGAGGAGGGACAGAGGACTGGCCCCCGTTCTACAGTTTTGTTTTCTTTCCCTGCAGGCCTCCCAGCTGTCTGGATTTCTTCCGCCACCACCCTCATAAAAAAACATGGATTTTTAAAAGATGCTTGAAATAAAGAGTAATATATTTACGTGGTCCATGAAATCAATTTGGAACTTCAGACTTTGTGTGGGCACAAACAAGATCTCCATCTCATCCATTCAGACATGACGTTTTCCCCTCCCTGTGTGTGCAGGCAGATGTGAAATGACTCCCAGCTCAGTTTTTTAAAAAATGTGTCATAAATTCAGCCCCAAGAGAGGCATTCAATCAAATCTCTATACTTTTAAAAGAAGTGGAAAACAATAATTTTGTGGCTAAGAAAAATGATCTGTTTCCTTTTTGTCCTCCTGGAACAACTCAGCCAAGCCAGAGGGACTGATTACCATCTCTCACCTGTGTCAGGAAGGAGGTGGAGACAATAAATAGGCTCTTGGGGATCCATTAAATTAAATCCATCAAATGCAGAAGTTACCACAAAGAAATACACAAGCATGATTTCTTTGAATGCAGCATAGAAGGAAACAGAAACTGGTTACAGGTCAAATCAGAATTTAATGTGAAAAAAATTCTCTTTATTTAACAAATTGTCCTAGCTAAAGAGCAGCTACTAATATTACAGTTGACATAGTTCTAGAATCAAAACAGCCAACCTCCTGTACTGCTCTGCAAAAACACCTTATAAACATATTTTGCCAGGGAGGTGAACGGATCGGGGGGGGGGGGGCGGGAATGACCACAGCATGCAGAGCAGGCGTAGAACTTGCACTACATTTAACTGTATTTACAAAGTCAAATTTGCAATCTTTCTTATTCCGAAACGCTCAGGATCTCATACAACATGATATTAATAACAAAATTATACATACACATATACATATATATATTTTTTTTAAATCAACATTTTGAGCACAGCAATTTAAGTTTGCTTTCCTTTTGTTACCAGAAAGGCCAAAGCAGCACAACCTGTCTTCTTATAAGGACTTAGCATCTGCTGGTTGCAGTACATGGTGAATCGAAACCACGAAGAGGCACAGCAGGACAAAGGGGCTGGCTGATCAAAAAGGTGTTGACAATCTAAGAAGACAAAGTGCCCAAGTGACAGCTGAGCAGATCACCGGAGGCAGACTTACTTTTTATCCTTCTCCTTTGACCAAAAAATAAATACAATGGGGGGGGGGAGGCTTGTAGCGTAGCTCACAAAACAAAAGCAAGACAGTCTCCTGCACTCAGGCTTACCATCTAAAAATACATGACACAAAATGAAAATGTATTTGTGGGGTGGGGAAGTAACTGAGAAAATATTTTTTTTGTTACAAAGTTCCTACAATGACCAGCTGGAAAGGAAACACCACAGAAAGACCTGAATACATCCACCTGCTTCTGTGCCAAACTCACTGGCAGAGGCTCTCCACTAGGGTGGCATACTGTGTGAGGCGAGGCAGGTATAATAATAATAATAATAATAATAATAATAATAATAGTAATTCATTTATACCCCACCCATCTGACTGGGTTTCCCCAGCCACTCTGGACGGCTTCCAACAAAATATTAAAAATGCAATAACACACCAGACATTAAAAACTTCCCTAAACAGGACTGCCTTCAGATGTCTTCTAAAAGTCAGATAGTTGTTTATTTCCTAACTGAGGAAAGGGCCTCTTCGCTGGTGTGGAGTGTTTCTGCTCATGGAGCTCTCTCCCTAGGAAGGCTTGCTTGGCTCCTAATCTGGAATCTCTTCAGTGCCAGGAAAAGACTCATCTTTTAAAGTCCTAAGTATATTTTAACTACATCTTTCTTGATGGCTGTTTTACAGTCAATTTGCGTTTCCTTGTCTTGCATTGATTTTATTGTTGATTGTATTTCATTATGAGCTATCCCAAGTGTCATTAAGAACGGCATACTAAAATACAACAACCAAAAGCCAAATATTGCAATGACTCTCCAACTTCAAAAAGGAGACTATAGGCGAAATCCAACATCTCAGGATAAAAATCAATAGAGAGTTGAAAAGAGAAAGAGAGACCACAGCAAAGGGAATGCCAAAAATAATCAACTGGTGGGACTTATCCCTCCAAATGAAACAAATTGTAACTTGTATTGAATATACAGTGGTAACTCGGGTTAAGTACTTAATTCGTTCCGGAGGTCCGTTCTTAACCTGAAACTGTTCTTAAACTGAAGCACCACTTTAACTAATGGGGCCTCCCGCTGCTGCCGCGCCGCCAAAGCACGATTTCTGTTCTCATCCTGAAGCAAAGTTCTTAACCTGAAGCACTATTTCTGGGTTAGCGGAGTCTGTAACCTGAAGCATATGTAACCTGAAGCATATGTAACCTGAGGTAACACTGTATTCTCATACAAGAGTGACTTACAGTGTAGCTAAGCTATATAAAGGAGATGGGGAAAGTTGCTTTTGTCCTTGTTACCTAGAAGCACAGGCACTCCTTAGCAGGGGGCCATGCCCCTCTTGTGGTGGCAGAGTGGCACCTGACATGCTCCCAGTTCCATCTCTGGCCTCTCCAGGAAGAACTGTCTGCCAGTCAGTGTTGACAGTCACTAGCTTGAAGGAGCAGTGCTTGGACTCAGCACAGGGCAAATTCCTGTTTTTCTGTGTAATCACATTCTGGGCAGCACTCCAAATTGCAGTGACCCTTGTTGGCTAGGAAAAATGCAATTCCACCCCCAACAGGTGCTTGGGGGGGGGGTCTGAGAAATGATGCCTTAATCCCTTGCAACAAGGGTGCATGCACTATAAGCTAAAGTGGCAGAGAAGAAAGTTCTTCAGAACAACAACAACAAAAGAGATACAGCTGTCCTAAGTAAGTCTAGGTGATTTTCCCTGCAGTTGGAGAGTGGGGCAGCCAGGCCGTGAATGCAGTCAGGAAGGAGGCCTGTGCCAGAGAGCTCAAAACATTCCCCGTGTCTCTAGGAGATGAAGACAGGAGAAGGACTGGGTAATGAACGTGGAGTTTAAATAATTAGGACAAGGAAACCTTTGGCAAGCTCACTTAGCGAAAAGCACTCCGTATTAGGCACGAGGAAGGAAGGATGCGGAAACAGTGCTCTGTCAGGCTGCTCAGAACCAGGTTTGAAGGCCAGCTCAGTGGCAATGCAGGGCAAAGAGGTGGGGGGGCACCGTGGGAAAGGAGCGACATGGAGCAAAAGAGAATAAAAGCAGCCGGATTTCTATCGTTTGGGGGGGGGGGCCTCTTTGGAGCATGAGCCCAGAGGAGACGCCCCTCAATGCACTGTTGACTCCGCTCTAATAAAACAAAGTCGCACCCTCGTGCCTGTTGTCCAGCCTCTCTCTCTTGGGGATAAAGGGTCCCTCCAAAGAAGAATCGGGGAGTTCCCCCCTCATTTGTCTAACAATTCCCACGCAAGGCTTCACTACCAACTCCTACAACTTGCTGCCCGTGCCGCGTGCCCTTTTATTTTCTTTTAAACAACAGAATTCTCCTATTTTATATCAGCCAGTTTCTTTCAAGCAGCTGAATTTGCTAATGTCTGTGGATAAATCTCCCTCCAACCAGGGCCTTTGGATGAGGGCATGGGAGATTCTCACCCCCCTTCCAATTCAGAACAGTTTCCAAGCGACTAAGAGAGGAGAGAGTCTGGCTGCTGCGCAAGGAACCTGCTCCCTCGTTGCTCTCACCTAAAAACAATGTAACAATTAATTTTAAAAAGCTCGGACAGCATTACAGCTCATTTACAAAAATGCAAGCGGCTTCCAACCAGCAGCCCGGCGGCCGCGCGCTCCGCCCTGGAGTCAAAGGGCGCCTCGCCCTCCCCTTTATAGCCCTGTCCCCGTGGGCGCGGCCTGTGGGGAGGGAGGCGTCCAAGGGGCGGGACAAGACGCCTCCCCCCCCAGCCGAGGAGCCCCGGGAGAGCGGGAGACCCCCGCCGCCTGCCCAGCCCGACCTGCCGCAGTCCGCGAGGCTCTCCAGAGACTCTAATTTGGAACGTCGAGGATAATTAGGAATACAAAGCCGCTGGTTGTGAAGGCGCTTCCTCGGCCCAAGTGAGCAGGGCGCCGCCGGGTGCTGCCTGGCTCTGGCGGAGCTCCGCAGGGTCCGAGGGGGCGGAGGGGCGAAGGGAAAGGAAGCCGAGGACGGGGCGGGCTCCCGGGATGCCCCTATGGACACACTCAAGGAAATCTGTCCTTTAGAGGCAAGACTAGGGGGGAACACGAAAGAGGCGCCTGGAGGAAGAATTCGGCTGGTCGAGGGCGGGGCGGGGCCGCCGCTGCTCGGCCTGCCCCCCCGCCCCGTCCCTTCCTGGGCTTGACCAAAGGTGCCTCCGCGCCGCCTTCGCCCACTTCCGACGGCAGAGCAGCCTCCGCGGAGGAGAGCGAGCGAGCGCCCCCGCCAGCAGCGCCCCCGCCCGCCCGCCTTCCGAGGGGCTTCGGCCACCCTCCGCCCCGCCGAGAAGGTAGGGGACCGAGCCAGACCCGCTCCGGGGGCAGAGGCGGGCGGCCGGGCGAGAGGGGCGCCGGCGTCGGGCGCGGTTTCCTGAGCAGGGCAGCCCCGAGCAGCGGCGGAGAGAAGCGGCCTGGGCTCGGGGCTCGGGAAGCGCGGACTAGTGGGGGCGCCGACGAGGCGGGGAGACTCGAGCGCCGCCGAGAGCGGCTGACGGGGTGGGCGGGGCGCCTTCAACTGCTTACGATTTTTTATTAAATGTCGATCGCGCCCTTCGTCGGAAGATCACAGGTCAGTTTGCAGGGGGTCGGCCTAGATGACCCTGGGGGGTCCCGTCCAACTCTAAGATTCTATACAAGCACAACATAGTATAATGTAGTAATAAAAATAATAAATACCCCCCCCGCACATTTAAAAGACCAGAGGTTATTCAGCAGCCTGCATGGCAAGGTGTGGCTAGATGCCCCTGGGGGGTCCCGTCCAACTCTCCCATTCCATGAGTCTGGCGTTTCCACCAGATGCCTAATGGTGTTTCTCTGGCGTCAGGTTTCACAGCGCAGCTCAGACAGTGTCAGGAAGGGGGGGGGCAGACACAGCCCACTTGTTTACCCTTTGGTCACCCCCATGCAAGGGGGCACAGTGAGGGGGAGAGCTCCAGCACAGGCCCCTCTTGCCCTGGCAGGCCCAGCCTGGCACCCTCCTCCCTGTCTGCTCTTTGGCACCCTGCAGCCCTCTGGAGACTGGGATTGGCTGGAAGGAGCTGCCGCAGTTTGGCCCCTGTCAGGCCCCAGCCATCCAGATCCGGCTTCTGGGGACTTTTGCCCCTTGGGCTTTTCAAGCGGATCTCTGCCCGGTCCCTGGAATCGGCTCCATTCCATTGCTCCTTCCCAAGCAGCTTGGACAGCACCCAGTCCAGGCAGTGGCAGTGGCAGCGTTTCCTTGGCAGAGGTCATTGCATTCCCCTTGCTTTTTCTCAGTTTGGCTTTGACCACTTACTCCTGATGAAGTCTTCTGTGCCAGGGGAGACAAAGGAGGCGCTGACCTGCTTGCTTGGCTGTCCCCTCACGCTTCCCCAGCTGCCTGCCAACTCCACACAGAGTTGAGTTGGAAGGGATCCCAAGGGCCATCTAGTCCAAGCCCAGCAACGAAGGAATCTCAGCTAACACCCTCCCATCCAAAGACAAGGAAATGAACAGCTATCTGACTGTTAGAGGACATCTGAAGGCAGCCCTGTATCAGGAGGTTTTTAACGTTTGAGGTTTACTATGTTTTATATGTACTGTAAGCCACTCAGAGTGTCTGGGGAAACCCAGCCAGATGGGTGGGGTGTAAATAAAATAATAAATAAATAACGCAAGCAAGCATCCATGACAGATGGTCACTTAACCTCTGCTTAGAAACCTCCAAGGAAGGAGAGTCCACAACCTCTTGTGAGAGTCTGTTCCACTGTTGAGCAGCTCTTACTGTCAGAAAATTCTTCCTGATGTTTAGTTGGAATCTCCTTCTTGTAACTTGAAGTCATTGGATCAGGTCCTCCAGAGCAGGAGAAAACAGGCTTTCCCCCTCTTGGGCTACTGGATCCCTGCCAAGCACAGGATGGGGCCTGTTGGGTAACAAGCGGCTGCTTAGTATCTTGGCTTTCTTATCAAATGCAGGCAAGCTTCTTCTTCTTCTTCTTGAGTTAAAAGCATCATACTTTTTTTAAACAAAATTATTTGGTTTTTCAAATTACAGTTTTACCATCAGATATCCAACATACAGACAAGATCCCAGAGAATCTCCTGGGCTCCCCTCCTCTCCTTTGTGGGTCTGATTGTTAATCATTTCCTCCTGCATCTTTTATAATAATCCAAATCTTTTACATCTCCATTATATCCAAAATTCACCATTAAACTACAAGTGTAGTCAAATGCAGGCAAGCTTCTAGTCCTCATAGAAGTTGACCTGCATTGGACATGGCAGTGTGCAGGACGCAAAGCACTGGCCTTTTTCTCGTGGCACTTCGTCTCTACAAAATACTCCACCAAACCTCAGACGCTACAGTTGATGGCCTGAGGGGGTACCCGGCCTTCTCTTGGGGGTCTGTCCCTGGGAACACTCTTGTGAATGGAGAGGAGGCGCCCTCCCCTTCTTGCTGTGGGGCCAACCAAGTGCAGGTTTCATCTCCCCTTCTCTCCCTCTCCTCCTCCAGCAAGATGGCGTCACAGAAGCTGCAGGTGGCCGTGGTTGGGGCTGGGGCTGCTGGTCTGTGCGTCGCCCGCCACATCCTTGCCTCACCCGAGACGTTTGCTCCTCCCGTGGTGTTCGAAGCCTCTGGCTGCCTGGGAGGCACCTGGGTTTACTTGGAGGAAGAGGCTGAGGGGCGGCCCACTCACTCCAGCATGTACCGGGACCTCAGGTAGCCACCCGGGGACGTGGCCCCCTCTTTCACCCCCATGTGTGTGTCTTGGGTCCCTGGGAGGCAAGGGAGCTCATCCTGCGGCTGCGTCCTGTTCCCCCTCCCAGGACCAACCTGCCCAAGGAGGTGATGGCCTTTCCTGACTTCCCCTTTGACCCGGCGCTGCCTTCCTTCCTCCACCACTCAGATGTGCTGGCCTACCTGGAAAGCTACGCGGAGCATTTTGGGGTCTACGATCACATCCAGGTGAGACTCAGCTGGGGTGGCGGCGCTTGAGTCTGTTACTGGGAAATTGGAGGGGGGGTGAGAGACCTCCCCACCATGAGCCTTGCCTCACCACAAGGCAAGGACAGGGGGTCTTCGCTGCACATTACCCAAACCTCATTCATTTAGGTTCAGAACTCCATTCACAAAGTGCCTGTCTAATCATAAACTCCAGATCCCTGATAGCAGCCCCTAATGCTTAGAAAATTAAGAGCAACAAACAGTGGTACCTTGGTTTTCAAACGTCTCCATTGACAAATGGAGTTTTCGAATGCTGTCAACCTGGAAGTAGATGCTTCAGTTTTCGAACATGCCTTGGAACTCAAACGTGCCACACGGCTTCCGTTTTGAGTTTTCTGTTTTGAGGATTCCGTTTTGAGTTTTTGGTATCCGAATGTTTCAGAACTTGAATGGTCTTCTGGAATGGATTACGTTTGAAAACTGAGGTACCACTGCATCTGCAAAGACATCTGCAAGGGAAGCTCGGCTCAATTTGCAGGAGGAGCCCATGACTCCTCTCTGAGCCCCAGGTCTCCAACAAAGGAAAACAGGGAAAGTGTCAGAACCAAATGTTGCAATTCACTGAAAAATGTATCTATGTACTGGCTTTCTGGGAAAACTTTAGAAATTCTTAAGAAATTACTTGTATCAATCTTCTCAGTTCCAGTGGCATGTAGGACCCAGGGAAGTGAGGTATAAGGGGAGGGGTGAGAGAGCCCACCATAATCCCTGGGATGTACAGTCACTCCGCAGGGCTTTCCCAAGGAGTCATGACCCCAAAGAGTGTCAGACTGAGTGTCAGACTCAATCACAATGCCTACCTGCCCCATAATGGGATGAAGGGGTGTATTTGACTTGACTCAGGGGCCAGAGAACTGTCAATGCTTTCCTTTGTACTGTGATGGAGTACCGTAAGTGTGAAATACTATATGTGAGTGACGGGGCAGGCCTGGATCTCAGGTTCTACATGAGACGCCACCTTTTCTGTGACATATCTATGATGTCTGGATGATGTAGGTCAGAGGGAGGCCACAGCAGCAAGGACTCAGGATCTCTTTTTGGTCCAACATAAAGAGTACCCCTGAGCATGTGGCATTTCTCTGGCCACTAAGAACCTAAGAAGAGCTCGCAGGATCAGGCCAATGGCCCATCTCATCCAGCATCCTGTTCTCACAATGCCTGAACAGGATCCGAGCACAAGAGCTTGGAATAGGCAGTCCCCATACATCTGGGGCAGGGACTCTCAGGCAGGCCATGCCCCACCATCTTGTGTCAGAAATGAAGGGCTGCCTGGCATCTCCAGGGGTTCAGCGGGAGCTTCTCCAAGCTTGTTCCAGAGCTGTGGCTTCTCTGGTCCCATCAAGGAGTTCCTCTGCCCCCCAGAGGCCTTTCCCTGCCCACTGCTGGGTCTCCGCTGGCCCCCTCCCTGCCTGAGGGCCTTCTTCTCCCTCCTGCAGTTCCGGAGCGAGGTGAGCCACATCCGGCCTGTGTCCAGCAGCGAGGGCCAGCCAGGGGGCTGGGAGGTCACAGCCACACAGCAGGGGCCAGAGACAACCCAGAAAGTCACAAAGCACTTTGATGCCGTCATGGTCTGCACTGGGTGAGTTCAGCAATGAAAGTCAAAATCCCTTTGGCCCTGTGCCCGGGGAGGGGGAAGCGTGACTTGGCAGCAGGAGCCGCAGAAATCATTGCAAGGAAAGTGAGTTAGCTGCACCCTGAGGCTTCACAGAATGATCTTTACCCGTGTCCTGCATCAGTCAGGCCTCCTATGGTCTCTGTCCTTTATGGGTGTAGACAAGCAGGGATGGGGTCAGAAGGGACAAGAAAGAGGGTCCGAGGAGGGGAGGTGAATGGGGTTGGGTGTGCTTTGCCTGGAAAGGAAAAGACCAAGCAGGGGACATGATCACACAAGAGGGCTAGAGGGTTGCTTGGGGGGGGGCATGGCAAAACGCCTTGATGGTAAGAGTCCTAGGACAACCAGTTACTGAGATGGGGGTGCCCTCACTGGAGGTCTTTCAAGCAGAGTCTTGGGATTACTTTGCTCTGGATTCTCAACACTGAGCGGGGTGGGGGTGCAGTCATAGAATCACAGAATGGTAAAGTTGGAAGGGGTCCCAAGGGTCATCTAGTCCAACCCCATGCAATGCAGGAATCTCATTGGCTGATGTCAAGTGCCCAAGGTGGCTGGAACTGGCTGGGCTGTGGGGAGGGCCGGGGACCATTTTCAGGACCCCCCCTTCCCAATTTTATCAGGAAGGGCCCAGCCTGACTCCCTCCTCTGGCAACCTGCACAGAACTTTGCTTAACGGTTGCCATTAATTTGATTTTAATTAATTTTTATAATGAAATGTTTTAGAATGTTGGATTATTTGATTGTTTGATTATTTGATTGTTGTTAGCCGCCCTGAGCCCGGCTTTGGCTGGGGAGGGCGGGATATAAATAAAATTTATTATTATTATTATTATTATTATTATTATTATTATGTTCTCTTAGTCTCTGGGAACCAATCAGGGCAGAGGTGGGGGCAGGGGCGGGACCTGGCTGGTCATGTGTCCTGACAATCCTGTTTTTGCAGCCATTATGCCAACCCATTCATCCCTCCCATTCCTGGCCTGGACAGCTTTCAAGGTAAGGACCAAGGAGGAGCTCTGAGGCAGCAGCCTGGCCAGGTTCAAGGGGGCTCTTCTGATGTCACCCCCCCATCCCGTTTCCCACAGTGGCCAGCCAGGGCCAAGCAGGGCCTGAAGGCCAGCTCTCCCCCCTTTCTCCCCAGTAGCTGACCTTCACAGGTAGACTGCTGTGGAAGCTGAAGGCTCTGTACAGCTGACACGACTAAGAGCCAGTGGTGGGCAGGTCCTCTTTAAAGCTGAGGGCAGGTCTTCTTGTTGCCAGTTCTGCAAATTTGCCTTGTGTGGATAAGCCGTTCCTTTTGTCTGCCCAGAGTCTCCTTCTGGTGGTCACATTTTAATATTATTATTATTATTATTATTATTATTATTATTAATTTATTATTTATACCCTGCCCATCTGGCTGGGTTTCCCCAGCCACTCTGGGCAGCTTTCAACAAAACACTAAAATACAATAACCTATTAAACATTAAAAGCTTCACTAAACAGGGTTGCCTTTAGATGTCTTCTAAAAGTTTGGTAGTTATTTTTCTCTTTGACATCTGGTGGGAGGGCATTCCACAGGGCAGGTGCCACCACCGAGAAGGCCCTCCTCTCCTCCCAGAGAGGTTCTGAGGGTGACAACAAGAGAAAGGGCCTTTTCTGTGGTGGCTCCCTGATTGTGGAGTGCCTCTCCCCAGGGAGGCTTGCCTGGCACCATCATTACATGCCTTAAGGCGCCAGGCAAAAACATTCCTCTTTGTCCCGATCTTTAGCCATTAAATAATCTAGGGCCTGTTGCTGTTATTCGAATTTGTATTCTTATTCATTAAATTTGTATACCCCCCTGTACTCCTCAGGGCGGTTACAACATAAAATCGCAATATGAAAACACAAAATTCACAATAAAAACAAAAGCCAAAGCAACCCTATAACCCCCTCCCCCTGCTAAAGGTGGGGGAACTCTTATTACGGTTATCTTATTGTTGTGCTGCCTATTACTAGCCTTTCTGTTCTCTTCTTCTTATGATGCTTCCTAAAATCTATTCTTAATGTTGCACTCCACCCTGGGATCTGTCCATAAACGGTGGACTATACTAATTTGGGGTTGCGGAGCAGGTGGGGAGACCCTGGCCAGGGGAGGGGAAGGGGGCTGGAGCGCCCGAGGAGCTGCGGGCGAGAGAAGGCTGCTCGCGGGCAGGGGGAGCCATGCCCTTCCCGTAGCACCCACCCCTGCCTGCCTTTTGCTCTCCTCTCCAGGCCGCCTCCTGCACAGCCACTCCTACCGGCGCCCGGAGCCCTTTGCCGGGCAGAGGGTGGTGCTGGCGGGCGCCGGCCCCTCCGGAGTCGACCTGGCGCTGCAGCTGGCCCCTCTGGCGGCGCGGGTGGTGCTGAGCCACCAGGGCCCCCCGGTCCGCGGGCTGCCCCGGGACGTGCTGCAGGTTCCCCCTCTGGCTCGGGTGTCGGCGGAGACGGTGGTGCCCAGGGACGGCTCTGCGCTGCCGGCCGACGCCTTGATCCTCTGCACGGGCTACCAATACCGCTTCCCCTTCCTGGATCTGGCGCAGCTGGGCTTGCGGGAGACGGAGTATGGGCTGGGGCCCCTGTACCGGCACCTGCTGGCCCCCCGGCACCCGTCGCTGTTCCTGGTTGGCGTCTGTCAGCAGATCTGCCCCTTCCCGCATTTCCACTGCCAGGCGCTCTTCGCCCTGGCAGTGCTGAAGGGCGACTGCCCGCTGCCCTCCGCTGCCGAGATGGAGGCCGATGCCCAAGCGCAGCTGGACCGGCACCTGCGCCAGGGGGGTCTGGCGCGGCACTTCCTTCGCCTCCGGGCCCAGCAGTGGAGCTACGCGGAGGAGCTGGCCCACCTCGCAGGGTTCCCCCCGCTCCCGCCGGCGGTGCGGGAGATCTATGAAGCGACGCGCGCCAGCCGTGCCCAGGATGTGAGCACGTACCGCGGAAGGAACTACCGGCTGTTGGGCCCAGATGCCTGGGAAGTCGTGCAAGGAGAGGCCGGGGATGCAGAAGGAGGGCCTCTCCTTTGAAAGCCAACCAGCCAGGGGCCATCAGCGCCACCATCTTGTGGCAGGGAGTTCCACAGATTAGCCAGAGCATTAGACGACTATGCTGCTGGCCAGTTCCGCCGGGAGACCCACCCCCAAATTAGGGTGTTTGGGGAAATGGAAGGAAATGTCGCTTGGCCAATGGGCGGGTGGGCAGCCTCTTTGGGGGGGGGGGCTTGCCAAGGAGGCAGCCTTGCGAGGGAGGCTGGGCCCAGAGCACAGGGGCCTTGGGCATCCTGGGAGGGGGTCGTGGCCGCCCACTTGCTTTCTCCTTTCTGAGGGGTGAATGGGGAGCCCTGCCTGCCAGTGCCTTAGGCAGACGAATCACAAGCTGTTTCCCATGTTACTTCCGAAGAAGCAGAAGAATAAAAGGACTGTCATGTGCTCTGTCTGCAACTGAATTTATTTCTCTTTTAATCTCAAAGTGGTTTAGGGCAGAGATGGGCTGCTCTTTGGGCTGGGAAGGGACAAGCCATCTCAGGATTTTCAGGGTGTGGGATCAAGACCGCCCTCCCCCCCCTGGAGGAGGCCAACCGGAGAGCTGGAGCCAATGGCAGGCAGAGCCAACCCCTCCCCCCCCCCAGCTGAGATCTACAGCCCAGACAGAGGAGGAGGAAGCTGACAGGCAGCGCCACACTCTGGCCTGGTTGCTGGGAAGGCAGGCAGAGGTTGGTGTGGGACAGGAGAGAACCAGCAGCAAATCACACGAAGCAAGTGGTGAACTCTTTATTAGAAAAAGCAGGATCCGCACAGGAGCGTCAGGGCTAAGGAGCACAGCAACTCTTCTCTGGCCCCCATGAAGCAGTTGTGGAGACTGAAGGGACCAGCTCCGCTACTGGTAACGCGCACTGCTACCTGCATTGCAGGGGGTTGGACTAGATGTCTCCTAGGGCCCTTCCAGCTCTACAGCTCGAGGATTCTGTACCCTTCCCAGCCCCCCTGGGGGAGCCTTTCTTCCTGGCATGAGTGGCCTCAACGCTTCTGGTACTACCTTCCTTGAGCAGCAGGGCAGGACCAGACACCCACAACTGTGCCAGTCAAGCCGCAACCTCACAAATGCTTGTGCTGCCGTTTCCCTCTGCCCTGGTGGCCTCTGCCCCTTCCAAGGGTAGCATCTCCTCACCCGAGGGCAGCCCAACGAGACCCTGGGCCCTCAAGGCCTGGCCAAGGTTCCTCGTGCCCCTGGCGTTGTTGCTGTGGGAGCTGTGTTGTTGTTGTGGGTTGCTGTGGGAGCCCCAGCCTCTGAGCAGGTAATCCAATGGCACCAGGTGCTGGAAGGTCTCTGTGGCAAAGTAATAGGCCAGGGGGTCCAGGGCGGCGTTTGCGCAGGCCAGGAGCAGGGCGCACTGGTAGGCCATGTCCAAGCACTCCCCCTGCAGCTGTGGTGCCTGGTACAGAAGAACCGCCATGTGGTAGGGCAAGAAGCAGCCCAGGAAGATGCCCACGTTGGTCACCACCATGTGACGAATCTTCGTGCCGTTGACCAACTCCATCTGAACAGCCCCGCTGTGGTGCACGGCACGCAGGAGCTGGCAGGAGCAGGTCACCATGATGGCCAGCGGCAGGGCGAAGGCGAGCGCCATGGCGGTGGGGACCCCGCGGGCCGTGATGTAGTGGGGGCGTTCGTCGAAGCAGAGCATGTGCTGCCCCTGCTTCCTCTGTGTGGCGTAGGTGGGGATGGTCCCTGCGATGCTCAAGGCCCACACCCCTGCGCAGATGTACCTGGCCTGCTGGCGCACGGCTTGGGCCCTTGGACTGAGCGGGAAGCAGACGGCCAGGCAGCGGTCCCAGCTGAGGCAGGTCAGCAGGAAGATGCTGCAGTACATGTTGACCAGGAGTAGCGTGCCCACCACTTCGCACAGCAGCTGAGGCAGCTGAGGCCGCCAGCCGTAGAAGTGCACCCTCAGTGGCAGCGAGGCCAGAAGCAGCAGGTCGCAGGCCACCAGGTTCTTCATGTAGGTGATGGTGATGGAGCGCCCGGCGCGGCCCAAAACAAAGATGCACAGCGCTGCAATGTTCAGAGGGAGGCCGACCGCAAAGATAAGGGCGTACATGCCAGCAAAGGCCTGGTCGGTTGGACGGGTGCAGTTGGTGCAATTTGGGCTCATCGCTGCTAGTCTCGCTCTGTGGCTCGCTCTGGAGGGCTGCAGGAAGCCTGAGGGCCGCAGCTGCTGACCTGCACCAGCCTTCTAGCACCCGCTCCCTGGAGAAAGGAGACAAGGAGTTGTGTGTCTTGCCAAGTTGCGACCCCCCCAACTTTTTATTGGCTGTCTGTTGCTGGTTTATTTAGAATCATAGAATGGTAGAGTTGGAAGGGACCCCAAGGGACAGCTGGTCCACCCCCTGCAATGCAGGAATCTCAGTTCAAGAACCCCTGGCAGATGGAGGAGGAGATGGACAAGCTGGAGGGTGGGCAGAAAAGGGTAGCCAAGATGGCAAAGGGTCTGGAAACCAAGTCTGATGAGAGACAGTTAAGGAAGTTGGGGATGTTGAACCTGGAGGAGAGGAGGCCAAGAGGTGACATGATGACAATCTTCAAATATTTGAAGGGCCATCATCTGGAAGATGGATCAAACTTGTTTTCTGCTGGTGGAATCTCCTTAATTGGAAGTTTTTCTACAAAGGTCAGACGGTCACATGTCAGAGATTCTTTAGTAGTGATTCCTGCATGGCAGGGGGTTGGATTAGAAGCCTTTAAGGGCTCCTGATTCTATGATTCTAAGAGGATGTAGTCACTTCCACCCAAGGTGACTGCAACTTCCAAAAATCAAAGAATTTTTTGAGTACCTTACATTCCTGGCAGAGTTTGAGTTCCAACAGATATCAGGGGAGCTGATCTCCCTCTTATTTGTGAATATTTAGTCATCTGCTCTGGGAAGGCCTCATCCAAGTCTTCAGTCCGGCTTGGAGGTCTATAGCAGACTCCCACAGTGATATCACTGCTGTTTTCCTATCCTATAACATTTACCCAAACTCTCTTAACCTGCCTTCCATGCTCCAAGTCCAACTTCTACACTTCATTCATGAGTCTCATCCTACCAGTTTTAAATAATGCCTATTAGGTCATATTTTCCATCCCATATCAAGAGCTCAAGTTCCTTCTGTTTATTTCACATGTTCTGTGTATTAGTATAGAGACAACTGAAGCTGGAGAAACAGTAGAGTTGGGACCCCAAGGGTCCTCTAGTACAACTCCTCCCTCATAGGAATAGGAATCTCAACTAAAGTACCATGACTCATTCCTTTCAGCTGCTTCCTTCTGTCCCCCCCCCAGCTTCCTGTGTATCAGTAAAGTGATCATACTCAGTACTTGGTGTCTCTTTGTCCTTGGAAATATTTATATTGATTCTGTGACCTAGAGTAACTGAGAGAGGCAGGAAGTTTGGTAGATAAGGCCTTTGGAGACAAGAGAGCTGTGTCATGCTCTCAGAATGATGGCTCCCCTGCTATCATGGAGAATGATGGTCTGGGCATTGCTCATCTGCTATCTAGCTAGCCTGGTCTGTAGTGTTGGGGGTGTGCATGTTGGCTCCAAGGACATGGGGAAATTGAATTGTGAAGTCCTAGGAGGAAAACTTCAGGTTGCCAGGTATGCTGTTGAGAAATCGCCAAGGTAGCTTTCTCTGAAATGCTACCAGATCCATCTGCAGGGTCGGCCAGCCAGGCACAGCTGTGTAGTCTGATTGTGGGGGTGAGACAGTGATGTCAGGAGCAGGGGGTTCGATTTGTTGGGTGCTGGGGGGCATTTTGGGATGAGCCTGTGCAAATGATGGGTTCCTCTTCAACACAAATGGGAATACTGGCACATTAAATCTGAAAGATGGCAGAGCTGCTTTTAAACAGATGGTGGGGTGCAGGAAGTGGCTGATAGGACTTGTGGAGGGTGGTGTTCACAAGAAGCCTTTCCCCTGAGGGAAGGATGAAAGTGAAAAACAAAAGGGACCTGTCCACCTGCTTCCCAGGGCCATCTCCTTCTACGAACACATTTAAAGAATTTGTTGCTGTTGGTCTTTATGGTTTTACCAATGTGAGCCTCAGAATTTTTTTTTTTAATTATTATTATTTTTCGGATCCCTTATTAGCCGCTTGTGCCCTCCCCCCCCCCAAGTTTTGTGTCCCTTTTGGTTCCCTTGATGTGGGTGGCGTTCTGGTTTTCTTAAGAATGTCTTCTTGCCTCTCACGGCTTATCTGATTCTACTTGCTAACCACAAAGGCATCCTCTGGGCCCTTGTGCTATCTTGCCTGACCTGCTGAGCTTTTACAACTCCCAAGCCTCTCCTCCTCCTCCTCCTCCTCTTTTATTTCCAAGAACTTTGAGGAGCTTGACCTTCTGGACTTTGCCCCTCAGCTTCCTTTTTGCCAGTCAGGGTGCCTCTCTCGAAGCCTAACGTGACTGTGCTAGGTTCTCTTGCCAAGTCTCATTTAGCTCTATATTGCTTTGGTGCACAGTGGTACCTACAGCAGCAGCAGCAACAACAGTTTATTATTTATACCCCGCCCATCTGGCTGGGCTTCTCCAGCCACTCTGGGCGGCTCCCAACAAAATATTAAAAACACAATAAAACATCTAACATTAAAAACTTCCCTCAACAGGGCTGCCTTCAGATGTCTTCTAAAAGTCAGATAGTTGTTTATTTCCTTGACATCTGATGGGAGGCCATTCCACAGGGCGGGTGCCACTACCAAGAAGGCCCTCTGCCTGGTTCCCTGTAACTTCACTTCAGACACACAGGACATTCACTGCCTTCACTGGTTCTGATTTAAAAGAGAGGTAGAGCTGGGTTTCACCCACATACTAATGAACACCCGGCCCAAACTGGATCAACAGCACTTAACATTTCACACCAGATCCTGGGTGCCACTGCCTCTGCTGGGCTCCAGCTGTTCTAGGACACAGTCCCTGAGGGTACCTAGAAATTGTACCTCTTTGTCGGGCTGGAACACTCCTGTTCCCAGCCTCTCTCTTAGGATATAATGACTTTAAACAACTTGGGACCAGTTTACCTACAAGATGGCCTTACCGTGCATGTTCAGTTGGTGGAAATGGCCCTTTTTCATGTGCCACATCATACCTGCACTGTGTCAGTAAGAACCTGATTGTTTAGTGTAGCAGCACTGACACTTTGGAACTCCCCAAGGCTACCCAGCTGTTTAGAAGTCTGCAGGAGTTTTAATTTGTTTTAGTCTATTTTATTGTGCTTTTTAACTTTATATATATTATGTTTGTAGGTTTTTTTAGTGATGTTTAATCATGTTATATTTTTGGTAAACCGCTTTGAGGTTTTTTCCTACAATTGAGTGGCGTGCATATTTTATTAAAATAAGTCAGTGATGTCTTTCTAACAATTTCTAAATTCTGCATTGCTTTTAGTAAATGATGGGCTGGCCCTACATGTACACCAAGAGGGTCAGCCATGAGAACCACTGGCCTTTGTCTGGAGGAGAAGGACAGGGCAGCCTCAGGTTTCCTGAAGGCCATCTGGAGGAAGCAGCCATTGTCCAGCTTCTCTTCTGCCTGGGGGAACTGTGCTTGTGTGGCTGCCCCACCCCCCATCCTCTCAGATCCTGCCTTGGGCCAGCTGGCCAGCGCCTGCCTCTTCTCCTGTGGGGAGGAAGGGCGAGGGAGCTGAGAGGCAGCCAGGCTCCTGCCTCTGCCTGCTGAGCCTGGGCAGCGGGTGGCCAGGAGGCGCCTCCCTCTTCTTCAAGGCTTCACACCAGCAGCCTCCCTGCTAGACAGGCAAAGGGGCTCTTCCTCCCCTCACCCCATTTCCCACAGAACTTACTTCACATCTCAGAGGAGCCAGTTGCAGAGGGGAGAAGCGGCTTCACGGGAGCAAGAGCCACCACCTGCTTGCCCATCTTCAGCAGATCTCCTCTGGCTTCCTGCTTCTCAAAATGTCAAGGTTGAAGCACATACACACACCCCGCCACCCGCTGGGCAGAAACCACATCCCTGGGAAGTCGGTTGCCTCAGAGGAGCACTTTCAGATCATTTTCCGTTAGCTGTGCCTGGGCGCTGGGGGTGCGCAGGGAGGGAGCAGAGACCGCAAAGAACTCATGGAACCGCAAAGGAAGCCATGAGTGGCCTCCTGGAGGGCCTGTGGCAGCCGTAAGACCAGCTCTCGGGACAAGTCAGAGCCCCACATGCAAGCAGTGGGGGCTACAGGAGGTTTGTCGTTCAAAACGCATATGGCTGACACAAGTTGGGCAGGAACCAGGGACAGGATATTACCTTTAAATGCTGAGGGATTGTTTCAATATTAAATTCAACAGTTGCTGTGAAAGAGAAAAGGGTGTCCGCACAGAAGTCCCAAAGCCAGCAACTGGGAATATGAATTTCAGTTTAGGGTTTCTCCTCTGTGAGAGGACAGTCGACTCTCTTGGCAGCTGAAATGATGCTCCCAGACTGGAATGCTTACATCTACTTGCCAGAAACTGGCCAGGGAGTTACTTGTGGCCACATCTATGCCTCCCTCCCGCCCAAATAGTTGTGGGCTCTCTTTGCAGACAGACTATCAGGTAAACACCCTAGAAATTTGAATAAATAGTGCATGAAGATGCCCCCTTTTATTTTTTTAAAGCCTATCTGCTTAGCCCCACCCCATAAACAGCATGCACCACCCTGGGTTGTCTGTCCTGACGTGATGAAACTTTGGGAGGCAGCCGATATACATGTCCAGGGTTGTAAGGAGTTAACATGCTGCCAGCAGTCACACTTGGTCACACCCTGAACTAATCTTCAGGGTGGCAGGGGTGGGGAATAACAATAGCTGAAGCACAGGCAAGAATGTCAGAGAATCATAGAATTGTAGAGTTGGAAGGGACCCCAAGGGTCATCTAGTCCAATTCTCTACAATGCAGGAAGGTCAACTAAAGCATCCATGACAGATGGCCATCCAACATCTGCTTAAAAACCTCCCAGGAAGCAGAGACCGTTTCACTGCCAAAGGGCTCTTATTGTCTTCCTCCTGGTGTTTAGTTGAAATCTCCTTTCTTGTAACTTGAAGCCATTGGTTTGAGTCCTGCCCTTCAAAGCAGGAGAAAACAAGCTTGTTCCATCTTCCATGTGACAGCCCTTGAGATATTGGAAGATGGCTCTCCATGGGGCGCAGGTGTCTAAACCACTGAGCCTCTGGGGCTTGCCAATTGTAAGGTTGGCAGTTAGAATCTGCACAATGGGGTGAACTCCCCTTGCTCTGTCCCAGCTCCTGCCAACCTAGCAGTATGGAAGCATACCAGCATGAGTAGATAAATAGGTACCGCTGTGGCGGGAAGGTAAACGGCATTTCTGTGTGCTCTGGTTTCCATCACGGTGTCCCATTGCGCCAGAAGCGGTTTGGTCCTGCTGGCCACATGACCCGGAAAGCTGTCTATGGACAAAGGCCGGTTCCCTCGGCCTGAAAGCAGACATGAGTGCTGCACCCCATAGTCGAATTTGACTGGATTTAACTGTCCAGGGGTCCTTTACCTTTACCTTTACCTTTCTTTCCCCTATCTCCTCTCAGTCTCCTCTTCCCCAGGCCAAACATACCCAACTCCTTCAACAGAGACAAGTTTTCCTTCCTGGTTCACAATACTAGAGTGCATAGTAATTGGGTGAGGCTGAATGCTGGAAGATTCAGGGTGGACAAAGAGAGGCATTTCTTCACACAGCACAAGAGGTTGTGACGACCACCAACTTCTGTGGCTTTGCAAAGGACGAGGCGACCAGGAGCTACCAGCCACGATGGCTCCGCATTATCTCCGGCCTCAGAGGTTGCTGCAGATTGCAAGTGTGGAGAGTTGCTGCTGCACTCAGGTCCTGCTTGTGCCGTATTCAGAGGAATCCCACCTGCAGCTGTGGAAGCAGAACGCAGCCATTGTGGCTGGTAGCCATGGATCAGCAAAAACGTGCCACGAAACAGCACAGAAGTCTATACGAAGAAGGATTTCAGCTTCTCAGGGAACAGTCAGAAGGGTATTGACAGAGGGGGAATGTGAGGTGGCTTCCTGCTCACTTGTGCTCCATGTGAATTTGGTGTCTTTTTCCTCCTGGGGGGCAGTTTGGTTTTTTGGTCTCAGGCTTGGGGCTGGATGCCTTGCAAAAACCTTACTTCCAGAAGCTTCTACCAAGCTTGTCTGTTGCATACCTGCAACCATTCTGCAGGACAGTGACAGACCTACAATTATGGGACCCGAAACTTGAACTGTTATTGGGGGGGGGGGGGCTTGACAATCAGCAATGAGTTCTGGGTCACCCCTGTGACCACCTTCAAGAGGGTCATTCCATAACAGATCACAACAGTTTTGTTTTTTGTTTTTAAAAAAATCTCTGATATGGATTAAAACGGCTGTCCTGGATTTTCTCACCTGTCCAAGTCACTGGGGTGAATAAAAATGTCTGATGCCTTATAATTATTGAGCCCCACATTGGGTGAAAGATTGCTTTCTTGGAGGAGGTTGAACTAGATGACCCTCAGGTTCCTTCCAATTCTATGCATTTATGCTTTTATATGTCTGTGCAGGAGGGTGAAAAGGAGAGAAATGTTCTATACAGTACATGCATGAAGCATCATTGAACGATGAAATAAAACCTAGAAAAGACCACAGTTAATATAATATTCTATCATAGACACCTATGAGAATACATACTACATGAAGCACGTTTTATAAAATACTCTTTATTCCAGTCTTGCAGGGGGTTGGACTAGATGACCCTCGTGGTCCCTTCCAATTCTAAGATTCTATGATTCTTTTTTCCTGGTTTTTCAAGCAACATATTCACATCCTGAGAGTTTCCAAGCTATATCATTTTCTGGAGACAAGATGGAGTGCTCTACAGCAGAAGGGCCAACTTGCAGCACCTGACTCTTCAACTTTGGGATTGTCGAAAGAAAGACCACCCAGAATTAATCAGTTTGAGTCATGGGACTCAAAGGGGGTTGACTGGACCCCATTTTTTAAAGCAATGTGAACCAAAGTCGCTTCTGGGGCTCCTCTGGGATTCAGCTTCAGTTTCATATTTTTCAAGGAAGATCCACCTCCGTCTACGCCCTGCAAGGGGGACCTTTGTGCCCTCCACCCACTGTGGGGGCCCATGAGATGCCTGTGGGGAGCACCCCCACCTGGGCCATGGCTTGGTCTGGCTGCGCCCTTCAGACCCCAGTTCCTGTCTCCTCCTCTCCCCCCCATCTCCCCCCCAGGGGCTGCAGGCCGCTAAGCAGCAGGGGTGTCCCGTTCCCTTCATGGCATGCCTCCCTGGCCAGGCTGCTGCTCCTCCAGGGTGCAATTCAGGGCCCGGAAGCCAGGCAGTGTCACCCGCCCCAGCCGGGCCAAGTCAGCCGGCGAGCCTTGGTTCATGCGGCGAACCAGGTCCTTCTCAAAGAGCAGTGGGTGGTAGGCACCCAGCGTGCAGGCCTCATCCACATAGTCCTGGTAGTAGTGACACCGTGAAGACTGGCGCTGCGAGGGCAGGAACTCGTAGACATGGACCAGGTCACAGAGCGACAGCATCAGCACCGTCCCTGGAAGAGGGAGAGATGGAGATGGGGCCGCTGCAAAGAAGGACCTGCATGGCGGCAGAGGAGGGGGCCAGGAGGAAACTTATTTCACCAGGGCTGGAAAGTTGGTGCTTGATGAGTCCCCCTGAAAATGTGGAAAGTGCCTTGCACCTCATGCCCTGGAGTAACATCAGCCGCCCCCGCCCCCAACCAGTGAGAGGAAGGAAAGCAGGGCTCAGAGGAGCTCTGAGTAAAAAGGGAGGAAGAGGAAGGGTGCCTCTTGGCCACTCAAAAGGGAGCACCCTTGGGAGACACGAGGGAGGGGAGTGCCTTCCTTACCAAGCAGCCCTGAGGAGGGTGGGTTCCGCTGTACTGCCTCAGGCGCCCCTTCCTGCACCAGCCCCCAGAGCTGCCACTGCACCCGCGGGTGCAGCAGGTGGAAGAGCTGCTGGGGCCTCTGGGAGCGCATTGCTCGGAAGGGTCTGAAGATGGGGTAGTCGGGGGCCTCGAACCACTGCCGGGAGAGGGAGAAAGGGGAGTGTGGAGCAGAGCAGAGCTTCACTTCACCCCACCCCACCATCTTTGGTGCAAAGGTCTCTGGCTCTTGATTTCCTCCTAGCTATGGCATTCATCCTTCAAGCCAGAGGGAAATTGCAGGGAGTTCCCCTGCCCTGACAGCCGGCAGGAGGTGCCAGAGTAGCCCATCAAGTCCTGGGAGTGTAATTCACAGAGGATGCCCCTGCCCTCCCCTGGCACCCACGGATCTCGTCCTGCCCCAAGCACAAGGCAGAGAGAGGGTCTCACCTCCTGCAGGTCCCCTGGGAAAGGGGCTGGGTCCCATGCAACCAAGGCTCCCTGCGCATAGAGTTGGTCATCCAGAAAATGCTGCTCAGGAGAAGCCATCAGCTGTGGGGTAGAGGGGGGCGGATCGGGTCAGAACGGGCCTGACTCCAGGATCTCAGAATGTTGTTCAGATGCAAGAAGAGGCGGAGAGGGGAGGGCAGGGAGAGGTCCCCAGGGTTGCTGGCCCTTACGTGCAGCTTTCTTGCCCAGAGCCCACAAATACCTGCCCAGGGATCACTGAAGCCTAGAGGGGAAGGGCAGGCTGGCAGGCAGAGGGCAGCCCCACCTTTCTCTGCACTTTCAGAGAGGCCATCCTTCCCTCTTCTATCCTCTTGTTGCTCCCCTGAGAGAAATTATGCCTTTTGCTCTGAGCTGCTTGGCACGTACTGCTGCTCATATTGCACCCGAGTGTGTGCTCACACGCACCCACCCTCCCACCCACCTTCCACCTGCAGAGGAGCAGCATGGGGGTGACTTCTGTGGGCAAGGCCCCTTGATGCCACGTCCAAAGCCCTGGCAGTGCACAGGTGCCCCTCAGCCAGAGCACAAACTCACACTGGAGCTGGCGAAGGCAGTAACTGCAGCGCCATCACTCTTGGGTAACATTGAGACAACAGCTCTTGATCCTACTGTGTTCACCAGTGCCACCAGCATCCTGTGCTGTCAACAACTGCTCCTTGCGAACGGTTCCCTGACCCAGGGCAGGTGTTCACTGCCGAGATGAGCGCATTATTCACCAATCTGCTGGTAAGCGGCTGAAGGTGTGCCTTTTTATGGAAGCTCTGATGATCACTGGCTGTGATTTCTGCATCTCACGGCCATTCAACTCTCACCTGAAGACACAGGCCTGAGTTCACAAAAGTTCATCTCATAATTAATAACATTTGCTAGTTTTGAAGGTGCCTCAAGCCTCTTGACGCCAGTGGGCTTCAGCACACCCTAGAGCTGGAGGGCAGGGATTGTGGCTACAGAGCAGTCCAAAGCTCATAACCCCACACACTGCAGCCCCACTAGGCTGCCCCCAATTGGCTTTTCCCTTTATCTGGCCCAAACCCATATCCACACCCTGCTGTCCTCTCCCAGTCCCCGCCCTTTTCATTGCCCACCTGGGAATTCACAAGGCGGATGGTAGTTTTGGTGCCCACGTCCTGCTCATAGCCAGTAGTTGGGGCTCCGTTGAAACGAAGAACAGCATCATGGGAGTCTAAGAGGAGGAGGAAGAGGAGGAGGAAAATGAGGGCCAGGGGGAGGGAGAGCAGGCAGACCCCTACCCAACCAGGGCCCTTCTTAGACCTGCAGCTCCCTTCCTGGGGAGAGGGGAGCCAGCCATGCTGGGGGGGGGGGTGCTGCTCAAGACGTGTCCCAGGGCAGCTGCATCATCAGGGGAACGAGATGGCCCATTTCAAGCAGACTCCCATGAAGACCAGATAATTACCCATTATTTCAGTATTATTATTATTTTATCATTATGTAACTGTAAAGTATTGTTAGGAGTTTCCTCCTGAGACTTTGCCAACAGAAATGCTCTGCTAACATTTCTAGGATGTGAAATGAGCTCCTTCTGTGAGAACTCAGATGGAATTTTACACAAAAGGCCCAACCAGGACTCCCCTGCAAGGCCCAAGGGGAGCTGAGAACCTCCTGCTGCCACTGCCACTCTGCTGCTAAACTACTTGAAATGGAGAGGAGAGAGCCAGGTATACGAGGTGGGATATGAAGGGAACAACTCCTATCAATGGCTAGTAGTCACAAGGGCTCTGCTTTGCCTCCACAGTCGGCGGCAGCCATGCTCTGAACCCAGCAGGACTCAGGAGGAGAGACTCAGGGATCCTGTTCTCAGATCCTGTTTGTGAGCTTCCCATAACAGGCACCTGGTTGGCCACTGTGAACAGGATGCAGGCCTAGATGGGCCACTGATCCTGCACACTCTTCTTTTGCTCTGAAACCCAACTATAGCTGGGTGACTCCCATAAACAGGAGAGGCAGGTTGCTTCATGCTCCCGAGTGCCAGGACGCATGGCGCCCTCTCCTGAAGGGCAAGGCATCCCCTCACCCCCTGGAGGCTGTGCCAGAGCCACCCGCCGGGATGCTCCCCCCCCAACCAGCACTCACCAATCTCCTTGCCCAGTCCGGAGCCCAACATGGAGCCAGCAGAGCTGACGACGGCACACTTCCCCAGGGGGCCCAGCTCCTGCCTCAGGCTCCTGCGGGGCAGCAGCCCCCTCCACTCTGGGTCTGCAAAGGGCCCCTCGTCCCCCAGGAGCGTGGTCACTGCCACACGGCTCTGGAGCTGGCACAAGAGCTCTGTCCCAGTGGCATGGGGGTTCCCTCGGTGCTGCGCGGCCCCCGGGGGCACCCGGTACTTATTCATGGCTTGGTAGTTCTGGAAGACTTGCTGAAGGCGGGGGCCCAGCACCCCTGAAGAGAGCTTCTTCTGCCAGGCAGCCCAGGGCAGGGGCTGCAACTGGACAGTCGTCCTGGAGCCCTGCCAGGACCTCCCCAGCCCCTCTGCAAGGCGATGCCAGAATCTCCACAGGCCAGAGAGGAAGAAGTGCCACAACGGAGCCTGCTGGGCAGAGGCAAGGTTGGCAGGCCCAGCACCCAGGAGCCGCTGAAGAGTCCGGTTGCTTCTGGAGTGCAGCTGGAGGCTCCGGGAGACACCAGCATCTGCAGAGGTCGGGGGTCCTCCTGCCCCATGGTGAGCCAAGCGCAGCACGAGCCCGGACTGCAGGCAGAGCAAGGAGAGTGTGGCCAGGCACAGCAGAGCAAAGCTCAGCCAGGCACAGCCCCATCCCCATCGCCAGGGGGGGCGCAGGCAGCACCAGGGGTCCATGGGTCTGCGGAGAGATGGGCACAGCAAGGTGAGACACCTGGGGGTGCCATGGCTCAGTGCTTTGGCCACAGGGTCAGCTACGTGGCTGGAGTAGCCAAGTGCTTGTCAGGGCCAAAGGGCAGCCTGGTTGGAGCAGCTGAAGGCAGACTGCCCCCCCCCCTCTCCCCCCTCCCCAGCAAACAGTTTCCTGCCTCTAGAATGAGGGTCCCATGTAACTGCCCTCTTCATCCTCCAGGCATGTCAAACTGTTTTTAAAGTTACCAGAATTGCCATTACCACCATTCTCTTGTGGCAATGAGTTCCACAAGTACACACTGTGCAAAGGAACATTTGATTTTATTTGGCCTGATTTATTTGGCTAATACATTTCCCTAAGTAACCAAGAGATCCTCTCTTTCTCTCTCTCTCCACACCCTCCATCATTTCACGAACTTCTCCCTGCAATTTAAATCCAATTTTTCCCCCAACCCAAAGAGCCCTAAACGTTGTAAGCTGTCCTCGCAGGGGAGGTCCTGGATCGTTTTCCAGCTCCTTTCTGAGGGGCATCGACCAGACCTTCCCCGCTTGCTTCTGCTCCAGAGACTTGGGGGGGGGGGGTGCCCTCATCTCTGAAGAAGCCCTTTTCCGGGGGCGAGGTCTGACCTTTCTATTTCCCATCTATAAAATGGACAAAGCCTCGAGCCCGCTAAGGCCTCGGCCGTCTGGCCAGACTCGGCGCGGCTTCTGCAAAGGGAGATTCTGCAGCAGCCGCTTCGGGGGTGAAGGGCAAGAAAGTGGGGCAGCCCCACGCCCGCGGCCCCGCTGCCACCTTGGAGTCCCGGCAACCCCCTCCACTGCCCAAGGCTCTGGAGGCAAGCGAACAGGCGGGAGCCCGAGGGCCAGAGCGGAGCCGGAGGAAAAAGCCCCCGAAGGCGCCCGACCCGGGCAGCGTCGCCCTGTCCTCTGCGCGCCGCTGCGCACCTGGCGCCGCCCGTCTCCAGCTTAGGGACCTCCCGGCTAGAGACGCGCGGCAGGAACAACAACCAGGCTGCGCCGCCCGCGAGACTGGACGGTGGGCGGCTCCCTCCCCCCTCGCAACCCCCCACCCCACCCAGGACGCGGGCCAGAGGGCTGGGCTTCCCCAAGTGGAGGGGGACCCCGCCGCTCACCTTCTCCGCCGCCGCATCGCCGGCTCCGGGCACCAGCTGCAGCGGTGGGCGGGGCAATGCATCCCCAGCGGAGGCCACGCGCTGGGCCCCCCCGAGGCCGCCCCGCCGCTGCCTCCTTTCCAAGCCGGGTTGCTGCGCTGGGCAGGGGCGGCGGTCTTTGCCCCCAGTGTCAGGTTTCCAAAGGGGAAAGAGCATCTCTGAGAAGCCCCATTCCCGGCATCTTCGCCCTCCTGCCTCAGCGCCGCCTGGCTTGCTCGTGTCCACGGAAGGGAAGATGGCAGGATCCCCGGGGACGGGCTCTACGGGGAGCTGCTTTCCAGCACCAGGCCTGGCGGCCGACCAACTCTGCATTGCAAAGATGTCTGCGAGCGTGTCGTGAGGGCAGCCCACACCAACCCCGCCATGTGGGAATCCCTTGCAGACAGGTCGTGCATCCATAGCAGCGACCAGAGGAGGAATGACCGCTGGGAGGAGCGCAGAGAGAAGAACCGCCGGCCGGGCCACGGCGGGGCGCCGGTTTTGCAACGCCTGGCCGGCTCCCTCCTGCGCGGGGGGGGGGGGGGCACAGTGCGCCCTTCGATCCGTGCATTTCCAGGGTGCCCTTATGTACGGGCACCCTATTCTTATCACAGCGTCCATTGCCCACTGTGTCATTACAGCTTACGCGTTGTCTGGATCAGGCCCAACTATTCCAGTCTCCTCACTAGGCGCTCCGGAAAGGGAAGAAGCCCCCCAAGCAAGACCTGAGAGCAGCAGCATGTCGTACTCAGAAGCATTTTTGCCTCGGACCCCGAGGGCAGAGCATAGCGATCCAGCTGGCAGCCATTGAACCGGGTCTGCAATGAAATTTGTGGCCTCTTTTAAAGCCATCCAAGTTGGACGAACCTCCCAACCTGTCCTGAATCTCCCATTCGGCTTCACTGGATGTCCACGGGTTCCAGCATTGCAGGGGGTGGGCTAGATGATCCCTGGGATCCCTTCCAACCCTGCAGGGGTCCTTTACCCTTTTTTTTGTTCCATGGCAAAATTTGCACCATCCACCCAATTGCCTGCTTGTGATTGCAATCTGGCTTGCAGAAGAATGAATTTTGACTGGGAAAACTACTGCCCATCTTGACAAGGGAAGTGTCCTGTGAAAGGGAGCAGAGAGGCCAACACTCCTCTGTTCAGGGACAGAGCTCCCTTTGAAGGCAAGGAAACAGGAACTAGTAAAAGCCACTTTGGCACCTACACTTGGAAGCTGATTTGCATGTGGTTGCCTACAAGTGGGGAAAGACAAAGGCGCTTCCCTGCCAGTAGAAAAAGAGGCAAGAGCCAGTCCACCATGGAAGAGGTGGCAGAGGGAGGGACTGCCTCTCTTTAAACTCCCCCAGACCCAGGAACAAAGAACTGAGAAGCTGAGAAGCACCTCCTAGGAGAGAGGAGGGGAGGTGGACTCTGGCAGGAATCCTGTGTGATGGGGAGAGACCCTCAAGAGGCACTCACTCCCCTGGGAAAGCAGACGCAGTCTTCAGCAGACCAATGTCTGGTTGCAAGTCACTTGGGGAGCGGAGGGCCAAGAGCTGCTTTGTGCTCTGCTCTGGTCAGCAGTGGCCAGGCCAGCAATTTCAGCAGGGGAGAAGGCATTCACCTCGCTTAGAAGCCCAGGCAGCCAACAGGGTATCTGGCTCTGCCCTTCCAAAAGCCACAGGGCAAAGTGGTTTCTGAACAAAGTGTGTGAGCTTTTCTGCCGGAAAGGTCCTGCTCAGTTTAAGCTTCAAAGAAGATTTGTAAAGTGGTTTAATATGCAGAGTGCTTTTAGCTTAGGTTTTACAACCTGGAATGCACGTTAGGACTGAGTAGAAAGTCACACACTTGCAGCCTCCCTTGAATCTGCCCATCTGATCCTAGTCACTGTTCCCCTCGTCTAATCTACAGCCCTCTGTTAGGTTTCCATAGCAGTCTGATGCAGCCCCATGAAGCAAGTCTTTTTAATCTAACTGGCTGCAGCACAAGCCCCCCAGGAGTACAAAAATAAAGCAAGCTTGGGTACCAGTGCAAGGGGAGCTCCAACAGCAGCCGTGCAAGCAGACAGGACAGGCAAACCTCTCTGTCTTGCTCTTACGGTAAATGCATTAACAATGGCTAGCCAAGAGATTAGTGCCGGGACCATCCAACCACCTGCAAAGTCGACTGCCTGCCTCTTGGACGGAAGTGGTGGGTCTGTGCTGAGTGCAACATCCTCCTGGCTCTCTGGGAACAAGGTTCTTCCCTTGAGGCCAAGGGAGATGACTGGAAGATGCTCAGAGGCATTTCAGGCAAGGAGGCCTTAAGGAGCAGGATTGTTCCAAGCAGTTTTTATTTCCCACCCCTTTCCTAAAGATCCCTGGGAGGGGGGACCTGCCTTCTCACAGCTGCCACATATGAGGGAAATCTGTTACCTCTTCCCCAGTCAGTCATCACCAGCTCAGACTCCACCAGCACAGATGTAATGGTAGGAAATTTTGCTCCCCCCCATCACTGTACGCTAAACCATGGGCACTACTTTCTTGCCCATCCTCGCTTCGGAGGTTCCTTGGGAGCCCTTGCTTTCCCTCTTCTTGGGCTTCTGCCAGCCAGAAGAACTTGCTGCTTCACCCCCAACTCCTGCTCCCTTCTTGGAACAGGTGAAAGGAGGACCAGCCCCAACCCAGGCAGATCCTCAGGGAGCCCCCTCCCCTTTCTGCCTTTTCTCCTTTGAGGGAGCCCAGCCACATCTTCTCCGACCCTCTCAGGATGATCAGGGAAATTGGTCCACAACCCAAGGTTCCCATGCCATTCTGAGAGGCCCCACCTGCCTCCCCATTGGCATAGGTGGCCAGGGAAGGGGGGGCCCACCCAGCACACATACGCCCCAGCACACATACGCCCCCCAGCACACATACGCCCTGCAGGAAGACGCAGAAGCAGCAATTCATAACAAAATATACATTATCTCATGATAACTTACAAACTGAACACATATAATATTACAGTGAAATTCGCTGGGTGACAATGGGAAGATGGGTCGCTTCAATGCATGCTCTTCCACAATGGGTTGAACCTGCCTCCCCTGGCCAAGGCGGTCTCTGCTGGAGCCTCACCCCCAAACAAAATGGGATCCCAGCCGCTGCCATCAATTCCAAGGACTCGGTGTTAACGGGCAGAAGTCTGCAGCCAGCGCCAGCTCAGCTCCACCAGCTCAGAAGGCAGCACAGTAAGGGCGGCCTGAGAAGCCTCCTGTGTGGGCACCAAGGAGCCAGTCTCTCTCACAGGGGCCCAACTTCCTCCAGCTCCAGGCCCCTCTTGGGTTCTCCTCTCACCTCCCCTAGTGGCCGCTTCTGGCTGCGTAGCGCTGCTTCGCCTCCTGCAAGAAGTTCTGGAAGGCGGGTTCTTCGCAGCGCTCCTCCGTCACTAGGGCAGGGGACAAAAAAGCCCCTGGGTGAAGTGGGTCCCAGAACACCACCAAAGGGGAAGACCATCCCGTAGGGAACATCCCCGGCCAACCACAATGGACTTAAAGCGAGCTTGCTACACAAAGTCCCTCTGAGATCAAGGCCAGGGCTCATGCTGCACCAACAAACCAGCCACCCTGAAACGGGATGCAGGCATTTTGGAGGATGCCCTCCCTCCCCTCCCCGGTCTCTTGATTTGCCTTTCCCTCCCCCCAAACCACTGACCTTTCCCAGTCTCCTTAACCCACCTTACCTTCGTGGTCAATGTCATCGGTGTCACTCTCTTGGCCTTCCTCCGGCTCCTCTTCCCCCTCCAAAGTTCCTCGGGTCAGAATCAGTGCCGAGGGACCCGCTGCGGATTCTGCTATGGAGCCTGGAGACAAAAGCCAAGTGGCTGCCAAGCCTGTCCTGGCCCCAGACTGTGCCCCCCTCCCGCCTGCCAGGGGCCCACCTTGTCGCTCCTGCCCCCACAAGGCAATGGGCAAAGCTCTGTGCCAGGAAGACTCCCATCCTGTGTGCTCAAGAGGGGCTGCGCAGCCATGGCAGGCAGGCGGAAGTCACAGGCATAAACAGGGAGAGGCTGGCTGGGAATCCAGGGAGGAGGAGACAGCAGCAGCCTAATCCAACAGGTGCAGCGTGGGGCTCCCCAGCTGATCAGCTGAGGAAAGCAGTCAGCCAGGGTACAGACCCTGCCCACACCCACTCTGCTTCCCCAGAGCAATGGCTCAAGGGGTGGGGGAAAGGTTGGTACTGCCAGCAGCCTCCTCCCTGCTTGAAGGCAAGAGCCAGCGTGTCCACCAGTTGTAGCCCCCAAGCAGCCTCTCTAGCCTTCAGGGCCAGCCTCCCCGCAAGGCCTCCGCAGCCCCACCCCCTTGGCCTTGACTCACTTGAGGCTGCCGCACTGCTCTCCATCGCAAGGGGGCCCAGGTCCCTCTGCAGACGCTGCAGCTGCTCCTGCTGCCGCTGGCTTTCCACCTGCTCCTGCAAGCGAGGAAAGGGAAGCAAGCAATTCCTGCTGGTCCTCCAGCACATGCGGGTCCCTGCCTGCCTGCCTGCCTTCTGCAGCAGAGCTCCAGTTGGCACCTGTGGGGCTCCAGCCTGCCACCTCCCAGCATGCCCTGGTGGTGCCCACAGCGCATCTGCGCAGCTCCTAAAGCAACTGCTGCCGCCACCCACAGCAAAGCTGGTGAGAAGTCAGAGCCCTGCAAGGCCAACAGCAGCTCTGAGTTCTTCAGGTCGGAAGCTGTCTATAAACAGAGACAATAGCAGCCACAGGGATCATGAGCGTGTCCTTCAGAGCCGAGAGAGAGTGGAAGGAGAAACCACTCAGGACTCCAGGATCTAGAAAGATGTACACTTATGTGCACACATGTACAGAAGGCAGCACACTAAACCCTGAGCGCCAATGGCTGCTTTGAGTTCTTCTGGCAAGGGAGCAGAAGCCTCCTCAGGCCACGTGGGAAGGCAATTGGGAGCCCCCAACATGCTGGCAGGAGGTGCTCCCTGACCACCTCTCCTCCCTCCATCTGGTAAGATGGAAGTGCCCATCTTGAGGCCAAAGGAGGACTTACACAAGCAGAAGGAGCTTCTCCACCCACATTGTCCAGCCTGGACACTGAGGTCCTTCTCAGTCGTGGCGCCCACCCTGTGGAATGCCCTCCCGTCAGATGTCAAGGAGATGAAGAACTACACAACTTTAGAAGACATCTAAAGGCAGCCCTGTATGGGGAAGTTTTTAACGTTTGAGGTTTTGTTTTTAATATTTTGATGGGAACCGTCCAGAGAGGCTGGGGCAACCCAGTCAGATGGGCGGGGTACACATAATAAAATTATGATGATTATGATGTGGGGAGCCTTTCCCATGTGACTGACTGGGGGCAGGGGAAGCACCAGCAGAGGGCAGAGCAACAACACGCCAAGTGCATCTGGAGACAGACTCACCATTTTCTTCCTTAGGCGCTCATACTCTGGGCGGTATTCTCTGGAGGGAGAAGAGAAATGGGTTTCAGCTGTTTATTCTTGGGCACCACAGCCTCACTCCCAGGCAACCATTGTAGAGACTAGGAGGGCCCCTTACAGCAAGGACCACAGCCCAGACCTCCAGTCACTGACCCCAGGGCAGGGCTGGAACGGGCAGGGGAAGAGGCTTTCCCCCGGGGCTTCATGTCTCCCCATAGAGCAGCAGAGGGGATCTTGCCCCCTCAAAGGCCCCCATTCTGGTCACCCTATGCTGCATCTAGAGGGATCCCCAAATGGATTTGCAGGAAGCCTTGGAGTTAATGCAAGCTCATCTGGGCCATTGTTCTGGGATGCAGCACAGCAGGATGGCAGAAGCCTCACAAGTCAAGAGTTTTTGGGAGGTGGCCTGACAGAGAAGGGGAGAGAGAAAGGCTTTCATCCCTCTCTTGTAATGCTGCAACTTGGGGGCATCCAATGAAGCTGCAAGGCAGAAGACTCAGGACACACAAAAGGAAGGACTTCCTGACACAGCATGCAGTTCAACTCTGGAACTCCCTCCTGCAGGAGGCAGTGATGGCCCCCAATTTGAATGGCTTTAGAAGAGAATTAGGACAATGCATATTCTCCTTCCACAGGCAGAGGGAGGATGCCTCTAGACGCCAGTTGCTGAGAAAAGCAGGTGTGCCGAGGGCTCCTGTTGGCCTCCGGATCTGCTTCCAGGCATCTGGTTGGCCACTGTGAGACCTGGACACTGGACTAGGTGGGCCCCCTTACACAAGGGGACTCTCTCACCTCTCATACTCATCGACAGCTTTGGAGAGGAGTTCGAAAAATTCATCCAGCCCTGTCCCCTGGACAGCAGAAACACCAACCACCTGCAAGAGAAAGACCTTTGTTTCAAACAGGGTTTGTGCGGAGCGTGGGAATTGAGTGAAGGAGAAGGGCTTGCAAACACCTTCCTCTGCTCCAGTGGAGCACCAGCACCAGAACATTGCCTAGCCCCCCTCCCCGAGGGACAGGAGCGATGGGCACAAGCTCCTTTTCCAGAAGAGGTGGCACAAGGCCATCTAGCGGGGGGGGGGGGGGCACCTGAACTCTCAGGCCTCCCTGGACCAAGTCCTTCAAGCATCCACAATAGCCTGTCCAGATGCAACAGCACAGGGTATCTGGGATACTCAAGGTTTGGGGGGCGGGTTGCAGAGGAAGGTACCCCTCCCTCCTTGGAGCTGCTTCCCTGAAAGTTGGACAGAGTGAAGGTGGGAAACAAATGCCAACTTCATGCAATGTCAGGAATGTGCCTGCAAAGAGGTCTCATTCAGCATCCACACCTGGATGGGGGTGGGGGGAACCGTGCCCACCTTGAGCGAGTGGTAGAACTCGTCCAGCACCAGGCTGAGGGAGCGAGTCAAGTTGCTGACATAGGTGGTCTCCTGGCTGAGGGCGTCCTGGAAGGCTTCAAAGTCTTGCATCCACTCCACAGCAAAGCTGTGGTCGATGATGTCCGTCTGCGTCAGGAAGGCAGAGAGTGAGTGAGGGTGGCAGGGGGCACAGGTGGGCAGCTGCTCCGCAATGCCACCTCTGGGGCAAGGACCACAGGCCCCACACCATGACGGCTGCTTCTCTTCAGCCATGGCAGGCCAGGCCAAGAGGCAGCGGCAGCTCCTCCTGCCTCCCCCCACCATGAGACAAGGACCAGCTAAACAAGTGAAGGCTGTGGTCACACCCAGAGTGCAAGCTCCACCCTGGAAAGACGCAATTGAACAGCAAAGTTTCATCAGCAAAAGGGACAGCAGCCCTTCAAGGCACCTGAAGAGCCTTCCATGCCTCCTTGCCCACCCCTGATCCTAGCAACCTTCCATTCTTTATGGGGGTCAGGCTGCCTTCCTTCCTCTCTGGAAGTGGCAGGCTCTGCTCCAAGAAAGCATCTTCCTGCTGGCTGAACATCCTTTTCGTCACCCTCTTCTTTGCCGCCCTCACCAAAACACTGCCAAAACAGCTTCTGCTCTCAGATTCAAGTGCTTCTGTGCAGCTGTTTGCATTATCTGCATTTCTGTTCGACTGATCACTTTAGGACAGGAGTGGCCACAACAGCACACAATGCCCATCGCCTACCAGGAGTCCTTCATTTTGTCATGTAGGCCATGGCTGAAGAAGCCAAGCCACTGCAAATAACATCTGCGTGATCAGCTTCCAACATCCCACTGTCTACCCAGGCTCTGATCTTCTCTCTCTCGCACTGGAATTGTTTGTGACTCTCTTTTGTAAGGCTTCCTTCAGAAACTCCCACCCAACTCAGCTCTTTTCCCTGTCAGTGTATTGGGCCATGGAATTCTCCTGACTAGCATTTCTCTGAGCGTGTTAAAATCAACTTCCTTAAATGCAGTAAATCTCTTTGGCTACACCCCCTTAAGCTTTCCGTAGGCGCCTGAATTCCAGCACACCCTGCATGACCACTGTCTGCCATCATTCCTGCCCCAAGTTCCCACTGCATTAAAACCACTGAACAATTTTTCCCTATAGGCTGGACTAATGCCAAGGTCAGTCAATCTCCTCATCTCTTCCTCCACCTTTTGAAAACACAAGTTGTCCACAAGGCAGGCCAGGATTTGGGTGGGGGAATCCATGCTCTGTGGAGTACGTCTCCCAAAAGATCCCAGGGTGTGCTGAAGTTCCCCCAAACTACCAGTTCCTGCTTCCCTGAAGCATATGTAACTTGTTTCAGGAAAGCATCATTCAGATGGTCTTCTTGGTTCAAGTCTTAGACTGGATCAGGGCATTCCACTCACCTTGTTCATGGCCACGATAAAAGGGAGCTTCGTCTTGTACAGGATACTGAGAAGAAAACAACAGCAGCATGATCAGGGATGCAGAGATTGCCACTTTCGATCTGGGGTTGCCACAAAGACATTTCGCTTAGAAACTCATGACTGAAAGAGCAGGCAGTTTGTGTGCTTTCCTAGAGAAGGCCTAAGAGCAGCAGAGGCAGCTTCTTGCTCAAGGTTCAAGGAAGAAGCCAAGAAGCCACCAGAAGAGGGGCTAACAATTCCACCTCCCAGGAATGAGGGAGTCGTCTCTGAGGTTTCTCAGCAGCTACTGAGAGAACAACCCTGTTCCCAAACAAAGAACAATAAGAGAGATGCTCTCCAATAATGGGTAAGCCATTATTAATTGCATAACAGATAAATAACACTACGGAGAGAATTCTCCTCTTACCTGCAGGCGTAAAGCATGTTAGACATGAACGTGACAGGGCTGGTGCTGCGTGACGTGTCCATCACATAAACCACCACGGATGGGAAGGAGGAAGCCTAAATGGGTACATCAAAGGGGGGGAGCATTAGCCCAACAGGGCAACCCGCCCCCAGGCACCTCCTGCAAAGTAGGCCAGCTGAGCAGAAGGTCCTCACCAGAGCTTCAGTGATGATGGTGCCGGAAGCAGACCAGGTGAACACCTCAATCTGCCCAGGAGTGTCAATCAGGACGTACCTGCAAGGGGAAGAATTTGTTCTCTCTCACACACAGGCCACATTCAAATCACTTTGTCCAAAACAAGCTCACCCACTAATCAGCTAACACCTGGAAGATGGGGTTTAATCGTGCACTGGTTGCACAATCCTGTTCTCATCAGGGAACAGCATCCCACAGCCCAGGCAGCAAAATTTAATCTTCACTCATCAGCTCCTGAGTGGAGATTAAAGATCAGAGTGAGATCAGCACAAAATTGGGGTCTTAATAGGAATGGGGGAGGAGAACACTCACAAAGTCTTCTGCAAGTCTCTTCTCTTTTAAACTCCCGATTTTTTTCTTTAATTATTTTGGAATTATTTTCACTTCTAAGATTAATTATGGTTTGCCTTGAATGTCTCACACTAAGTTAGAAAACTGGAATGACCATCTTGAATACATGCACAATAATGTGACACAGTTCACCCCTTTGTTCTGCTGAAGGTGAGGCTGCATACGCACCTCCCGTCAAGAGGAACTTCCATCACCCCCCTCCCCAGGTGACAGCAGGCTTCCCACTGACTCACTGAGATGCTGCCTGTCGTTTCTCAATGAACTTCATCACCTAGTCAGAAAGAGAAAGATGATTTATAGGTAGAAACAAGAGAATTAGAGTTTGCAGTTAAGTTCATGATACACAAGAAAACATGATATCATCAGCATCAGAAGTACAGAATTACCATTATGTGATTAAATTGTTAACTGGGATATAAACAACAACAACAACAAATTTATTTGTACCCCGCCTTCCCTGGCTGGAGCCGAGCAGCTAACATCATAAAACTAAGACAGTATCCAAAGAACATAAGAACAGGCAATCTATTAATTAAAATACACCTTAAAATTAGTTCAGATACAAATTTGCTCTGAGCCTTAGTATTGATAATAATATGCGGCCCTCTGATGTGGCCCAGAATGTCAAATGCTCATCATTGCTGGCAAATTCTCCAAGAGAGGAAGTTTGGCACCTACAAACTCAAGCTAAATGCAGTACCATTCAGTGAAATTCACCAGAAATTACATACCTGGTCAAATCTTGTCGCAAAAAGGTTCAGAGAAGTCACAATACCGCCGTTGGGGCCAAGCCCATACCTGGTGCACATTCAGGAAAGGTTGGTAGAAATCTGAAAGTCACCTCTAACAGCATATTCCCTTCCCCTTCCTCTACCCCAGATAGAGACTCAGGCCATTTAAAGCAAAGGTGTCACATAAAACCACATTTGTAGAGATTGCCAACGTCAGCAGCAACAGCTCAAGAGACACACTGGCAATTTCACCAGATGCACAAATACCATGCCCAGCCTTACTACATCCTTTCAACATTGGTTTTCTCCACCCATTGCAGTGTGCAAAGTCCAGCAGGGGTAGACAACCTAAGGCCCGGGGGCTGGATGTGGCCCAATCGCCTTATCAATCTGGCCCACGGACAGTCCAGGAATCATCGTGTTTTTACATGAGTAGAATGTGTCCTTTTATTTAAAATGTGTCTCTGGGTTATTTGTGGGGCATAGGAATTCATTCATTTTCCCCCTTCAAAATATAGTCCGCCCCCCCCCAAGGTCTGAGGGACAGTGGACCGGCCCCCTGTGTCTCCCAGTCCCCCCTCCCCCGCTCGGGTAAGGATACTGCTTCATGACCTCCTTGTACTTCACGGTGTCTCGTATGTCTTTGGGAAAAAGGAGAGGGAGAGAAATGAAGCCCCCCGACCAGGCAGAGGCCAGTCCCGCCGCCGCCCCGCCCCCGGCCCCGCCACTCACCGATGTTGGCCGGGAAGGGCAGCTCGTGCACGGCGGGGTCCAGGTTGATGACGTAGGGCGGGCAGCCCCGGCTGTGCAGGTGCGCCGTCAGCCGCTGCGGGAGGAGAGAAGCGCCGTCAAGCCCGAGGGGAGCCCCAATCCCTCCCTCCCGGCGGGCCCGCTCCCCGCAGCGCCGCTCACCTGCACCAGCGCCGTCTTGCCCGAGCCGGCCATGCCCAGCACCAGCACGCAGACCGGCGGGGGCCCCTCGGCCGAGCTCGCCGCCGCCGCCGCCATGTCGCCTCGCGGTCGCCAGCCCGCTTCCGCTTCCGGCCAGGGGCGGGTCTTCCGGCCAGGGGCGGAGCAAGAGGCCCCGCCGGGGCGCCCATAGGGCCGCTCTTGGCCACAGAGCTAGGAAAGGGGGAGCAGCCCTCAGGTCGGGACAGCGGGACCTCTCGTTCCAAGTGGGCTGCGTTTGCTCCCCTCTTCCCTTTTCGTCTCTGCATTCTTTTCTCTGCTGTTTTGACCATAGAGGTGCCATAGAGAGGCAGAGCGGCCGCCCCGCTCCACGGTCATAGAGCGCAAAGCGAGTCCTCCCGGCCGGCGGTAATGACGTCACGAGGGGACGGCGAGGAGGGGCCGTTCCCCGGTGAGGCCCTGATCCCCGCCTCCTCCGTAACCTTGGCAACGCGGGGCGGGAGCAGCAGCCGCTCCCCCGCTGAACTCCCGGAGGGGAGGGGCGGAATGACGGAGCCCGTCGGGTTGGGCGGGGCCCCGGGGGTCGCGGAAGCGTCCTTAACCCTTCCTGTGCCGGCGCGGCCTCCTCCCTCCTTGGGGCGGCGCCAGGAGCCTCGCAGAGGTCGGTCTCGGAGGGGGGGGGAGGCGCCGAGGCCTCGTTCCGGGGACCCCGCCGCCGCCTGGGCGAAGAAGGAGCCCCGCCAGCCCCCGGAAGCTCAGAGCCGAGATCGGAGGAGCCGGGCAGCCGCCCGCCTAGGATGGATCCAGCCCCGTTCCCTGGCCGGAGATGAAGGGGGCGAAGCCCGCCGCCGCCAAGACCCCTGGCCGGGAGGAGGGGGCGAGGGAAGGTGAGGAGGGGGCGCGTGGTGCCTGGGGATCGTTCCTCTCTCGCGGCCGCTTGGCACCTTCCTCCTCCGGAGAAGCCCAGAGCGCCTTTGCCGGGTCGGGGGGAGGCATAGTTTGCATGAGACAATGGAAGAGGTGGAAGGGACTGCCAAGGGTCATGCCTGCCAACCCCCTGCCATGCAGACATCAGCCTGCCATAAAGCATCCCTGGCAGAGGGCCACCCAAGCTCAGAGTGTACCAGGTGACGTTCAGGTACAACCTCAGCCCCCTTATCTATAAGCCTGAAAGCGTCTTAAATCAGCACCCTTCCCTCCAACGGGGAGCTCATCTTGCTTGACTAGCCGAGGGAGCCAACGTTTGTCCGCAGACAGTTTTTCCAGGTTATGTGGCCAGCATGACTAAGCCGCTTCTGGCGAAACCAGAGCAGCGCACGGAAACGCTGTTTACCTTCCCGCCGGAGTGGTTCCTATTCATTTACTTGCACTTTGACATGCTTTTGAACTGCTAGGTTGGCAGGAGATGGGACAGAGCAACGGGAGCTCACCCCTTCGCGGGGATTCGAACCAACGACCTTCTGATCTCAGTGGTTTAGATCACAGCGCCACCCGCGTCCCTTATTCTTCGATAGGAGCTATTAATTTGCATGTCACTCCAGGACACAAAGGCAGAGAGCATAAGGAATCACAGGATGCAGCTTCTGACTGCCAATCCCAGGCCTGTCAGGTCCATTCAGAGGCTGCTCATGGGAAATGCTGACTTCAAATGAATTGGGTCCCATCTAAAGATAGGGAGTTTGGTTAAAAAGGCTTCTGCTGGCTGAGTCTCTTAATGACCCTTTTCCGATAACCTTTCATGATAACCTTGAAATCCTCTTGGGAGCCTAGGAAGCTGCCTTTCACTGAGCCAAACCATCAGGTCCTTCTAGCTCAGCACTGCCTGCACTGCAGTGGCTTCTCCATGGTTTGGGGCAGGGATCCTCTTCCTGGAGATCTCACTGGGGGCTGAACCTGTGAACTCCTGCCCTCAACAGTGCTGGTCTCTCAAGAACTAGAATCTCCTGGCACTTTTAATGTGATTTGGCATTCCTTTATGAGATATACTCAGAACTACTACTACTACGTGCCTATACTGTAGTTTTGTTTTCACCTTTTGATTTTCAACTGTTAAAATTGTTCTCTCTCTTCTACAATAACAATAACTAAAGAAGTGTGCATGCACACAAAAGCTCATACCAATAACTAACTTGGTCTCTAAGGTGCTACTGGAAGGATTTTTTAAAATTTTGTTTCAATAACAATAATATTTATACCCCTCCCATCTGGCTGGGTTTCCCCAGCCACTCTGGGTGGCTCCCAACAGAATATTAAAAACACGATAAAGCATCAAACATTAAAAACTTCCCTAAACAGGTCTGCCTTCAGATGTCTTCTAAAAGTCTATGCATTCTATGCAACAGGGACGTCCAACTTCCAAGAGGCTGCGATCTGCTCACAGATCGACCAGTAGATCGCAATCGACTTGTTGTACGTGCTTGCTATACATTATAGAATGAAATAATAATACAGTCCTGTACAGTCCTATTATCGTACAGTCTACGAACAGTCCTGTTAATGAACTATTCAAGCAACGAACTCCGCAAAACCGGAAGTAGGTGTTCCAGTTAGCGAACTTTGCCCCGGAAGCCGAACGGTGGAAGGGCACCGGTGGTGGGTGGCCTCAGTAGGGAAAGCGCACCTCAGTTCAAGAGCACTTTCGGCTTAAGAACGGACTTCCGGAATGAATTAAGTTCATAGACCGAGGTACCACTGTAATAAATCCCCACCCCCCAAAAAGCACACATTTGTCTCAGTCTCTCTTCTGCTCTTAGCTGGGGATTCCCTTTCCAAGGCAAAGCACAAGCAGGAAAACAAAGATGCAGGCGATGACAAGGATCTCCCCCAAAAGAAGCAGAAATCTGGTGAGTGGATTCTACTTTGGTTCCTTTCTCTGGGCCCCTGCACGCTCCTGGCTCTCCTGCAAGGAGCGGGGCTGGAGACCCCCTGCCCACCTACTCAGCTCAGTTCCTCCTGATGTGAGGGGGCTGCCCATCCCTGTCCCTTTGCACTCTACACTTTGAGCTTTGCTGCTCCCAAGTGATGAGAGCCTCTCATGAACTATTCATATTCCTGTGTGGGAGGTTGAGCCCATGTTGGGGTGGTCACTTCCCTTGGCCTCCATCTCTCCCCAAGGTTGTTGGTGGGGTGTTCTGGGTTGTGGTGGAGGGTAGATGGTCCTGGCTGCAGAGGCAAACCTTCACTGCTGTTTTTCCTTGTCCCAGGGAAATGGCAGCAGATGGGGCAACAGCCTCATCTCAAGCCCAAAGGTGGCCATAGAAAAAGAGACACACCGGTATATGCAGCAGGTAAAACAGGACCCCGACATCACAGCTCCTTGGTGAGGACAGAAGCCAAGAAACCAGGGCCACCGTCCTCTGGACCCCAGGACCTCTGGCGAAGGGGCGGGGCCTCTTGTCTGCCCTCCCTGTGTGCAGCCAGGAATGGCGCATAGCTGAAGAAGCAGGCAGAAGAGGTTGTTGGGGTGCATTACTGGGTGGGGGTGCAGAAAGCTAGTAAGCGTGACTGTGTCCCTAAGCATAGAAAGAAGAGCCCTGCAGCAGGTAGGCCAGCCCAAGATGCCCCAGTGGGATGCCCACAGGCCAGGTGAGAGGGCTGCCCCACTCAGGACCAGCCAGGAACCTTAAGAGGCTGAGTCAGCACCTTCTTCTCGTCCACCAGGCAGCCTGGAAGAGCACTGGCAGCTGGAGATCCTGAGCAGAGGCCGCGTCACTTGTCCCACCTGCAGGGCTGTTGTGAGGAAGACGGTGGAAGGGCTGAAGAAGCACATGACCAACTGCCAGCATGTGAGCAGACGGGGGGATGGGACCTTATCCTTTTCCTAGGCAATCCCTGGGGCTCCTTCCAACCCTGCAACTCATTTTCAAGTCATGGGGCGTAACAGTGTCATAAGAAACCTGCTCCATCAGGCCAAGGGAGGCCCACCTCGTCCTGCTTCCTGTCTCCCACATCAGCCAGACAGCCACTCCTGGAAAACCCCCAGCAGCAGCTCCCCCCACACTAACCCCCAGCCTGCCAGCAGCTCTTGCTCAGAGGTGAACCATTTCACCCTGGAGTTCAAGGGGATCCTGCCAGCCCCTCTTCTCCCCCGCAGCCCTTTGGGGTCTCTCATGGGATTGCTTGCATGGTGCTGCCCAAACAAGAGTCGTTGTTCTTGGCCATTGAGACTGAGGGTTCAGTGAAGCAGCTTCTGCTCTGCATGTCTGCATGAGGGGGAAGCCCCAAGGGAGCACCCAGGGCCCCCGAATTACTTATTTATTTTGTAAAATTTATATACGGCTTGTTTGTAAGACAAATCTCAAAGCAGTTTACAAAAAAAGGAACAGTGAAATTATCGCTAAAAATTTAAGAACCATAATTTTTAAAATGCAGAAATTAAACTCACAGTAGAATAGAGCAGAGCAAGTCAGTTTCCGGGATGGGGGGGGGGGGGATGGACGGACACTTCAGGCCCCAAACTCCAGGAGCAAGGACTAATGGGAGATGTTCCCACAGCCCGTGCTGCCCAGATGCTGGTGGCTACTGCTGACATGTGCAATACCTTGTGGTCTTCCTAGGAGATGCTCACATGCCACCGCTGTGGGAAGCAGCTGCGGTCTCTGGCAGGAATGAAGTACCACATCATGGCAGACCACAACAGCCTGGTAAGTAGATGCTGCGCGCCCACAAGAACGTGTCTGGCTCCCCGGATGCCTCAGGCAGATGCTTCAGTCCCTGGAAGCCCAGCCTGCTGCCTGCCTGTATATCCATCCCCCCTGGGCCTTGTTCAGAGCCCTCTGGGGAGCCTCTGGCCTGACCCAGCCTGCCTTGACTCCCGACACGGCAACAGTTCAGCCCCAGCAGGTCTTCCTGGGCCTTTGGCCCTTGGGTCACCTGCAAGCACAGATACCCAAGGGCCATCTAGTCCAACCCCTGCAACACAGGAATCACAACTGCATCATTCCAGACAGGGGGCCACCTCTGATGGAAAATCTCCAAGGAAGGAGAGTCCACCACCTTCCCAGGGAGCCCGTTTCACTCTCAAATGGCTCTTGCCTCCAGAAAGGTCTTCCTGGGCTTTAGTGGGAATCTCCTTTCTTGCAATCTGAATGCCTTGGTTTGGAGCGTCTCTGGCCAGCCTTTCCCTTCCCTTTTACGCAGCCGGTGGGGACAGAGGAGGCGGCCTGCGATCTGGGCGAGAGAGAGCGCTTGCGGAGGGTGCTGAAGCGGATGGGGAAGCTCAAGTGCCCAAGGCAGGTGAGATGGAGCAGCCTCTGGCCTTCCGGGGAACCAGAGCAGCCCGGGCCAGGCTGGGGCAGGGGCCTCAGACCGCCTCAGGCTCCTCTCGGTGAATGCAGGGCTGACTCGCCACCTTCCAGCTGGTGGTGGAGGGGAGATGCAGAAGCTCCCCCCCCCCCCCCGAGTTGGCTCCCCTCCTTCCTGGGAGCCTGCGCTCCTCTCTGCCCCCCTCTCCTCCCCCAGGGCTGCACAGGCAGCTTTACCAGCGTCCTGGGCTTCCTCTACCACACGCGGAAGTGCGGGAAGGAGGCTGCCGAGCTGGAGCAGATGGCTCTGAAGTGCCAGCACTGCGGCAAAGCCTACCGCTCCAAGGCGGGCCTCGCTTACCACCTGAAGATGGAGCATGGCCCGGTGAGTTGCCAGTGAGGAGCAAAGGGGGCGGGACCTCTCCCCATCTCTGGAGCACTCTGCAGAGGAAGCCCCTGTTCCTGACTGACAGGCAGGTGGAAGAGGGGGCGGGGCAACACCCGGAGAAGCCACTGCAGGCCCCCTCCTCCTCTTACGGGCTGGGCATTGTCACCTGCAGAGAGCCTTTGCTACCCCTTTCTGGCAGTGGCAGGCGTTGGCCAAACATAAGAACTAAGAGGAGCTTCTAGATCAGGCCGATGGCCCACCCAGTCCAGCCTCCTGTTCTCACAGTGGCCAACCAGATTCCTGTGGGAAACCAGCAAGCAGGGTCTGAGCCCAAGAGCCCTGAGCCTCTCCTGCTACGCTTTCTGGCCACTGGCCTGCAGAAGCATTGCTGCCTCTTGACTGGAGGTTAGTCATCAAAAGCCCAGCCCTCCGTAAATCTGTCCATTCCTCTTTTAAAGCCACCCACCTTGGTGGCCATTGCTGCCTCCTGTGGGAGGGAGTTCCACAGTTTGCACTTTTAGTTTTACTGTCCTTTTAGTCTTCGGCTTCATGGAATGTCCATAAACTCCAGCGTTGTGAGAGAGGGAGAAAAAAACATTTCTCTATCCATTTTCTCCAGGCTTTGCATAATTTTCCAAACTCGTTCCATGTCCCTCTTCCTCACCTTTTCTCTAAACTGAAAAGTCCCAATTGCCTTTCCTCCTTTTGGTGGCCCCTTCTGAGCATCACTCCCTGTGTCCTTCCTGCCAGATCTCCTTGCTGGGCCAGGACATCCAGCCGCCCCCCCCGAAGGAGGTGGCAAGCGCAGAGCCCAGCAGTGGAGGCCGCCGGGCTCTGAGGAAGTCTGCCCTGGCAGCCGCCCACCACCTGCAGGAGGCCCTGGCCAAGGAGGCCCTGGCCAAGGAGTGGCCCAGGCGGAAGGTCTGGCAGGACCTGGTTCCCGAGGACCGGAAGGTGCGGCCGTTTCCTCAGAATCCATTTGGCTCTGGGAGCAAGAAGAGTCCTGGTTGACCTCAAGGTTTCTCAGGGGGCAGGATGCAGCAAGGGAGCACTTTCTCTCGAGGAGCAGAGTCTTTTGCAATGGGGGGCCCCACGTTGTAGAAGCCCCCGCCTCAGGAGGCCTACCCAGCCTGCTCTCTTGCAGCTTGCAGGGAAAATGCCCAAAGCTTTTGGTCAGTTTGATTTTTTTTTGTTACTATTGTTGTCATCTATCCATCTTGAGAGACAAAGGAGTGCACTTCTAGGGGTGAAGTCAAACTACTGCATTAGCAGCAGTGAAGTGAGCTCCTCGGGGTGCAAGCCTGGGCAGTGTGTCTGGAGGTCCTGGGCTGCCCAGACAACAAGACCCACCCCCCTCAGCCTCGCTTATGGGGTCCAAAGGAAAGCAGAGCAAGACGCTTAGCAGTAGCTTGGCTTGTTACTACAGGGCTGAGATTTTGTAGTAACAGCTATTTTAAGGCTTGACATTTTGTCTAACACTGGAATGGAGTTGAAGTCTTTTCAAAGTACAGGTGCAAATGGCTGCACTTCCCCCAGGGGCCAGGAACCCGAGAAGCAGAAGAGGCTGGCTGGGCTCTCAAGGAAGGGGGTGTCCCTGGGGCTCAGGAGTCAGGGTGCTTTGTCCCTGGTTAGCTGGGTGCCCCAGTCGGCTAGAGCACGGGGGGCCTGCTGTGGGAGTAGCTGAAGGCAGCAGCCCCTGCTCCTCACTCTGCCTTCCGGCTCTGCTCTCTTCTCTTCCTCAGCTGAAATACACCCGCCCAGGATTGCCTGCTGTCAGCCAGGAGGTTCTGAGCAAGTGGAGGGCAGAGATCAAGGCGTGCCGACGCGTCCGCTGCCCAAACCAGGTAACGGGACGGCTGGGCAAAGCTTGGGGGATGCCACCAACTCTCCTGACGGGACAAGGGCAGCAGAGCTCCTTTCTCCTTGCCCCCAAACACTTGCAGCGGAGGCTTTGGGGGGCTCTTCCTTGGTGTTCAGCTTCCCATGGAATAATCTGGAGGCCCCTCCCTCTGCCCTTTTGCATCACAGAGGTGCAGAGTGGGGAGAGCCCCCAAGTATCTGAGAGGAGACTAAGAGCTGTTGCTGCCAGGAGCCTCTGGATTCCCTGCTGCTTCCCAGAGGCCCCTCCTGCTTTCAGTCCCCTCCATCTCTGGGGCGTTCCTGGGTGGGGAGGCCCACTGACCGCCCTTTCCTGACTCTCGCCTTCCACCACAGGGCTGTGAGTGTGTCTACAGCAGCATCTCGGGCCTCAAGTCCCACCTGAGCAGCTGCATCTTGGTATGTGCCAGCCTCTCCTTAGGGCTGCAGGATGTGTGTGTCTGGGGGGCTTCTGCTGCTGCCTGCCATTGCCAAACCACCCCTGGAGGCAGACATGGATTCACCATCACCATCTCTGCGCCCCAACTGGCAGATCCCTCCCTCCACAGGGATGAGACACTTGCACTTAAAATCGGGGGGGGGGGAGACCCTCCTCCTTCCGCTTTCCCCCTCCTCCTCCCCGCTGTCTTCCTCAAGTTCTTGCTGCCAGAGATTCTAAGGCACATTTCCGTCTCACTGCAGGGGGAGTTTGTGGCTGGGAGATACCGGTGCCTGCTGTGTGAGAAGGAGTTTGTGTCCGAGAGCGGAGTCAAGTACCACATCAACACTGTGCATGCGCAGGTGAGGAGCAAGGGGGCTGCGGGAGTGCACATGGACCCAATCCAATGCCACAGACCCTTCCACTGCGCCCGCGCCCTCACCGGGGTCTGTGGCCATTGGCCTGGCTGAGCTTGGGCTGGCGCTCCCCCTTCCTCTCGCTCCCACCTCCTGCCTCTCCCCACCCCCAGGACTGGTTTGCTGTTGGCACACACACCGCCAGGAGCTGCAAGAAGCTGCTGAAGCAGCAGCCGGAGGAGGCGGAGCAGAAGAGAGCGCCCAGGAAGCCTCCGCCCAGCGGGAGCCGCAAGAAGAGGCCACAGGCTGCTGCCTCCCCCAAGAAGGCCACACCCAGGCAGGAGGCAGTGGGGGAGCAGGGGCAGCAGCACCCTCTCAAGGCCAGCTGCCCCCAGCAGGCAGGAAGTGGGAGCTGTGAGGAGGAGGAGGAGGAGGATGGCCCTCCCGCTCTGAAGCTCAGCCACAGGAGAGGGAGGGAGTAGCGGTCCCCCTCTGGTCTCTCAGGGTGGGGGGGGGGGCGATTCATAGAAAGGAAGGGGATCCTCTGGCCACACCCCTCCTTGCATCCTGCCCTCCAGCCCCCCTCAGGCGGCCTTGGCTGCTCAAGTGACTGACTGGGGAAGCAGCCCCACTCCCCCCAATGCTCAGCAGGGTTTACTTCTGAGGAGGCACTTCAAGGACTCTGGTCCTCCCCAGGTGAGGCCACACTCTCCAGGTGAGGAGCCACCAGAGGTGGGACTTCTTTCCTGGCCTCCGTCGGGCAGGGGGTGAGCTGTGCCCCAACCCCCGGGAGTAAACTGGGCACTGCAGACGGAGCGTCGCTGAAAATATTACGATAGCCAAACATTCACGCATTCCAAGGTAATTTTTACATTAAATTAGTTATCAAAAACCAAAATTAGCTACATGAAAATACTAAAATTGTGAATAAAAGTTTTATATAATCCTCTGGGTAATTTGGATTTGTTTAATAACATAAATCAGAACATTATATTGAAATGTATGAAGTTTGCTGGTTTTCCTGGGTAGTATTACATCCATGAATTCCAGATTGTATGTCACATCTTATAGATAGATTTGTAAATAAGATGGATGGATTTTCTTCTGTACCCATTTCTGAATGTTGAGTTTTCAAAAAACTGTGGGTGCCCCTCCTGTGTTTTCCGGCGCCTCAAGGCCCCCTGGAGCCTCCCACGAGAGGTGCCCTTTTGCCCTGCTGTTCCTGAGGACCCTCAGTCAGGAGAGGCAGTCCTGGGAAGGTGGCAGCACCCACCGGGTGCCAGGCTGACCTCACAATGTGTTGCTGTAGCAACAAGATAAACGGAACTGCAGGAGGAGGCGGTGGTGGTGTCACTTGGTCCAAGCTGGGTTGCCTGGGAGAGTAGCTGGTGCATTGGGGACAACCGCTGCTGGCCTGGCTCTCTGAGCACCAGCCTTTCAGAGGGGTGGAAAGGGGTCCATAGGGCAGGCCTCCTTTCAGTGCCTCTGGAGCCAAACCAGCAACTCCCTGCAATAGAGGCATCTCCTGTGCCAAACCAAGAGAGGTGTTGACCCTTTGCTTTCCTCCGTTGCCTGTCTTGAAGGCAGCTGTGTGGAGCTGGCTGATCTTGACTGACCCAGGCCTGGCCAGGGGTCTGTGGCCCTGAGAGCGCGGCCAGGGCGAGGGGGCTAGGATGCAGTCACTGGAGGCTGGTCCCGAGGACTGGCAAGCCACTGAGCTGGCCAACCTCTGCCCACCCCCTCTAAGCCGGGGCAGCGGGACAGTGGTGGAGTCCCCGCTGCTGGACCCTCTGCTGCTCAGCCAGGAGGTGCGAGAGCAGCTGACAGCTCACCTCCAGCGGAAGCGGCTGCAGCTGCTGTGGGGCTTGCCTGGCCTGGTGCACAGCTCGCTGGAGAGGTCTGTGCCGGCCCTGCTGGGCTTCCTGGCATGCACAGCCCCGCAGGCAGCCACCGACCACCAGAGGCCCCTTTTCAAGGTGGAGAGGCGGCAGTGCCTGGAGCACCACCTGAGGGAGAGAGCGGTGCATCGCAAGTGGGGCCTCCCCAAGAGGGTCTGCAAAGCCCTCTGCTGGCCGCTGCCCCCTCCTGGGACACCTCTGGCCCAGGCAGCCCCACAGCAAGAGAGGCCCTCTTCGAAAGGGAGCAGCTCTCCAAAGCAACACAGTGTTTCGGCAGCACGGGCTTGTTCTGCCATGACCATGGCAGCCAAAGGCGGCAGAAGCTGGTGGAGCCCAGAAGCGACACAGGAGCCTTTGCCACTGGCCTCGGGACTGGCACGCCTGCCTGGGAAGCAGTGGGAAGGTCTTCCAGGGACTGAGAAATGGGAGCTGGGTGGGGATGGCCCCTGGAACAGCCTGGCCACCTTGGAGCTCCTCCAGGTCCATCTGCCCTCAGCCACAGCCCACCCGGACGGAGCTCGGAGCCTGCCTGGGGAGGCATGTGCTAGCGTGGAGCTCCAGCGCTGCAAGAGGCAGCAGCCAAGCTGGGGCCGGGCACCCCTTGCCCAAGGATGTCCTCCTGCAGAGAAGCGTCCTCTTGCCGCAGCCGCCCAAGGGAAGATGAAGCCTGAGGAAGGGGTCTGGGTCCCACTTCAGCCGGCCGGGGATTCCCCTCGGACTGCCTGGGCCATCACAGATACCCAAAGAGAGCTGCCTCCACCAACCAGCAAACGGGATGCCGCCCGGCTGGATCTGGTCCTTTGGGATCTGACCCCAGCCTTGGTTTCCATCACAGGTGGGGGGGAGCAGGCCCCGGAGTGCCACCAAGAGAGCCCCCCTCTAACTGAACGGCCTTGTTGTGCTCACTCCGCATTCTGCTGCCGCCACCATCACCACCAGGAGGCTGCTTTGAAGCCCCGTCCCACGAGCCTCCTGGGGAAAGCTATGCCTCACACCCCTGAGGGGTTGGGTGGGCAAACTGGTTCACCACGAGCAACAGACCTTTCCACAACCAGTCCCAGAGCAAATCCAGGATGTGAAAGATTTCTTACGACTGACAAAAAGCAGTACTTTGAATTCCACCTGCGCGAGAAGCTTCTGCATCAGCGGTGGGGGGTGCCCAGGAGGGTGAAGGAGTCTGTGGCCAGGTCGGCCCTCCTGCAAAGCACCATCAGGTGAGCCCCCCCTCCCGGACCTGCCCCATGTGATGCTGCCAAGATGCAGGAGCTCAGCTGGCTGCAAGGAGCTTCGCTGTTCCTCGATGCTGCAAGGAGAGGTCCAGAACCCCATCCACACCCCTGAGACACAGAAGTCAGATGAGGAGCTCAAGCTGTTGCATGAGCAGCCTGGCTAGAAGATGGCAGTGCAAGACAGGCATGCTCATCATACTGGGCTTGGATGAGTCCTCAGTGCCGCTGCTTTGGACTGGAGTGCAGATACTTTGAGCAGGAAATAAATACATTGTTTCTGATGGGAGTTTAATTGAGGATTAAATCCATAAATTAAAATCAAAACCTCCTATCCCACATGTGGGGGAGCAATATGAGAGCAAACATGCTCTGAAGCCCCTTTAGCAGAGTAAAAATACTTAGGCACTTTTGCAGCTTACTGGAATCTAGGAATTAGGCAATTACGTCTCTTTATCCCTGTTTATTTGTGGTCTGCTGACCTTTCCCCTCTCCGTCCCCTTTGCTAAGAATGAACCACATGTTTTAGTAAGATAAACAAAAGGTTTACTGACATTTCAATGCAGGCAACAAATATATCAAAGTAATATGCTGGTAAAAAAGCCTTCTTTGTTACAAAATACAGTTTCTAAAACGGAGTCTGAGCTCTGAGCAGAGCCTAGGAATATACTAGGGTTGCCATATTTCAACAAGTAAAAAGCCGGACACAATTTTTTGTTTTGCAAAATCCCCCCCCCCCCATCATTTCCGACATGGCTTGTCATACATCCAGGTTTTCCTGCACATTTTTGGAAATTCTGCCTGGACACTATTTCCGATGGACAAATCCCAGATATGTCTGGGGAAACCCATATGTATGGCAGTCCTACTTTATGTCTGCTCACATCACTGGCTTGACAGAAGAGAGGGTGAGAGAGCTCAGGCAGGAAGAAATTACATAATAAAGCGAGATGAGCGCCGCAACCCCAGAGTCGGTCGCGACTTGGCCTAATGGTCAGGGGTCCCTTTACCTTTACTTTATATCCTTTGTTACACATTCCCGTCAAAGCGTTAAGGAAGTGACCGCATCTTCTTCTTTGGCTATCACTCATAGCCGAGTAAGATTGTCTTCCATAAACACAGTTTTAACAATGAGTCCGTAAGTGACTTTGGAGGCCAGTTCTGGATCCACATGTCCTTCCACAGTGGGGACATCGGTTTCCAGGCAGGAGTTGATCATGGTGTGGATTTGCCAAGCGTGCCTTCCTCTTAGCGTGTTTCTCCCTTGGATCCTGAGTTTGAGTGTCTTCAAAGCCCATGACACCTTTGGTGATAACTGTTCTCCAACTGGAGCGCTTGCAGGCCAGTGTTTCCCAGTTGTTAGTGTTTATGCTACATTCTTTAAACCTCTTTTGTTGACCACCAGCATTATGCTTTCCATTTTTAAGTCTCATACAGCCCCTCATGTGCCTGTCTGGCCATCATACCTTTGTCATTTTGACTGGAAACCACAGGGGGTTAATGTGTCCGAGTCACAGCTTGTCACTTAAAATACAGCCCATCCTGCACCTTCCCCAGTCACAAGCTGTGTGTCTAGGAAATGGGGGCTGCCTTTAGTTGATGACACTTAAGGACTGATAAGGACAAAATTTTGGGGTACGGTACTTAACTGTTTCCCAGCTTCGGTAGGGTCTAGCCCTGCGGGTTCAGAATCGGTCAGGTTCAAGCAAGAGATCACAGCCAGGCAATTTGAAGCAAAACAGAAGCTAGGAAACCTGATCGTCTATTGTTGCAACAAGGTTTCAACTCCCAAACAAAACAAAGTCCAGAACAAAGGGCAAATGGCCTCTTTTGTCACAGAAAAGGCATGGTGTCAGATAGAAATTTGAGAACCAGACATGCCCCTGTCTATCCTGCATAGTTCAAGTACCCACACCCCACAAGTCAATGAAAGTATTTACATATCCCTTTGTCAGGAAGGCATCCCTTGGCATTTTTATTTATTCCTGAGTCTCATTTCCCTCTGACCATTACTAGTCTGGTCCCTTTGTCAGGGCTGGTTTGGCAGTTAGGAGGGGTATCCTAAGTATGTGTTGTCACATCCTGAGAATTATGGAGTCCCTGTTCCATACATGCCATGAGTCAGGTCCCCTCCCCTCCATCCTGGGATCACAATTTTTATCACCTTTTTGAACTAAATAAAACCATCTATTTGACTAATTTTAGTGAATTTCTATGCTTCAGAAAATGGGGTTTCCTTGCCTTATTATGACACTGGGAACTCAGGATAACAGAGGGAAACGTACATAAGTCAGTGGTCGTGTGTGCATGTATTGCTCAGTAGCAGGGCAAGCTCCTGTGTCCTGGAACTCTGATGTGTCAAGTCCTTACGCACAGCATGCCAATGCTTCTGAGGAGTTGGTTGGGTGCCCCTCCTTTGTCCATAACAGTGGCTGAGCAGCTGCTTTGCATGCATAATGTGACATGACCCAGCCAGAGGCCTCCTGAAATAAAAATATCTCCAGGTAGAAATCCTACATTGCCAAGGTAGGAGTGAATGTAGGGAGATCCTGCACCTGGGCGCTATCTGGGCCCAGCTAAGCCATGAGCCTGATCCTTACCATTGCTGAACAACAGCCAAAGATCTGCCCACACCCCCAACATACGTCCTGGTTTTCTTAGCCTGAGTCGTGAGGCTCCCTTAAGTAGGGCCACTGAGATGGCTTCCCTCATCTGTCCCTGCAGAATGAGAGTTTGCCTCCCATCCTGTTTTATTAACAGTTTTTCTATCTCAACTCACCACACCTCTACAAAGCAATTTGTAAAGCAGCAACCTAATAAAATTGCAAACTGTGAAAAGAATAAGAGATTAAACCACATTAAGTAATATTACAACAGCAGCAGCAGTTAAGCAAAATTGATTAAAATGGGTTCAGTGCAGTGCATTAGTTAAACTATGGAACTCCCTCCCACAGGAGGCAGCGATGGCCACCAGATGGGATGACTTCAAAAGAGGACTCGACAAACTCATGGAGAGGGCTAGCGATGGCTACTAGTCAGCCTGGAGGCTATACTCTGTGGCCACAGTCCATGCTGCTGGATTCCAGATGCTGGCAGCCACAGAAGAGAGCGCTCTTCCGCTCGGATCCTGCTTGCAGGTTTCCCACAGGCATCTGGTTGGCCCCCGTGAGAACAGGAGGCTGGACTAGCTGAGCCACTGGCCCGATCCACCAGGCTCCTCGTAAGCTCGTCTTTAGGTTCTCTCCGCCAGGACCCTGGTCAGCGTCTCAGCAGTAGCGCGGCTGGAGACGGCTCGTCTGCCCTGCGCTGCGGAGAAGGGGCGCCCGCCCTCCTGCGTCTCCGCGCGTCCCCGCTGCCGGTCGCTCTCCTCCTTCGGGGCCGCCGCGGCGCAGGAGGGCCAAATCCCGCAGTGAGTCATGCTGCCGCCGCAAGCGCTGCACGCGATCCTCCAGCCGGTCCTTGTGCGCCTGCAGCGCCCGCGCCCTCGCCACCAGCCGCGCCAGCTCCTGCCTCAGCTCCCGGTTCTGCCGCTGCGCCTCCCGCCTGTGCTCCAGCAGGTACCGCGCGGCCACCTGGTGCGCTTCTCCGGCCACACGCGCCGCCCGCTCCCGCGCCTCACGCTCCTGCGCCGCCTTGGCTTGCGCGAAGCGCGCCGCCGCCTCCTGCCGCCGCTGCACGTGCTCCTTGCGGGCCGCCGCCTGCGCGCGCTGCAGCTCCCGCACTCGGCCGGCCTGCTCCTGCTGCAGCGCGCGCACCCCGCGCAGCTCCTCCAGCTCCGCGCTTAGCCGCGCCAGCTCGGCCTCCTGGCGGAGCAGCTCCGCGCGCAGCACTGCCTCCTGCTCCGCGGAGCGGGCCAGGAGCTCCCGGTGCTCGTGCTGGATGTGCGCCAGGAGCTGCCGGCTCTCGTCGCCCAGCAACACGGCCGCCCCCTCCTGCCGCCGCGCCCGCTTGGCCACGTAGTCCAGGAATTCCCGGCTCTCGGCGCGCAGCTCCTGCGCCTCCCTCTCCAGGAGCTCGTGCTGCGCCCGCAACTGCGTCCGCCGCCCGCGCAGCCGCTCCAGCTCCCAGCAGACGCGCTCCAGCTCCCCTTGCAGCGGCGAGGCGCCTTCCTGCGGCGGGCTACCCCCGGAGTCCTCGGCGCCGCTCCCGGGGGCTGCGCGTCCTGTCCTGGCTGGCTGCGCCTGCGGCAGCGTCTTCCCCCGGCGCTTGCGAGGCATTCTGAGGAGGAAGGAGAAGAAGGGCGCTGGAAGTCGTCCAAGAGCGGAGCGGCTGCCCCGCGGAGCCCGACTAACCCAGGACCCTCGGGGGAGCGGAGTAGGATCCGCCGCTCCCGTGCTCCGTGCTCCGAGCCCCCCGCTGTTGAGCCGTTGAAGCGGGGAGCATTGGCCGTTCAGAGGAATCAAGAGGGGCCGGGAAGCTGCCAACGCCCCCCCCCTCGAGGGCAGAGGAAAATGTTCCTCTGCTAAGTTAGGAACCGAAAGTTTGAGCGGCTCTTGGCCACGCTCCCGGTGGAATTGGGGGTGGAGGCGGGCTCTCCCGGGCGCAGGGGAGTCGAAAAGGGGCGGTCCCCGGGCAAGAAGGGGTTCTACCTGCTGGCTGCGCTGGAGGGTCCTTCGTGGCGCACGAAAAAGCAGAGCCCGGAGGCGGAGGAGAGGCCCCTCGATGTGTTGTCGGTCGCCTGGCGACCGGGCGGGGAGGGGCAGGTGGGCGGGGCTCCTTCCAGCTGCCCGAGAGCCTCTCAAGACGACGGGCCCAAGAGGCTCCGGGGGACACGAAGAAAAGCGTCGGACGGGCGGGCCCGTCCAGGAGGAGGCGCGATGCTCGGGACCAATCGGGGCTCCGGTTCGACAGGCGCCGACGGCCGGCTACAGCCTGCCGGCCCGCGTCTTCCTTCCCCCTCGGAGAACTCAGCGGAGAAGGGCAAAACTAGTTTGAGTTGGTTCTGCGGAGTCTCTTTGGCTCTGGCGCCCCCCTACCGCTTGTCTCCCTCCTGCCATACCAGTCCCAGGGGCACCGACCCCCCACATTGACCCTAACTTCCATGTGGTTTGTTCCTGAGTAGCCTCTGGTTGGGCAGAAGAGCTTGTCCACCTGGAAAGGCAGCCCACCTAGGAGAAAGAAAACTCTTATCCTAAACATCTGCTGCCTTGGGAGAGATCTTCCAGTTTCCTTCCTTGGAGGTTTTTAAACAGGTCGGTTGGCCACCTGTCATGAATGCTTTAGCTGAGATTCCTGCATTGCAGGGGGTTGGGCTAGATGACCCTTGGGTCCCTTCCAGCTCTGTGATTCCATGAGAGAAGAAAAGGCTCCAGAGTAAACACTACACAAATACCGAGTGGAGTCCCCAACATGGTTGGATGGCACCTGGAACACCTTCATCAGTCAGGCCGAGAGGGGGGCTGTCATCTGGGCAGCAGTAGACAACATATGCACTGCCCAGGCTTGGGGGGGGCACTTTGGTAGTGCTAACCCCGTGGTTTGACTTGTCCATACAGGGGATTGCGTTTCCATACTTGAAAATGCTTGGCTTATTGAATTCCTGCCTGCCCATCCCCAGTGCCAAACCTAAACCATGCAAAGACTTAAGGTTCACGAGTTGTAACCAGATGTGTTACTGTAGGTTAAGAGGAACACAGGTGGCCCTCCAGATGTTGGCAGATGTCGCAACACCATGGGCCCTCTTCAGCCTGATGCAGCCCCCATGCTCTTCTTACGTCCTGATGGATTTAACAGAGATCTTTTCCACAGTTCCCAGGAATGTACCTGCCACTTCCAACTGTATGGCAGTGATGTACAGGGGTACCTCGAGTTACATACACTTCAGGTTACATACGCTTCAGGTTACAGACTCCACTAACCCAAAAATATTACCTCAGGTTAAGAACTTTGCTTCAGGATGAGAACAGAAATCCTGCAGCAGCGGCGCAGCGGCAGCAGGAGGCCCCATTAGCTAAAGTGGTGCTTCAGGTTAAGAACAGTTTCAGATTAAGAACGGACCTCCGGAACGAATTAAGTACTTAATCCGAGGTACCACGGTATCTGAGAAGTCAGAGGCAACCACAGTCAATCACTTTCTGGTTACCTCCAGGATGAATTGCACTACAGTGGTACCTCAGGTTAAGAACTTAATTTGTTCTGGAGGTCTGTTCTTAACCTGAAACTGTTCTTAACCTGAAGCACCACTTTAGCTTATGGAGCCTCCCACTGCTGCTGCGCCGCTGCTGCATGATTTGTGTTCTCATCCTAAAGCAAAGTTCTTAACCCGAGGTACTATTTCTGGGTTAGTAGAGTCT